TAATGTGACTTTAAGGTCGCCGACTGGCCGGTTACGCCGTAGAAAGAAGGTGGAACTGAGAGCAACAGACCTCGTCGGTTATTGGGAGCAAGAGCTTTCGCACTTTAGACGATGCGTGACAACAAAATAAGGGAATGTCGGCCGAAAACGGGACGGGAAAAATTAAATCTTTACAGTACAAATTTACGGATTTTCGCTGACGGTTTTTGAGTGAGTGTAATGTAATTTGGACATCTTGCAAACGATTTGTTTATGAATTTTTTGATGGAATTTCACGGTCCTCTGACGTTGTATAAGGAGCCAAAGGAATTGTTTTTCCAAAGGTCGGTATATGTCATAAGACTCTACTTTATAAGAAAAATGCCCGAGGGCCAAAGCTCACATTTACTTCAAATTTTGGTCAGGCCTACTAATAAATATTTCGCATAAATTTTCTTGTACTTGATACTAAATTCTAGCTGAATTTAATACTTTTTTTTTGATTTTTTAATAAATATTGAGGACCGCGTGGGCCTCCATATTTTGAATTTTAAAATTAGCCCAGTTCTTTGAAGTCGAGGACATTGAAGGCGTCCCAAACATCGTATTGTCTACACTTTCTTCCATTCTTTCTTTTTACTACATTTGGTACGGTTTTTAATACCTGATTAGGAGAGCCTTGGGATTAGGTAGTTGTAGTCTGGGCCCACGAATGGTGACTCAATTTACCCGGCTCTGCATATTATATAAAAGGTTATTAACTACACATTTAGTGTTTTGGGTAAATAATCTTGACAAAGAATAATTCTACGTTAAATTTGCTGATTAAAATTTCCCCTGAGGAATTGAAATCGGAAGCAATTTTTTCTATTTTTTAGCAGCTTTGACTTACTATTACTTGCATACACCTTTTATTAGTAATTTAATTCTACGTTTGCAAGCCGCTGGAGTTTGAGTTGCAGAGTTTGATATTAGTAGAAATTAAGTTATTAACTCTGGGAACGTTTGGTTTGAAGCTCGAGGTGTTTGGCATGAATTGCCATTTACTTAATTTTTCTCATAATTTCTGACAAAAAAATGGGAATGGCTCAGATACTGGTGGAACTTGGAACAAACTGAGATTACAATTTTCCAAGACATAAGGAATTTTCAGCCTGCAATTTGCAGAAATACTTTTAGTTTGAAACTGGCTAAATTTTTTATTTTTTAGAGTGAAAAACTGACCTTTGACTGAGGAGTAAAATATCTACACAAAAAGTGAATTAATTTGGCTCGGCATTTGAACCGTTTTTCTCCCCAATTGTAGGCCCCATTTTCCCTGTAGACAAAAGCCGTTGAATATTTCGGCCGCCTCTGTTGGGCAGGGACAAATATTTATGTCTCATGTAATGAACATTTGTGCCAAATTTGCGAATAATGTGGCTCTTGTCCTTTATGCAGTTTTATTTCATTTTTTGGTGACTTCAAGGAGTTAAAAATCAATCAAAAGCGCTTGGCCTAGTTTAAAAATTTTTAAGTGTTATTTTTTTACAATTTTTTTGGCATAATTATTGCAAAATCATTGCAAGAAGTAAGCCAATTTTTGGATTCTTCCAATTACTCACTATTTATCCCTTATCGGAAAGCAGACTAGAATACTAAACAGCCCATACGTACTGGACTCCCCGAAATCGTAGGGTAATTAACTTTTGAAATGTGCGGCCAAATCCCACGGATTACCTGAGGGCCTCGGATTACCTCCACGGCCCGTAATTGTTGCCCAAATCCTCTACTCCTTTCAAATTTTCGGTTTTTATTACTTTCACCGCTGGCATTACTTTTTCCGTGCGCCATAACACCTGAATTTCGATGGTAATTTTGTTAGGGAGCCTTGTTTTTGTAGGGTGGAAATTGGTTTAGGCGGCAGGTTTAAGGAATTTAGAAATTTTTTCGGAGAATGCCAAAGTTTCTAAACTTTCTTGAAGGGGAACCTGAATTTTTTATTGAATATAATTTTTTTATTCTTAAAAAATGCCGAAAACAGTCTACAGACAAAAAAAAATATAAATATTTTTTTGTCTTTTCACGTTTACAAGTGCGATGATTGCGTCGCTCTTCTACAAAAAATTTGATATCCATTTTAGGATTTATCGTATTTTTAATCATCAAAACCTCCCGTTTTCACTCCCAAAAAACTCGCAGATTTTTTCCTGTCACCTTTTAAATCGCGTGTAATTACCCTTGAGTCGCTCTACATACGTCAAAACGGCCGGCTGAGGAATTGTGAAGTTTAGATTACTCCGTCCACACCTTTCTCGTATATATTGACCTTGGTATCCTTTTACATGTTAAAGTACCTCTAATACTAATTGAGGGCATTTACCAGCTTTGGACGCCTAAAATACCGAATGTTTTTTTCCGGTGAGAGCACAGTAATGATAAATAGAAACCTATAACTGGCTAACAGGGGAAGCACTCCAAGTGTGACGCTCAGATTTTGATGAAACTTGGTAAACGTCTCGAATATTTTTTTTCGAAAATATGTGCGAGAATCTTAGTTTACGCTATGCCGAAACAACCAAGATTTTTATACCAAAGGTTGGCGAAAAGTTGAGATTTTTTGCCGAATTTCGGCACTAGAAGTTTCATACCTCTTTTCACCGTAAAGGGTACTGTTTTCACAAAAAAATAAGTTTTTCCCCACGAAATTAGCAAAGCTATGGCCAGAAAGATTTTTTTTCTCTCTGGCCGCTCTCCGCGTTTGGCGTACTCTCTCTGCGGCAAGGACCGTTCAATATCTCGGCTTCGTCTTCAAAGCGCGAGCTAAAACTTTCAGAAATTGATACTCATTCTATGCGCGACGTGTGTGCAAAATTTAAAGAAAATCTGAGCGTCGCACTTGGAGTACTTCCATTGAAAATGTAAATTGAATTTACAGGAAAGTGCGAAACCCTCAGATTTTAATCGACCTTGGCACAAGTTTAAATTAATTTTTTTATAATGAGGGAATCGTGTGAACTGTCCGTGAGCTGTTTTCAGCATGAGACCTACAAATTCTGAAAATGCACGTAAAATTTGGCATAAATTCTTTTTTCTACCTGCCGAATGGTCTTGGCAGACGAATTAAGGTCGATTTTTGTGACCGTTTTGTAATGAACTTAGGTTACAGTGATTTGAGAAGATTGATTTCTAAAAATCTACATTCCCAATGGCCGATTTCTTATTTCTGTCGATATCTCCCAGGATAGAAAACGGATTCCTACTAACAGGGGAAGTACTCCAAGTGCGACGCTCAGATTTTGATGAAACTTGGCACGTGTTTAGAATAATTTTTTCTAAGATATATACGAGAATCCTAGCTCGCGCTTTGCAGAAACAACCGAGATTTTTAGATCAAAAGTCGTCCAAAATTTTGGACTTTTTACCGAATTTCGGCTCGCAAAGTTTTATGCCCATTTCAACCGTAAAGGATAATGCTTCTACAAAAAATCAAATTTTTCCGCTCGAAACTGCCAAAGTTATGGCCAAAAAGGTGTTTTCTCTCTGACCGCTCTCCACGTTTAGCGTGCTCTCTCGGCGGCAAAAATCGTTCGATATCTCAGCGGCGCCAGCAAAGCGCGAGCTAAAACTTTCAGGAATTGATATCTAGTCCATACCCGACGTGTGTGCAAAATTTAAAGAAAATCTGAGCGTCGCACTTGGAGTACTTCCCCTCTAAATTTTGTACTCTCTTCAGAATTTGTGGGCCTCATGTTGAGAGCTCACGGACAGTTCTCATCATTTAGGCATATGCGAGATTCCTAAGCTCGCATTTTGCAAAGACAACCGAGATTTTTTGGCTAATTCGAAGACATTTTTTTGTAGTCTAAGCATAAATCATGTCGGCTTTGTTTTTACTGCAGAGGGCAACCTTTCTACAAAAAATTCATGTTCTCCGCACGAAATTTGCAGAGATATGGCAAAAAGCGCGTTTTTCTCTGGCCGCCTTCCATTTTTCACTACTATTAATTTCGTTGATAAAGATCTGCAATATTTCTCTTTAACTTGCAAGGCCTTAGCTTAAATTTTCAGTGGGTGATCTGTGGCTAAGTTAGAACAGATGTGTCAAAATTGGAGACCATCTGATACGCGTAGTTTGAGTAGCGGCTTTTTTAAAATGGTCATCTTTCTTTGGATGCAAGTTCGAAATCGCCTTTTTTTGCTTAAAAATCATTTTTGAGGGGCTAATATTATTCGCTGTAGCATCTACAGTCATTCACAAAACGCTTGAAAATTTCGCTAAATCATTACGGTCTATTTTCTCATATTTTTTAACAAAATTCTGGCTTAACTCCGCATTTTTTCCATTTTTTTTTATTTTCCCCCAATTTTCCCTATTATTAAACCTCGTTAAAAAATTTTCATGTTTGTTCAAATCCCGCGGCGAGTATAACATTAATGACCGTTTTTCTCTCAATTCCGGGCAAATTGTAAAGAAATTTGGGCCGGTTTCCCATACCTACTACTGCACACACTCTGGCAGTTTCATGTTTGAAGAGGAATTGCGTGCTAATCAGGGCACCTTTGTGTTTACATCTTCGCCGAGGGCCGCATTCTCGGCCCGCTTTACCTTATACTTTATATACAATTTCGCGGTTGTCCTTGCGTCTGGATTTGAGATTTTTGTTGGTTTTGGTGAGCCAAAATTGATTAGAAATTTTTGAGAAGTTGTTTGTACATTGTGATGAAATTGGGTATAGAATAAGATTGGAGCTTTCCAAGAGATTTGTGGGATTTTTAGCCCGCAATTTTCGGTAATAATCGAGATTTTTAGATCAAAATTTTAGAATTTGTTTACCTTATTGATGATTTTTACGGATATTTTCGATAGTTTTTGTCTTTGAAATTGCCTTTTTTCCCCGATTTCCGCTAATTCCCTGGATTTTTCCAATTTTTATTCATCAATTCTCCCATTTTCCAGGGTGAACCTCCATTAATCGACCATCCAAAAACGACCGTCAGAAGCGAGCAAAGCTTGGTGAAAGCAAAGGCGACTGGTCATCATGGGAGCCTTAACCAGTAGCTGTCAAAGCGAAGAAGTTCGCGAACAAATGGCCAAGAGCAGGGCCATTGAAAAACAACTTAACCAGGACAAACGAGCCGGATCCTCCATCATTAAACTCCTATTGTTGGGTGAGAACTTGTTTTTAGGGGAACAAGATGGCTTCTAGGAGTTTTTTTTTTGAGGAAAAAACAGTTCTTAATGAAGAACTTTTTCGAAATTTGATTTTTTCTTTGATTTTTTTTTCCAGAAAATTTCATTTTTTGTTGAAAAAATAAGAATTCTGAGGATGAAAAGAAATATTTTTTTTAGATAATTCGATTTTTGAATTTGAAAAAAATCTTTCAGAGGAAAAGTATGGATTTTGACATTTTTAAAAAATTAATTTTTTTGCCAGGCCTAGTTTTGAAAAGAATGGTATTTTTTTATTAAGAAAACATTTTTTTTCATAATTTTAAATCTTGAGGTAATCTAATTTTTTGTCTGTTTATTACTGTAGCATTACATTGCAATGGACTTTTCCTGCCAAATTAATTGTACTTAGTAGTTTAATAATCCTTGTTTTCGCTCTGCTTTTTTTCCTTTTTATAAATCCTTTTGTCTGCTGCAATAAATATCCCTCCAATTCTTCAAATTTTCCATTTTTCAGGAGCCGGAGAATGCGGTAAATCCACAGTCCTCAAGCAAATGCAAATCCTGCATTCCAACGGCTTCACGGAAGAGGAGATTGCGGAGCGAAAAGCAGTCGTTTATTCGAATACGGTGACCTCGATGGCAGCCATTTTGCGAGCCATGGACAACGTGCTGCACATTCCGTTGGAGGATTCGTCGCGGGAATCGGACAAACAGGTTGTTTACAGAGTGGTCGAGGCCGGCGACGAGCAGCAACCCTTCACAGACGAGGTCGCGAAATCGCTGATCAATCTGTGGAATGACAAAGGCGTCAAAAAGGCGTATGATATGAGGAGTGAATATCAATTGAACGACTCGGCCAAATAGTAAGCACTTTTGCGAAAATTTTTTAAATACTTTTTAAAAATTTTTTTTTGGAATTACAAGGTCAAAAACTTGAAAATTTGACTGTAATAGAATATGCGCAAACTTTAGTATAGGTTCAAAATTTTTATAAAGGTCCTAAAGCTGTCATATAGAACTATTTTTATCTTTAGTTTCTACTTTTTTTTAGGTTCTTTCCTGAATTCTTGGCAGGAAGTTCAAAAAATTCGACATCTCAGCGATCTTGAAAGCAGGTGTTAATAAAGTTTCCTAACAATCCGCAAATATTTTTTTTACATTTTCTGCCCGTAATCTAAGCGCAATGGCCAAAAAAACCTTTTCTCTCTGCTCTCCACATTTCGCATGCTCTCTCGGCGGCAAAGTTTATTGAATTTCGTGGCCGCCTCTGCAAGGCGCGAGCTAGAATTTTGAAAAAATGATATTTGGTCTAATTATAATACGTGTGTGCTAGATTCACCCAAAATCACTCGTTCTTGTTTTACTTGTTAGTGCGTATAATAGCACACTTTTTCGGACTACAACTTATACTAAGCCCATCATCTCGACTTTTAACCGCCTAAATAATTCTCCAAGGACTCCAAAATGCCAGTGACGACTCCGCTTTTTAACAATTATATAACATAATACTACACTATGCAATGAGCGCTTGAAATTTGTCAGAAATTGTTTTTGACCTCGTCATTAAAGGTTTTAGAATATGCAAACATTTTTTGGGCAGCTGTTTCGAACTTTCGTTGTTTTTGCGGCCAATTGCGTCAATGACCATGAACACGCGAAGCATACTTTTTGAGAGTTAAAAAAGCTACTTGAACACGTGTCAGATACGTAGTAATTGTAATCAAATTAATTTTGAAGCCAGAAATATACACTCAAGTAACGGAGCACACATTTCAAACATTTTTGAAATTTTAAATGTTGTATTTCAAATTTCACGGTATAAATACAAAAAAAATTATCTTTTTTTCAGTTTCCTCGACTCCGTTTCGCGGATACACGAGCCCGGCTACAGACCGTCCGAGCAAGACATTTTGTACAGTCGAGTGGCCACCACTGGCGTCGTGGAGGTCAAATTCAAGATCAAAGACCTGGACTTTCGAGTGTTCGACGTGGGCGGACAACGGTCCGAGCGAAGGAAATGGATCCATTGCTTCGACAACGTGGAAAGTATCATCTTCATCACGGCCGTCAGCGAGTACGATCAAGTGCTGTTCGAGGACGAAACAACGAATCGGATGGTGGAATCGATGCAACTGTTCAGCTCGATATGCAACAGCTCTTGGTTCCTGAACACGGCCATGATCCTCTTCTTGAACAAAAAGGATTTGTTCGCGGAGAAGATTCAACGAGTCAACATTACTACCTGCTTCCCGGACTACGAAGGTAAGGCTGGCTTTTAAAATTTTATGGAAAAGGGAAGTGCTCAAAGCGCGACGTTTAGATCTTGATGAGACTTGTGGCAAGTTTGGATTGCTGTTTAATAAGAAATGTTTGAAATAACTAGCTCGCGCGTTGCAAGACCAACCGATATCTTTAGCCCGAAAATTCACGAAAATACATAAAGGACCTGATCCAGTGGCAAAAAACGTACCATTTTGCCTCCGGGAAGTATCAAAAATGTGGCAAAATGGATCCCTCTCCAAGTGAAAGAACTTCGTTTTGGAGGGCGCGCCCCTTTTCATCACAAAAAGAGCGGTTGCGCTTTTGAAATCCGTGTTTTTTCACTTGAAGAGGAGGTATTTTGGGGCTAAGGTAGTACAGCCCCGCAGTCCAGTTTAGCCCCCCATGACCCAGTACAAACCCCCTCGTCCATTCTAAACCCCAAAATTTATTTCAAAGAATTAATCCAAGTTGTATGGTCCAGCACAAGCCCCCTACGTTTTAGGTCAAGCCCCCTACGTTTTAGATCAAACCCCCACTTACATTTTTTGTCTTATTCTTATTTGTTCATTATGTGGGGTGTGAAACGGGCAAAACAGTGGGGGTTTGAACTTCCTTTCGTGGGGGGCTCAACTACCGAAGCCCCGGTATTTTGCCATATTTTTTGATGCCTTCTGGATGCAAAATGGTACGTTTTTTGCCACTAGGGCAGGTCCCCCACTGTACGACACTGTCGCACTTTTAACACTCTTTTGTCGGCTTGAACTTTAAATTGAAAAGTTTGCAACCCAAAGATTTTTGTATAACGTTGGTCTCGAGCCCTAGTCTGCATAATGTATTTCTTTAAATCTCGCTCCTTTTACCTTTCTGGGCTCATTTCTTCGTCTCTGTATTTCAGAAGACAGTAATTCCTGTCATTTCATTAGCACATACACCTTCTCGGCTCTCTGATTCTCTCATGTCCTGCCTTTTCTCTCCTTGTCCTTACCTTTACCTGTCTTTGTTTTATCGCAAAAATGTGACTCAAGCACAACCTGACAAGTGCCCTCAAAGCCTACAATTGGTTTACCTTTATCTACAATCACATTAACTTTGTCAACCCCCTCTTTTCAGGCGCCCAAAACTACGAAGAAGCGATGAATTTCATCAAAATGAAGTTCGCTGAGCTAAACCAACATCCCGACAAGAAGACGATTTACATGCACGAGACGTGCGCCACGGACACGAATCAGGTCCAAATGGTCATCAGCAGTGTGTGCGACATGATCATCCAGAAGAATCTGCAAAAGGCAGGAATGATGTGAATCCGCAGACTGCGGGCGACATTTTATACGACAATTACGATATACATACATATTTTGTTTTTTCGCGCGGAAATAATTTTTACATTGTAAATAAAATATTTACAACGTAAAAATTATTTTTTATACTCTTTTTTTGGCACTCTCTACTCTCTACGCACTATTTTTTTATGTTTGATTTTTTTTATTTTTTAAAAATCTCCTTCATATCCAAAGGGCTTAGACTGTAACTATTAGAAGTTTTAACATTTCTTACAGCCCGTAGACGGTTGTCTACTTGTCTAGGTCAGATGATACGGTCAGACAGAGAAAGAATTATTTTTTGGAAATTGGCCAAAAAAGTGTCTTATAGGCGAAAAATTATTTTTTATGCAGCGGAAAATTTTTTAAATGCATTTTTATGTTAGATATTAGAAAAAATTGATTTTTAAGGTCTTAAAAATTTTTTGTGTATTGAAAAATACTTATTTTACGCAACATTAATCTTTTTTGTTTTTTTTTATTTTTAATTTTGGAGTTCTATTAAATTGTTGCTATGTATTTTTTAAAATTTTCTTTTTGTTCTTAAAAAATTTTTTTCAAAAATTAACATTTTAAATTAAAAAAAATACTTTTTTCAAAATATTTTATGGCCATTTCCCTGACCGAATCTCGACCTTCCACCCATAATTTCCTATTAAAAATCTTGTTTGTATTTTGTTAAAATCGATTACTTTGAATTTACATTGTACAATAACCAAACAAATTCTCTGTGACTTGACTTTACTTGTTACGTTTGTGTCGGTGAATGCACTTTTTTCTCAATTTTTTTCATCTCAATTTTTTTGTATTTTAGAAGGTCAAATTTTTATTATCCAATTAATTACTTGGAAATCTTTTATAACGCAATAAACAAGACTACTCGGTGGGATGAGTATAAAATTGACGACGGATGTCAGGGATAATGATATAAGATGCTCAATTGTAAAGTCAAAAAAATATAAAATACTTGTTGCGTTTTGATAAAAATTTATATTATCCCGGATAAAAAAAATTTTTCAAATTCGAATTTTGAAATTTTAGATAGCATCGATATCTGAAAATTCCTCTCAAGAAACCGCCGAGGCAATAAACAATGTTTGCAGACAATAGACTATGGAATGGAGAGACAGCCAGAGAAATCAATTGTCTCTCTAACCTAATTGTAATCAAAGTGTCAAAAGCACGGCTCACGTCAAACTGAGATAATCTAAAACAGTCCGGGGAATGGATTGGCAATTTGCCAAAAAAAAGAGGCGAAGAAACGTTTTGTCGGGGAAGAAATGGGGAATTTTTGGGGCGAGAGAGTACGCTTTTGCGTGTCTTTTTTCTCTCTTTCTCTGCGAAATCAAGACGAAGTGTAAAAAACCGATAGCGAAGGGTCTATTCCGGTCACCGGACTCCCCGGTTTGACGTGTGGCGTTCCGCTTACATTCCCTTCCAATTTTTCGCGCTCACTGGGCCATTTCCGAACATCAATTGCTAAAAATTTTAGCTGATTTTTTGCAGAGACGACCTATGTATTCAACAAGTTTGTTTTTCCATCCCGAAACTATACGAAATTTGAACAACGAAACTTTTTTCACCTTCCTCTTTGTCATACCATCTCACTGCACTAACGACGGATTCCGTATCGTTTACAATGGGATTTAGCCCATAAACCAATCCATTAATCTTTCTTTTGCGCGAACGACATGCCACGATATCAACAGAACAATAAATAAATTAAACATGACATTCGTTGATCCATCTGAAAAAACGGAACCGGTACGAATTCCGTCGCGCTGATCGGGAATCCGCGCCGGCTTCTAATCACTGGAGAATTCGTTTTATAATCTTCAGCTGGTTTTGATGTCTGAACGGCGCTCAAAACTTTCGTTTTTTAACTTTTATTTGAGATTTTCGTAGATAACGGTTTGACTTATAAAACTTTTTGGACTTTGAGTAGAGCGTGGAGACCACAGTCGATTTCAGTTTTAGTTTTGATATCGCCAGAAAAATTAATTTTTCTATTAAATTATTATATATAGCTTTAGCCATGTACAAGGGAATTATCTTGATTTCCTTCGTTTTCCTGCCAATCTCGGGTTTCCTTTTCCCTGCAGCCAGTGGCGGATGTGGTTGTGGATGTTCTCAGCAAGCAGCTTGTGCTCCAGCGGCTCCATGCTGTGGCGCAGCTCGCGCCCGACATGACAAGACTCTTCAGCCAAGCGAAACTGATGAACTGGAATTGGTAAGTCTTTTTGATCATAATACGGGCTGGCCCAAGCAGAAAACGTTCTTGTAGAACAAATCAAATAGCAAAGTTTATAGTGCTCCAGTTGCATACATTACTTTAGTCACCAAATTTCAAGAACATCAAAAAGTTATGTTTTAACAATAAGGATTAAAAAATGTTCTGCCAATTAGACGTTCATGGCTACATGTGTCAGTAAGGAACGAAATTTTTAACCCATTTTTTTAGAAAATCTTAAGAAATTTTCCAAAAGTTATTTCCTCGCATAAAATGTCCCCTTTCCAAAAAAACATTACATTAAATTTTACAGCAATGAAAAAATAAATTTTTATATGTATTTTTTAGCGAGCCCGTTTGACTGGCCTTCCCTTGGATCAGCAGCCCGTTAAAACGAAAGGCGAGGACGTTCCAACTCAAGGTTTGGCCGTTTTCGAACAAATGGGCGAAGTCAACGCTCCGAAGAATGTACACCGTCAAAAAAGAGCTGATCCTTTCTCGAAGGAAGTCGGTGTTGATGGCTCTGTGAAGGACGAGACTTTGGTTAAAGTTGATCAGAGTACTCCGTCGCCAATCGACGAAGCAGAAAGTGCCAAAACTGAGAAGCCGGAGACTGATGATGACATCAAATGTAACAGTCAAGTGCTGAAGAAGCTGATTTTGGAGGTAGGTTTGAAGAATTTTGAAATTAGGAAACAGCAAAAATCCAAGAATATAGGCAAACGCGTAATTTTCTCGGTGTATCTCCCACCATTTTTCTTATTAGTTTTTAGTTCGCAAAGAGTAAAAGTCTCCGTTAGACATGCAAAGCAAGGGCAAAAATTTTTTTCTTTTGTCAACTTTTAACAAGGAAAGTACTTCTATGGGGTGTGGAGTTACAGGTCGAGTCATATATCAAAAAATTCGCAAAATTTCTCTGATTCTGAATATGTAAAAATTAGCTGCCTAATTTTGGTTTGTAAGGGTAAAAAAACCCTCGGAACTTTTCTCGAAACACCACGCAAATGCCTTTTTGACAAAGTTTTTACCAAATCAAAAGCTTGCTTTTGAGTTAAAGTAAACTCTGGTATCTTTACAAGCCTTAAAATATCGCATTTAATTTATACTACACCTTAATTAGTAGTTGCAATGTAAAAAAGGCGCATTTTCATGGTGTTGCGAGAAAAGTTCAGAGGATTTTTTCACCCTTACAAACAAAAATTAGGCAGCTAATTTTTACATATTCAGAATCAGAAAAATTTTGCGAATTTTTTGATATATGACTCGACCTGTAACTCCACACCCCATAGAAGTACTTTCCTTGTAAAATATTTTTCAGCAAATCACCGAGAACTCTTCCATTTCCAAGCGTCGGATCAACAAGGAAGCCGAGAAGGTCTTCGGCGGCCGGATTGATGTGATTTGTTCTCGCGGCCATTTCAGCTACGTCTACTCGAGCTCCCTGTTCTGTGAGGCCACCAAAGGAGAGGTCACTTGTATTGCGTTTAGACAGTCTCATTAAAATTTAAATTTATTTAAATGCCTATATTTATTTATCAACAATGGCATGTAATGAATAATATTTGTAATAAAAGAAAATAAAAATTGTAGATGTCGGTTGTAAGACTTAATTTTTTTGGCCTTTCGTAAATTCCGAAGTGAAATTGCAGACCAACAAGACCACGAAGCAATATTTATGTGCTACAAAGCCTGTGTACTGGTTTTTATCAATATTGAGCTGGTAACACGCACATAATATGACTGGATTTTGGGGTTAGCACTGTGTAAAGCAATGAGCATTGGGTTGAACTCCTAGTGGTTCAAACACCATACGTCTGCAAGGTGAAAAATGCTGGCTGTTTTTACTGCATACGGGCAGCTAAGATTTTCAGGACTAGCAGCAATACAGAGATACCAAACGTAAAGAAAATATGAGCAAATGCGCGGGGGTTTCGAGAAATTCACTTGTGAAACAGTCAAACTAATCTCTGAAAACATTATCTTCTCTAACATAGGTGTACAAACGGACCCTCACCAAATGGCAAGTGTTATACACCGTTGGAAAGCCCTTGAAAAATGGTGAAAGACACCATTTTCATTTTTTGCAGAATGCCTCAGGGCAAAAAATTATAAACGGTTGATTTGTCCCTTAAGTTGTTACAATATCTGCTATTGGGCAAATTAAATGTTATTTCAAAACGGTACGTATTGCTACTAGATTGGCTTAAGGATCATTTTGAAGTTTGGCGCTTGCCAGTAGAACCATTTTACATATGATATTTAGTGGCTTTGTGTATCCATAAGGTGAAAAAACACTTTTCGCTTTTTTTAGCAAACATTTATTTTTTATTCGACCCGTTTTCAAATATCAAGTTCCGAAAAATAACAATTCTTTTCTGTAAGTACAAATATGTTCTCCTTTCATTTAGATCATCATGCGATCCATGAAAACAAATCAATGCCCAGTCAATGCCTGCTGAATCCTCTGCTTTGTCTGACCGCAAAATCTGGTCTAAAACAATACTTTGATCTCCTTCATGATTCAACTTACTCTGCAGTCCTCTTTCACACAGCTACTGGAATGATAAAAGACGGCGGAGAAGAATTTCTTGCAGACTTGGCAGTGCTGGCAGCTTGAGAAGTGCTGAATTACCAACTTCATTCGCTTGCAGCTTTCGCGACACTCGGGATTCGAGCATTTTGAGGCGTGTTTCAAGACGTTGACAAAGTCGTCAAGGCGAGTCTTGGGCATCGTTGAGATCTGGGGGATTTTTTGAGATTTGGAGGGAGAGATTGGGTTCTTGTGGGGGAAAATCATTTTGGCTGAAAATGAAAAAATAAAGTTTTTTGTCAAAAAAATAAATAATAATAATAATGTAGCAAAAATGCGATGAGATATCACTATACATATTTATGGCAGCAATAAGCTCAAAAAAGTTTAAAAATAGAACCACGGGCATTCTTTAAAAAAATATCTACATTTACGTGAAATTTTAAAAATTGAAAATGTCAGCAAAATTTAAAAAAAAGTAAATTGAAAATTTAAAAAAATTACTGTCGAATACATTTAATTGTCAAAATAACATTTTTTCAACCATAAATTAGTCTTGTACGCCAAAATGAGTCTCCCAGAGAACATAAATCTACATTTACGTGAAATTTAAAAAATTGAAAATGTAAAATTTCAAAAAAATTTTCAAAAAAGTAAATTAAAAATTAAAAAAAAATTATTGTCAAATACATTTAATTGTCAAAATAAAATTTTCGCAACCATAAATTAGTCTTGTAGGCCCAAATGAGGCTCCCAGAGAACATAAATTTACAATCCCGATACCATACACCCTACAGGAATCTCCCTTACAATGCAATTCACGGAAAACACAACAATCAGGAGGTCGGTCTCTCATGCAATCCCACGTTCTTTTATAATAAAATTTCACTTCCCCGCTTTCAAAATAAAACCCATGTCCAGAGAAATGCTCCAATTTCAAAATACGGAAAAGAGAAAGGGGCTGACGAAAGTTTCCAGACAAAACGAACGCGTTTATTTCGTTGGGATGACGTTTCGAAAGGGAGTAAAGAATGAGAAGAGAGTTCTTTCCTCCCATTTTAATCCGATACAAAATTTGAATTGAGAAATTCGAAAAGTACAGAAGAAATCTTTCGAAAGTCTGGGGATTTCTTAAAACTTCAAATTGCAAAAAAGAGTATGGTCTGAAAAAGAAATGATTTTTTGTCGAAATTTTTTTATGCATACACTTTTCTATGTCTAGAAGTGATAAGATTGTTCTGGTTCTAGGGCGGCTTATCACTTATTTTGAGGTATTTTACGTGTATTAATGCAATAATAGCTTTGTTTCTGGTCCTCAACTTGCCCAACCCTCGTATCGATTGATTTTGTGTTGATCCAAACTGTCTTCGACCCGAAAAAACAAAGGTTGGAAGAAAGCATGAAAGCATGAGGCGACAGGGAAGTAATTTTTCGGGAACGGAGCCTAGATGTTCTCCATGTTTGGCGTATCTTTTCAACATCAGGTCTTTGCCAGTCACTGCAAATTTTATCATATCTCGTGGATATGACTGAGATTGTTTACCAGTGCTCCTTGTAAATATTTTTTGACCTAAAAACCTCGCTAGTTCCTGGAAAACATATGCTGAAATCAGGCTGAAATCTTGCATATCGGATAAAAAATTTTGTTCTGAATTTATGCAAAGCTTGACCAAAATTTAAGCGCCATATTTCCAAATATTATAAAAAACCCCCGATCAACACATTTTTCTCACAATTAAATAGATTTATTACACCAAAGAAACTATACAAATCAATGACTTACAGTAAACTTTTGTCAAACAACAATTCGAAAGTTTTAATGAAAACTTTTGGAAGACTCTTATATTCTGTTTACTGTATTTCCCCCACAACAAAATTCCATGCGATCAACGTGAATATAGTATATTTAAATTAACCTTTCAACTTCAAAGTTATGTATTACATATATAGATTTTATGTACATGAGCGAGTAATGTTTTTGTTTCCGTCCTACTTGAAAACCGACGATGATGCGGATGAGTACTCCGAGCTTGTGCTATTCGCCGCACTGTACTCCATTTTGTCGTCGTGTTGTCGGAGTTCCGTTACGGAGTCGTTGATGATGGTGCGAACTCGTTGATACATGTACTTCTTCATCGCTCGTTGCCATTTCCGGATCTCACGGCAAGGGGGAATCTGGAAATTGAGAAATTATTTTTTTGAGGCTAACATTTGGTGGGAGGCAATCTTAAATCTTGAGATTTCATAGCAAAGTTTCCCTACCTGACATCTACGGTCTCTGCAATGCAGAGCATGATGATTAAACGCCTGCACGACCTGTTCGCATTGACAACACGAATGTGGAGGCTCAGCACATCGCCCCAAATGATCGATCAGGTCTTTGCTGATGCCACAGGTCGTGTCCGGACAGTCGGACGAAGAGCACTGTGCAGAATGTGTGATCCCTTTCAACATTAGCTGATTCCCAAACTCTCGAAGGGCCGCCAAAGAAGTGGGCTCCAGCAAGGGCAGATCCGCAAACATATTTACATCCATTTTACTGAAAATGTAGGGGATTTGAGTAAAAAAGTGATTTTTTGAATAAAAAATATCAACAATAAATAAAATAGCGATGTAAAATACGAAATTCGAAAAAAACGCGAAAAAAATTAAAATTTGCGATTACCCAGAAACTGAAACTAAAAAATTTTTAACCCGAAAATATATAAAACTAAAAAACGTGAGCTTAGCATTGCTAGAATGAAGTAAAAACAAGCACTCAATTGCTAATTCCCGCAGCAAAAGCAGGGCTTTAATCTTCCCTTCCTTCCCATTCTCACATCAGCACATTGGGTTCAACTTTTTACACCAAAAAAGAAAAAGGAAGGAATGAAAACATGGGAGGTCGTTTATTTAGTAATAAGTGGGCAAGAAGAAATGAGTACAGCACAAGATTTTTACAAAATTTTGCGATTATATTTTGTGGGAGTTCCGTCTTTCAAAATTTATGTTTACTTATTTTGAATGAAACTTGGCACAGTTTTAGATTAAAATTTTCTAACAAAGGCGTACAGTAACGGACCTGATCGAGTGGCAAAAAACGTACCATTTTGCATCCGGAAAGTGTCAAAAATGTGGCAAAACGCTTCCCTCTTCAAGTGAAAAAAGTTTGTTTTGAAGGGCCTTTCCCTCACAAAAATAGCGGGCGCGCTTTTGAAATCGGAGTTTTTCACTTGGAGTGGGAGGTATTTTGTCACATTTTTGATACTTCCCGGATGCAAAATGGTATGTTTTTTGCCACTGGATCAGGTTCCTTACTGTATCTGAGATTGTCAGCCCGAAATTTGAAAAAATCGTCGAGATTCTAGTCTAGCAAGTTTCGATGTTAAATTTTTTGGTCCTATTTCTACCAGGGAAGACAGCTTTTCCTCAAAAACTCAATTTTTTCAGTGTGAAATTTGCAGAGATCTGTAAAAAACAACATTTTTCTCTCTCATTCTCCACACTTCGCACACCCACCTCCTCGGCAAAGATCGCTGAATATCTCCGCTGCCCTTGCAAAACCCGAGCTAAAATTTTCCAGAATTGGTATCCGGCCTATGTGCAATACGTACGCAAAATTTAAAAGAAATCTGAGGATCGCCCTTGGGGCAGCTGCACTTCAAGAATTTCCGCTTTAAATTTAACGTTTTTATGCCCCAAAAAAACCGTTTTTTATCTCTATTCATAACGTACGTAGTATCTGTGCGCTGTGTAAAACCCCGTCGCAAAATTCTCATTACACCTTCCAACTTTTCCGTTGTAAAATCAAAGCCATTTCATGGCCAAAAACAACTCCAAAAAATGGTGCCGTCGAAAAGGAAAATTCCGTTCCGCCGGCCACAGGAAAAGTCCCGTGCATAAAAAACAGGCCATAAAAAACGGAATGGGTGGTCGTTTTTTCTGCCCCGACCCTCCACCCATTCGGAACGGCCTCAGGGTGAGCAGAAAATGCATAAAAAAGTGCGGGCGATAAAAAACTCGGCTGGCTGTGGGGGGCTTATAATGTTTACATTAGGAACGGGTGTCATGGGCAGAGAAACTATATCAGCGGCTCCAAGAAAGGGTGCAATGATTGACGAGGGGCTGTTTTTCTGGCGAACCTTTTTTTTATAATCACCTGGGTGGTCGGCGGGGATAATGGTAACGGAAAAAAGTTTTATAGAAAAGCGGGTTATGGGGGAAATATCAAAGAAAAGAAGGGTATGAAAAAGAGAAGGGGCGAAAGCGAGATGAACTTCATATCATCTGCAGGATTTTGAATACTATTTAAAAACTGATATGAAAAATTATAGACCTCAATGTGGATATAAAATAGCAAAAAATTTTAAAGAAACATTAGTACTGTAGGTACGGAGATATAATATATATATTACAAATAAAATAAATAAAAAGTATATAAAATTTGACGTTTCAAATCTTTGCAATCACAGACTACACCATTCTCATTATCCCAAAAGAATTCCATCTCATTTCTTCCACCCCAAATTTCAAAAGATTTTAAAAAGTTTAAATACAAACTTCAACCTCTACGATTCTACTTCCACATGGAAGACGGAGTCAAGTTAGTGAATAAAATCATGCGATAACACTGTTGTAGCCGCGAAAACAACTTGGAATCCGGGTGGTCCCGCGAATATATTACGTTACTCTGGCTTCGTCTGGACCTCCCAAAAGTCAAAAAACGTCTACCGTGTTTCGAAAAGTGGAATGCAAAGTTGGGGAATTTGAAATGTTCGGGATTAAAAAAAAGAGAAAATCGATTTTTTCTGAGTTGTTGAAAATTAACGAAATGGTGAAAAAAAATTTAAAAAAAAATTGTGGAAATAAAAAAATCAGCTAATTAATTAGAAAGCGTTGACATCGATTCTTGCCTGAAAAACAATGAAAAAACTTTAACACTCAAAAAAAAGTCATAATAAAAAAGTTTTTGCCAACAGATTGAGATTTTTTATATAAAAAAATCAAGAAATAATCTTAAAAAATGTCAAAAAATGATTTTAAAATTTCCGGGAAATAATTTTTTAAAAAAAAGATCCATTTCAAAAAAATTTTTTTAATGATCTTTGATAGAACTGACCTACAAGACCAATATTAACCGTAAAACTAATATTTTTTCATTCAAAATTATCAAACCTTACTCTAAAAAATTGTGTTTGTAATCTTCGGACCACCACGAATCACAAAAGCCTCTTTAATTCGTTTTTTTACCTCCAAACCTATAAATACGTAGCAAAAATAAAAACAAAATTGAATGCTGAAAAGATAAACAGTAGGAAACAATAATTCGCGTCGTGTGGGGCTAAACTTGCTCTTGTTTACGCCCCACGGTCAGCTGCAGGCGGAAAACAGACGAGTGTGTGGTCTCTCCGGATGATGAATTTAACCCCATTGGTTCTGAGTCTGTTTTTGGCTGCGCTGTTTCCCGCGGAATTTCTAATTATAAGCCGTGAGGACCTCCCGGCTACGGAGCGGCGGTTAATATCCAGTTTTATGACCGTAATTAATGAACTTTCGGAATTATAAAAAAAAGACAAAGTGATGAAAGTGCGACCCTCAGATTTTCATGAAACGCAGCGCAAACTAAGGCTGCTATTCCTAGGAATTTTTTGCGAGATTCCTATAATGGGGGACCTGATCCAGTGGCAAAAACGTATCATTTTGCATCCGGGAAGTATCAAAAATGTGGCAAAATGCTTCCCTCTCCAAGTGAAAAAACTCCGATTTCAAAAGCCTGCCCGCTCTTTTTGTGAGGGAAAGGGCGCCCCCTTCAAAACAAAGTTTTTTCACCTGGAGAGGGAAGCATTTTGCCACATTTCTGATGCCTCCCGGATGCAAAATGGTACGTTTTTTTGCCACTGGATCTGGTCCGTCACTGTAGCTTGCGGCTTGCAAAATCGACCAAGATTTTTAGCCCAAAAGTTGGCAAACTGTCGCACTTTGGCCAATTCCCTTGTCAATTAGAACCCCGGAGTACGTCCCCGCTAAAAAATTGTTTTTTTGCGAGAAACTGGCTGAGATATTTTGATGAACCTTGAGCCCTAAAACCTTACAATTAGGAGAACTCGACATTTGACAAAATTTTTTACTTACCGGAGAGGGCAACATTTCAACGAAAAATCGCCGTTTCCGTGCAAAATTCGCGGAGATATCATCAAAAAACGCTTTCCTCTCCACCCCCGCGGTAAAAAAATTTTGAAGAAAGTAAAAAGATCACTTTTGAGGTACCTCTTCTCCAATCCCTCCTTTGAGAATTTAAAAACACCTCTGTTTTTAGTTACCGTACAGAAAACGCTGTCTGAACCCAGCTTTCCACACAATATTCCAAAAACAGATGCCATTTCTCATAAGCGTGCCCAGTGACGGCTACCCTGGGAAGTCCACGGAAGCGCTTCCGGTGATGGATGGGGTTTTAAAGAAGCGCGAAGCGACAGTTGCTAAAATGATTGAGTGCGCAGGGGACGGAAAAGCCTTCTGTTCGTGGAAACTCTTTGACCGATGGGGTCCATCAACTGGATGGTGACAAAAAATAGAAAAACAGAAGAGCGGGGAGAATAACAACGAGGGTAGGGTGAATTGTGGAACTTCAAGCGATATTTCATTTGATTTTATGAAAACAAAACGGTTGAAAAACAGATGAAAAGTGTCGTAATAACCCAAATAATTGCACAAAGTGCTACGCTTAATTTTTAATGAAACTTTTAAAAGTTAGATTACAGTTTTTCAAAGTTATATATGCAAGATCCCTAGCTCTCAAGCCAACTATTTACGAGCAAAATTGGCAATATTGTGGCCAAAAGGCCTTACACTCTCTGACGGTTCTCCTCTTCCGCATAATCTCTCGGCAACAAAGATCTTGGAATATCACAGCGGATGATAAAACTTTTACTAAGATTTTCTATTAATTTGCGCCCCAAAGAAGTCACCTGGCCAATTTTAATAAAGTCAAAAAATAGCACTTCCTTTTTTTATCCCTCAAGAAAGGTCAATGTCAAGGCTCGGAACTTTAAAGATGCAAATTTGGTCATGGTAACCATCCATATAAGGCGTAACAAAATTCATGATCCCAATGACCCGTCTAATTCAAAATTCCCGCTCCATGTTTTGCCAAAGAAACATGTTTTTGTAATCCGAAAACGAAATCTAACATGTCCTTGGCCGACAATAGGGCATCGAGAATATTTTAGGGGCTTATCCCCTCCTGACATGGGAGAAAAAAAATTTCCTAATCCAAATCTTGAAGAAAAACAGACCTTTTTACGAAAGCTAGGCTCCTCATAAGGGCCAGAAAATTTGAAAATTGTAGGGAACCATCAGGGAGGCTTGGCAAAGCCTTCTTAAAAAGTTAAGTTAAAGTGCAAAGAAGCTTGCCTTTAATGAAATTAAAAAAATGCTGAAAAACAAGTACAATTTATTTTAGGAACCAATAAAGTTCAAGTTCAGTCATAAATTTTGCAGTCCTAGAAAGCTCAAAAACTTGCATAATTTTAAAAAATATTGCTAAAAAAATGACGAAATATTAAAACATGGCCTCCAAATAAGCTGTAATTATAACTCCAGACGGGAAGGCAAAGTTTTCCATTTGTAAAAGCGAGTAATCATATTGTACCCCTCATCAAAAGGGCACGGCGGCTATAAGCCAAGTTGTTTGCCAAGTTTAGCTTTTAGATTGGCCTCAAAATTGACAAGAGATGTCCGTCTTGGCAGAATATAAATGCTTGAATGTCTGATGGCTTAAAAATACTTTGAGGAACGTCTGGGAGATGGAAAAAATTTTGAGTCTTTCTTACGAAGGAGGCGCTTATGGTATAAAATGTACCGGCGGACGTTCCCTCAAATTATAATATTTATACATGTATTTATAAATTATGTATACCCCAAAAAAGTTTTAGGGACTATTAGATACATATTTCTTTCAAAATGAAATACGAAATGCCATTTCTATGCCAGAAATGGAGAAATCGAATTTCGGCCTTCTTTCAACCCAAAAAATCTCAAGCTTAGTCGAAATCCAAGTGCCAAACTTTGAGCAGTTCTCTTGCGAACATTTTCCGGTTAAACAATACGCTATACATGCTTTGCCAGCCCACATTCTGCGGTTTCATTGAAATATGAGTAAATAATAGCTTTATACGGACTGCCAAAAATGTAAAACGAAAGAGTTCATGTTGGCCAGAATTCAGAAGAAAAAAGGAATAAATACGAAGGAAAAATAATATTGTAAGACGAAAGTTATAAGTTCGGGTTTGTAGGGCCTCTTATATATGTGACTTTGTATGATAGGGAATTCACAGGGGATTGCACAGAACATTGTTTTTTTCGTCATTCAGCAAATTTGTTGGAGTAAAACTAGTGAATCCACGATTAGCTCGCTACAGAGGCCACTCATCTTCAGTCTCTTGCATGGCGAAAAACTCGAGGGTACCCTCAATAACACTACTCTTTTAATCATCATCCCCTTTCACACCACTTCCTTGATTACCCTACAAAAACTCCTCTCCAAAAAATTATTGTAAGTGGAAGAGGAACAAAAAGTAAAAGCAGGCGGTCCCGGAAGAAAAACGATAGCTGCGAATTCGATTAATTATTTTTTTTGGTCCCCTTCCAAAAGTCTATTATATACGTGTTTCAAACCCCGCTTCGCTCCGCTCTCTTCAATGCCTAAGGGCTCGACCACCCAAGGCGAACTAATTTTTGTGTGGAGGAAGCGGTGACTACCACACACGCCGCTTTTTTCCACGACAAACACTCCGTTCCCGCAGGGCATTTTTCAGCTCTCCGCGGCGCCAAAGATTAGCTTGAGGGTCGAAGAAGTTGTTCGTGTGCTGGCAAGTGCCTTGACGCTTAATAAGGCCGCGTAGCAAATTTAATAAGGCACAATGAAAGTGCATATACGGATAGGGGCCAGGGAATTTTAAATGCGTAAAAAGCCGGGAACCTGATGACGTCAAAAAGAGGAAAAGGAGCGAAAACAAGGAAACGCCTTGAGGCAAGAGGAAAGAAAAAAGTCTAAAAGGGCAAATAGGGCTTGGCTACCTAGTTAGGAATAACATTTTTTACTAACATTATGTTTTTATATTAATTTAGCCAAGAATTTATTTTCGCGGATATTTAAGGCAAAAGAGCAAATAAAAGTGAACGCCCTGAGGCAAAAAGAAAAAAGGCTTTTAAAAAGACAGACCGGGGTCTCCACTATTCCGTAACATCAACTGTCTTACTAATATTGAGTTTCTATAATTCTTTGGACATCAGACTGTCAAAGAGTTTGAAGTTCAACAATTCAAAAATTTCAAGCCCCTGAGTGAAAGACAAAGTAAAAATTCTATTCCAACTACATCAACTGTGCTAATAGACGCATGATTTTACCTTGTTTTCGACATCGCATTTGTCAAATAGAAAATTTCAAACGGATGTTTTGAAAGAAAAATTAAATTTTAATTCCATTTTTTTCGGTTTGTTGTAAATCAACGACAATTTACTGTAAACAGATAGGCATTTGAATTCCATTGATACCATAACCCCAACAAAAAATTTATAAGCTCGCCAACTCGCCAATTGTTTTTTTTCTGGTGATTGACAGTTCCGCATGCAGTTTTGTGTGGTCTATGATGACTTATTGCGATCAAATTTGCAAGGAATCATTGATTAATGCTATATGTCACAGTTGGGGGCGCAAGAATTTGAACTTGGGAGGTCAATTCAAAAATTCTAAAAAAATATGTCATGATGACATGCAAAACTTTTACAAAAATTGTAAAAAGTCGGACCTCTCGAGTAACTTCATTTGGTAATAAGGCTTTTTATAAAGCCTTTTGTCTTCTACATTACGATTTTCAATATTTTTGAGTCATGCGATGACGCATTTTCTGTAAATTGACGACTGAAATATAATTTTCAGAATTGCAAATATCCGTAAGTTTTGAATTTTAAGACAAGTCAATACTTTAATTAATCAATTTTGCCGCAAATGATAACAAACGACCTCTCCAATCCATCAAATCCCATCTTTTTATGACATTAAAGAATAGCCGTAAAAACTTTTTATCAAAATGACAAAAAATCTTTAACGGACGCCATAAAAACTCACCACACACGCCGACACGAACGAATGAGGTAGCGCGGACCTCCAGGGTAGCGGTTTTTTTATTTCGTCGGCGCTTCACGAGTAATTACTTCGGACGGGAACCGAGGCATTTAAACGGACGGTCTATTGATGCGCACTGTGCTGAAAAAGTAAAAAACGGATGTTAATTAGACACTACCCGTCACAAAAAAGGGATGTCGACAACAAGTAGATTACACAGTAATAAGATCGGTCAAAGCCATCATAAATAATATAATTTGAAAAAAAGTTAAAAATCTTGCTGCAAAGGCTTCACTATTACCAAAATAGTGAGAAACACTTCAATTTTTATTGTAAAGGCCTCAAGGCCACGTTTCACAAAACCGATAAACATTTGACACTTCGTCCAATTCTCCAATAAATCCGTGGCATTTCGTTCACTCGCGTGGCAAATTATTTGCCATTTTTTATAATGTATTTTTGCGGTTATTTGCATCCCATTCCCCGAAAGTGAGTTCCATCTGACTTTCAGACCTATGGGAAGGTCATTGGCTTGTTGTCGGAGTTGTTTAGCTCCAAAGTATCATGTATAATATCCAAAACATTCTATTTCCCCCTTTCCTCTGGAACAACGTTATTTCCTCAACATTTTAAAAGTCGTAACAATTAATTTCAGGCAGTTTTACTTCAAAGATATGAGGATTTGAATGAGTCTACATAAAGGAAAATTGGCTCGCGAATTATATACGCCATAATAATCGGAAGCTTTAAAATATTCGGAGGATCTACTTGCACACTGTTCCAACATGGAGGGGTTTCCCTTCTTTTCCCTGCTATGCCTTACAATGTTTTGTGGGAGCTATTTCATCGGGTTTTTGCCACTTTTAGGCAATCTTGGAGAGGTATGTATAATTATATTATTATGTAATCTAATTTTAGGTCAATTTTGACGGCAAATCTAATTTCTTTATTTTCAGAGCAAGATAAGGATGGTTAGTGTGTTTGGAGCGGGTTTGTTGATTGGCACTGCCTTTGTTGTTGTAATTCCAGAAGGAATTGATGTAATGCACAAGAATATTGGTAAGATTTTGATTTTTCTTTTTGATTTTTAAGATTCGGAAGTCAAAATTGAGTTCGCAATTTCAGAAGCGAGTCCAGAAAGCCTGGCGCAAGTTCTGGCAAAGGAAACAAACGCGAATTCAGCTGGTTTGGATAAACCAACGTTAGACAAGGAGAAGCCGTAAGAGTAAAACATTTTTCTATGATTTTTATGTTTAGACCGCCGCCAGACTCGCTCAAAGCTACTAAGGAGGAGCATCATGAGCATGCCGAATCCGGAAAGACCATTGGGGTTCTGATTCTTCTTGGCTTCTTATTTATGTTAGTGGTGGATCAGGTGTCAAAAACGTCATGTGGAGGAGGCCGGAAGAAGCTGTCGACGACGATTGGTCTCTGTGTTCATGCTTTAGGTATTTTACTTTGTTTGAATTGTTATTTCCACATTTAGGTAGCGCTTTATAGCAAAAAATTTGATCTCAACAATTTTTTTAGCGGACGGAGTTCTTATGGGCAGTGCTTCTTCCACATCCAACAACGAAGTCCAGATGGTCGTTTTCATCGCTCTAATCATCCACAAAGGCCCTGCAGCCTTTGCTCTTACCAGTTTGTTACTCTTGGAAAAATTGGAACGGTTCCGAATCAAGCGACATTTGATGATTTTCTCTCTTTCGGCCCCATTTGGTGCTTTCCTGACCTACTTCTTTCTTGCCGCTGTGAAAGAAGGTGCTGCGTATTCGAATAATCTAAGCGGGATGTTCATGCTGTTCTCGGCGGGAACTTTTCTTTATGTGGCCGCCGCTCATGTGCTCCCGGAACTGGTAAGACTTGATGTGTGTGTCCTATTATGATTTTAGGAGTCAGCAGAGAATCATCATTCCTCGGGTGGACATCAACTTTTGAATACGGGCCCGGTCGGGATTTCCATCCGAGAAGTAATAGTCATTTTGATCGGAGCCTTCGCTCCATGTATATTATTCACACATCATAAACATTAAATATACTGGTTTTGTTCAGTTTGTATAGTTGTTCCAATAAAAACGTCGTATTAATTTCGTTCGTATAGAATATTCACGGTAAACTGCGGAAAGGTCGGGCGCGACTCGCGGCTTTCTCCACGTTATTTTTTCGAGAAAAATTGATGGAAATCGGCTTTTTGAGGTGGTTTTGAGTGTTAGATCTCCTCGGGATAGAGGAATTTATCCTTCAAAATGACCGACTATTATGCCGGACTAAACCAGGGCCAACAAAATGACTCCCAATGGTTCAGCGGTCCGAATTCCGGGTGGGTGCAGTCGGATTATAACCAAAGCTATGGAAATACAGGTAATTTATTTTTTTTTGTGGTTCTTAGGCAATAAAAGGTGGAGAAGCTCATGAAAGATTTTTCAGAGCAAACTTATGATCCTTATGCCCAGAATCAATCTCAGTTTAACCAGCAACAACAGAACTTCTATGGCAATATGTTTATTCCGAATGCAGCGGCAGAACCCTCCAAAGTTGGTGAAGAAGACTTTGAGAACGAACCTCCTTTGCTTGAGGAGCTCGGAGTGAACTTTGACCATATCCGGCAGAAAACGTTTGCCGTGTTGAACCCAGTTGGTTATGCCTCACCTGATGTGATCGCGGATCAAGATTTGGCTGGTCCACTGGTATTTTGCTTGCTTCTGGGGGCTTCCTTGCTTCTAAATGGAAGAGTAAGTCGTTTTCTCTCTATTCAGGGTGTTCTTGTTCCAATTTTAGGTATACTTTGGCTACATTTACGGGATTGGTATGTTGGGTTGCCTTGGAATGTACGCCCTTTTAAACTTGATGTCCGAGGAAAGATCGATCTCGTTTACATGTACAGCATCCGTACTTGGGTATTGTTTGTTGCCAATGTCTTTACTTGCCATTTTGGCAACTGTTTTCTCATTTGCGGTAAGATTCGATGTTCTACTAGATAACAGCTTAAAAAACCTAAATTTTGCTCAGTAACTCCAATGATTTTTCTGTTTTTAGACTTACTTTGGATATGCGGTTGCCCTAGCCGTCATAGCGTGGTGCGCATTGTCCTCAGCTAAACTATTTTCAATCACCTTGAACATGGAGGGACAAAAACTTCTCGTTGCCTATCCTTGCTCATTGTTGTACGCAGTTTTTGCTCTCTTGGCCATATTTTGAGAGAAATTTAATGATAAACTTGATTGATTCATAAAATACGTGATTTTGCAGTGTCTTGTCTCATTTTGAGTTGTTTTCTCTACTTTAATTTATTGTTTGATAAATAAACCCGAAAATTTTCGTTTTTGATGTTTTTTGTATTGCCTTTTTATCGGAAAGACCCACTAAACTCTTATTAACGTTCACTTGTTTCGATTTATTTACGAAAAGTTATTTTTCTTCTGGTTATCATATTTTAGAAAAAACTTGTTGTTTTACTATGTTAACAAGGTCATACCGCTGTAAAGCGGTGGTTACTAGTGTTAGAACTGCTTACAATCACATCAGCGTGAAGGAAGTAAGAATTTGCTGGATTTAAAATCACCAACCTTTTGCAGAAATGTCACAAAAATCAGCCAAAATTCGAACGTTTACTGGGAAAAGAGAACGTAACTACTTCGATATCAAAGTGCAGTCAATTTTCCGCGGACGAAGGACATTTTGTGTGGGTTTTTTCCAGTTTTTGCCAGCCCTTAGAGCCAAAATATTACTCTTTCACAATTTTTGATGACGTTTTGAAGAGATTTTGATTTTTTTGCGTTTAATGTATACCCTGTATTGATTCCTTATAGTAAATTATTATACCAGCTTTCAGAAAATATATATTTATGCTTAAATTTCTTTCTTTTAAGACCTGAAGTCCCGGATATTGTACTTTCCCCAAGTTCAACTGAAGAAGTCTCCGAAATCCTAAAAATTTGCAATGACCAACAACTTCCAGTGGTTGCCAGAGGCACAGGAACTGGTCTAGAAGGAAGTGTAATTCCGATTTTTCATGGTGTTGTTTTGGAATTCAGTCGAATGAAGAAAGTGATTGAGGTCAATGATGAAGATTTTGATTGTACAGTGGAGCCAGGACTGAGTCGACTAGATTTGAATGAGCGGCTGAGAGAGAGTGGACTCTTCTTTACAGTAGGTGAGTTTTTGGAAGATGATATTGAAAAAAGTTTGGGAAATTTTGGGCTTTGATGTCAAACTCACGTTTTTTTATTTATTGTAGTCGTCAATGTCATAATAATTTTATTTTTTTTTGTGTATTTCCGATATAAATATTTCCCTTTCAACCACTAAAATTTTGATCATAATCTTATACTAGGTTCTTAATCCCAAAATTCTTGCAGATCCCGGCGCAGATGCCTCTGTTTGTGGAATGGTGGCAACCAGTGCTTCAGGGACGACTTCTTTGCGCTATGGAACAATGAAACAAAATGTGAAAAATTTGGAAGTGGTCTTAGCGGATGGCCGAATTTTGAACACCCGAGGAAAACATCGACGACCCTGGAAATCCTCGTCCGGCTTGAACCTCACCGAATTGTTCGTGGGCTCTGAAGGCACCTTGGGAGTGATCACGAATGCGACTGTCAATTTACATCCCCGTCCAATGTTTGTTGGAGCGGCAACATGCTCATTCCAAGCAGTGGCCAACGCTGTGGAAACGGTGGTACAGCTGAGGCAAATGGGGCTTTCTTTGGCTAGGTTAGGTAAAATAATCATTTTAGAATTGCAAAAAAAATTATTTTCAGAATTTCTGGACAAAGTTCAAATGAAAAATTGCATTGACTTCAGCAAACTGGAAAGTGATCCTCTGCCCACAATATTCTTGGAATTCCACTGTCAAACGGACGCTGATGTGGCTGCTCAAATCAAGATGGCTGGTGGGTTACGGTAGCTTTTATATTTTGCAAAGGAATCCGACATAATAGATTAAAAAGTGGGGAAAGTTTTATCCAACAGCTTTGAGCTGCTTCACGCTATAATTCCCATGTAAAGATTCACCGATTTTTTAGAAGAAATTTGCATCTCGAACCAATCGTCCACCTTCAAGTCGACCACAAACCCGGAAAATATCTCGAATTTGTGGAAAGCCCGACATAACGCCTATTATGCAACTATGGCCAAACGGCCCGGCACAAAGGGATTCACGACGGATGTTTGTGTCCCACTTAGCCGACTGGTCGAAGTAATATCCGCAGCTGAAGTCGAGCTCGCCAAGTTAGGACTGCACGGTTCGATTGTTGGTCATGTTGGGGAAGGGAACTTTCATGCGATCATCCCAACGTTCCATGAGGATGAGAAAGAATTAAAAAGAGTTGTCGAGTACTCGGATTGGCTAGTCAGGTAGGGATTTTTGAGATTTGTTGAGTTTGAGGGGTTGGATAGGTTTCATCGTATAAAATGTACAAAAGTTAAGAATGTGATAGGTGATGTCAAAGAAAGGATATTAAATAAAAAAATTTTACGCCGTTATTTATATAAATCTAGGATTTTTTGAACTTTCATACAGGTTTTATCGTATAAAATGACCGGAATTTGCGAAACGTCCTAAAAACCCTGGGGATTGAAGCTTAAAATACGTCATGAAGTCTTAAAAAACGTTTTTTTTTAATATTCAAAACGCAGGATTTCCCTCCGTTCAGACCACCTTTATCATAGTTTTCCTATGTCATCTAAAATAATATCCAAAATTTGCAGAAAAGCCCTAGAAGCCGGTGGAACTTGCACTGGCGAACACGGCGTTGGCCTCGGCAAGAAACGCTACATGCAAGACGAATTTGGCGCGGTCGGAGTGGACGTAATGAAGGCGATAAAGGCCACATTAGACCCTAAAAATATTTTAAATCCCGGAAAAATTTTTTGAATTTTTTTTTCAAGTACGTAGAAATTGGTCAGTACGATGATACTGTAATGAAGCCAATGAAATTTATATTTGTTTAGAATAAATATTTTTTTCTGTCAAGAAGCCTTAAAATACGATTTTTCGAACATTCTGGGCTTCGAATTGTACCCGCGAAGCCTTTGATTCAACTGTCACCATAGAGTTTTCAACGGCTTCGGTGGCATATATAAATCTGGAATAATATTTTACGTAATTTTCACTCTTTTTGAATTGTTGTGAGATGACTATTCCTACAGTAACCCTCTCAAATGGAACGAAATTGCCCGCGATCGGGTTTGGGACTTGGCAGGTAGGAGCAGTTTTATTTTTTGCATATTGCCTGTTAATATGAAGTATAAAAGCCGGTAGCCTCTCCAAGAAAGTCTCATTTTGCTATAAGACCACCCTTTTGCGCATTTCCGACCTACAATTTGCAGCTAAACACCACTAATCTGAAGGCCAGCATCACTTCTGCTATTGATGCGGGCTTTCGGCTGATCGACACCGCCAGATCCTTCGGCAACGAGGAAATGATTGGTGAGGCATTGCAGGAATTGATCAAGAAAAAGAAGATCAAGCGGGAAGATCTCTTCATCACGACAAAGGTAATAATACGACCTCCTACGCTTTCCTGTTTCGTGAAATTACAGGGTGTTTCAAGAAATTCCCCGGAAAGCAATCGTCGATTTCTCGGCGCTCAGTCAAGGTATCCAAAAAATTTCTTTTGCATAATAAAGAAGAATACGGGCGGTTTTTTGCCTATGAAAATCACTTCCTCCGCCAACGCGGAAAGCAGTGTATTCGGCAGAGACTTTTGGGCACTTTTTTGGTCATCACACCCATCTTAAACGCGTTTTCATGGTTTCTGATGGTTGAAATGAGGATTGTTGCTAATTTTTGTGTTTACCAAGCTTTCGGCGAAGGTACGGCAGCTGCTCGCCGTATCTTAACTCAGCTATGGAGAAGAAATGGCCCAACACAATTCTTATGGTCTGGCAAGCATTCTCTGCGGGTGTCGTAAGCCCTCAAAAATTTTGTCGCCAAGCCTTGTTAGACGTTTAGCCATCGAGAAACGACTTGGTTCACTGGAAAACAACAAAATATCTTTCGTTTAAATTTCTCTTTGCCATGCTGTTTCAACCATCCGCACGGTGCGCTCCGACTTTATCGACGTTGCAGCGACTGCATTGCACCGTGCAGTCGCTAATTCGGATCGCATATCGTTGTATCCGGCCATCTGATCCATTGTGCAAAAAATTTGAAGACTTTCTGGATGCTTCAGTGTCGCAATAAAGCATTAAAAATTTGTGTGATAACCAAAAAATCGCCCAAAAGTCTCCGCCGAATACACTGCTTTCCGCGTCGGCGGAGAAAATGATCTTCATAGGCAAAAAACCGCCCATATTCTTCTTTATAATGGAAAAAAATTTTTTTGGATATCTTGACTGAGCGCTGAGAAATCGACGATTGCTTTCCGGGGAATTTCTTGAAACACCCTGTAGACAGTCTACACGTATAATTGGACTATTTGCCAATTATTTATTTAGCTTCCAATCTACGCTCATCGTATCGAAATCACCGATAATGTCATCGACTTGTCGTTAAAGGCGCTGGGAGTGGACTACGTCGATCAGTACTTGATCGAGCTTCCGTGTGCTGTTCAGGGAGATATTTCAGGTAACTGGTTCATATAAACAAAGCATTCAGAATGCATTATATGCGTGTTTTTCCACATGATCCCGTTCGGGAATGGGAAGGTCATATCACAAATGAATGATGAGAAATAATAGCCACAATCAATGAAATTTAGGCCCTCTCCTCGACAGCAATGGTCTTCCAATCCCGGATTTATCATCGCCACAAACCGAGACTTGGAAAATCCTGGAGGAGGCCTATAAGGCCGGCAAAGTTAAAGGTAAGGGAAGCTGCGCACAAGCTCTTGTATTTAAACAGCCATAACGATTGAAATTTACTACAGACTCTCCTCATTTTATTGTATATACTACTGGGCGAGCTACAGTGAATTTCGGTCTGTTATCGCCTATTTCTAAACTTTTTATTCCGTTTCATGACTCCATTAATTCGATGTTTAGCGATTGGTCTCGCCAATTTCAACGAATGGCAGATCCAGGCGCTCTACACCACCGTTGACGTGAAGCCCCAAGTTCTCGAAGTGGAATGCCATGTGTTGCTCCAGCAACCGGATCTTCTCAGTTTTTGCAAGAAAAACGACATTACGGTAATCGGAAGTGCCCCGTTGGGATCGCCGCATCGGAACAACTCGGATTGGAAAACAGTTTGGCCGGAAGGTGCTCCGCTGACCAATCCCACGATCATCCAGATAGCCTCGAAGCACAAGAAGAGCTGTGCACAGGTGAGGGAATTGGAGGGGAAATCTAGCCCTGGATAGGATCAAAAAAGATTCATTTTTTCTCGATTCACTTCGAAGAAAAAGCCCTTTTTTATAGATTTTATTGCATGCTGGATGCATTTTGATACTTTTTTTGTCATATAATAAAAATACGGGACTGAAAAGCTGGTAACTTGATCAAATGACCCACTTTTCACATCTTGTCTCATTCTGCCGAGAAATTCAAAATTCCGAGATATAGGGGTTTTCTATGGATATTCTATAGAAAAAACTACTCAATTGCGATAGTTTTTGTCAACTTTCAGATCTGCCTCCGCGCCCTCCATCAGCTCGGAGTCATCCCCATTCCCTCCAGCACCAATCCTGCGCACATAAAGGAGGACATTGACATCTTCGGATTCCAGTTGTCGGCGCAGGAAATGGAGCAGATTAAGGGGATAAATTCAAACTCTAGACTTTTCGTTTATGACTTGTAAGTCGATGGGAGAAATTTCGGCCTTTTCCGCCAGTCATATCGATTGGAATAATCCCAGTAAAACTGCCTTCTTTTCAGCCTGAAACTCCATCCATGGTATCCGTTCAAATAAGCTGATCCCCTTGCTCTTTCTCGATACGAAACTAGTCAATTTTGTAACCAGTAACACAATTTACTCACTGAAAAAAGGGCGGAATAAAAATTGGTGATGGGCACCTTGCTGATTATCTCATCTACACAGACTATATATACAAGATTTAAAATCGTTTCTTTTACAAACACAGGATTAGAATAGCACCGAAAATTCAGTGAATATAAGACATTTGGAACACTTTCTAAGGTAAGTGCGACTTCTGGGTTTGAATTGAGATTTTTAGAGACGAAACATAGAAATTGGCAAAATATTTTTAGGTGGTTTTTAGATGATTACATAATCTAGTCGTCTTCTAATGAAAAAAAAAGTATTTTTAAATTTCAAAATAAAATGATAAAAAGAGACCAAAAAAGTTACAAAACACATCAGACAGGTTTACTGTACTGCAATTCAACCAAAATTTTGTCTACAGACATTTTCCAAGACAAAAATTATATAAACCATGACCTTTTATACCATGTTGTTCACCTGAGTCTCTCCCCCATATCTTCGCGTAAATTCCGTGGAAACCTGCCACATTCGATTCTGCAATCGGACGTCGCGAATCTCACTCAGCGACGGGATCTCTTTGCCCACGGCATTGTAGTATTTCCCACTGGTGTGCTTGTATTCTTCCCATTCGGCTAGCCGAACCAACGTTTGGATTCCGCTGGAATGGGAACAAAGATGAGTGTCGGAAGCGCTGATGTCATTCATAGTGTAACTCATACTTGTTCTGGAAAAATAGATGGTTTAAAAGCGGGAGTTTTGCAAAAGAGTTAAAGTGACATTTTATACGATGGAATCTTCTAAACCGAAAGATTGCAAAGCAAGGCTCATTTTGCTGAAACGGATATTTAAAATAGTGGTTTATAAGAGAAATGTTCCCAAAAATTGGTGACACTTTATACGATGAAACCTGTTTTTTGCCAAAAATTTTCTTAAAGGGTGTTTATGAGAAATCTCCTTTACCTCGTCCCCTTTCGGTCAGTTTTTTGATCCGCATCCACCACATTCGCCGTTACTCTGAACTCCATATGATGTTTGAAAAACAGCCGATGCAAGCAGAACGTCATCATATGATTCATCAGCATTGTCCTCGAATATTGCTGAAATTTGTCGTAGCTCTTCAGACAATTCACGTCATCCCAATCGATGGCATTCATCGTGTGGAGCATGCTTCCGACCGTCAAAATCCGCGAAGGCACATTGGCTTCGAGCAGGGGGACTAGGCCATTCAATATGGCGAAATGGGAGAGATGATTGACTTGGAATTGCATTTCCAGCCCGTCCCTGGTTTGCAGTCGCCGCGTCGGCAAGATGGCTGCACAACAAACGATCGTGTTGATCCGGGAATGCGAGGTTTTGATTTTCTCGATGAGTTTTAGGATCTAAAAATTTAAAGTTAATATTTTTAGGCAAAAAAATATGAAAAACTTCAGGTTCTTCGAAAATTACAGTAACCAAGAACACAAAAATTTACCTGTCGAAAATCGCTGAAATCCGCGTTGATATAGGTGGCATTGGTCGGGAAAGGCGGGCGAACCCCATTTTCCTTGACATCATGACCCGTTCCCAGCGATACCGTACTTCCGTTGTAGGCGTACCGATCGGAGGCCAGCTCCTCCAGAGTCCCCAAACATTTACGCTCGCAACGCCCGTGAAGAATTACAAAGTTGTCCTTGTTGTTTATAAACTCCCGAGCCAGCTGTTTCCCTGGAAAATGTTGACTTGCAAGTTCGAAAAAGATATTTGAAAAAATGTGGGCCGTCAAAATATTATTTTTAGGATTATTAGGATTAGGAGCCGGTCTTTGGTGGGTAAACAAACAAATTTATTTTTTGCACTTTTTACCCTTTTTGTGGTAGCTCCGGTTTTGAGCGGTCAATGCCTTCGAAAAAACAAAAGAAATGACGAAACCAAACCTCCACCTACCAACACCATCCGTTGCACCCGTTATGAGGATTGTGCGTTTGTAGGGTAGCCCGTTCGCACTGAAATTACCCGTCCCGTTCACTCCATTGGTCACCATTGCCCCAATCGATTTCTTTCACGTGCCAATTGGGCTCTGTTGGCGACACTTTATGGCCATTACACTCCAGATTATGTCAGGCCAGCACTGGAATTGTGATGGGGGAATGATGACAAACTTATGAAAAAAAAATCTCGAAAATGGGAAAAAACATCAAAAAAATTACAAAAAATATACAATGTTAGGGGACGTTTAAACCTTAGATTTTGATGACAGAGAAACAAATCGGGATAAAAAGTTATAAAAAACGGGTTTAGCCCAGAAACCGTCATGATTTTTACGCCCAAGTTTACCAGAATTTTGGGTGATTTCAATGAACAATTTTTCTCTGACCAACCCTCTTCATTTTCCTTTATCTTTTCTATAAAAAGAATTTTGAAGAAGCCGGTATTCAGGGAAAAAATTTTCGGCTTCTTGATGCTTCCCGAATGCAAAATGGTACGTTTTTTGTCACCGGATCAGGTCCGCCACTGCACATTGACATTTGCTGTGCAAAATGAACTTAACAACAACAAGTCGTCTCAATGGAAGGCTATTGTAACACAGTGTGAAAACGACATTGCCCCCAACTTTAGGGCTGCAATAAATACTAAATCAACCGTCATAAGAGCCGACTGCCTTCCGCTGGATGGAATGCCGGAAGGCCGCGAAATTGAATTAAAATAATGGACGCGACTTTTACTGGAATGACGGCAAAAAAGAGACTACTTCGCCAGAAAACGGACCTTTTCCGGATCCATTCAAAACAAAAAAAAACGCTAAACAAAACCCATGCCCTCCGGGGCCTCGCCAATTTAATCGCGGGGGTTTGTTTGGCGTTTTACTCTCTCGCCAAACTTGTGAAAACGAGGGCCGAAAACGAGAAAGGCCTGGAAATTACAGCGTAACCTGAGGGCATTTGGGGGAAAAAGAAGATGACAAAGGTGACATGAACAGAATACGGGGTTTCTGGAAGGTTCCAATCGATACGACGATCGAAAAAAGTGATCCGAACGAGGCCAATTTGATTTCAAAAGATATCACATCGTTACAAAACAATATGATTAAAGAAGAGAGAAGGTCAAAACAAGGTCATGGGAGATCTACTAAAACAGTTTTCTGGTCTCAAAAACACCCAAAATCAATAAGGAACGCTATAGCAAAGTGAAATTATACGAAGCCAACCTGATCGTGAGGATATGAATGAACACTCTAGATAGTCGAAGATACCTTCAAATCTCACCGCAAATCGCAATGGACCCAAAAAAAATTTTCGTTACAAAAGGTTTTCATTGTCCAGAGGTTCATTTTGGCCTGAAATTACCTCAGAAAGTTTCAAACAGCTAAATTATTCATTATAGACAGGGTTTTTGTATGTTCGTTCTATGGGGGTTCCAATGTCAACAAAAATACAGCCGAAATATCTTTTTGAGCACACACGATCCTTCAAAAATGGCGTGTCCAATTAAGGAAATTGGAAGGAAACAGAACAAGACTTTGCAATGCTGTTTGGAACATACACAAAAAGAACGTAACAAAAAGTTTATCGAAACAATACTGCTTTAACATGGGATAATCAGAAAAAATGTTTTTTTTTGCTACATCTTGTCGACCTTTTCGCGGAGAAAGCCGGTTTTCGAGACGCGCGTTAAACAAGATGCCTTAACTGTTAAACAGGATGCCAATTTTTCGACTCGGAAATTTCGGAAAAAATATATTGGCCATCTTTTTACTAAAAATCTAGATCGTATCTTCAAGGAAAGCCAAAAATGTCGAATAGTTTTTAGAAAATCTTGGCCATAATTTGTGCCAAGTTTCATCAAAATCCAAGACTCACTCCTGGAGGGGTTCCATTACCAAAATCAGCCCTTCAGCTTTATTATAAACCAGGTTTACGTCCAAATATTCCATTGAAATGCGAAAAACGTATTCTAGCAAACTCATGGCCAACTCAAGCCATGTTGTTGACCATCTCTTCCAATTTCAATCGCTTTTGCCCATCTCCCAAGCCGAATCACATTTGCAAAACCGGGCGTACCCCAAACATACGACCGGAACAAACATGTTTTGCCCTCGGGCGAGAAAAGAAAATCGTTCCAAAAAACATTTTCTGGCCTTTCAGAGAGCGGAATTTCGGAACGTAAAGACCTTTGGAAGATTTTTTTAAACCACTGAAAGACGGACTGCCCTCAGGGAGTCGAGCGGATGCCCTCCGGCTGTGTGTGTTTTTTATTTATTTCCTCGCACTTGCAACCACATTAACTCTAAGATATTGTTGGAAACTTGGCATTTTCAGAGTTTTGGAGCTAAAAAATGGTGATTTTATGGCAATAACGGGGAATACTGTAATTTAAAATTTTTGAGTAAAAAATAAAATAAGTAAGAAAAAATTTCCTTACCCTGCAAAAATTTGCTAAACTTCTGCACCGTGCGAACATTTCAGTAAAAAATTCGCACGGTGCAAAATTCTTCGGTCCAAAAACTAAGAGGAAGTCCCAAAATCTACTATGGAAACGAGTGTATAGTAAGAAATAAATAGTAAAAAAGAAGTGTAAAAGCGGAGAGAAAACAGGAAACGCCTGACGAGAGCACTGAAATTTATGCTTTTTTAAAGGGTTCATGGTCCTATGGAGCATAATGCATACTTGATTTTGTTTGGACCTTCAGAGACCGACTAACATATCAAAAAAATGGATGAGGAATGGAGAGGAAAAGGGTCTTAATCTTCGATCGGGGGGAAAATAATGAGACTTGAGATTATAAACAAAAAGAAATTTCGTATTGTGACCCGGAAGGGATCAAAAAAATGAAAATCTGGAAAACTATGCAAGTCAAAAAAATCAATTTTAAGATGATTTTGCAAACAAAACTCTAATGTCAAAAATTCTATTCTACAAAAAAGCGTTCTCTCGGGCAAAATCCATAAAGACAAAGCCCAAAAACATTCGTTCAGTGACCGTATCTTGTTTTCCATTCCATTTTATCTTGTTTTCCATCTGTCGACTGCAAAATCGTTCAATACCTCGGCCCGATTTGGAACACCAAAACTTTGGCTTTAATAGATTGCTATGCCCATACACAAAGACCACACAAACTCTACAGGATATCTAAGAGACGGCTATACCACCTTGCTTCCCAAATTTTTTCAAAAATAAGGGGAAATTAAAAAATTTCGCAAAATTATATTGCATTTCCCCACAATTAATCCTCAAGGTTTTCCAAAAAAAATTTCCATCCAATTTGGCCTCCAAAAATACCGAAATTCCATGGAAATGAAATTAGAAGGCCTTTCTCCAAAACAATAAACCGTTATAAAGGATGAGTTTTCTTCGGGGAGCCGAGGATTTCCGCCGAAATTGTTGTTCGCCCAATGTCTTCGGGGAATATTGCTCAGAATATCCCACTCGCGGCTGTGGGCATAAAACGGCCATGGAGTCATGGATGTTTCGGGAACTGCGAGAAAAAGAAGAAAGAATGACAAATCTGCAAAATTTTCGGAAAAATGGGTCAACTTTTTTATGGACTCAAAGTAATGTAGTGCATTCAGACTTTTTGAAACTTCAACCCGACTTTTTGAATCTAGACAGAAAACATAAAATTCGAAGAGTCGACAGAAAAATATAAAATATAAAAAAATAATAAAATCTCATCTTCTCGAAGTGCAAATCTTCTTTCAAAGTTTGTAAAAATATGCCATATAGGACACAAATCAACTCACGGAAAAAAAATCAACGACAGTTTGAACGGCCGAGGATAAAAAGTATTCGTTTTTTCGAAATTCTATTATATTTTTTATAATTACTGTCTCCACACATTTTCCAACTAATAAATTCAATCAATTTCCACACCATATTCCCCAAAAAAAAATCTATTTTTTCTCCAAAAAAGAGAAAATAATATAAAAATTTAATTTATTTTGACGCCAACAGATGGTTGGTGGGGAAAGGGCACGATTCATCTGTTAGATAAACCAAACCAAAAATTTTATGATGGACGCTGATGGTGTGACGTCCCACGCCACGGGAAATAATTTTCAAACCCGAAAACAAATGTTATTTTTGGTTTCAAATTTTCAAATTTCATAGTAAAAATGGTGGAATCAACTATTTTAAAAAGTGAAAAATAAACGTAACTGGCCATTCCGTATTTTTTAAAACACAATTTATTCCAGCACTGGAATAAACTTTCTTGGCTCAATAAATGAAATTTTTAATGTGTAATGTCAACAGTCAACCAAAGTAAAATTAAAAATTTGAATCCACAGAAAACAATTTTAGAACCCCATACCATAGAAATAAATTAAATAATTTCGCCCTAAAATGCATTTTACGATAAATTTGCAGCAATAATATATTTCTATTAATTTTTGAAAAAAATATTAAAACAAATTTAATCCTTTGAAGCAATTTATTACCTCATTATCGGATAAAAAGGCTACAAATTTCCCCATTCTCTCTACATAAAACATATTATCCGTTCCATAAAATCTCAATTTCACGAAAAGTAACAATTGAACTTTTCGAATTGCCGACTGCAATAAAAGTGCAGATACTGACGGAAGCAGAAAAAAATCCCGAGCCCTCGAAAAATCAAGGCTATGTTCTTTGGGGGCTTAACCCCTCCGGGCTTTTCTTCCCTCAGTTCGGCCGTGTTTTTTCAGCCAGGCCGGTTGCGATTTTTCCATTTCCTCGAACTCGATTTGATTAAAAATGTCTGTCAATAAGTCTAGCTAGAAGAAATTGGAACGAAAATTGGGACGGAAGTAAAGAAAAGGAGATGTCTTTGGCCAAGGTAAGAAGGGATTTGTGAACAAAATCTATCCGTTTTTTGACTTAACAAAAAAAGTCGAAGATAAGGTGAAACTAATCCCTAATATGATGACAAAATGTATCGCAGGGGCATATAAATAGAAGCCTTTCTGTGATACAGGTAGCAAATTCGTCTCAGTTTGATCACTTCTGATTAAAAAAACAAGTCCAATGCAAACTCGTTCGACTCGGTGTCCAACTAGAGCCATCCTGGGCCGTGTACCGATGAGTATTTGCCTAGCCGGTTTTCGTAGAATGGCCGTAATGGCCACACAAGTGGTAAAATTGGCGGAGTCTATCTTACGCCATTTTTGGATTTCTTTTTTCTTCGACCATTTTTAAACTCGAATAAGAAAGTCGGATTCGCGACAAACAAACCCTTTTTCTGGGTGAAAGTGCAGTTCAATGTGGATGAAAACAAGTTTGAAAAATCTCAAAGCTGATGCAATGCAAACCATATTACCTCCAATGAATAATTCTTACATGTAGAATACAATCAAAAGAAAAAAAGATGTCACTCAAAGTGTGTACTAGTGTTGTTGTAGTCAATGCGTTAATTTCAAAGTCCCGATTCATAAAAGTCCCTTTTTCAGACAAAGTCATGCCTGGTCTACTCCCCACGAAAGTCGCGTGATGATCAGCCCAAACGTAAAATCAGTTTCAATACCTCGGTCCGAGTGCATTCAATTAGTCCCATCAAAAACACCGAGCCATATGTTGATCCATTCGAGACGTATGCCCAACAAGAATTTCTTCGGCTAACAAGTCGGCTAAGGGATCGACTGCAATTTGAAGATTCAGATGAGGAGCTCAGTCCGGAGCGGGTTGTTTGCTCCGCGGAGCCAACAGTAAGAACATTGGAGATAATAAGCTCCGAGCCGGAGAAAACGGAAAGATCGAGTTCTGAAGAGAAACAAATCCGCTCCGAGGAAGGGATAGTCAAATCAACGGGTCAAAAACACTCCAGAGAAGAGAAAAAAGAACGAACTGGCTCCGAAGCTGACCGAGTCAGCTCGGAAAAGAAAAAGGAGCGCTCCGAAGAAAAGAAACGAAGCTCCACGGAGAAGAGAAGATCTGGAGCAGAGATAAGGAGCTCATCGGAAAGAAAAAACCCTGCAGCGGAAAAAACAAGGTCCTTGGAGAAAGTTACTGCCGGAGCGGAACACATCAACTCAAAAACCAGTACAAGGAGCTCCTCGGAGCGAAAAAGCTCTTCAGCTGACAAATCAAGTTCAAAAACAAAGGACAGCACGCTGGAAAAGACCAGCCACAGGACAGAAAAGTCTGCCTCCGGAGCGGAGAAAGAGCGATCAAAATCGGAGAAAGAGCGACCGAAACCGGAGAAACCTCGCTCCACAGCGGAGAAAAACACTTCAAAAGACAGAACAACGGAGAAGACCAGATCCTCAGAAAAACATAGCTCCGGAGCGGAGCGAAGCAGTTCCAAATCATCAAATTCCCACCTTCAAGAGCAAATTTCTTCCGCCAGAACAGAGAAACCGAGCAAGAATGTGGTTCATAATGACATAAGCCCGTCAAATGAGGTCAGATTGAGTGAAGCGACAAGAGATGAGTCAAACACTTCTCCGCCGGAATCCAATGTCAGTCCGAAATCCAAGAGAAAGGTCGTCAGAAAGGTGAAGGTACTAAAAAAGAAGACAAAGGTGGAGAAACGAGAGGAAAGCGAAGAGGAGCTGAGCTGCGAGGAAATTGTATGACTGTACATTCATTTTTCAATTGTAAATTTTTATTTTTTACCTAAATGTTTTTTGTAAAAACATTTGTAAATTTCTGTCATTTTTGTTAGTGATATTGTGCAGGTAGAACCATAACTTTTATTGTTGTTTGACCTTCTTTTTCTCCACATATGTCCCATAAAAGAAACGAAGAAACAGAGCGGCGAATGTAACGTAGATAAAGAAGGCCAAGTGAAGGTTGGAGAAGTACACTTGGCAGCTAAAATACGCTTTTTTAATTGCAGAAATAATACAAATCTTCTTCCAACCCGTTTTTACATGATTTCTGTCCTTCTAATCCAAGAAAATTCAAATTGAAAATTTCCCGGCATTTTTGGCATTCTGTAGCAAGGACGGAAAATCGTTCTAAAACATTATATGGGACCAGGAAAAAGTACCAAAAGCATTTATAACCTTTAATCCATCGTTAACCATAAAATTTTTGCGTGTTTACAGCAAAAAATTATATAATTCATGACAACCCCAAATTGAAATTACTCTGTACGACCTACTGACCAAGTTAGCGAAAAAAGGTTCAGTTCATATTCAACTTTTTAGAGATCATTTTCAACGTATTAGGTTTCAAGCACAGCCTGAAAAAGTCACGTAAACTGTCAAAAACTGGGAGAATCAAGTAAATTCCCTCTTATCCGATTGACAGGTGACAAAATTTCCCCCTTTTTATTAAAAAAAATTAGCTGGCAATTGAACCGAATCAATTATTTGTAGACCTTTCCACGATTTTTGCAAACAAATAAATTAAAAGAGTTTTTTTGTTAACAACCCCATAAAAATTTAGGAAAAAAATCATTTTCTTCGTCTTAAAATAGAAGACGAAGAATTTTTATGAAAATATATTTTTTATAGAAATTCTGCATAACGCGATTTAAATTTTCCCAAAATTCAAGTCGCTAATCTTCTGAACTGCAGAATCTATTTCAATCCCAATATTTTCTTTTAAAAATAAGAGGAAAACTTACAAAGTGTCGGTGAAAGCCTTCAAATAATATGCATAAATTGTAATTCCAACTGCTGCAAACATTTGAACTGTCTGTAAAGTTGTGATCGTCATGGCCAATGGTTTCGGCAGCCGAATTCCTAACGCACTTATGGCGTAATAAGAGTACATCAGAACGTGAACAGCGTAATTCATCAACGCGAAGACAACTCCAGTTGCGGAGACATGAGCACCTAAAATAAGGTCGAAAATTCACTTTTATTTTTTTAATTAAAAATTTGGCCAGAAAATAGCCAAAGAGATCAAAATGAAGTTAACAGTAGACATAAAAAATTTCAGACAAAATTTATGTTATACATGCCATCACCCAAGATTTTTATTTCCTTACCTGAATGGAAGGCGTAGATCAATGCCGCAGCATGATGATAGTAGTGCAAAAAGATGAGAGGGCGTTTTCTGAGGACCACAAAAATGGTGTCGCCAAATTCGACAATTTTCGAAAGAGCAAAAGCGATCATCCAAAAGGTTGTTGGAGTGAATTCGTTCGGTAAAAGACAAACTGTTTGGGTAAATCCTTCAGTTGAAAGCCGGGCAAAGAACTCCTAAAAAGACAGGGACGTTACGAACGGAAGCTTTACAAAAATTTGGCTTTTTGAAAAAAGTTGCAAAAACAGCAAAAAATATAAGCCATGTGCAAATTTTGGGATTTTTTACACGGTATTAGGCTCCACGGACTTTACACTGGGAATTTATTTCAATGCTTTTGATTAGGAAGTTTGGTTGGCATTCTGTTCTTGGCGGGAAACTTGAATTGCAATTTTTAAAATATACAAAGTTGGGAAAATTGACCTTACGAAGGTCGAATTACCCATAATATAGTAAAATACGTTACAGTATTTTACTATATTATGGTCTTGACACGAAATTTTTTACAGGGTGTTTCAAGAAATTTGGAAGAAACTAGTTGCGAATATTTTTGAGCTCTTGCTAGTTATCGCAGAAATTCTTTTTGTTTCTAAAACTTGACAGCGGGCGGTTTTGTACTGAACAAAAAAAAATTTTTTCGTCGGCGGAGAGGCCAGTTCTCGGCGGAGGCATTTGGGGCCTTTTTTAAAAATCACACCTTATTACATCGTGGAAACTCTGTTACAGTGGCCAAAATCATGTTTACGTTAAACCTCCGTGGATTTTGCGGTATGCTTTTGTTGCGTTTTCGATTTTACGCAACATCCGCGGAGGCGCGACGGAGACCGCAGATTTCGGCGGACTTTGTTTTGGGCACTCGGTTTTTGCAAATCCATGTTGGAAAAAAGGTTGGGGCGATTTTTTGTTGTCATCCGATGCACAGAGGGCAAAAATTTTGTACTTTTTTTCCCCGGCGGAGGATTCGGCGGAGGCTTTCTCAAAGGGTCAAAACAAAATTTTGACTCTTTTGATAAAGCCTCCGCCGAAACCTCCGCCGATGTGTCCGCCGGATCAAAAAAATAAGAAAAATGGTGTTGCTGTGATGGATTCTTGTAGCTGAGTTTTTTCCCGGACTCCTAAGACTGTTCTGACCCTTTGGTAAAGCCTCCGCTGAATCCTCCGCCGGGGAAAAAAAGTGCGAAATTTTTGCATCTGTGCATCGGGTGACAACAAAAAATCACCCCACACTTTTTTCCAACCTGAATTGAATGATCCAAAGGCTCAAAACGACGTCCGCCGAAACCTGAGGTCTCCGCCGTGCCTCCGCGGATGAGCGAAAATCGAAAACAAAAAAAGCATACCGCAAAATCCACGGAGGTTTAACGTAAACATGATTTTGGCCACTGTAACAGAGTTTCCACGATGTAATAAGGTGTGATTTTTAAAAAAGGCCCCAAATGCCTCCGCCGAGAACTGGCCTCTCCGCCGACGAAAAAAATTTTTTTTTTGTTCAGTACAAAACCGCCCGCTGTCAAGTTTTAGAAACAAAAAGAATTTCTGCGATAACTAGCAAGAGCTCAAAAATATTCGCAACTAGTTTCTTCCAAATTTCTTGAAACACCCTGTATATTACACTAGACATTTTACCTCCAAAAAAAGGTAAAATTTCGCAAAAAAGACTTCGAATAAAACTACCGAGTCACTAAGATCTAAAAAATCGCCTCAAAAAATACCTGTCCAATCCTCCACGCGCCAAAAACACTGAAAATTGCCAGTCCAAGGTTCCACAAAAATAAGGCTGTTTTCAAACTGTAAGGAGGTCGATCCTTCATATATTGCACCAACAGCAAAATAAAGCCATAATAGAGCACTGTGAGGTAGAGAGTGATTTCACATCCAGCGCAAGCCAGGTTATGAACGCCTTCTTGAGTAAAGTAGTTCTCAAACCAGAAAATCGGGCTGAAATTGTCAATTCACACAATGAGCATAGTTTGAAAGAGCCATGTAGTAACTTAAAAACCGTACCCCTGCCACAGTAAAAAAAAATAAAAATTTGGCAGACAATTTGCACCTTATTTTAGATGTAAAATATATTGCTTTAATCAAAAATGTTTCAAATCTAGGAAGATTAACGTCTCATTTGACAAAATACCACTTACACATGCTCGTAAGACGAAGTTTTCCGCAAAAATCTTCCATTAGCAAAGAGTTTTCCAACATTTGCATTGAACGGGTTGTATCTACAATAATGTTACAGTTTTTCCTAAAAACCCTTTTCAAATTTTGCAAACTCACTTCTTAAATTCATCATGAAGTCCAATGATAAATTTTACCCCATCTTCGACCACAATCCAACGCGCTATCCACACAATAATCGCCGACATTATCCATGGTCCAAGAAGCAGTCGAATCAGTCCCTCAAGCCTTGAATTCTCGCTTCTGATTGATAGAAATGCCATCCCGAAATGAATAAACAAGATCTGACGGCTTTTACAAAAGTCGATTTACCATCGACGAACTGTTTTTTCGGTCAACAAAACCCGGACTTTAATCAGGAAGAAGAACGAATCGAATCTCGCTCATCGCTTATCTCTACCATGGATAACACACCACAACATCCGTCAGATTACCCGCAAAATTGCGACAGAGCAAACACGAAAATCTCGGGGAAAACACTGATTTTTACGGGGTTTCGGAAATTTTGGCAAGGATAATATAATTTTTTATCCAGAGCAATATTAAACCGAGAAAATAAAACGAAACTGAGCAATTTCGGTAACCATATTACGAATCAGTCCATCGATGACCGCATGCGACGTTGTTGCACACGTAATACAGCCGCATTTCATCTTGAGCACGACGAGTTTGCGCCTGGAAAAAGACAGATTGTTTGTGCCCACAACGAGGGCAAGGATGGTTGTCGGTCTTCGGCAACGTCGGATCTTCGCGAAGGTCCGAAATGATTTGAGTCAGCTCGCTGTAAAAACGACGACGATTTAGTCTTGTTTTAGGTACCTAATGCAATAAGCAAAGTCAAAAATCAAAAACTCACTCGACCCGGTGATGAATACGGTTGGTATAGATGCAAGAGGACTCAGCAAATTCGGTATGATCACAGTTTCGGCAGGCGTACATCAGTCTTCGCTCGTCGTAATTTTCCCGCGGGTACAACATGTTGTTGCTAAAATAATGTAAAAATACTCATAAATCAACGCAAAACTCAAAGTTTTCGGTGCTAAAAATTCGTCAGGGTCAGAAAGTAGAATTCGCCAAATTACACAAAGTTGTCTTACCATTCGGGGCAAAATTTGATACCAACAAACCCACTCATGATTAAGTTCCAAAGAAGTTCCAGGAAGAAGTTAGATGTTTCGAAGATTATGTCGTTGGAATGTAGAACAACTTCTATTGCAGCTTGGCCAAAATGGATCGAAAATCTTCTAATTTTTTTTCCAAAGACAAGAATGAGGCAAGGGCGCAGCTTGGCTTTCGAAAAAATCGAGAAAATCCGTCATCCTGGCGAAGAAATGACGGTTTTTTATAAATTGAAAGATTTTTGCTGTTCCTTTGTTGTTCGCACGTTCTGGTTGTAGATGGTATTATTTTCCATGTATCTTAATTTTTATCTGTATGTCTCATGGATAACATAAAGATTCGAGCGGATGTTGGATACTGTCGCCAAATGGTAAGTGAAGGACATGTAATAATTCGTAATTTTATGCTGCGATTTAAAGTCTATTATGTTTTACAACGCAACGTAATCAGGAAAATGCAGTAAATCAAAGTTACGATACAAACTGTATACGAAAAGATCGTTGCTCTCTAGATGACTTGTTCAAGGGCTGATTGGTAATTGGAGACTACAATTTGAGCTTCACTTCCCTTTACGACTAAACTCGGGAAAGTTTTAATAGATTGGTGGCAAGTGCAATATAAATCGGTCCTAGGAAAATTTTTATGACGTCATTATTGAAAATCAGAAGGGGTTTTGATTTTATTAGTTGAGGTAATAATATTCGAGGTATTTAATATTTTTGGCCTGTTTTTTGTTTTATATAACTCAAAATAGTCCAGCACTATATTGTGTAATACCATGCATAGCATCGTAACATTTGTTATCGTTTGTATGCCCAAGAGTTGTAGTTTACCTCCATAGACTCTGATTAGCAATTATAAGCTTCATTTTAAATTCTTCTATCTTTTACGACCAAAAATTCAGCTAAATTGCCTTAATGTCTAGTATAATATAAAAATCTCCTTTTGAATCCAAAAGATTAAGAATTAATTTAATGACATCATTACTGACCGTTTTACAGCCCGAATGATGAGCGAAATTATTACAAGCGCGTGTCGTAATGACCCCTGCAAACGTAATCGCGTGGGCGTTTACAAAAACCTGTCGGGCAAAAATCGAAAGCGAAAGAAACGAAAAAATAAAAAACACTTTGAAACTAATTTGTAAAAGTAAGAAATAAAAGGGGAACAAGTTTCGGTTTAAAACCATTTTTTTTATAAATTTACAACACAATATGAAAACAGTTTCGACTCTGGAAGCATCGGGGAAGTGGAGTTTGTACTTTTTTTGCTTGTTGAACACGATATTTTTGGGTCTTCGTCCTTACTATACGTAACAAGATTTTTGATGGTTGTAATGTTCCTATGGCCTCTAAAATATGTCTGTCACCAGATGGAATTAAAATTTATAATTTACGATGTTCAGTGATCTTTGTTTTTTATTCATTTTTCAAAGCCTTTAAAGTTTGCTCGTAGACTAGAAACGTTACAGCGTTGGCAGGGAATGCTCTAGCCGCTAGGATCGCGCCTCCCTTGAAGAATCCTAGAATTCCATTCTTCTGCCATATTCGTGTTATTATCTCTGTATTGGTCATTTCTTGATTACATTGGGCCCAATTTTTGACTACTTCCAATGGGCAGATTGCTAACCAAGCGAGTGATCCAGCAATTCCTCCGGCAAGCATCTGAAAAATAGTGATTATTCGGAAATTGTAAGAGTCTTGCACTTTGAAAATGGCAGTCTTAATTTATGCGAAGTCCCATCAAAACCCTGAGCGTCCAAAGTTAACTACTCCCTCTGTGAATTACAGGCTTCTTACCTGTTTATTTACTTCCGAAGTTTTAATTTCCCTCTCGATCAATCGTTTCACCTCTTCGTAAACCGGAATGTAGAATGAATACCCAATTAGATCTCGAAATGCCATCACTTTTCCTCCAGAATACAACCCTTGAATTCCAGTTGTCTTCAGCGTATCTTTTATGCATCTTACTGGCCCCACTGTGTTCTGATAGACCACCTGAAGCCGTGTTTTTACCGTCTCGATAGGGATGGCAGGGCCTAGTTGGGCCAGCGTGCCAACGGTTGAGGCTAAAACGATCTGAGGGTTGGTTATTTGCAACCTGAATTTTCATTGTTTACTAATACGTATTATAGAAAAGAAACAGAAGTGAGACATTTTTGAACTTTTGTTTTGGCTAGCTACTGCCTGAAAGTTCGTTCACAATAAATAGATTAATCATCTTTTATGAACGACTTGTTTTTACATTAAATTTGTTGGTTTTAATTGTTACAACCGTTAGATGTTGAGGTCATTCGTTGTAAAACAGCTGACCGAGTGGGGGTGAGACAAAGACTTTTCTAAATTTTTTGTTTTGAAAAGGTATTTTTGGTTGTGAAAAGTAGTTTTTTGTATAAGTAGTACTTACTTCCATAGTAGAAACCTCGTCTTTGTTCTTATGGCCCATTAATCTCAAGGCTCCCTCGTAGCCAGCGAACATTAGCGCGTTCAAAAAAAACGCACTTGCTAGCGGGACCGCCATTCCGCGATAGAGACTTCGAACATTGTTTTTGACGTCTTTCCATAACAATTTGTTCCCAGTCTGAACATTGGCTTTGATGGTATCCATAGGGTAGCCAATCAGAATCCCAGCCGAGCCACCAAGTCCTCCAGCCAAGAGCTCGGTAGTGACGTTGTACATCGGGTGTCTTTCAGTGTGGATGGGGAAGTTGGGGTCTAAAATACGGGTTTGTAAAGAAACAATTGCACAAAAATGTAAAGTTTACATTCAAAATTCCTTCCGATAACTACGAAGTTTTGTAATACAGCGTATTTTACCCTATGTTTCTACTTTATTTAACCCCCAAAGACTCTAAATCGAATTGCATTTTTAACGAATTTGTAAGAGCATTCCCTTAACTTTTGATAATGTTGATAAGATCACCACAACACCATTTGTTTGCTTTTTTTGTCGGAGCGGATGTAATGTTGATTTTGAACCCTACGAAGCCCAAATACAACATTTTTTAGATTCCTGATGGTCCATGGCAAAGTCATCAGCCTGAAAAATGCCATAATTACAGCGTTGTTATTGCACTTGCAATTTGATTTGATAAATGGTCTACAAAATGGGCTTTCACGGTAAAAAAAGTCTTGTTTATAAGCGCCGGTTAAGTTTCGGCCGCAAAACGTGATTCAAATGTGAAAAAAGTATTGCAGCGACATGCTATACCGTTGGTTTTGAAGATCAAAATATACGAAGTGTCTTCGTGTATTTTGAAGACACTGAAATGCCCCTTGACGCCTTTTTTGCATCGCAAAATATTGATAAAGATGTAAAATCTTCCATTACCAAACCATTGTGTTTCTTCACCTCTGCAATACATTTTGATGCAAAATTTAGATGCACTTCTTTCGTATTATTCCTGTGTTTTGACTGAAATAGACCTGTCATTGCTTCCTCTAAAGCATTGTTAATTTTTAGCCTCCCTCCAATGGGATGGATGTCCTGGAGTTGGTTTAAATGTGAAATCGACTGTGACCGGCATCCGGGTAACTGTATAAACGAAGATCTCTATTTTCAACACGCGGATCGGATGGTTTTTGACGGGTATTTGAGTGTTGGGTACAATACTTTGCATATTGATGACTGCTGGACGGAGAGGTTCCGCGACGGGCAAAGTAGACTGTTGGCGGACCGCAGGCGATTCCCTCGAGGAATCACTGGATTGGTTGACTATGTAAGTAGTGTTATCTGAGTGACAAGCCTCTACAATACTTGTCGATGAAAGAGTAGGAAGTATTCATAAAAAAAGTTCAAATTTGATATCAAAATGTGCCGCGGAATCTCAAAGAGATTGTTTTTTTGAACCTCTGTCTGCCGACTAAACATAATGTAATAACACTGACCTTGAAGGTGGTCGTTACACACTACCGTATAGAAATTTATTCATTCTGAATTTAAGGTGCACGCAAGGGGGCTCAAATTTGGGATATACGCGGATTACGGTACGAAAACTTGCGGTGGCTATCCAGGAAGTAAAAATTTCGAAGGCATTGATGCCTGGGCCTTCGCTGATTGGCAAGTGGATTATTTGAAGTTGGACGGATGCTGGAGTACCATCTCTGAAATGGAAATCGGTAAATAAAATTTTTTGTAACGCGTTTCCAATTGTTTTATTTTCATATTGGTTGTAGGGTACCCTCTGTTTTCCAAATACCTCAACGCCTCGGGGCGACAAATCATTTATTCCTGCAGCTGGCCTGCATACCTCTCTGTAAAGCCCGCCATTAATTACAATCGAATTGCGGAGGTTTGCAATTTGTGGAGGAATTACCCGGACATAGATAACAATTGGTGGTCCTTGATGTATATTATAAATGAGTATGTGAATGCGCAGGACCAACTGATCCCGGTGCATGGGCCGGGTCAGTGGAACGATCCGGACATGTTGATCATTGGCAATGGTATCACTGAAGGTAAAACTTGTTGTTACGTGGTATATAATCTGCAAGCAATAATTCAGCTACAGCGGGGGCCTGATCCAGTGGCAAAAAACGTACCATTTTGCATCCGGAAAAGATCAAAAATGTGGCAAAATGGTTCCCTCTCCTCATGAAAAAACTTCATTTTGAAGGACGCGCTCTCTTTCCTCACAAAAAGAGCGGGCGCGATTTTGAAATCTGAGTTTTTTCACTTGGAGAGGGAAGCACAATATTTCGCCATATTTTTGATGCTTGCCGGATGCAAAATGGTACGTTTTTGCCACTGGGTCAGGTCCCCCCACTGTAGCTTTGCAATGCGCGAGTTAAAAAAAAATTCCGAATTTTTAAATGGATAAGCAGCCCTTACTTATCCGGTTGAGTTTAGTATTTTAGAACTAGAAATTTTGATTTCTAGGCGCTTCCCGAGTTCAAATGAGCGTGTGGTGTATTTGGTCGGCGCCCTTGATAATGTCCACTGATCTGAGAAGAATTCCAGCCCATTTGAGGGCGATTTTGCAGAACCGAGAGGCCATTTCCATTGATCAGGACCCCATGGGCAGAATGGGGAGAATGGTGATCAAAGTAAGTCGAGAATTCAGAAGCAAATTTTGGCTGCACGTACGACTTTATTAGGAATGTAAAAAACACTTTCAGACCTCGCAACTCTACTATTTTGTGAAGCCAATCACCCCAGTAATCCCCGGCTCTATTCGGCCCCGTTTCTCGTTTGCAATTGCCATTGTAAACTTCTCGAATCGCTTGGCAGTGAGTTAATTTTGCCCTCCAAATTTGGTCAAGTCACTACCAAAACATTTCGATGTTCAACTTTTCACCTGCTCTATGTTTCTACACTTATTTCCAAAGGAATAAAAACACGGAAAGAGCCATTTTCAGAGTCGAATAACAACGCTGGCCGCGCTGGGACTGACCGACCCCAATGGCTACGATTGTTTCGAGGTGTGGAGTCGGAGGTTTGTGGGCAATTTCCGGCACTGGAACGCGTTCGTGGACCCGGTCCCCCCGCAAGATGCGCTGTTGTATAAATGCACGTTGAGAGCGCCCCTGAATGGCGGGTTCGTAATACGACGACAAATTCTGTGAATTTTGAGTTTACTAGAGGCATAATAAATCATAATAATAATTGGAATTTTTGTGGATTTCCTTTTATTGTCAGTACAATTGGGAGGGGCTTTACAAACTTTTTTATTTTTTGCGCTTTTTAAAAATAAAATTATTGTCGATTTTATTGAGGAAATTCGCCGAAAACCGACTTATAATCTTACACTCTAGGCCAGGGGTGGCCACCGGGCCGGCCCGGCCCGGCGAAGCCCGGCCCGATCGGGCCTAAACGGGCCGGGCCTGGCAAATTTTGAAACGGGCCGGGCCGGGCCTGCTTTTTACCGGGCCGGGCCGCGGGCCTGAGCCATTTTCAGGCCCGGCCCGGCCCGGTTTTGTCGAAATGCCAAGCGTTTGGCATTCAATGTTTTCGCGCCGGAAAAATTTTTGGATAGGTTTGTATTTTTAGTATATCAAGTTCTACAATAGTTTATTACTTTATAGTACTTTTTTGCATATATGTTATAATATAAGGTCCAAATTAGAACATATAATACATATAGGATAGTTCTTAGCAGATTTTAGCACACTACAGAGGCGGTAAGATCAAAGGAACATTTCCAGCTCGCGCCCTAACCGGGCTTTTACCGGGCCGGGCCGGGCCTGATTTCTACCGGGCCGGGCCGGGCCGGGCCTGCAAAATTTTGAACCGGGCCGGGCCGGGCCTAGGATTTTGCCGGGCCGGGCCCCGGGCCTGAAATTTGGAAAAAGAGGCCCGTTTGCCACCCCTGCTCTAGGCTGACCTCGGATTAATGGAAATTTAGCTGATGCTTTGCAAGGACATCCCAGATATTCGACATTTTCCCGGGAAAGCTCATTAAATGACCTACAACAGCCATGTCGCTCATTTACATTTTGATTTGTCTCAGTTATTTTGAAGCAGCGCACGGCAACCCGAAGTGTTTCCTGGCTCCTTTCGACACTTCGCCCATTCTGTATCGGTTGAAATCAAACGAAATGTCACAAAAGAATTTTTCGTGGGATTTTCCGACCAAAAAATGTTTTTCTCGGAATTATCGGTCTGTCGGGAAAAAAACGGCGGATCGTCGCGCCTCGGAGTCGCTCATCATCGCTTTGCGACTGCAAGTCGCGACTTGGGATTTGGTGCGCGATAGCGGCGAGGCGAGACATTTTGCTGCGACGATCCGCCGTTATTTTTCCGACAGACTGATATTTTATTTCTTTTGTCAATTTTGACACTTCGTTTGGACGAAACTCAAAAGTGGGCGGGGAACATTTTTCCTCTATTTCGGGTTGCCGTGCAGCGTGCTTTGAATTTCAATTTTTGGACATTGGAAACATGAATCATCAAAAAAAAATTTTTTCTTTCCAAATTGCTTTCATTTTTTCGTCATTATTTTTGAGAATTACGGCAAAACAAATATGGCCGTGCTCGCGTGAAAAATGTTTCAATTCTTGCCATGAACCCTTAAATAACCGTATCGGTGTACTTATGCAAATGTAAAAAGTTTGTTGCGTGCCAGAGAAACTACTTTTATGGTACGCCACCTGACCGAGAATGTGTAACAAGTGTGCGACCTTTTTAAAAGCAAATACCTTTTGTTTGGGACTACAAAATTGAATCCATATTTATTCTTCGCCCTGGCATTGTTCGAATTCGTCTTTTTAAAGTCTTTTCTGTGATTTATGGCTATTTAAGATTGGTTACAACAACAGACCGGTCATACAATGGACCCAAAAAACGAGCAGAGCGGGGCCAAGTTTGCGGTTACAAGGATACAAAAACATTGCTTACTTTGAAGAAGAGCAGGACTGAGATATAAATATACATATATGTATTAGGTTGTCCAACAAATAATGACCCTCTGTGAGAGGGGCAAAGTTTAAAGCCTCTAAAAAAGGCAAGCGATGATGGAATTTCGAAATATTATAACGTTTTGAAGCTGAGATTTCAGGCTTTCGTTTGGTGTATCGTTTGTCATATTGGGACCAACTTACAGTAATTTATCCCTAATCGAAAATTATCAAAAAAAAAGTCGGTTCGCGCTGTCATCTTTTACGGGCAAAAACAGGATGCGAAAGTTTCAGAAGCTACGCGAAGTATCAACGCTATGTTCGACTAATGTGTTCTGAGTATGAACACGGTGAAACGATGGATTTAAATATTACGATTTTACGGCAAGGGACCCAAAGATAAAGTACGGAATCCGAACTTTATCAATCTTCCCTGAGGTCGTCGGTTGACGAACATCCTAGAAACAACATCCAACGCGTCTCTGACATCGTCTGTCTGTTGAAATAATCGGCGGCTAACCATTCAATGTCGATGGAATTCAAAAAATGCTAGGCAACTTTTTCCCATGTTATTGGATCAAAGCAAAGAGTGGAAGCATTACGTTTCTCGCGTTTGCGTGCCGTTTTCTGGATCGAATCGTTGCCTCTGATGAAAAGAGGACCTACTGGGACAACCAGACCAGATATGCTGAACGGAGTCCTCCGAGGGTATCACTGCGGCACTTGTCAAAGCCGACTCCCCCCAAAACAAGGTGATGACTAGTTCTTGATGGTGCAGCATGGGAATAGTACAATACAGCTTCTTGAAAGCTGGCCAAAATGTTGATACCATCCCCTACTGTATCCAGATATACAGTTTGTGGCAGCGTCTGTCTTCAACGATTCGCCGCAGAAGTCCAAAAATTCTTAGCGGCTACACGGAACCTCTAGTTTGAAAGATGACCCCCCAGAAGCCGATTTAATAGAGATACGAGACTGTCCCTCGTCCAGCCTATTTGTCAAAGCTGGCCTATTATCATTACCATCAGTTCAAGAATCTAGCACGTTTCACCAGTGGTAGGGAATTCGACAATCAAGACGCCCTTGAAAAGGCCTTCAAAAGTTTCATCGGCTCCAGAAGCCGGGGTTACAAAGCTACAGACATAAAAAAAATTTTGACACGTTGTAACAAGCGTGATAAAGCGCATGATAATTATTTTGATTAAATAGATCGCAGTTATTACGGTAAATTTTGCCGAAAAAATAAATTTTTCGAAGAGGGTCATTATTTGTTGGACAACCTAATATATTTTTAGTCATCACAAAAACAAGGGTTTTCCTCAAACCGGTAGCTTTTTAAAATTTCTGTTTTTTTGTAAAATACGCGTGACATTTTTTCTTGTAATCCGCCGTTTTAAACTGAAGCTACATTTGAATTGCGTTTTTACGGTGTGGGAAACTAAATTATTTCAATCTATCTTTCAAAAATAATGTCCTTTTTTCATCACTATCCATTTTGTCATCAAATTGGGCCTGATTTAATCGTCGATCAACCACGTTTGCTTTAGACTATAGCCCCCACCAGATCTCTGTCCAATCTATTGTTTACATTCCTTGTTTCGTCATACAAGTCTCAGTTTAATCTTGTTTCACCCATTTAAGTTCAGGCAACCATTAAAACACGCAACTGTCCTTGGCGCTTCTACACTTCCACGACCAATGCGTTTAAACTCGCTCGTCTAGAGCATAATTTAAACCACTTACAGTCGCAGTATTTACAAACTATAAATTGTAGACCAATTAGGCCATTGCATCTGGCTGTAATTTCAACGTTTCCTGTTTTAATTCAATTTTTTTGCATACTGTAAAGTTGTCTTGTAGTTCTGTTTTCGTGCCGTTCCTAATCATTTCAAAATTGATTCCCTGTTGTTGTAATAGGGTTAAATGTAGGTTCATGCCAGAAGCGGATGCATATGCAATGATGGCGCAGATTCAGTGGACGTTCGAGATTGTTATTGGATTATTATCTTTTGCAGTCAATATCTACAGCTGGCGCAAGTTCAAACAAGTGCAGACCTTCAGCTTGAACTTGAGGTTCATGTTGGTGAGGGATTTTGGATTCATTCTTTTGGAGTTTAGTTTTGGTTAGATAATTAGATAAGTCATCATTTTTGCTTATACTGTACTTATGTAGGCCTTTAGAGATAACATTTTTTACAGCGTTAAAGATTTTCATTGTTTTCCCAATTTTTATTTGCATAATTCATGATGACATTCAACCTTTTCAGAGGCAAATCTCATTTCTTGGTTCTGCTGTCGCTCTAACTCATCCGATCCTCTGTTCATTGCCTTCGGATTTCTACGCATATGACACAGCAGCCAAACGCACACTTTTTCTTTACTTTTTACATTTCATTTGCAACATTTGTTTGACCGTGAACGACGTCAAACATTTGCTTATCGCCGTGGAACGACATTATGCGCTCAAATATCGGACCACCTACGAAAACAGGGATAATTTAGTTGGAAAAGTGCTGTTTTACGGAGTTGTAAGTCAAATGGATTTGGGATTTTTGCAGGAAAAATGAAGAAAATTTATGATTTTAGATGTCCGTTGCTACATTAATATTTTCTGCACGAGCCGTTTTCTTTTTATTCTATAACAGCGAAAACATCCCTTTGGATGTGAGGTTACATCGCTCTTTTGTTTTCGAAGGGAGTATCTACTTTTTTACCGTAATGTATGGAGTGGCTTCGATTTCAGTGGTGGCTGGAATGGTGGTAAGTCTACAAAATTTCCTAGAATCCTCCCATATTTTCATGCAAATTTTTGATCGAGATTATGACTTTTTTAGAAGCTCTCTTACATCCAAAAGACCGTGCAGACTCTCCACTACACAGGTGACTCCCTATCCGAGCGCTTTCTGCTCAAAGAGATGACCGTAGTGGTCGATTGTTGGAAAGTTTTGGTTCGAATGTTTGGCGTGGGTCTAGTCATCGCCTACATTGGTCTCTGCGGGATTTGGTATTGTTATAAGAACTACTATTTCTTTGCCTTGGAACTACAGCCGGAATACAAAATGTGGTCGAATGTGAGTCCACACTTTTGGAGCGTTAAACATTAATGTTTAGATTGCATTCTTAGCCCTCTCTGGCTACAATTTGGTGAGCAGTATGAGTTTACTGTGGCTGCTTAGACCTATACGGAAACTAATACAGGACGATCTACATCATTATTTTGGAATCAGAAGTCAACAAGTGGATGTTGTGACCAGAAATGACTTCGACGGCGAAGACCATTTCGATTATCTAAAGAAGGTTTGGAACATACCAAAGTGATGTTTCGTCCTAGCTATAGCGAAATATCAGTAAATAACAACAGCAAATTTAATTTTGAAGGTTATACCAGTTTGTATACGAGATGCAATTGAAGTTTTTGCATTTTCTAACGAGATAAATACAATTTGTTGTTTTGCCTTTCATTTGTCACGTTGCGACAAATTGTAGCGACCATGAGGGAGGAAATTTACTTGTTTGTGAAACGAGAAGTCAACATTCTGATTTCGAGGAAAACCTCTGGCGGAAGAAGCGTTTATGAAAAATCAACCAAAAATGTAGAGTATATGGAGCATCTGCTCAACGACAAAAAATAAAGATATTTAGCAAGTCTTTTTGCTGCACTTCTTGGACATCAGTCATCGAAAAATTTGTAAAGTTAAATAATTATTGACTTATCCAGGAGCAAAAAAAGCAACTCGGGGATGAGCAGTTAAAAAAATCAACGGCATTTCTCTTTTGAAACTTTGAATCTTTGGAAGGGTCTACTAAAAGGTCGCTCTTTTTGGACCGAGTGCACGAGCCGGCTTTACTGTATCATCACCCTTTAAACTGCAATTAAATTTGGTTGCTGAACTGCTGACATTTCCCTTTATTACTGACTTCCTGGACTCGTGTTCCTTTTGACATTACAGAAATCATTAATAAAGCATTGTATTAAGCTTTGGTCCCGCGATAAAAACCTCTTTGTTTGCCCATCTCTTATCAAATTCACTCGGTTATAAAGCAGGCCGTATAAAGACCGATTGCCAGCTGACAATTCCCAGTTCTGGTCACTCGAATGCGGACTTTATTCGTGCTTTCGTTTTGTTCGGCGTTGACGTTCGGCCTGGAAAATGGGCTGGCCCGAACACCGCCAATGGGATGGATGTCTTGGACCAGGTTTTTTTGCGAAACTAATTGTGCACATAACCCGTTCTCCTGCATCAATGAGTACTTGTACAAAAGTCAAGCGGATCGACTGGCTCTGGATGGATACAAGGATGTGGGGTACGACAGAGTCCACATTGACGACTGCTGGGCCGAGTTGAAAAGAGACGAGAATGGTAAAATGGTTGCGGACAAAAGCAGATTCCCATCCGGAATGAATGGACTGGCTAACTATGTAAGGTCTTGTCAGCAATTAGTTTTAGGCCAAAAAAACGGTACGCTTGGAATTTGTTACACTGTGTTCGAAAGGTAATCTTCTACGTTTTAGGTGCACAAGCTTGGCCTAAAACTCGGCTCGTACGGAGACTACGGCACCAAAACTTGTGCAGGGTATCTCGGTTCCCAAAACTTCGAAAAGATTGACGCCTTCACTTTTGCTGAATGGGAGATTGACTACGTGAAGCTGGATGGATGTAATGCAGACGCAAGCGATTACCCCAAAGGATACCCTTTGTTTGGTCGCTACTTGAATCAGACAGGACGCCCGATTGTATATTCTTGCAGCTGGCCTGCTTACATACATGATAAAAAAAGCATCGATTACGACACCATTGTGAAGAATTGCAATCTCTGGAGAAATTACGATGATATTTCCAGTTCATGGGAATCATTACATGGAATTATTAGCGTTTACATTAGAGATCAGGATCAGCTGATTCCAATTCACGGGCCTGGACACTGGAATGATCCCGATATGGTGAGTTATAACTTCGTGGAGAGTGAAGACTGGTAATTTTTAGTTGATCGTCGGCAACCCTGGAGTTTCAATCGGTGCTGCTCGTGTTCAGATGGCGGTTTGGTCGATCTGGTCAGCTCCTTTGATCATGTCTAACGATTTGAGGATCATCGGCGAGGATTTCGCTGCGCTTCTCAAGAACGAAAAAGTCATTGCCGTGGATCAAGATGAACTTGGAATTATGGGACGCATGGTTAAAAAGGTAGGAAATAAGAGAGTGCTAGACTTTACAGGCCTCAAAAATACTAATTGAGTTTGTTTTCAGACTGATCAACTCTACTATTTTGTCAAACCAATGACGCCGTATGTCAAAGGCGAGAAGAACCGGTATTCCTATGCCCTGGCTGTTGTCAATTACTCTAACGCCCCTGCTGTAAGTCTAATCTTTTATACTTGCTTCTAAAACGTACTAGAAGAATGTATATTGTGCTGCTATTTTTTCAGACCTTCAGGTTCACCTTGGACAACTTCGGGATCTCGGATGCCAAAGGCTATTCGGTGGAAGATCTTTTCTTGCGCAAGCCTCTAGGTCATTATACCAAGGACACTGTAATTAACGAAGCCATTTCCCCACGGGATGCCTTCTTCATCAAAGCCACAATTGTAAAATAAGCTAGTGAAAGGACAAAAAGAAAATAAATAAAGACGGTTTACCTGCGTTCGATTACATTCAAGTTATGTTCCGGTCTTCTATAAAATGCCTTGTGTTCACCTCTGCGTCACTCTCGATGAATATCCTTTCCATAAGTGCAAAGAACCAACAAAATAGAATGCTCAGCTTAAAATCGGTGTCATCGTTACAAATTTTCTGAAAACTGTGTGAGCTCGACTAAATAAAATGCAAACCTCAAGCCGTTATTTCACTAACCCTGTTCGATGAAAAAAGACAGAGCTCCGTCTCCGCGGAGTGGTCACAGAGCGAGCGATATGGTCGGATTGTTACACTGAACCAACGAATGACTGACTATTCCGAGCTCGTTGAGGAGATATGTACATAGAAGCCATTGGGGAATCTATTTTTTATGCCCACTTTAGCGAGTTGAAGGACTGCAACATCGCCTCTAATTTCAGTAAAAAAGGGCGTTATGAGCTGAAAAAGGATTCGACCTTTCGACTGACGCTAAGTACTACCCAAATAGCACGCGTTTCTTGCCTTCGGAAAGCATTTTGACAAAAAAATTTATTTTTAAGCCAAGAAATTCCCATTGAGCAGCCGCTTCTGCCCCATTTCCTCACGACGTATGAAGGAAAATGTGCTTCCTGCATTGCCGAAATTCTAATCGATCTTTGGTCTCTTTAGACCTTGTTCTTTTAAAATTTCAAAAATCATAAAGAAGAATTGTTAAGCCTTTAATCTTAAAGCACTTTTTGTTGGCCTATCTCTTATCAGAATCATTCCTTCACAAATGATGCCATATAAAGGCCGATCACCACCTGAGTTCTGGTCACTCGAATGCGGACTTTATTCTTGCTTTCGTTTTGTTCGGCGTTGGCGTTCGGCCTGGAGAATGGGCTGGCCCGAACACCGCCAATGGGATGGATGTCTTGGACCAGGTTTTACTGCGAAATCGATTGTACAACTCACCCTTTTGGCTGCATAAATGAGTACCTGTACAAAAGTCAGGCGGATCGACTGGCTCTGGATGGATACAAGGATGTGGGATATAACATAATCCACATCGACGATTGCTGGGCCAACTGGGAAAGGGATGAGAATGGAAAAATGGTCGCGAACAAAACGAGATTCCCAAGTGGAATGAATGCGATTGCTAAATATGTAAGGTCTTATATTTATGCATATCATAAAGGTTAATACTCTATATTTTAGATGCACAACCTCGGCCTGAAATTCGGCTCGTACGGAGACTACGGTAGCAAGACTTGCGCAGGGTATCCAGGCTCGAAAAATTTCGAAAAAATTGACGCCTTTACTTTTGCTGAATGGGACGTTGACTACATAAAATTGGACGGATGCTACGCTACAGAGAGAGAGTTATACAAGGGATTCCCTCTGTTTGGCCGCTACTTGAAGCAAACAAGACGGCCTATCGTCTATTCCTGCGTTTGGGCCCCTTACATCGAGAATAGAACGAGCATCAATTACGATACGATCGCAAGGACCTGTAATCTTTGGAGAAATTATGAGGATATTGCCAGTTCATGGGAATCGTTGCACAGAATTATTGGGTTTTATATTAAAGATCAGGACCTACTCATCCCAATTCATGGCCCCGGACATTGGAATGATCCTGATATGGTAAGCATAGTCTTGTGTGTCGTATAAAGTAATGATTTCTAGTTGATTGTCGGCAACCCCGGAGTTTCAATCGGTGTTGCTCGAGTTCAAATGGCGGTTTGGTCGATCTGGTCAGCTCCGTTGATCATGTCCAACGACTTGAGACTAATAAGTGAAGAGGAAGCTGCGCTTCTCAAGAATGAAAAAGTCATTGCTGTAAATCAAGATGAACTTGGAATTATGGGACGCATGGTTAAAAAGGTAGGAAATAAGAGAGTGCTAGACTAGACAGGCCTCGAAAATACAAATTGAGTTTGTTTTCAGACTGACCAACTCTACTATTTTGTCAAACCGATGACGCCGTATGTCAAAGGCGAGAAGAACCGGTATTCCTATGCCGTGGCTGTAGTTAATTACTCCAACGCCCCTGCTGTAAGTTCAACTTTGAGTAGTGTTTTTGCTACGACTTCTACTTTTGTCAAAACGTTCCTATTCATATTTTCAGACCTTCAAGTTTACCTTGGACAACTTCGGAATCTCGGATGCTAAAGGCTATTCGGTTGAAGATCTTTTCTTGCGCAAGCCTCTAGGTCACTACACAAAAGACACTGTAATTAACGGAGCCGTTTCCCCTCAGGATGCTTTCTTCATCAAAGCGACGATCGTAATATAAAATAGTGAAAAGATAATAAACATAAAGGAATTTTATTTACTCATCTTTACTCATATTTTCGCTCCCTGAAAAATTTAAATTTCAATAATTTCCTCCGTTGTGGGCTCATCGGTGACTTCATGAGGACTGGAATTAAGATATACTTAATAGAAAGGGTTATTTACTTACTGTCTGGTCGATGATCTAGGAAGTATACGAACAGTTTTTTCATCCGCCTTCTGTGTACTTTTGCCTTCTTCCGTCTTATTGCCAGAAGGGATTGGAATCGGGGGGATGGTGTTTATAGTAGTAGTTGTTGGACCTTTCTTAGTTGGCTTTTCTGGCGCTGCTGATGAGGGTTGGGGCTCTTTTGAAGATGGCTTGACAGGCTCTACAGATGATTCAGCCCTTGGTCCTTTACTTGTCGGAGAGTCTGTGAAAGGCTCAACATGTGGCGTCTTACTGTGTTCTGTTGATGGTTTTGAGACTATCGTGGGCTTGTGGGTCGGGACTGCTTTCGTTGACGGCTTTGACGTTGGCGGCTCAGTTCTCTTCGGCTTTTTGCTTGAGGGCTCCTCAGTCCTTGGCTCCGAACTTGGAACTTCGCTCGACGGCTCTTGTGTAGGCGCCTGTCTAGCCTGAGTTGTTGGCTCGGGAACTGAAGGTTTCGCTGTGCTAGGTTCTTTAGATGGCAATGCTTTTGTTGTAGGCTTCTCCCCAGGAGTTTGGCTGGATGGTCTTTCCGTTGGAGGTTCTGTGGTTGAAGCTTCAGTTGGCTGTTCCTTTTCAGTCGTTGGCTCAGGGACTGGCGGTTCAGGCGTGCTGGGCTTTTCTGTTTCTGGTTCTTTTGTTGGCTCAGCAGTTGACGGTTCCTCTGAAGACACCTCTGTAGTCAAAGCTTTTGTCGTTTTTTCCTTCTTAGTAGATGATTCTGGTGCTTTGGAAGTAGGCCCAGGTGTGCTAGACGTCTCAGGCTCTGGTTCTTTCGTAGATGGCTCTTCTGTTGGTGGTTGACTTGTGGGTTCCTCCGTGGATTTTTCTGTACTTGGAGGAGCGGTAGAGGGCTCCTCAGGCGTACTGGGCTTTTCAGTCTCTGGCTCTTCTGTGTGTTTTGTTGGCTCATCAGTTGACGGTTCCTCTGAAGAAGCCTCTGAAGTTGAAGCTGTCGTTGTCTTTTGTTTTTTCGTAGATGGTTCTGGCACTTCGGAAGTAGTCTCCGGGACTGTAGGCTCAGGCTTGCTTGACGTCTCGGTCACTGGTTCTTTTGTTGGCTCAGGAGTTGACGGTTCCTCTGAAGAGGTTTTTAAAGTTGAAGAAGTCGTTGGTTTTTCCTTTTTCGTAGATGATTTTGGTGCTTCGGAAGTAGGCTCAGGCGTGCTAGACGTCTGAGGCTCTGGTTCTTTCGTAGATGGCTCTTCTGTTGGTGGCTGACTTGTGGGTTCCTCCGTGGATTTTTCTGTGCTTGGAGGAGCGGTAAAGGGCTCCTCAGTTGTCGTCGCCTTCGTTGACACCGGCTTAGAAGTCGGAGGTTTGGTCGGAGACTTAGTTGTCGTCGACGTCTGCTTAGTTTTCTCCGATGTCGTCGTTGGAGCCTCAGAACTCTCTGTTACTTCAGTAGTACTCCTGGGCCTTACAGTACTGTGCCAGCTGGGATCTTGATCAAAAATAAATTCCTTTGTGAAGTTATGCGGCCTTTCAATGTCCGCGACAAACTCAACTAGGTCCAGTTTCTGCACAAACCTTGGCTCGCAATGTCGTGGACCCTTCGGGCAAAGTCCAAAGACTACTCTGACGTGGAATCGAGTACCAACGTAGGGTGTTTCATGATGTTTGAAGCCGATAACCTTAGCGCCTTCGGCAAAGAGCGGATCCAAAATCACCATCGAATCTTTTGGAGCGAATTTTCGGTTCTTGTACTCTTCAAAAGCGTCTTCGATGACTTGCTGAAAACATTGACATAAACGAATTCCAGTGAAAGAAAGAGATTGCGCCTTTTGCAAAACGCTCTGTAGTCTCTCATGTAAAAGATTGGGGGTTTATCAACCAAAAAATTTCGTTGAAAACGTTGTCACACTGCGAAACTTTAACCAGAACATGCAGCTCTAATCTAAGCGGATTATTTCTACTCATTATCAAAAAATTTTTTTGTTTTTTACTTCTTATGTTCCTGCTGCCTACAATGAAGACTGTGAATTGAAAATTGCAAGAGGCAAATAACCCTTCAGCGTACCTTCACATAATAATTATTAACATCCATCTCTTTGTAATCCGTGACATTTAGCCCATTATTCTTCTCGAATGACGTCACTATTGCAAAAAGTCCACATAAAAAAGCTATCCGGAACATTTCCGGTATTGTAAAATAGTAAATATTAGTTGAAAAGAGGGCCTTAAAACAGACCGAACGCAATTTTTAAATTGTATTTTAAAATTCCCATAAAATTGGGGTGATTTTGAATTTCAATGCGAATGTTATTTGGTGATGTGGGATTTTTGGAACACCAGAAGACAATTCGATTTTTTGGAGACTTCTGGAAAGTTTAAACGCGTGATATAAAATTAAATACTGCAAAAAATTGCAGTAGGCCACATATTAGTTGCTCATCAACAAACAATACCCACTTCTAGCTCATTACAAGTGACCTTTCTCCTGCAAGTGGGAGTCATGTTTGCAGAGTGTTAAAAAGTGGATAAACCGTCGAAATGGGGTCTCATACTTTTCCTTCGCTTGGTCATTGTCTTAAAAAACTATAATATGGCCCAAAAAGTATTCTGCTGAACCTCAAAAGTATTAAAAATGCCGGGTTCTGGGGAGGATAATGTTGTAAGTATAACAAAATTATTTTTTGGTCAATGCATTCTCTTTATTGAATTTAGGCTATTCAAATCGACGGTGACGACGATATTGGGTATGAAGATGTTTATAATAGCACAATAGAAGCTAATGGCAGCTCAAATAAGGCATCATTACAACATCTATTGCCTACTGATGATGACTTAAAGTCGTTGCAATCTTCGGTCCATCAGTCATTGAAATCCGCGTAAGAAGATACATTTATTGAGTTAAACCACTGATCTTTTCTATTTAGAAAGTTAATAACAACCAAGGTTTTCGAAAAGTTGAAAGGCGCATTATCAGCAACGAAATTATGGTGGATTACAATTGGATTCTCATTCCTTGGCGGCTATTTATTCATGTGGCTGGAGGTCGAAGCCGATCTGGCAGTTAGAAGGAACGCATTTGAAGACCATCTGGTTTCAAGAGACGTGTTCTTATTCAAGTAAGTTTTGAAGAAAACATTGTTGGTTAAATGCGCATCCAACGACCAATAAGGCTATTTTTACATACCCACCCTCATGGGAATACTGTCGAGCATTTAGTCGGCGTTTAACTTGGGGCTTATAACAAAGCATGTCACGAAAAGTACCCCCATAGCTCTAACAAATATATCTCTTTAAAAAGCTGTAAATTGGAAACTGCCCCTAAGAAGTCTCGAATTAAACTGTCTGCATAAAAGTTGCCGTTTTCAGTATTGAAATGATCCACAACAGCAGCAGTCTCCGCAAGCGTCAGGAATGGAAAGATGCAATAATGCAGTTTGAAGAGCGAGTCGGCTGCAGATTGCCGGAGGTAAAAACTGTATGGACTTTCTGGATGAGTGTGCTGTATGCTAGCACAATATCAACCACTATCGGTAATTTCGTTTTAACATGCTAGTTCTTTGAGTAGCGCTTTTGAAGTACCGTCATTTTTAGGTTACGGTAACATTGGTTGCATTACAATGGCTGGGAGAGTTGCGACAATGTTGTACGCAATGATGGGGATTCCGTTATTCGTGGTAATCTTGGACAAGATCGGAACAATTTTGCTGAAGGCGTTAAAGAATATCAGTTATGTTGTTGATGACCTTTGGTTCTTTCTGTGTAAGTTTTTCCCATAAAATACGCAATTGTTTTTCGCTTTTTTCTTAAGTGCCTCCCCCTATGCTACAGTATTTTTCAAGTTAAAAAATCCTTTGAACCTATGAATTTCCAGGTGTCCGCTTCTACCCTTCCAAAGCCCGTGATTCGACAATCCGTCGGCGGTACAAAACTTTGTCCGTCAAGTATGCGCGACGCGGATTTTTTCGATACAGTGTTCCTCCATCAGAGTCCAAACACGTGGAGAAAGTGGAAGTTGTCGCGGAGAGGAAGATCACACCGAGAGATGTGGGTTCGATGTTTGTGAAAAACCCGGTTCGACCGGTGGATGACATCATTGAAATGGGAGATGCTGTAGAGCAAGTTGATGAAGTGGATGACATGGAAAAGGCGGTTCAAGAAGAGCATTTAGAGCCGACAGATAGCAGGCATATTCCTGTGGTCAATTTTGAGGAGGTAAGAGAGATAATGGACAACCTTTTGCCCCTAAAATGGGCAAAAAATACTGAATCGACCTAAAAATCTTGGCGGTTTCATCAAAATAAGTTTTACACTTTCAGCATTTATATTTTCGCTTTCAGAATCACACAAGCGTTGAAACCCGCCCTAGGCCCCTTCCTCGTCAAGGTTCCATTGAAACCGCTCATTCTCATCACAGTTCCAATTTTTCCAGCTCTCAGGCTACTGATACAAACCAATCGGAGGACTCCGAAGATTCAGCTGATGAGCAAAAAGCTCCTTTAGTTGAAGAAAAAGTAATAGAAAAAACGGAAGAAAAAGAGGAGGAAGAAGAAGAGGAAGAGAGGGACCCGCCCGTAATGGTTGCAATAGTCTTGACAGTCGGGCATATTGCCACTTTTGCAGCACTGTTTTGCCTTTGGGAAGAGTGGGACTACTTCACTTCTTTCTATTTTCTGTTCATTTCGCTTAGCACTATTGGTAAGTACTACAATACGTATAACAGTACAGCACATCTTAAAATAAATTTGCTTTGCTCTTTTTAGGATTTGGCGATGTCACTCCAGCATACCCCGAATATATGGTAGGGACATTTCTGGTCGTCTTAATTGGGCTGGCAATGGTTACGGTTTGCATCAACGTGATCCAAGAGAAGATTACCTTGATGTACATGAGAGTGCTGACGAGAATGCTGGAGGTGGGCATTCATTTTATGGAAAATGCGATGAAATCTCATAGAAGTTACAAATCATCTTGTTTAGCAATACATAAAGGCCCAAGAAGAAGGAGATCCAGAGGCGTTGAAAGGGTTTGTCGAAGGATTCAACAACAACGCCAAGTTCTTGATGCCTTTACTCAGTAAAAACGAGAGTGCCAAGGTGATGAAAAGATTCCGGCAGACCGCCAAGGACCGGGGGATCTCATTACCTCCGGCATTAACTGATATCGACCCGGAAACGGGCCAATTTTCGTTTTGCAATCAAAAGTCCGAGGATCTCGATGGATTCATCGAGAAGACGAATAAGGAGGCGCAGAGTGTCTTGAACTCTGCGAACTTCCAAAGAAACACTTGCGCTACTCAGACGACCTTCCATTGTAAAGCGAAGAAGGTTCAGACATCGGTGCCGGAATGGTTGTTGGCCAATAACAGCCAGGGATTACAATTCTCGGCCGAATTGAGCGACAGTGGAAATCAGACGGACACAGAGAGTGTGGATTCGGGAGTTCAGGTGAGAAAAGATTTTCTTTTGGATATTGGAACCGTCTTTATTGAAATCTTTACAGGTTGAAGTTGACATGGAGTCTACATACGTTCAATTTGATCACGAGTTTATTGACACAGCCGAAATTTCAACTTGCGTGGACGTTGTGTAAGTCAAAAAATTTTTGGAACGTAATGTGTCCACATATACACTACTATGTTTAAAATACGGATAATGACTTCAAACCTTTTATTTCAGCTACACAGACACCTCGATTCAGCCAGAAGTCTCATTTATCCGACAATTGATGGAAGAGGAAGAGTCTGGCTGGGAAATGAGTGAGTCGGAGAGCGACGATGACGTCACAGAGCATCATGAAGTATCAGAACGACGGAGAAGGATTCAAGAAGGCTTTCAAAGAAAGGCTTCGGATGATAAAAGGCATAGAAAGCACGATGGAAAAGATTCCGTGCGACAAATGAAGAGCAGAGTGGTCCAGGTAAGGAAATTGTAAACATTCTGGTTTAAATTTTCGTATACTTAAATTAGAATTTCCCCTAGGGCTTTTCTTCTTCTATTCTTCCTAATCCGCCTGCATTTCAGACCTCCGTTGAGCTCACATCCACCGAATCCCAGGCAGGCCCGTCCTCGTTCACCGGCTATAACGACTTCCAAACGATGACAGTAATCGCCAGAAAAGACGCTGAAATCCAGCCGGATTTAATCAGAATGAAGAATAACTTTACACAAATGAAGAGGAAGCTGAAAGACGCGGCGATCCAGAATTACCTTATAGACGAACTCCTGATCGATCTCGAAACACAGGTCGAGTTGGAAATGGTTGAAGCCGAAACTCAAGTACAACTTGAACATGTAGATCAAAATGATCAGACCGATGTGGAAACGAAGAATATGAATTGTCAAACAGAGGCTGTAGAATTTGTAAACATCAAGGCGATCAAGGATGGTATTTGTCAGACAGAAGTGAGCAAGTCAAACAGGAAAGCGCAGACGGTCTTAACGTATACATGCAAAAACATCGCAGATTATGAGGAGAGGAAAAAGGTGGGTGAAAATTTGTAAAAGCATCTGCTTAAACAAGGATTGTCGTAAATTGCCTAAAAAAGGCCGCAAATACACAAAGATCATCATATTACAGTAACTCACAATTTAATGATCTTTCGGATCTTCAGGCAGAATACAGTAAAGCCAAAGCAAAGTTCGAGAGGCAAAAGAAATCGCGGGCAAGTGCCGGAGCAAAGGAGAAAAATGCACTCGAATTGCACTCGGACGAGTTGGAAGTCCTCAAAACCAAACTTTTCAATCTGCGTCTGGAGCATGCCCGCAGGCAAAAAATGGAAAACGAGCCAATCGAGTTTGACGTTAGACAGGTAGAAATTACATTACTGTTAAAAAGTTTACATTGCCTTTTAAGGAAACCGAAAAATTACTCGAATTGTTGCAAAATCTACGAATCGCGGAGGGTACCATGGATAAGGAAGAGGTCAAAAGGCTATTTCAACAGTATCATTTTCCCATAGATATAATCGAAAAGGACTTCAACATAGACAGACTGATTCAATTATTGGAAGAAGATAGTCTAAATGGAGATGAAAGTGAGGATGATTTACTGGATGATGAAATTCAAATGTTCATGATCGCGAAAGAAGCTCAAACAGAAAATCCTACGGAAGACATTGGGGTCAGTTTGAAGGCTTTTTGGAAGTATTAGGTCCTGTGGTTTATGTGGAACATATGATTTGATTTTCTCGGGAAAAATTGGTAAAATACGTCAATGGGATTTAGGTCTGGAAATTTTAGTTGCGATACTAGATTTTCGAACCAAAAAAAAAACAAAACACGACTACCGCTATCATATCTAAGGTTTCTTGTCCTATTGATCCCCCGGATATAACAAACCCTTTCAGGTTGGAAATTATGTGGAATGGACTGAAACTTCGCTTCAAACTGACATCTCAGCCTTCCAGCGGGCTGAACAAGAAGTTCAATCTACCCCATCAACTGTTGAGTTTGGAATTCTATGCAAGGCTGAAGTCAAGGACAGCTCGGTATGCACAAAAAATTAGCTTAATTTGTCAATGCAAACTCCTTTAGGCAACAGCGAAACCAGAAAGTGTATCAAGTCTGATTCAAACAACTTCATCCATCGCGAATGAAGTTGAAAAAGAAGTACAAGCAAATCCAGTGTTGGTTGAACAACACAGTCAGGTGGAGACTGTCTTTGTTTCGGTGGGGCTGTCTCCACTGCAAGAAGTTATTGAGAGGGTAAGTTACGAGTATATGCGGTCAATTCATCATCGGATAAAAGTTTTATCGCTATCGTAACTCTGGGAAAGCATTTGCAAAACAAAAGTTTCCAGAACAAGCCTCCAGTAGAATCACAAGATACGCAGACAATCGTCAAAGAATTCACCGCCTCAGCCATGCAAACGGAAGTCAATACGGCGGAGAAGGTGAGTCATGAGTTTGAAAATTACATTCGTAATTGTTTTGTAGTAAAGGTAAAAACTCACTACAATGATACAATTTTTTACACATAAAAATGTTCCAGGAAACCGAAGCGAGGCCTTCAACCAGCTCAGTAATTGTTGATGCAATTCCCGCAACTCAAAACAACAGCACTTACATCAAAGTGATTTATAAGGATTCGGAATCTCAAAGCGCAATAATGACCGCTGAGTTGTCGATTCAAACAACTCCAAATCTCAAAGAATCGGAATGCCAAGCGACCGCGAACATGGTCGAAAAATCAGCACAAAATGAAATCGAATTTGCTGAAAAAGGCAGTCAGTCCCGAGTGTCTTCGATTAAGAAGCAGAAAGATGAAAAAGATGGAGAAGGAGGGCCAGAAACAGCATCTGATGATGTATTCTATCCTGTGGATAACTCGGTTCAATACGAAGATCCAAGAGAATTCGTGGAGTGTGGATGCAATGCGTTAGTGTCGATGTTCAAGAAAGAGAAAGTACAACGGAAAGAAGGCGAGACAGATGTAAGTAATGCAGTCAAGGTTTACAAAAAGGCCTTTAAAGCACCCTGTTTTTGCCAAAATACAGATTAAGTTTACAGAATCATACTTTTTACTAAAAATTAACTGTAACATAGACTTTTGATCTGCCCAATTTCTGTTGTATTTTGTGCAATGTCTTGGCATAGAAAACGAAACTTTTTAGGAGACCACAGAAGAGGAAAGTTACTTTTTATCCGACAACTTCACCCAACACGAGACAGAGCTCATAGAAATGGCAACCATGCCCGAAGTTTCCATGTTCAAACTACGGACTGATGGAAAGCAAGGAGCTGAACTCACTGACGATTTGGCAGGTGTAAGTCAATTCTTCCACGTTTGCGGCCACGCTACTATAAGAATTTTATTTATCGGGCTTTCATTTTGCAGCAGTCTCAGTTTCTGGTATTTAGCATGGAATTGCTACATCATCCATGTCTTTTATTAACGTTAAAATTACTTTATAGATCTGTTTCCCCAAGGACGCCGAAGTCCAGCACGACCGGGGCATGGAAGACAAAGTCGATTTTGCCCTTCAACCGCACGTTTCAATGTTCAGGCCAAAGAAAAAGCGACCGCAGTCTCGGCAGTCCGCCTCCGACCAAGCCGAACTGGACGATGATATCGACTTTATGATCGACTCGTTTACTCAGCACGGTTTCACTTGTAAGTATTCGTACTACCACAACAATATTACCCTCCTTTCCAGACTCCCATATTGCCACAGGTATGGATATCGAATACGCGAGTAAAGAAGTTACCGCAGTGGTTGAAACTCGAGCGTACGGAGTGCAAAGTGAAAGTGTTTTAGTCAATAACTCTGTTCAAACCACGCCTAGTGTTGCTCATATCGAAATACAAGCGGTTCCATCAACTTCGGAAGCAGCTACAATCCCCACAGTATCAATGTACAAGATCCCCAGTGAAGCGTCTGAATTTTATCGACAAAAATTAAAGGCCGAAGTGGGAGAAGTGCAATTCATGTTGGACAGTGAAAGTCAATACGACATAACCAATGAGGACAAAGAGTGTCAAGCCCAAGTGCAGACGCGAGATCATAGAGTTGGAGAGCATGTCATCTTCAAAGAAAATTCAACGCAGTCGTCGTTGTCGACGTTCAAAATAAACGAAAAGGAGTACCAGAAGAGAAGGGAGAGTATGGATCAAGGAGCCAGAGGGAATGGAGAAGAGGCGGATGTGGATTCGGTAAGGGAATAAAATAAATTTATGTCCCTGCGAGGGCACATCTTCACACAATGGTATCCGGAAGCCAATATTCATTGTATAACTGATATCAATCTGTCGGGAAAATAATGACGCATCTAAAATCGCATCACCGCAGGGAAAATGAAACAAAATTCCTTTTTACTTTAGTGACGCGATCGGCGCAGCGACGTTATGCTCATTATTTTCCCGACAGACTGATACTAAGCCTAAAAAAGCGTTTATACATTATAAATTCTTGTTGTTGGCGTTTTGCAGACGTATCATAAAGATACCACCACTCTTTTATTTTTAGCCAGAGGTCTATTTCCTCATCGATGCCTCCACTTCCCATGATTACTCCCTTCTTTCCACCGATGCCGAAACACAACAATCTGCCGACCTCAAACATAATGGACAACAAACTGTCTACAGCGGCACTATTGTAAGTAAAGTAATCATAAATTGTACTTGTTACTTTTTATGCGTCTTTTTTCGGCTGAACTAATATTGTTTTTGGCACAGGTGGATGCAGAGAGAACGCACGAAACTCATCTTGTGAATGTGAAAGAAAACCGCGCCGCGTGTTCGTTACGTGTGCCGTTAACGCAGCGCGAAACGACGACGATGAAGTTGAGGGAGCTGACAAAGGTGGAGAAGAAGGCCGTGAAGCGCGTGATCAGCCGGGAAGTTCAGACCAAGGTTGAAGTCAAGGAAATTGGGGTGGGGAGAACGGTGAGATGCGCTCCATTTGCCTGCCAAATGTCCGTTGATCTACATCATTGGGGAGTCCAGGTAAGAAATTCAGAAAGTGGGATACATATCTGATACCGAAAAATTTTAATAATTGAAAAAAATGGAATTAAAATGATCTTCTTTTGTTATAGACCATATTTGCAAAGCAACAGCTAAAATTTCCAAAAATTTATAAGATAATTGCATAGTGCAGATGACTTTTCAATCTTTTTCAGTGCGAAAGCCTCAACTCTCAATCCCAATATGCTCAAACTCAAATGGAAACTCGTAACATTGAGTCTCAAGCTGCTGTAGAATCATCTTCAGCGTCGATTCAAACCATCAAAATGAAGCCATCGATTCGAAATTCAAAGAAAATGCAAACCGAAGTGTTGCAGACCGAAATCAACGCTGATGTCTACGTAAGCCTTCAAATGACCGAGTCCAGAGAATCGGCTAGCCGAAAATGGAACTCCAAACGTCGAGTTACTCTTCGAAAACAGCTAAAATTATCCGATGTCAAGGGAATCCAGACCGAATCCACGACTGACGTTGTTTTTGTGGAGCCACCGCGAATAAATCGCGAAGATTTCGAGTGTCAGGTCAACATCTCTAAAGATCTCGTCGAATTCTCGGTTAATCAAGCCTTCCGCAAGCCAGCCAGACTCATGCGAGCCACTAAAACTTTGCCCGAACACGCTAAATCGACCGTTGAAAAGTCGATTGTCTACTACAAAGTAACTGGTATAACTCAAGTGCCAGCTGGACCAAAAACGAGCCGATTAATAAAACGACGACCGCTGAAGCAGCGAATCGAAGTGTCAACGCAAACCGAGCGAAAATCATTTGTTTCGTTCGCTATCGACGCTGAATTACGCTGCGAATCCGATGAACTCTACGCAAACGTTCGGCTCAAAACTCCGCGAGTCATCTCCACCGAGGCTAGAATACGAATGGCTAAGCCCAAGATTCAACCTAAAACAGCTAAGCCAATGCCAACTGAAAAGCTGAAATTGCCAAAAATCGAAGAAAGAGTTCAAGTGTCAAGTACAATATCAGAAATGACCCAGACGGAAAAAATTATTGCTCCGGATCAAGTTGCAGCCGGAGTTCAGACCCTCAGAGTCCCAAAAAGGACCTCTATGACGCAAACAGACGAGTTGCCTCCGGCACGAATCAGGAAGGTCTGATTTCCTGGCAAGTAGGGTGTTGCACTTGAATTGCTTGGTTTTAATGTATATTTTTTGTTAATTTTAGTAGGCTTGATGTGCTTATAACCTTAAAGTTTAAAAACGTTGCTATTTCGAATACTAAAATTATGACAAAAATTAATTTTTAGACCGAAATGTACCAAGCTTACAAGGCCGAACATACCCATGAAGCTTCAACCCAAACGGGAGTCCTGGCCCGGCTGGCCACACAATACAAAGAGCAGCCCACAGTAAGACATCTTATGGTCACAATTTTTGATTTGTCCCTATAATGTAATCTGCATAACGAACGTTTGGTTAAGGAAATGTAATCTTTTTATTTCAGCCTGACAGCCCCAAAACAAAGAAACCCAAATAATTCCCGCAAAGGGCGCTGTCCCTTGATTCTGCTTCGTAATTAATCTGCATATGTATTTATGTTGAATAAATTCGCATATAAACTTCGTATCTTATCATTTTCGACTATAGACTTGAAAATTACGGGTAACAGTCCAAAATTTTCGCCGACTTTCGATTTAAAAATCTCGGCTGTTTCTGGAAAGCGCGAGCTAACATTCTCGCATATATTTTTAGAAAAAATTACTTTAAATCTGCGCCAATTTTCATCAAAATCTGAGCGTCGCACTTGGGGTACTTCCCCTGTCAGCTATGACATGTCTTTCCGTCTAGAACCCTCTCAATTTCCCTTCATTTTTTTAATTCTAACTCCGAGAACGGTCGAGTTTGACCTTCTCATTTTGATGGAGAGATTACCATTTTCTGAACTTCTGAAGACCATCATTGGACTGTTTTTTGTATTCGTCGGATCAACAGTTGTTGCCATTCAATGTCAGAACAAGAAGAAGGAGAGAAAGCTCAACTTTGTGCAGGTCTCTTCGAATAGTAAGTTAGTATTTATAGCCACGTAAATACGATGATTTCATGGCCAAAAAATGGAGTTTTTAGGAAGCCTTGATTACAAAAAGAATGGAGAAATGGTTGTGCGAGTGGAGCACAGTCAACGGATATCCGTGCATGGCTCGGATGCGGATGAAGAGTTCCGGTTACCGGCTACAAATCGACTGGAACGAAGTCAGGTACCTATATACCTACAGGGTGCGCCAAAAATATTGGGACTAATATTTTTACTTGCCCTGCGGGCTGTAATGGTACAAGAGCGAAGTGGTCGCTTGTGCAAACGTGTAATGCTCCCAAGAATCCATCTTCAAAGTTTCAGACAGAGTAGTCCCATACGACACCTGTTCTGCCATTATAAGTGCTCACAACCAAGGCCCCTGAGACACGGACCCCAAAATGGTTAAAATTGGTAACACTTGCTTTACCGTTGCATGCTATGGGCAGAAATTCACTTTATATGACAGAGTAGCGGTCGCTTTTTATACACTAAAAATGATTTTTCCTAATAATGACGATTATACCTTTTACAGCCTGTCAAAGTCGGTCTCAAAACGCGCCGTTATCCAGAAAACTTCCATAAAATCAATGATTTTTATGTAGAAGTTGCAATGTATGATTCCCAGCATATTAGGCATCAGAGATACTTTTATAAGAACAACGAGAGTCTGACTAGTCGTCTTTGAAAAATTAATTTTTTATCTTCTGCCTCTGGGGGATGAAATAGTGACTACAGCGGTAGAGTTTACTCTAGGGTTGCTCGTCAAGTGAGTTTGGACTGAAGAACGCTAAAAGTTATTCGGTTATGTCAGCGTGTATCCCTAATGCAGCGTTGCGTCGATTTTTATGCTCAAACACTTTCCAACTTGTAGTAAACTGCCAAAATCTATCAAGTTTCAAAGGACCGTGCCTCCAATCCGCACCATAAAGTTTTTTCAATACAGAAACTGTCCCCTTGTAGGTGCAGATTTGCTTTTACAGTATAACAATTCCCAATGTACACGCTCCATAGCCACAAAATTTTAGATCAACATGGCGATACTATGGTATTGAGATCGTTAAAAACATAAAAATCCGAACTTTCGGGAATTTTTTTAGTTTTTGCGACCAGCGCCGCCAGATCGGTTGTCAACCATGATTACGCACACTGTTACGAAGTGAATAGCATGTGATTTATACACAATCAATTTGAAGAACCTTACTTTCCTTTAGCGGAAATAATGGGCAAATTGATTTCCCGGTCATCCATTTGAAAAGATAATTTTGGTCCCCTAAAAACTTTTGATTATTTTTTCAAGTTGTCAATAGGCCCCAACCCTGGCATTACCGTTGCTGTATAGCACGATAGTTACCCTTGCTAAAAGGCCTAAAATTTTTAATTTCTAGGCAAGCCGAAAGAAGCTACACGGAATTGATTTTTGTCCCAATATTTTTGGCGCACCCTGTACATAATATTTTTCAGATTTTTTGAGCGATTTGAAAAGTTTTAAGGATGTTGATGACAATAAAATCTCTAGTCATCCAATCGGTCATCATGACAATCCAATGAATAATATGTTGTTCCAATTTGTATCTGTAGCATTTCTACCTTAGAAATAGGCGAAATTTTGACAAAAAAATCAAACCCGATTTTTCACGCCATTTTTGGCATTCTGTTTCATAGACAGTTTCTACTGATAGAAAGTGCAGAAATATAGAAGTAGACTTAAAATGTAATCTACAGTTGTTTTGAAAGCGCAAGATGCTTTTTGTATTGATAAAAAAAAGCTGAGGAAGTCACATTTTAGCCAACTTTCATGTTGGGATTTTTGTTTCTATCGGTAAAATGAAGCCTAAAAATTATAGTAATGCTCACATTCCTAAACTATAAAACCTTAAAATTCCGATCTGTTAAAATTTCTATTTTGATCCCATTTTCGCATAATTAAAAATAGTTGGACAAACAAACGTAAGAACTCATTTCCAGGTCAACACACTTCAACGGACAGAAATTACACAACTAACGGATTCCATGAACATAAAAAAGACCCAAGAATCTCAGTTGAGTTCGGATGGAACTCAAAAACAAAGTGAAGCCAATAGCGGCAGAAATAAAAAGGGAATCAAGAGGATGAGTGCGATTCTCAAAGGGGAAAAGGTACTTTTTGAGGTGTTCTTGATTTTTTTGGGTTATTGGATTATGAAAATTATTTTATCCAATTATTACCTTTGTTGATTCTTTTGCAAGATTTTAAATTTCATTCCAATTCCCGAGATTTTTACAATTTTTGGGAATTTTTTTTAATCCAAATTTTTCTTGCATCTTTGAGACTTTCTTTGTTATTTTTAAACCTTGCTTTTTTCAACTTGCCGAAAATTTTAGGAATCCAGTCGGCTGGGAAAAAAGAAGCCAATTTTCATTCCGAACAAAGACCGACCAAAAGAAAACCCCGAGCATGATCACCGGGAGAAAACGGCTCTCATCAAGTCCGCTACGAAGGACGAAAATCCTGCTGATATCATCGAATGTTCAACTCAAGTCATGTGAATAAATCATTTTTTGTTGCGTTTTTGTAAATGGATGAGTTCTGGTCATTACATGTAGTTATGGCAATTTCAATGGAGCTTCAGTACAACAAAACCTCCCATAAAGAAAAGAGTTTTCATTATTTTGCTATTTGTTCTACAGAAAACTGAATTCAAATTTTTTGGCGGAAAAAGGCAAATTTTATTGTTGATAAACATGACCTGAAAGTATAATAAATAAAGTTATGACAAATTTACAATCAATAAAAGCCGAATGGACCAAACAACAATCACAAGACTCGTCCTTATTCTCGGTTTCAAAAAATGTTACAGTAAGACCGTTAGAATACGCTGAAGAAACAATCTCAACCGGTCGAATGAGTAAACCTCTTTTTTTTGTCCCAAAAAACTATCTATTTAGATATAGCTTGAAGTGGCTGTTTGAACAGCTTTAAATGCGGAGTCTGATAAAGTTCAAAAATATATGCCGTCATAGTTTGTAAAACTACAAAAAAAGAAAGAAATTTCAGCCTACACAGGGATGCGACACCTTCAGGCAACCATCGTACATGCAGCGGCAATTTTAGGCACTAAACTCAGACCGCTAAGCTAATGGCTCACATAGCTTAGAGTTACCCTGAAGCTCGGATTTGATTCAGGTGAAAACTTGCCGCTTTGTTTGTAAATAAAAATTTAAATTGGAGATGACGCAAAACGCCCTCGCTCCCGTTTAGATTTTTCAAGTCGTATACAAGATAATACCATGTGGGAGACAGGTCTGTGCAAATAAATAAAATCCTCAAATATTCACAAAAAAGGATTTGCAACCAAAAATAAAGTGGCAAATCAACGCCTACTTGGTACACAGTTCCGACATCACTTTTTAGACACTATTATTGATAGATATTTAAAAGAAAAATGCTCTTTTAAACGTATTAGATCAAGTTGGCCATGATGATCTCAACTGTTCCTTTTGTTTTCTTACTAAGCCTGCCACTGTATTACTGCTTTGACGACGAAGTTTCGACTACAATGAGTCCGTTGTTCATTCATAACATGCTGGAGCAAAACAAGTTCATTCGATATGTGGAATCGTTGCCGGTGAAAAATGACACAAAGAACACGATGATGATGGTGGCGAGGATTAGAAAGCAATTGCCAGAGAGCGATGATTACAACACGACCACTTTCTTGAGCTACATTGCACAGTAAGTTGGAGTTTTTACTTTTATTGGACAATATCTCCTTTTTTTCAGTTTCGACAGGTACTACCCCGATGAAAGAGACGCAATGTACAAGTTTACCACCATTCGGACATCCATGAACGAAATAAAATCGCTTCAAAAGGAGAACCCTGAGGCTGTTTTTGGGTTGACTAAATTCTCGGATATGACTACGAAACAATTTGTCGCCACAAGGACATGTGGCGGAAAATTTAACCCTTTATCGCACTTTGGTGTTGGAAAAGGTGAGAAAAGTTTTTTCTGAGGCCTCAAGGAATTATTCATTGAGTCAAGTCTCACCTTCGAAGTCCAGTCGTCTGTCAATCCTTCCTTCCTTGAGCCGATGCTTGATCCTCGGGTCAAGTCTTTCTTTCTTGGGTCAAGTTCATGTTTGCTGAGGCAAGCTCTTCTTTACACGCAAAAAATATTCTGTTGATGAATTTTTTCCACCTTTGCAGACTCAAAAACCTTCAAAATGGCCCCTCCAAAACGTCGTTGTCCAGACTCCTTTGACTGGCGACGTCAAGGGAAAGTAACCCCCGTAAAGGACCAAGGACAATGTGGCGCTTGCTACGCCTTCGCCGCTGTAGCAGCGGTCGAAAGCCAACACGCCATCAAAACCGGAAGAAAGGTTCGTCTAAGTGAGCAAGAAGCGATTTCCTGCACTTATCTCTCGCTTTGGTATGGCTTTAATTTGGGATGCTATGGTGGGCATTCTGATGGAGTTTTGAACTACATAAAGTATTATGGCATCGGGAGTGAGAGAGACTTTCCATCAGTTTCCTCAGTGAATCAGAGTGTTCCATGGTGCCAGAGGAAAAAGAGAGTAGCTAGAATTTCAAGACAAGAAAGGTTGATCCCAGGAGATGAGGAGAATATGAAAAATGTACTGAGAAACGTGGGACCCGTTGTTACTTGTAGGTTGACAATTAGTAATATTATAAAGCGAATAGAAAACGCCAGATACTTTCAACTCGCTAAACTGTAACGAACCTAGCGTCTATACCCTTTTGCAGATATTGATGCCGAGCCTCTGAAAAACTACAAACGTGGGATCGTCCGCAGCAGTGGACGCGCTGTAAATCACGCTGTTCTAACAGTTGGCTACGGCCGTAACCATTGGATAATCAAGAACTCCTGGGGCAAGAACTGGGGAGAAGATGGATACTTCGGGGTAGCCAGAGGAAGAAACGCCCTCAAAATGGACGAATTCAACTTTGCTGCTTTCAAATAAGAAATTTGCTTTTCAAAATGTAAAAATATTCTCCTATATGAAAAACGGAAGGTAAATGTATAGAAAAATCCCTAGAAGAATTTTGTTGAATCCAAAAATAAAAGGCATTGGGCCTTGGTTGTTTTGTCATCAGGAAAAAGTGACTTGGGGCCACACACTATAGGAAAAACAGACATCGCAATTTGAGGAAAGCGGCAAACAGAATACAAATACTTCTTTTTGTCGCTTGTTGCCTAGCCAAATCCATTATTTACTAGTTAAGAACAACCTTGTCCCACTCCCTCTTCCGCTACACATCCCACAGTTTTTCCGCCGGCCTCTAACGAAAAATTATCCTGCGCCACTATGTTCAAATTCAGAAGGAGCTCGAAAAAACCAAGATAAAAAGGAAAGGAAACTCACTTTCTCGAATACAACTTGTGAAAAAATATTCATAAATTGACTGACAAACCACAGGGTATGTCAAATGTTTGAAGGTATAACAAAAAAAAGCCGGCCGAGGTGACACAGAATTACAAAATCGGTATGAATAACATATTTGAGGTGCGAATGTGCAAACTTTGCCAAAATACAATCAAAAGGCGAAAAAAGACCGTTCGAGTTGGATAAACACGTAAAATCTGCAAACATTCATGCGGCCTGTCAAGCCTACAAATATCTGATTTTTGACATTTTCTATTTCCAACCGGCCATTCAATTGTAGACAAATCCAATGGCAATGCAGTATACAACGCTCTGACTACTAATCGCACTACCTACCTGCTCTTTCGACCCTACTGAAGAAGTTGCATTTACAATGAGCCCGTTGCCGATCCCTACAATGCTGGAGCAGAACAAAATTGTGCGCTATGTGGAAAGCATTTTGGTTAAAAACGATACCAAGAAGACCATGATTGCTGGTCGCTAGGATAATATTCTTATGATCGTTAAAATATGAAAGCTGAGCAGGGGAAGTAGCAAAATTCTAACAAGAAAGTCTTAGTGCCCCGCCTGAAAGATTTTCCTTCTTGCTACACCTACTAAAAATAATTCTGCACTCTGAGCATGATTTGCAAAAATTCTACGGTATGTGAAAAACAATTCCTCGACCAGAGTTTATACCCAGAAAAACCTGTGTCAACACCAACTTTGATAAGTGGGCCAACTCGTACATAACACAATACAGTTGTCACAACAAACTTTGCAAACCGACAAATATGAGTAGCCTAATAGACTGCAAATCGTAAATCAAGCAAAAAAACAACGGCACATTCCTAAAACAAACGGAAGTCCCGTGTAACCACTTTGGGTACATAATTTGTCTTTGCACTTTGACATTTACCACCACAAAACCGTGATGATAATTATTATACAGAAAGTGTGAATATTGTGGCTTATGGGGCTTAACAGCCTGTTTACAAAAAAATTGGGAATTTATTGATAACCTACAGTTTCTTTGTGTCGCTATACTACTAAATAAATATAATAATCGATATAAAAGTTGGGCTCCCTTCATCCTGCTTCTCGTCTTTTTATCTTTTGTAACCGGAAAATCGCTATATATCGTACAACAGATTGCTAATTTTATTACATAATTAAGCCGCATTTTTGCCGTTCCAGACAGGAACCGAAGCAGTTCAAAACAAAGAAAACGACAAACCTTATCTCAAACTAGTTAACGGAAACGATACGAGCGTAAGCGGTGGTTTCATCACTGCACAAACAATGAATAATCGGATATCAAAATGCAACGAAAATACTTCTGAATTCATGAACTTGTGGCCGCAAAGTTTGTAGTCTAACACCAATTATAATATGTACAATTGAAACTTTTTATCTATGCAAAACGGAAACCGTACCATGGCTGTGATGACGGTCGTATATGCAGCCAATCGGGCTGTTCAAACAAAAAAGTGCCTGATTTATCGTCTCCGCCCCAGGGGTAAATTTCAAAAAAAAAGGAATGCACACCCACGGGGCGAACTTCCATATGCAAATAATCCCCGCGTATAAAAGGCAGTTAATCACCAATAAAAGTCACACTTCAAACTCGATTCGTCCCCGGAATCATGTTCGCTCTGGCGATTTGCCTGCTATGTGTGCGATTTGCATATTCGTTCGACCATAGTGGCGAAGTTTCATCCACAATGAGTCCGCTGCTGATTCATAGCATGCTGGAGCAGAACAAGTTCATTCGTTACGTGCAAACTTTGCCTGTTGCAAACAATACCAAGAATACGATGCTGATGGTCGCTAGGATCCGAAAGCGTCTGCCAGAGGACACGCATTACAACACGACCACATTCTTGAGCTATATTGCACAGTAAGTTAAATTTCCGACGGCGTTAACAGGCCTAGACTTCAATGGCTTAAAAACTATACCTAGGAAAGACTACTACTCCTCTAACAAAATCATGCTTTCAGCTACGACAAAACCTACTCCAACGAATACGAAGCCGCAGAAAAGTATAAGAACATTCGTTATTCAATGGACGAGATCGAAGTTCAACAAAAGCAGAACCCTCTCGCCGTTTTTGGGCTCACCCAATTCTCGGACATGACAACAAGCGAATTTATTGCAGTACACACGTGTGGAAGACAGACCAAGCCTATGTCTCATTTCGCGAGTAGACTTGGTAAGATTTTGCCAATTTACAAGCAAATTTTGCAGTGCTTCCAGTCTCAAATAATGCCAAATTTAGTCGCAAAAAGTATCGCAGAGACAGAGAAAACTCTCTTTCAAAGTCAATCTCGTCTAGTGTAATACTTTGTGACTCCTTTTCGGCCTTATTTACTACTGAAACCGGACCAACATTCAATCATTTTCTTGTTTACCAAATCCCTCAATATTTTCCTGTAAGATTCGTTTTTTCCAGAAGAAAAACCCTTAACCATTGCGTCGCCCCGTGTTCGCGCCGATGATTCATTCGATTGGCGAAGCAAAGGCAAAGTTACACCTGTCCGGAACCAAGGAAAATGCGGATGCTGCTATGCTTTCGCCGCTGTAGCAGCCGTCGAAAGTCAACACGCCATCAAAACGGGCAAGCAACTCCATCTCAGCGAACAAGAAGCCATCTCCTGCACGTACAAAGTCGCAAAATACGGCAACAACAATGGCTGTAATGGTGGACAATCGGACGGAGTGTTCAAATATGTGATCGACAACGGACTCACAACGGAAAGTAGCTTCAAAACCGTGTCGCCAACGACGTTGCAAATCCCAAAATGCAAAAAGGGCCGAGCTGCGGCAAGAATCAGCAGGCAGTCGAGATTGCCGTCTGGAGACGAGAAGAGCATGCAGAGCATGGTCAAATCCGTTGGACCTATCGTCACTTGTAAGTAAAAGGAAACATTTTTATACAAAATCAAAGCAGTGGGGCAAAGCCCGATGTTGTAGACGGACTTTCTAGCCTTTTTTAAACGTAAAAGATCGCAAACGTTTGTCAAAAACGCTTGGTCAAGACTTTCTACAACGATATGCAACCCTTCAAAACTAATTTTCTGGAACAACCTCCATTTTTCAGACATTGATGCCGACCCATTGAAGAATTATCGAAGCGGAATCGTTTCAAGCCGAGGGGGTCAAGTCAACCACGCTGTCCTCACCGTAGGCTACGGACGTGATCACTGGATCATCAAGAACTCATGGGGAACTTCATGGGGAGAGAAGGGATACTTCCGAGCCGCCAAAGGAAAGAACACCCTGAACTTGGCGGAATACAACTTCGCTGCCTATAAGTAAATCTGAAGCATTTTGTCTAAAATTAATAAAGCATAAATGACTGCGAGTTTAAAGAGAGCCCTTATTTCGAATCACTTTGTGAATTCTTGACTTTTGTAACAATATATATCACTGACTGAAGGCCAAGGCTGGACCTTGAATCAATTTTTTTGAACGTTTAAAGCAAAATGGAGAGAAACGGGACAAATATCCGGCCGACAGAGCAAAATAAATTTAAACAATTTATTCCTAAGCATTCTCAGCCCTCAAGGCTGAGATTCTATCGCCCGCAACCTGCTGATACTCCTTAAACTTCATGTGGAAAGTGGAGAGACCGGACGAGACTGACCTCAGAGAGCGAGCCAGACCATCGCTCTCGCTCAGAGGAAGTCTCGCTTTCACGCCTGTGGCAGAAGAATCCAAAATCTCGGCTCTTCTTCTGGTCAGTTCATTGATGATGGACGAGATTATTCCCTCCTTTTGGCCGATTACTTCCACTTCGAGGTCCATTAATGGTTCCACGAGGAAAGTTCCGCTCTCTTTCAGTGCTTTGGAGACCGCTTCACTGGCACAAGCGCTCAGCAAGGCGGTGTTGATGCGACCCCCACTCACATCAAGACGTCTGGAGACAGAACAATGTCAAACCACCGTACACAACTACATAAAGTCTTAACCAAAACATACCGAATCTTTATGCCGACTCCCTGGACTGGATATCCGAGAACGGGGCCATTGAAGAGAGCGTTCTTAACACCTTCATTGATGGCATTAAGCCATTCGCGCTTGATGAAAGGGGCATCTTCTTCTTCCAGAGCAATTTCCGCCTAAAAAATCTTATATTAAGCATAGTTAGCCACCTTCTTGAACGGTGTTGAAACAGAGACGGGCTCCAATTCAATCTTCAAGGTGCACCATTGGGTTTTCTGGTCGAGAGTGTCTTCAACTGTAGCCGACACTTCACTTGTACTATGAGGAACTTCTTTGAAATTCACCTACAAAAATAAAAAAAATAATTAAAGTAGAGATTGGACAGAAAAGTACCTAGATAACACTCAATTCTTACCCTCATTTTGCCCAAGAAAACGTCCAGCCCGTACTCTTTCTTCAGGCGATGCTTCAACACTTCAATATGTAACTCGCCCATACTCTCGACGATCATTTGGCCCGATTCCGAATCCGTTCTGACTCGAAAAGAAGGGTCTTCGATGCACAATTCTTCGAGCGCCTTTTCCATTTTCACCGCCATCCCGATGTTCGGAGGTTCCACCGAGCAAAAGAAGGCCGGCTCTGGATACTGGATGCCATGGAGAATAAAGGGATCGCCCCGTCTTGATTCTGTTACAGTATCCCCGGTTACAGCGCCCTCCAAGCCAGCGATGACTGCAATATTCCCTGCCTCGACTTTTTGCACGGGTTCCAGGTCATCGCTGAATGGAATGAACAGTTGATGTGTGTGAGTGTGGACAACTTCTTTGGCCACATTATTCAGATTGACCGGCTGATTGGGAGCAAGTTCTCCTTTGTAAATTCGGACAAAGTTGAGCTGGCCCTTTCTTTTGTCATGGCCCACCTAAAAACATTTTTCAAAAAATGCATAAAATTTCGACGTACCTTGAAAACGAGTCCACAAGTTGAGATGTACTCGGGGATTTCGTTAACCATAAGATCTGGCGAAGGAAGATAGTCCACAATCATATCCAACAACGGCAACACCGATTCAGTGCTTCTCAAGGCAGTTCCGCTTGAAAGAGCGGCCAATTTGGTCGACAATGTGCACCGCCTGAGGGCGGAGATCACATTTGAAGTCGCGATCTTGCTGGTGTCCTCAGTGGACAAGAATTTATCGGCGAACCTGTCATCGTGCTCAGCGATGATCTCAAACAACTGTTGTCTTCCTTGGAGCAGGAGGTCAAATTCCAAAGATTGTGTCTAAAAAAGGAAAGGAATAATTTCATTAAAAGTGATTACCTTTATGGGCTCCCAATTAGTGGAACCAATCAACAACACGGTACTTTCGAGAACATTTAGAAATCCAACAAGCTTCTCTTCCTTGAAAAACGGAACGACCAATGGGGCCACTGAAATTTCTGCGTATATATTATATTAACCATGATACCTGCAATTCCAAGTTTTTGCTGAATGGAGTCGATTGACATTGAATAATCAGCATTAGGCTTGTCCATTTTGTTTACAAAGAAAACACTTGGCAATTTGTTCCTTGACGCCTGTTTCCATACCGTCAACGTTTGTGCTTGAACACCAGCGGATCCATCAAGGACAACAACCACTCCATCCAGAATCCGGACACTTCTTTCCACCTCGAAAGTAAAATCTACATGGCCTGGAGTATCAATTAAATTTATTCTTTTGTCTTTGTAGAATGTTGTAACCGCCGCTGATTGGATTGTGATACCTAAACAATATAAAATTGATAAAAAAATCAGACAAACCTCTTTCTCGCTCCATGTCCATAAAATCGGTGACAGTGTTTCCCTTGTCGACATCTCCAACATATTTCGTAGTTCCGCAGAGATACAGTATTCTCTCGGTAACTGTGGTCTTTCCAGCATCAATGTGAGCGATGATCCCGATGTTCCGAATGTCCCTGATAGATGTCGATAAAAATCTCTATAACAACAAATAAAATTGGGGGAGGAGAGTTGGTTACTTACTTTGAAAGAGCATTGTGAAAACTGAAAATTTCGAACAATCATTTTCCGAAACCGCCGCGGCGGTTTCAAACGGAAGAAAAGTGGGTTCTTCCTTTTTTCTTCTTTGAAGCGGGGGCGCAGCTCGCGGAATCCAAAAATGTCGGGTTTCTACTGTAACTTCGAAACTAACAGTCAAACTGAAACATGTCTATTCCACGATTTTTCTTCGGCCTGATAACGAATGAAAAATATCCCAATGAAATTGTTCTAGGTTCATCAATACCGAAAATGTCAAAACGGTCGACTGAGCATAATTTCTAGGATCCTACTGTAATCTCATTTGATGTGTTTAAAAATTTTAATTGTATTCTGAGATTAACTGGTCTGAAAAAATTCATAATACTATATTTTACTTTTTAGAATCAATTACATCCACTTCTCATGAAACGGTAAGATTTGTTTTGAAACGTTCCATCGCGATGCATCGTATAACTTCGTTTTTGCAAGCTGCGCATTATTGTTTTTCCCCAACCACGAATTTTCGCGAAATAGACTTGGACTTCGTGTCTTATTGACATTATTGACAGTCTATAGACTAGTCTAATGTCTTTCTTTGTGAGGTTTCCGTAAATTTGTCTCCTTTTAGGCGTACTTATTGCTCTTGAATCTTGTTTTAGGTAACAGAATAACAATGTCACTCCGTTTGGGCAGAAATGTTGCGGTTTTGGTCCATTCGACTGCTAAATTGTCCAGCAGCGCTTCGTTGTCGGCTGTCTCCAACGATGAGGCCATGAAGAAGTTTAGATCACACATTTTGCCAAATTCAGAGGTAGGTTAATGTTTTTCTGGTTGTTTTCGAGTTTAGGCCTAAATTTTATCATGTATAAGGTCGTCCGCCATCGCTAGACTTAGCTGATGGTCTCAGGTCACTACTACAACCTTTTTTCGGATAAGGTTTTTGGGATTGTTGCAAAGGCTTCTCTTATTTTGATACGATGTACATCTCCTCTTTTCAGCGTCTCTATGCCCGTTATGGCGGTCGTCAGACTGTTACTGCCTTACCAGGCGATGGTATTGGGCCCGAGATGATGGAGCACATTCAAAGAATCTTCCTCTTCGCTCATGTTCCGGTTGATTTTGAGGTCGTTCCGATTGGCTCGTCTGATATTACTGACCCTGAAGGTGATTTGCAGAACGTCATCAGCTCAATTAAGAGAAATGGCGTCGCTTTGAAGGTATTTAGAGACATTTCGTAGATTTTATTTTGATGTTATTAGTTTTTGATCTAAGTTTGTATTGTTTTAGGGCAATATCGAAACCAAATTCGATAATCCCGAATTCAAATCGCGTAATATGGAAATTCGTCGTATCCTTGATCTCTACGCCAATGTTCTTCATTGTGTATCAATTCCAACTGTCCCAAGTCGTCATAAGGAGCTCGATATTGTTATGATTCGAGAGAACACTGAAGGAGAGTATTCTGGACACGAGCATGAAGCCAAAAAGGGTGTTGTTGAGAGTCTGAAGGTGAGTGAACTTTCCTTATTTCATATCCTTGAAGTTTAGATTGTAACCCGCGACAAAATGGAGAGAATCACCAGGTTCGCCTTCGAATACGCCAGAACTTACAATAGGAAAAAGATCACTGCTGTTCATAAGGCTAACATTCAGAAGCTGGGTGATGGATTGTTTTTGAGAGTGAGTTGGGTTTTAAGGAAGATTTTCAAATACCGTTTTGTCATATTTCTAATCGAAACTATGTGTTTGCTCCGACAGCTTAGAATAGTTCTAAATAATTTTTTGTAGTTATACGGTGTCTAGTGTAATATAAAACTTTTTTCGATTGCCACTGAAATGGCCCGAGACGAGTTCCCAGACATCGAATTTGAATCGATGATTGTGGACAACGCCTCAATGCAGCTCGTCTCAAAGCCTGCTCAATTCAATGGAGGAATTATGCTGATGCCGAACTTGTATGGTAAGATTACAATTCTTTCGTTTGTATTTAGAAGTTCAAAAGCATGCGAAAATTTGTATAAATGGATGGTCTCGTAGGACTGGTCCGTCATGATAAAAAATATTCCCATTTTTAGGCAACATCATCTCCAATATCGCCTGCGGTTTGGTTGGTGGGCCGGGACTAGTCTCCGGAATGAACATTGGAGAGCATTACGCAGTCTTTGAAACCGCCACTCGCAACACTGGCACCAGTCTGGCCGGCCAGGACAAGGCCAATCCGACTGCCTTCATCCGAGCTTCTTGTGATATGTTGACATACCTCAACCTCTCGCAGTACGCTGATTTGATCTCGGACGCCCTCTTCAAGGCCTTGACGATCGACAAAGTCCATACGCCGGACATTGGAGGCACTGCCAATAGCTCAGGGCTTGTGGAAAAAGTGTTGGACCATATTGAAGTCGACATGACTCGATTAGGAAGGAAAGTCACTCATTAGGATAGGAGGCACAAGATATTTTGGTCTTTTTTTTGCATTCCGATGGTAGTATAATATATGTTCCTGGTAAAAAAGTTTCTTATGCGCTAAAAAAATTTTATGTAGCGATTTGTCTAAAATTTGGTGTAAAATCACTTGAAATTTGCCATTTTGAGCTTTTTAAAATCGAATAATTCCGTCAAAATTGTGTCTCAATTCCAAAAAGGTGTTTATTTTGTCTTGCATGAAAAACCTTTAACGATTGTGTGATTAAAACGATGAGTTTTGGTCTCGTTTAGTCATGTTTTTTCGCTTAATTTGAAGTATAGGTCACAATAAAATTGAAACTTTTGAATGTATAATATTGGGGGAATAAAGAAAGGGAAATTTGAGCCGAAAAAAGGTTGAGCGCGCACTTTATTTTGCAATAATTTAAGGATGGTATTTATTCTCAAGCGTAGACGGCGTAGTTCCAGTCAGCCAACTGAAGACTGTTCTTGCCTCTGACAACGCGGAGGTATCCCTGTTCTCCCCAATCGTCGCCCCAAGAGTTCTTGATGATCCAGTAGGGAGTTCCGTTCTCCTCGCCGTATCCAACACTCAAAACACCGTGGTCGACAGTCCACCCTTTAGCGGGCTTAGGCGCGTCCAGAATACCGGATACGTAATCCATCATCTGGGTAGAGTCTACGTCTGAAAGATAATTGTTGGATTTAGTGAGGTGTTCGACTTGTAATAACTCTAACACTACAGGGTGCGCCAAAAATATTGGGACAAAAATCAATTCCGTGTAGCTTTTTCCGGCTGGCCTTGGAATCAAAACTTTTGGCCGTTTTAGCAAGGGTAACAGTCTTGCTATACGGCAGCGGTAATGCCAGGGTTGGGGCCTATTGCAAACTTGAAAAAATTTTCAAAAGTTTTTGGGGGACCAAAATTTTCTTTTCAAATGGATGAACGGGAAATCAATTTGGCCATTATTTCCGCTAAGGGAAAGTAAGATCCTTCAAATTTATTGTGTATAAAGCACATGCCATTCACTTCGTAACAGCGTATGTAATCATGGTTGACGACCGATATGGCGACGCTGGTCGAAAAAACAAAAAAAAATCCCGAAAGTTCGGATTTTTATGTTTTTAACGATCTCAATACCACAGTATCGCCCGTGTTGCTCTAAAATTTTGTGGTTATAAAGTGTGTACATAGGGAATTGTCATACTGTAAAAGAAAATCTACACCTACAAGGGGACAGTTTCTGTATGGAAAAAACTTTATGGTGCGGATTGGAGGCACGGTCCTTCAAAGCTTGATATATTTTGGCAGTTTACTACAAGTTGAAAAGTACTTGAGCGTAAAAATCGACGTAACGCTGTACTCCGGATACATGCTGACACAACTGAATTACTTTTAGCGATCTTCAGTCCAAGCTTACTTGACGAGCAACCTTAGAGTAAATTCTACCGCTGTAGTCACTATTTCATCCCTCAGAGGCAGAAGATAAAAAAATAATTTTTCAAAGACGACTAGTCAGACTCTCGTTGTCCTTATAAAAGTATATCTGATGCCTAATATGCTGGGAACCTTACATCGAAACTTCTACATAAAAATCTTTGATCTTACGGAAGTTTTCTGAAAAACGGCGCGTTTTTAGGCCGACTTTGACGGGCTGTAAAAGATGTAATCGCCATTATAAGTAAAAATCATTTTTAGTGCATAAAATGCGACCGCTACTCTGTCATATAAAGTGAATTTCTGCCATAGCATGCAACGGTAAAACTAGTGTTTCCAATTTTTATCCATTTTGGGGTCCGTGTCTCAGGGGCCTTAGTTGTGAGCACTTAAAATGGCAGAACAGGTGTCGTATACGACTACTCTGTCTAAAACTTTGAAGATAGATTCTTTGGAGCATTGCACGTTTGCACAAGCGACCACTTTGCTCTTGTACCATTACAGCCCGCAGGGCAAGTAAAAATATGAGTCCCAATATTTTTGGCGCACCCTGTACTTACAAGTCACAATAGGACCAACGCTGGAAAGATATTGGGCCATTTGTCCTTCATCTCCTTGAGGAATTAGTTCCTGCTTTGAGATCTTAATGGAGGTCGGTTTGGATACACATGGAGGGATTTTTTGGTCATCGCCGGAAGTGTATTTCCATTGACTTTCCGTGGTCAGTCCATGGTCGATGGCATACTGCAGAACTCCTCCAGCAGACCCTCCGTCGCATCCATTGTTGTTGTCGTATTGCTCCTGCTTATAGGTGCAAGACACAGCCTGTTGTTCACTGAGATCGACCTCTTCGCCAGTCTTGATCTTATGCTGACTTTCGATGGCTCCGATGGCGGAAAAGGCGTAACAACATCCACATTGCTTCTGCCTCTTGACCGAAGTCACTCCGTTTTTCTCTCTCCAATCGAATGAAGCGGGAGCATCTCTTTTGGCACGAATTGGAGTGGCTGGACTGGCCGTAGAATGCAATTGTTTAATGTCCTTGACGCCTCTGATACCCGTGTATTTCTCCTTGAATTCTTGAGGACTAAGGTCAGAGAACATGGTGGGTCCAAACTTGGCCAACTTGCTCGCCTTTTGGAGGGCTTCGACCCTCTTGAGGGAGTCTCTGAACTTTTGGAAGCGCTCGGAGACGGTGGAATTGTCCTTGTATTCCTTGTTGAATCTAAAGATCAAGTACGTTTAGTTTGATAACTATTGCGAAAACGTAGTACTTACTGAATGATGTATTGGAAAAAGTTGTTGAAGTCCTCTTTGGCCGAGGCATCAATCTTGTCATGAAGTCCTGAAGCCAGTTTCAACGCTCCCTTGGTGTTTTCGGTGACATTCTTCAAGTTGCTGATGAAGTCCTGGATCTTGTTTCCCTTGAAGAGGCCTTCGAACTTGTCCAGATCGAGCAAATCTCCCAAATCTTTGCCGAAATCCTTTAAGAGCGAAGCCGAAGCTACAGTAGTCAACACAAGTAATGACAGAAACGGTCTCATGATCGGATGCGGACAACCGAATGGCCGCTGTTTGACAGTGATTGCACTGAACCTTCACATCGCTTTATATAGTGCTAACAACGAAAGTGATGGGCAGTTGTGAAAACAATGAGTTCCGGCTAAATTGAGATTTTCACGGACACAATCCTTGAATAGGTGCGGTTCCAATGCTTCCCTTTAAAATTTGTACTTTGTATGTTTGCATTGCTTGAAAAGAAGGATGTTCAGTCCTGTACTATTAAAATTTTTGCTCGTTTTTCACTTCCGTCGGCTTCAGAGGTTCAACTTTTTCGAAAACCAACTAAAATTTGATTTTTTTGTAGCCAATGTTTGAACCTTTACGGAAGTTCATTCAAATTCTAAACTTCGGATCCAAACAGATCAAAAGGGTGGGATAAGTAATAAAAAAGCTGGGAAGGAACGGTATCACTGTACAAATAAAACATTTTCGAATATATATGTAAATAATTTAAGCCATAAATAGTTTAACGAACTTTCAAACCCCCACTCTTCGATTTCGTTGATTCTTTGGATTCAAGTTGCCCATTGGTTTTGAAGATAGTACGATGTAGACAACGAGATCGAAGGTTAAGTCAGACAATTGAAGCTTTTCAGCAGCCTGCTTATGATGACTAGGCAGTGTTTGTAATTTTTTTTGTCCTCTGCTGCAGCAGCACTCTTCAATTTCAAGGATTATGGCAAAGACTTTGAAGATTGATTCGATCGGGACAAGTTTGAAGAACTCATGGAAGTCAGGTATATAACTTTACTAGTGACTTAAAGAATTCCATCGACAACATCAAGAAAGCATTGGGTAGGCTTCAGGATACAGCGAAGGCCGTTTCAAGTTTATTAAAAATAATTTTCATGATGATTTTCATGTTGCTGGTTGACAGGTTGGTTGCTGTGGGCATCCGCCACATCTGACGACGTCGGCAGTCGCATATTCTCCCGAGGAGAACGGCAACGAACTTCCATCAGCAGCATGGGCACCCGCGAACGTAAACGTGGTACCTGAGCAAGTCAACGACGCGTCATCGGCCCCGCTGATGACAACGTAGACGCTGCACACTAAAAACAAACACCAGTTTTGGCAATTTAAAAAATTCGTTTCAAAAATAAAGCATTTACATACCATTATTCTCACAGCGCGGTATTAAATTCACATTGTCGGGAGGAGTAGCCCCTACAGTGCAGCAATCCCCGTTCTTGCACACGCATAGATCTGTCGCCTGGTCGCAAATCACATTCGTGATTTGATCATTGTCCGCAACGGCGTCGTCTGGATTGTCTTCCGGCACACCCATAGCGATATAACGAGTACCTTCGTTGCAAGTGCAAGTGTTGTCTGGATCTCCAGGAGGAGATGCGTCATTTAACGGTACATCGACTAAGACTATGGCTACGGAGCCGGCTGGCGCCGCGGCGCATTGAGGAGCTAAAATGGAAAAGTTTAGTTGCGTTTTTTTTGCAGGTGAAGTCCAAGAACGGGCACCACGCGCCACTTTGTATGTTACAGGTCGTAGAATGTAGGGTATTTTCAAGAGTTATGGATTGAAAAACGGAAATTCTGTTTAAAACTTGTTTTTATAATTTTTTAGGATACGCGTATATACGTATAATACATGTACTTAAACTTTCAGCGCATTATTCGCAGGGCTAGATACGCGAAACGTCTGCAAAAAATTGGGTTTGCCTACTGCACGTGAAACAGTATATAAACCCGTTAAGATATGATGTATAAGGTATGCCCGAGAAAAATTAAAGGTCACTCTTCCATGAAAACCTTCTACGACCAACGCACATCAACCACAAAAAAAAAAGTTTCAAATCGGGAAAACTGTTTGCATAACTTTGTTAGGGTGCCCAAGGGTAGCTCAAATTAAAAATTGGAAACGAGTCGGACTGACCAAAAAATAGTAGTAGTAGTAGATTTGAAAACCTTATTTTAGACATCTTTTGCTACTAAATCGTTTCGTAACGAAGCAATTGCCTAAATTCTTTTTTCTGTGAGCATAATTAGAGTAGTTTTAGAGAACTATAAGCAACCCTGTGTCATATACTAGCTTACTCACTCAAAATTCCAAAAAAACTGATATTTAGGTGACTAAAATAATATTTTAAAAATCGGTAAATTTTGACTCAGCTAGGTCCACTATGACCTAAAAAGACAATAAGAGCATAATTAGTGGCGTCCGCACCAGTTTAGAAGCTGTTCTAAGAACCTTGTTTTAGGTGATATTGGTCATTTTTGAAATTGGCGCAGCGAAGTTGAAACCAACTCCAAAAGCTCAGTATAGCCTTAGAAAGCCATCTCAACTCACATAGATAGTCTTAAAACTTTGACTTCAGTCATAAACTTTCATTATTTTTGGTATAAGATCAGGTATGCTACTATAAGGTAAAACTTTTTTTCGGCCTAAGAGTTAAAATTTTTGCAATTAATCTCCCTTAGCGGGATGTTATAAGATAATATAGTTAATTAATTAGACTATTTAACGCTGTCGGACATTAAAAGTTGCCTAAAGTAATATAATCCATAAGGTAAAAAGCTTAAAATCGCATCTACTTTTTTATTATCTGTCCGATTTGCTTCAAACTTCGCATACTACCTTAGAATACAATATTCTGAAGATCGTTGCAATCACTTTCCGTGTTTCAATCGTTTTAGACAAGTTATTCGGCCGCAAAGTTTGCAAAAATTCGATTTTCTCCGGCCGTTTGTCGCTAACCTGGTGGCCGAAGAACGCCAAAATCTATTAATTTAAAAAATATGGGTCCTTGGCAATGTTTTAATCGCAGGTTCATGTTATTTTGTTCATTACCCACTGCACAGTAAGCCAAAACATTAGAGACCCTTAAAAAACCGAATGCCAAAAATCTTGGCATTCTGTTTGTGGTTGATGTGCAACGTGGTGTTTATCAATCCGGAAATTTCGTACCTGCGGTCGTCGTCGGCGTCGTAGTCGGTGGCGTCGTTGGTGGCGCAGCTGAAAATTGGTTATTTCTTAAAAAAGTTATAAACTTTATCGCAGACGAATACTACACCAGCAATAAAATATTCTTACCGGTTGTAGTTCCACCTCCGCCGCCCCCATTCCCAGTTCCGCCTCCACCGGTGCTCCCACCACCGCCTCCACCGCCGCCACTCACTCCAGTGGGAGGTAATGTCCTAGTACAGCACTCAGCCCATTCTACGCCAAAAATCACAATAGCAAAACTAACCAGTAGGAATTTCATGGTGAAAAAAAACCGAAATGAAACTTTTCGTAGCATTAGCCAATTAAAAAGGAAAGACGGAACCGTAAAATTCTCCGAGCACACCCCCGCTTCTCGATGTTTTAAACATTAAAGCTTTTACAAGTTATACACTTCCACCAGGAAGTGATTAATCGAGTTAGCTGCGATTCATCTGGTCAGTTTGCGGGGTACGGTAGCTGTTCACGGCTTCTGTTTGTGTTAGTTGATCTCTAACTTTATCAAAAGTCAAGCGGGTTGCTCTAAAGCGCTTCTGTCGCTGTTTTGGCATAGCACGTTGTCAATGGCATGGTGGACTTCCTTCATCTTTCTACGGTCGTTTTTTTGTTCTAACAGAAATCATAAGACAAAGTTGGCCTTGAGCAACCTTGTTGAATACTCCTTATGTATTTTTAACGTCATGACGTTCTCTGTTAGAGAAAAAATGGTTTCCAAATCAAGGTACTTTCCAGTTTCTAAAACATAGCTTTTCTTAATGTTTACAGCCCGTTGAAGAAATTTGAATGTCAACTTCTGAACCGCTATTACAATTTTACTGACTAGGGTACCCCTCTTCCATTTCGGCATGGAAGTGCCGACTCCGGACGGGGCTGCTGATCAGAAACCAAGAACCTATTCCGTCATCCGAATGTAAAAGAAACATCCGGTTTTAGCAGATGTGAATCCCCGCGATGTGAAAGCGTTCACACAGGGACGGGTTTCCAAGAGTTTTCTCGCTTCAGGAACCTTTTTGCGCAGAAAAACAAGACTACATTTCAAAGATTAATTGAATGCGTAAGTAATGATGATGATTTTGCGTGAAATTAGCTGTGCAGATAAAACGAAAAAATCCGATTCAACTTGAAAATCTTGGGGCATTCGACAAAACGGCTTATGTTTACTGGAATTTTGCAACTACGGATTTGACGGCAGTGGGTCAAAATGTAAACGGAGTCACCTAATAGGTATGTATATATATAAACGAGCTCGGCTTTACACAAAAAAATGGAGCTTTGAGGGTCGGAATTCACAGAAAAACGTCTATCTCCTATGAATTTCATAACAATGTCTTAGCGTCATCCTGGTGTATACGTAACATTTCCCAAGCGAAAATCCGTAAAAATAAAAATTAAAAACTTTCTCCTCCAGTCGCATCTCCATTTTCCATAGCCTCTGACCGGATGTACACAGTATTAATTAGTTACAAGCATTGTTTGTGATTACGTGCGAGCGCAGCAAAGTTTGTATTTCCGAAATCATTAACCAGAATCTTTGCAGGCACGTAGTTTTACAACGGCGCATTCGAACGGCTCACGTTCAAAATCGCTGCCGCCCGACCCCTTCGGTTGCTTTTACCGGATTAAAAAGCCGTTGTTTTGCTGTTTAGAAGACAAATTTATCTGCGCTTTCGCGGAAAAAAGGAGTTGGAAACAAATGAAAGTTCAAGTGATTCATCAACTCATGGTTTCAGCAACGTTGCGCCAACTTCCAATCTAAAAATCTCGGCGGTTTCCGTAAAGCGTGAGCTAGGAGTCTTGCCGTCTTAGAAAAAATTTACCTTAATTTGTCCGAAGTTCATCAAAGTATGAGTATCGTCGCAATTCGGAGACTTCCACTGTAAGTTCCGTTCTCAAAAATGTACAGGGTGCGCCAAAAAAAGATGGAAAATTTTTATGGCGGTATCTGGCTCTGAGGTAAGGTATTTGTGGACACGTTTTGGTCCAATAAATGGCGAGGCGTAAGCAATATATTAACGATAGAAATGAAGGTATAACTTTACTGCAACTTTTTTTTCAAGGGTAGTTGACCGTGTTCCGAAATTCTCGAAAGTGTGCCCTTTAGAAAGTGAGGCATAATTTTTTTCAGGCGTCGCCAAAACTTCAAATACGAGATCTACAATTCGTTGAGACCAGCACTATTACATATGTAAAGAAATAGTTGTCGAAGTCTCAAAGCTAATCGAGTCACCTTCAAGAACCGAGATTTTACACACGACTGTTTATTCACGACCTATCCACCCCTTTTATAGGAGTGGAAGGGAAAAGTATAGAGATAATTTACAATAGACAGTTTGGGATCGTTTTGATAGGAACAGGAAGACGGTGGTGGTTGTTCGGCTGTTCTCCTTGGACAATAGTAATAATCACTTTTCATGTCAATATCGCGGACATCCAAACTTGAGTTGCAAAGGCAATAAAATCAAACCCAAAACCTTGAAAACCAGAAAAAATTTTGTAGTGAGATACTGAAAAGGGTTTGGCCAACTTTTGAACTTCGAAATTTTCACCAGCCGAGGGCGTACTGAAAACACTGATTTTTAACCTTTCAGCGTCATCATGCTTCGAGATTGTGACAAAATTCCAAAATTTTGGACAAACAAGATTTTTTCTAAAGATTCGTTGCAAAGCCGCCGTTGATCCTAGCTGTCTCAAATGGCACTTCCGTATATATCTAGGTCTCTTCTATAGAGTCAAAAATTTGCAAGCTGAAACCTGCGTTTTCGGCGGAGAGCCGAGGGCTCAAAGAGGGTTGGTGCCCGCTCAAAGTACCGTGTTAAAGGGTTATTTTCTCAACTTTCGGACGTACTGCAGCCGTGTCTTGCATTTTTCTGTTGGATTAGTGCATGGCCCACGTAGGATAGAATATGAGGAACACCTCGACTCGGGTTTTACAACTCTTCTGACCGACCACGCCGAGATATTAATTTCAGAAGCCATTCTTTCTAAAGATTTGCAAGGATCTTGGTTAGTCCGACTTCTGATGATACTTTATCCAACTTTTCAAACCTCCGGCTTTTCGAGAATCCTATGATTGATTCTTTAGATTCAAATTGCCCATTTATTTTTGAAGACTGCACGATGTAGACAAGGAGATTGAAGGTTAAGTCAAACAATTGAAGTTTGTCAGTAGCTTGCTTATGATGTTTAGACGGGGTTTGTCATTATATTTTTGTTCTCAGCAGCAGCACTCTTCAATTTCAAAGACTTTGGCAAAGATTTTGAAGATTGATTCGATCTGTACAAGCTCGAAGTCCTCTTCAACGGAAACTAGGTGTATAACTTAACGAGTAATTTATTCCATCGACAACATCAAGAAAGCATCGAGGTTGGTTGTAGGATAAAAGAAAAAGCCGTTTCAATTTTATTAGATGAATAAATATTATAATTTTCGCGATAATTTTCACGTTGCTGCATGACAGGTTGGTTGCTGTGGGCATCCGCCACATCGGACGACGTCGGCAGTCGCATACTCTCCCGAGGAGAACGGCAACGAACTCCCATCGGAAGCATGCGCACCCGCGAACGTAAACGTGGTGCCTGAGCAAGTCAAAGACGCGTCGTCGGCCCCACTGATGACAACGTAGACGCTGCACACTGAAAACAAACACCAGTTTTGGCAATTTAAGCAATCCGTTGCAAAAATCGAGCATTTACATACCATTATTTTCACAGCGCGGTATTAAATTCACATTGTCGGGAGGAGTAGCCCCTACTGTGCAGCAATTCCCGTTCTTGCAAACGCATAGATCCGTTGGCTGATTGCAAACCACGTTTGTGATTTGATCGTTGTCCCCAACGGCGTCATCTGGATTGTCCTCCGACACACCGGTAGCGATATAACGAGTGCCTTCGTTGCAAGTGCAAGTATTGTCTGGATCTCCAGGAGGAGATGCGTCATTTAACGGTACATCGACTAAGACTATAGCTACTGAGCCGGCTGGCGCCGCGGCGCATTGTGGAGCTAAAATGGAAAAGTTTAGTTGCGTTTCTTCCACGTGAAATGCAACAATCGGCGCGACGCGCCATTTTGAAGACTGTAAGGTACTTTTAAGAGCTGCGGATCGAAAAACGGAAATTCTGTTTAAAACTTTTTTGTATAATTTTTTGTAGGATATGTATTTAAATTTTCAGCGCCTTGTTCGCAGAGATAGAAACGCAACACGTCTGAAAAAAGTGGGTTTTTCGACTGCACGTTAAACCGCGGGATAAACCCGTAAAAATTTGATATATGGGAGGTGCTTTATAAATTTCAGCGCGCTAGTCCATCCCAACCCTGCGGATTTAGTCCAAAGTTAAAAGTTGCGCAATCTTACACAACGATACGCAATTTCTCTCTTTGTAAAAATTTCTGCGTTTCTCTGTCGGCTCCTCCTCCCCTCCCCCTTTTTTGTGAACTTTGGACTAAATCCGCGGGGTCCGGGTGGACTAGCGCGCTGAAATTTATAAACAACCTCCCATATATGTCGTATATAAGGGTGGTCATATAAATATTAAAAAAATTTGTCCCAAATCGCGATTTTCGGTGCACAAAAAAGTGGATGCCCGAATCGAAAAATTGGCGTCGACTTAATTTTTTTCAGCACCGAATTCCGAAATGCGGTGCTGTTCGGCACAGTGTAGTGTTTATCAATCCAAAAATTTCTTACCTGCGGTCGTCGTCGTTGGTGACGCAGCTGAAAATTGGTTAATTATTTACACATTTATAAAATTTATGGCAAACGCACACTACACCAGCAAAAAATATTCTTACCGGTTGTAGTTACACCTCCGCCGCCCCCATTCCCAGTTCCGCCTCCACCGGTGCTCCCACCACCGCCTCCACCGCCGCCACTCACTCCACTCGGAGGCACTGTCCTAGTGCAGCACTCAGCACATTCTATGCCAAAAATCACAGTTGCAAAACTAATCAGTAGGAGGTTCATTGTGAAAGAAAAACGAAAATGAAACTTTTCGTGGCATTAGCCAATTAAAAAGGGTAGACGGAACCGTAAAATTCTGCGAGCACAAACTCGCTTTTCAACGTCTAGACACTACAACTTCTACGCGTTATTTGAGGGGCGTAGCAGACCAAACAATCTGGGGGGAAATCGCCCCCTCCTCCCCATCACCTCGGTGCTCCCTTATCATTTTGCTTCTTCGACCTCGGCCTGGGGGGTACCCCTCCTCCTAGCTACGCCCCTGGTTATGATAATAAACCAGGGGCGTAGCTACTAATCACTTCCGAGCTTCCACCAGGAAATGATCAATCGGTTTATCTGCGTTCAACCGGGTTGCGGGATACGGTAGCTATTAAAGGTTTCTGTTTACGTATAAGTTGATCTCTAACTTTATTAAAGGTCAAGCGGATTGCTGCAAACCTCTTCTGTTGCTGTCTTGGCATAGCACGTTGTCAATGGCATGGTGGAATTCCTTCACCTTTCTGCGGTCATTTTTTTGTTTTGACAAAAATCATAAGACAAAGTTTGGCCTTGAATAATCTTGTTGAAGACCAGAGATATCCTTATTATTATCGTCGTTTAAGAAACTATGCTTTCCAAGTGAAAGGTACTTCCCACATCGTAAAACCTAATCTGTCTTAACAGCTCGTTAAAGAAATTTCAACGAGCAAGAGTTATGTCAACTGGCCGTAGTCTTTGGGACATTTTGTTCGTAAGTCCAAAATAACGCTTCGCTGGCCTGAACCACTATTTCGATTTTACTGACTAGAGTACCCCTCTTTCATTTCTGCATAAACGTGCCGACTCGTCGGGAACGAGCTGATGATTAGAAACCAAAAACCTATTTCGCCCCCGAATGTAAAAGAAACATCCGGTTTAAGCATATGTGAATCCCTGCGATGTGAATGCGTTTACACAAGGGGCCGGTTTTCGAGAGTTTTATCGCTAATCTGCTTCAGGAACCCTTTTGCGCAGAAAAATAATGCTACACTTGGAAGATTAATAGAACTTCGTAAGCAATGAACCGGTATGATGATCTGGTGTGCAATTAGCTTTGCAGATAAACGTATTATATTTTAGAAAATGAAAAAAAGAATCAATGACATACCTTTCAACTTGAAAATCTTGGGGGTAAAGCGGCTTATGTTAACCAGAATTTCGAAGCCACGGAAGTTGGCCAAAATTTAAACGGATCACCTAATATTAGGTTGGCAACTAAGTTATTGAAATTTTTTTTGCATTGTTCCACGGACGTTCTTAAGTCAGTAAGGCTAGTATCACACTATCCCACCTGTAGTAGGGTTAGAGTACTATCAAACCCAGAGGCATCGAACTCGCAGCTCGCGTGTTGGTGTAGTACCTTGAATTTGAATAAGAGCAATTTTGAGTGGTCATTTTGCAGTGCCATGCAATGCGTATAGAACTCGAATGACATAACGCTAACGTACAACGTTTACAACGTCAGGACACCTTCAACAGTCTTGCGATAACATTTTGTCCCAAAAGGATCAATAGAAATTGTTACGACTTCGCTTAAAATTAGGCGGTAGGCTGCTTTCAAGGTGTTGCACGAGACGCTAAAGAAGGCAACGCGGTTAACTCTTCGGGTAGTGACAGAGCTATTCACTACGAACCAAATAGTAGCATAAACCGTCTTCCTTCTTGGAGCATGACATAAAGTCGCGACCGAATTTATTTTCATGACCTGCCTAGTGGCTCCCAAAAAGTTAACCGAGTAGTTGCTATTTTTTTCCAAGACCTTTGTGCCGCTGATAAATCTAGGGCCCTGAAAAGGGACGTCTATTCTCTTTGTTGAAAACCCGTACAGGAGCCAGCGAGCTTAAGCGCGGTATTCTGAAGTTAAGGCCGAACAGACCCTTCATACTCGATGACAGTATTTTTTAAGATTTTATCCAATTTTTTAAGGACTATGCCCTCGGGAAATTTACCTGCACAGAGTATCACTCCTCCGAATATGTTTCCATGAGAGATAGAAAAGATTCGGGCAGCGAGCGAAACGAAATCTAGAATATCCACTTACGTCGGGATGCCTGTTTGGCCCGATAGAAATAATGATCGTAGGAACTTGTCAAACAGTCCAACTAGACTTTGCTTTCTTAAGTGTTGTGAAGTACTTATGTTACTCTCTGTGGCGTATATCACACCTATTTGACTGCGCACGATCTAAGTTATAAAAACTTCAGTATAACAGAACATCTAGAAACCGGCTTCATGAAATCTTCTAAGCCTAAATTCCCTGGTTCCTCTGTTGGTGGTGCCACTGCACATTCAGATGACAAGGCTTGTATTGTAGTTACTAATAGTGGGTACTATAGTTGTTGACTGTCAAGCCTTTAAAGATTGTGGCAAAAAGAAAAGCAGTCAAAAATTTCAATAACTTAGTTGCCAACCTAATACATACACAAGCAAAAACGGAGCTTCGAGGGTCGTCAATTACAGTGCTTCAATTTCCTATGAATTTCATGACAATGTCTTACGCGGTTCAAATCGCAAATGAATTGAGCTATGGGACCGATATATTCTGGTTCTCCATATTCGAAAAAGAGGTAAAACAATTTTTAAGGCAAATTACATTTAAAAAAATTAAAATTTCGAATTGAAGCTAATAACACAAAAAACGCAGACCCCATTCTCGGTTTTTTTTATTTTTTCAACACCAATCGGTAACGGAAAAACTTCGAAACGCAGTGTGACATAGAAAAAAGTGTTTACGAAGTAAAAACAAATATTTTTCTTTTTACATACTTTGGATAAAATATTATAAAATGCATGCCAAATAGGCATATTTCTGCGCTGGACTGAAAATAGAGTTTATTCTGAAATAATGTTTGATCTGAAATTATTGGGGTACTTCATCACAAAATTTTTTTATTTTTATCACTTTCAATATCAAAGCCCTTTGATCAAGGGTTTGCGCCTAACGGGACCCGAACCTCCCCGGCATCGCGGACCGTTTTCACTTGCCCTCCGCCATTCGGCCCTTGTTCCAAACGTCTTTCGGAGCGAGAACTGTTTAGCAGGGCTTCCGGTCAAACTTTACGGTCGATTTTCTCGAAAACCAAGGAAGCAAAAATTGTTTTACCTCTTACCGTTTTCGAATATGGAGGATCAGAATATATCGGTCCCATAGCTCAACCCATTTGCATTTGAACGACTTCCCTCGTTAGGGTCGTGCTGTGTATACATAACATTTCCCAGCGAAAAAAACTTTGGCGTAAATGCGTAAAGATGAAAACTATAAACTTTCTCCTCCAACCGTATCTCCATTTTCCATAGTCTCTGACCGGATGTACACAGTAGTTAGTTGCAACTGCATAGTTTACAATTACGTAGAACGCAGCAAGTTCGTATTTCCGAAATCACTAACCAGAATCTTTGCAAGCACGTAGTTTTACAACGACACATCCGAACGGCTCACGTTCAAAATCGCTGCCGCCCGACCTCTTCCGTTGCTTTTACCGGATTGAGAAGCCGTTGTTTTGCTGTTGAGAAGACAAATGTAGCGGAGCGGAGCTTGCACGGAAAAGGAGTTGGAAACAAATGAAAGTTCAAGTGATTCATCAACTCATGGTTTCAGAAACGTTGCGCCTTTACTCTTGAATGTTTGCCAGTTTCGTGCGAAAAAATCGGTTCTTCGTGGAAACATTATGTCTGAAATATTATTGACACTTTTCATGCCAAAATTGCCAAAAAAATCATAATTTTTTGCCAGCTTCCGGTATAAAAGTCTTGGTTCTTCAGCAAATCGTGGGCTACGAGTCTCGCATACGCCGTAGTAAACATTCATCTATACTTGTGCCTTCCCCTGTAAGTTCCGTTCCCCAAAATTTAAGATATTGTTCCTGGTGATAACAGTGCACTAAAACAACATCGAATTCATTAAAATCCTCATGCCTTTTATAAAACCTGAGATCTTTATTATAAAAAAACCGAATTATACAACCCTTACCAATATATACAAAAGATTTAACAAAAATAATACGTTAAAAAGAATAAAGCAAAGTTTATAACTGGTTAATAGAAATTTAGTTTATATATATTACTTTAAAAAGACGTTAAAAAGGCTTGGCAAACGAAATAAACAAAAAATAAGGGAACTTCGATGAAAACTATCCAAGAGTTGAATAGTTGCGATTAAAATCAGCAAAAAATTACGTAATTACTCTGGAAGAGGCGCGATTTGGCATATTTTTTCGTGGTTTCGGCGATTCGACGAGTCCTTGAAGGCTCTATGACATTTCCGACATTGGTACGGCGAGATGTTATCTAAAACCAACCGTTTTATTTGAGATTTTACGACTATAAAAAATTCCTATGCCGCCGTGGCTAAAAATCTTCCAACTTTGATCTAAAACAGAAAATACAAATTAAAAAACTTACTGTGGATGTTCATGTGAGCTGTTTGAAGATAAAACTTTCTGCTAAAGGCCTTTTGACAAATGGGACATACATATTTTCCATCTGCATCTCGCCTGATCTCTTCTCCATCTTGAGTTCGAATTGGACGACGAGCAGGTGTGGACGATAGTATTTTGGCTTGACTAGGCGTGGCAAAGCCTACACTAGCCGGACTTGGACTGGAAATTCCTGAATCGTTGCTGATGGAGGAATTTGGAGTTGAGCTCATCAATGAGGCAATGGAGAAGTTGGAGGAGAGGGGAAAGTCAGCTGAAAGTGTAATGATTAGTGAAATTATGGTCTATTCCAGTAAATTCTCAAAACAAATGTAAAATTTTCAAAAAAATACGAGTTTTCATGGTAAACATTTGATATTACAATAATGGTTCCAAAACAAACGAATGATCGACAATCTTACCGTATTCTGGCTGAAAAATGCGCGTCTAACTGTTCGTCAAGAAACAAACCGAGTTGTAGGTAAAATTAGAGCTAAAATCGTATTATCCATTCTCAAACCTATGTAATTTAGAAAATCCTTTTCACGGCCTAGGTTTAAGGCAATGAAAAAACACAAGTTGCATTATTAAACGTCAAATCAATTAAAAAAACCCACTGGGTTCACCTATTTTACGTTTGAAAACACTGCAGATACCTAAAAATCGAAGAAAAATCAAAATAACAACTTACAACTGGGCGAATTTGTCGAACTTGGTGTTGGTTGGACTTCTGGCTTTACCTGTAGGCCCGAGTGACCCAACCCTTGGCTTTGTTGAGCTTGTTGGCAGAGCATGGAATAGTAGATTTGCATGCATTGTTGTAATTGCTCTAAGTTCAAGTTGACGTCCACACTCTGACTCATTGTGCTTTGTCGACCGAAACGCGGCACAAGTTCCGTGGAAAATACCCAGTTTGGAGAAAATGAGAGCCTGGAAAACCTGATAAAAAACTTTTCCGAATGGGAGAGATCGGTGACTGATTTTCTAGAAATTTGTGGGAATCTTACTGTATTGTGGCTGCAGTTTATTCAATTCGATACACTGTCGCATGAAATTTTGAATTTTGTGTATCCCGAGAATTGGCTAACAGGAAATTGTAAAATTATACCAATCCTTCGGCTCTTGAACATGTCACAATGATGAATTTTCTGGGGGTATGACGTAATTTTGTGCATTTTCTTGCACTTCGTTTTCCGAGGCATCGATTTACCTATTTCAGTGCCAATTTATGGCGGATGAAGCGTTTCGTTCTTTGACTAGGGATTATTGGCCATTCTGATATTATTTTAGACTGTTAATCAAATTTATTTGCAAATCTATTCAAAATGTTAGAATTTTGCTCTTCTGTACGTATTCAGGGCCGATCGGTATCTCTGCTGGAATTGCGGTGGTCTCACGGCGTATCCCGACTTCACAACGCCAATATCGGGCTTCGAAGTTGTTGTGGTAGTTGTGGTGGTCACTTCGACTTTTGGGGATTCTTGTTTCTTTGGCTCAGCCAAAGGAGCACCCCGGCCGGGGCAAGGACAATACGTAGCGTCGGCTCCGGGTTCTCCCTCGTCTCCTGGCTCTCCAACGGGACCGAGTTCTCCATCTTTTCCGGCCTTTCCTGGGAGTCCTGGATCTCCGGACGGTCCTTGAGGTCCGATTGGGCCGTCTGGACCGGGTTTGCCTGGCTCACCGGCATCCCCAATTGGTCCGGGCTGTCCTCGAGCTCCCGGCGATCCAACCTTGTGTTCGGTGTCTTCTCCAGGCAGTCCTTGAGGTCCATCTTCTCCACGATGACCAAGTGGACCTTCTGGGCCAAGTCCACCAGGGAATCCGGGCTGGCCATCACGTCCGGGCACTCCGGGTTGTCCGCGAGCTCCACGCATTCCTCGAGGGCCCGGGCGACCGGGAGGACCTTGGGGACCTGGTTGTCCTGAGGGGCAATGGAAGCATTTCTCGTATTGTTGAACTTGGGCTGGCGCGTCTTGGGCTTCTTCTCCATCCTCGCCGTCAATACCGGGCTCTCCTTGTTCTCCATCCTTACCCTTCACACCCTTAGGGCCCGGTGGGCCTGGAGGGCATTTGAAGTCGTCGCAAGTGCAGAATTGGATGGCTGGTGGTTGAGCGGCTGGCTGGAAGGCTCCATAGCTGCGATCTCCAACCTTGACTGGTCCGCTTTCATAACCAGCGGCGGGAGGAGCGGCGGCGTAGCTGGAAGAGGCAGTGTAGCCGGCGGAGGAGGCGTAGGGATTGGCTGGAGGCTGAGCATAGGCATTAGCGCCAGATGAGGTTGGAATTGAGTCATAAGGGTTTGAACCGTAAGCAGCCGAGGCGGGTGGAGGGGCATAGCTGTCGTATTGACGCTTCAGACGGCGAGGCTGAGATTGGGTCATCAGGGATGTCCAAAGAAAGTCGGTGTCTTGCTGAAAAGTAAGATTTTAGTATTTAAATATGTGATATTGTCACCGCGTTTGCAAAAAATGATTTTTTTAGTGGAAAAGGAGAATTTTCGAAAGTTTTTTTTTTGAAAAAACTGAATTTGCTAGGGAAACGTAGGATTTTTCACTTACCTTGAATCCAAAAAGTTCCCGATGAAGCTCATATCGGATCTCATCGGCTTGCGTAACAACAAATGCAACTCCAAGAACACAGCTGAAAGTTGCGGCCAAACTGAGTCCGATGGCCAAAAATCCAACGGATCTGATCGTAGAGTTCTTCTCCTCAACCGGAGTCGACTCCATTTTGAAGAATCACAATTTTGTGGGGCAGAAAGTTCTTTTATAACGTCTTTTTCGGGGCTGATTTGCCCTTGATAACGGGAATTTTCAAGTGAAATTCAAGGTGAAATCGGGGGAATAAACGGGATTTCTCGAGATTTGGGGGAGCTGGTAAGAGGAGATCGAATAATGTCTGATAAACGGCAGGCTCCTTGCGTAATACGCGGGATTTTTTTGCATTTTTGAGTTGTTTGACCTTGAAATTTTATGGTTTTTGTTGGAAAACAGAAAAAAATTTGAGAAAGTGGATGAAATTTTAATCTATAAAAGTTTACTGCGTTAATGATGGCCTCATTAAAGCTCGTCCTCATCCTTTGTAATATTGCGCACGGGCTAATCTCTCTCGGCCCACACATAAGGTCATGAATCGCTTTTCTTTTGGCCAAAAGGAAGCGCCGAACTCTGTCCGCCTTCTTGACATTAGCCAATTTGTTTGCGTCGGCATGAGAAACGGGGCCAATATTTGAGATGGTCGCTTTGTATCGGAGTTTACCGCACGAGGATTAGTTCTGAGGGTTACTGTAATGTTGCTCGTCTTTAATCGTATGTACTCAAATTTATATTTCAGCGGTAATTTCTCGGTGAAAAATCTCGGGATCCCTCGAAACGTTCTAAAACTGATCTAGGCCGGGCTTCCCCCAAGATATTTTTTTTGTCATCCTCCTGCCAATTTCTTAATTGACCACCGTAGCCCTCGCTCTCTCCCGGAACATTTGCTTAATTTTCCCAATGTTTACAGTAGCCTTGACCCCGCAGCGAGAAGTCTTGACAATAAAAAAAACCACTTGAGTAAATTCCGCATTCAAATCCATTTATTCGCCCAATTGTTTGCAAAGATTTCGATCGTTTTTATTTCCGGCTGTAAACACGGTCGCGCCATTGTCTTGAGATGGCGCGAAATTGCGATGGCATGAGCGTTGGCCCTGTTATTCCATTCAATTTTTTGTTGCTATATATGGTCGTAGAGCAATAAAGAAATTTGTATGGGGAAAGGGAACTGTTGGAATTATGGAAAAAAGTAAATAGTGGTGTGATCGCAAGGGAGTTGCAACTGTTTTCGATGTTGAAAATGTTGGAGTAAAGCCATAAAAATACGCAAATTGGGTCAAAACTTTTTTTTATTAAAGCTCTTACTTTATCTTTTTCCATAGAAAAATCCATATTGATAGTCTAATATACAATGGACACAAAAAAGATCTTATTACAAGCTAATTGTAAATTCGAATTCAAACTTTTGTAAGCAATGGAATGATCAAAGGTATAGTAATACATATTATGATAGAGTGGTCGAAAAGTGGTGAGAATCGGGGGCGAAGGGAGAAATTAAATGAGACCGTTTTGAGGAAATTTTGGAAAAGGCTACTGTAACAAACGAATTTAATCATGATTTGCTCAGGTGTCTAAATTCGGATTCCAATATCGGGATGTTTTGCTAAAAAAATCACAAATATTTATTTTCTAAATGACAGTAATTATTTCTAAAATATTTACAGTAACCCTCGCCTCTTTTGCAATAAGTGAATCTAGGACAAACTATCGAACCATGAAAGCGTGACAAATACAAAACAAAAGTAGTATTATTCGACGTTAAAAACATTTTAAATTAAAATTGCCGCTCCCGCGGATAAAAGTTGGGGTTGTAGTTGGTGTAGTTCTGCGGTTGGAGGAACAAATTGGTCATCGGATTCGCATAGACACCGGCGCCCGGGTACTGAAATAGCGTTGATTAGCAATGAAGAAAATTAAACTTTCATTAGGTACAAATTTCTATTTTTTCTATAAACTTCAACTCCTTTTTTGTGAATTTCGTTGCGAAAGGTTGGACTATACTGTAAAGTACAGTAATTCTACTAAACGATGACTTTTTTCAACGAGTTCAAAGCCCTAAAAAAATTTTTTTGTCATCCAATTGCGTTCTCTGTCTCTCCGCTGCAGGGTTGGCTGAATAACCCAGATGAATTGGAAATTTTTTTCCAGGAATTGATTTATGGCCATCTTAGGGTTCTTTTTCGTAATTGGAAGAATTCTGGGGCATGTTTCACGAACGCGAAATAAAGAAAATAGAAATATGAGTGAGCGAGGGAACAAAGGAAATGCATGCGAAACGGGAGAGACGGCAGGAAAATGAGGATTGCGCCAATTCTCAATCGGAGTGACTTTTTACGTCCAAAATTACGGGTTGGCGGTAGTATTTGGGCCATAACTTTCCTCTACTTGGGCCTACAAGCACCCTCCAAAAATTCAAATAATGCTGAGACTTCGGGCTATATAGATCTATAAAAATTTTTGCTCTATCGCCAATGACAAAGTTACCATGGGCGTTGTGGTGTTGAATTCTTCTACTTTATAAAACTAAAAGGCCTTTTTTCGCGTTAATTGAAGCAGTAAAAAAATCTAATTTATGTCAGTCGATAGACAATTTAATTCTCTACAAAATATTTTAAGAGGGCCAACTGTAAGTCATTTTTCGGCTGAGTAATGACTGATTTACTTCGACAGTCCCTCGATTTTGATCACAAAAAATCTTTCGAAAGAACCCTCAAATCAAAAGAAGAGAGAGGTTTTACGGTAAAAAATGGGAGGCGGCTAGACTAAATCACCCATAACTTCATCAGTTGTTGAGATATAGACGCCCCTCTAAAAAAATAAGGCAGCCAAGACAATTTTCTTTACAATTATATAAAATTTTATGCTAATATTTTATTATTTGGAACAAAAACCTATTTTTATTCTGAAAAAAATGGAAAAATGTTGCAAACTGCTGCACTACTATAAATTTGTTCGTGCCGTAGATCGCCAAACATCCTAAAAAATTACATTACTGTAAACCGCGGACTCAGGTTAACATGATTTTTTTTAAATGGTGTCGATCCGACAATTTTGGGCGATGTTATGAGGGAATTAAGCTAGAATTGCAAAAATTTTATAGAAAATAGAAATATGCGCATTACTACTGCTATTTTCGAGCGAGTTTTTGCAGCAATGCAACGAAACTTGCACACATGACAGTCCAAACAGTTAGCATTATTCGAAATTTTGAAGGGTGATTCTACGCCCATGGAGGGGAAAGTTATGCCCGAAACACTGCCGCCAACCCTGATTTTGGACGTAAAAAGTCACTCCGATTGAGAAGTGGCGAAATCCTCATTTTTCTGCCGTCTCTCCCGTTTCGCATGCATTTCCTTTGTTCCTTCGCTCACTCATATTTCTATTTTCTTTAGAAATATGAGTTTTTGCGTTCGTGAAACAGGCCCCTGGTCTTGTTTTCATGGCTTCAAAAAATATCGCGAAGATTTCAAAAAACGCTTTTTCAATCCAAAAAAAGCATCTTCGAATTTGATCTCTTCAAAAGTAAGAGTACCAAGTGCTTCAGTAATGTATTTTGTTTTAAATTTCGCTACAAAAGCGGCGTAAACAGCGGTCCTTTCACAATATTAAAAATCTCAAGATTTATGTCGCTACAAATGGAAGAATTGCAGAAAAGTGCAAAAACAAAATTAAAAATAGTTCGGAATGGTCGGAAAACCCTACTTACGTTATAAAGACCGGGATTCCTTGCCATGAACTCGCCAGTGCCAGTCATTCCCAACGCCGCCATGTCCGCATCCATGACTTTTTGGTCCTCCGCTTTGATTCCCATCACTTCCGCTTTGATTTGAGTTGAGGGCGACGCCGAAAGCGCGTCCGGAGATGGTGATCCGTTGTTGGAGGAGTGTGGAGATCGGGATTCGTCGTGGCAGGAGCTTCCGTTGAACATTCTGTTCTCTCGTTCTTGACGCTTACACTTGTAGCGGTGGTTTTGGAACCAGATTTTCACCTGAAATTATAATTTGAGTGGATGACATTCCCATTTTGTTTATTTTTTCTTAAAGTCCCCTCTTGACTTACTAACCGCTCAGCTCGTTCTATTACTCATTAAACATCTTCTCCATTACCCTTATGAACAAAACAATATTTTCCACTTACTTGAGTCGGCTTCAACCCGATCCTCGCGGCCAATTGCTCCCTTTCCTGCGCGTTCAAATACTTTTTCTGCGAGAAATGCTTCTCCAACTCCTGGACTTGGGGCTGGCTGAAGAGCACGCGCCGCTTCCGCCGCTGGCCATTGGCTCCGATGTTCGCGAAATTGGTGAGGCTGTACGGGGTGGCGGCCGACTCCATCGCATTCAGGCCCATGGAATTGGCGCCGAAACGGTTTACTGAAAACGTACGGAACGTAAAAAAACTAAATTCTGAGGGGATTAGAGGAATTTTAGGGTTGTAAGACATTAGAATTAAGGTGAAAAAGAAAAAATGTCTGATGTGTGATGAGAAAAAAATGTAAGAAGACGTACAGAGATATTTTTTTTATTATTTTTTATAAAGAAAAACTAAGAATGCTGTCTTCGGTGACCAAGTCTTCTTTGTAGCTGTGGTTGTGGGAAAGAAATCGCTAAATGAAAGACTAATTCTGCAACTTTTTTTGAGTTTGCGGCCCCTCAGGCAAAGTTTATTAACTAGATTAAAACAGATCACAATTTTCTGAGCTTACTGTCATCATAATGGTAACATTATAAAACGCCTAGCTAGAACATTAAAAGTCCTTTCTGTACCGTATTTCCCGGTGCAGCCACTCGACCTCACACAACGTCAAAAAGTTTAAAACCGAATTTAAAAAGGACGGCGCTGTTCGGGGGGAAAATTGAATCATGAAGTTTGGGAAATCTTTTTGAATCCCAAGCCCCCAAAATATCTCTTTGATGTCGGAAAAATCAAAAAGTAAAATGCTACGTCAAAATGACCTCTAGAATAATAATAAATATTGGGTTACACTGAATGTTTGACATACTTACAATGATAGACCCTTTCTTTTCTTACAACAGGGTATTGTACAGTTCTCTTTTTCTTTGGGAATAGATTTTTTTCCAATTTGTTCACTACAATTTATGTTGAAATACTACTATACAGTACGCTGAAAAAACGACGGTATAGCGTTTCGTTCTACTTTTTATGCTGTTTTTGTCATGAATTATACTGTAGCATGCATCGTGCACTAATGTATGTAATACGATAGAAACTGTGACATTTTTAAAGGCAAATTATAAAAAAATAAAGGAAATATTGATAAGGATTGTGCTTTAAAAGCTGGTAAAATTTTTTAAAAAGTTGCAGAAGGCCTATCTTCTCATACTTTTTTTGGATTAAAATGATATTATAATTTGCCTTCCATAAGATCCCCAAACCAACTTAAAGACTCAAAAAATTCACAAAATTTTAAGGGTTAACAGTAATAATAACGAATTCATTTACGTTCGTTATTATTATTGTAACCATGCTCAGCTCCTTGAGTCGCAGTAAAAACTTTAAGTTCAAGTGGGGATTCTCAAGTGCCGTGTAATGGATGGAAAAATTTTTCGGCAACCAAAACAATGGTGTTTCGCGGCGGAAGGGCGCCAAAATGAATAGTTGAGGGCCTGGACCAATTATTGGCCGGGATTTTTGGAAGGCAAAGGTTCAACTTGCGTAAAATTCAAAAAATTTTTTTTTTATATTACAACAAAGAGTTACCTTACATTATCAACACTTCTGAACGGGTGACATTTTATACGAAAAAAAGTTTTGTCTTTTTCTATGAAAATAAAAAATTGTCTACATGTCTAAAACTCTGTTTTGTCGAGTTATTTTTTGGTTCCTTCGAACCATTTAGACAATTTACCAGTACAATACATCAGTTTTTCGACGCCGGCAAAACGATTTACACAATAGAAAACCGCGAACAAAACGACAAAAAGTGTTATATCGAGGTAATTATATTTAACTTTCACTCTTTCTTTTCGATTCGAATTTGAACCCAAAAAGCAACAAAAAAATAAAAGATGAGGAAAAATGAGGATTTGGGATTCGAAAGGTGGCTGCACTGTGCGCTGGAAAGAATCGCACTGTACGTTAGAAAGAATCATGTTTTTTGCACCGTGCATGATAAGAAAATTTCAAAATTTCCATCTCACAGTGCAGAAGGGATCTAAACTTATCACAGAAATGCAAAATGAGCTTCGGTTTTGCCCTCGGCACAGTGCAATGGACTTCGATTTTCAGCGCACAGTGCGAGGGCCACTCAAAATAAAACCCGCCGTAAACTCACTGTTATTGAAGCGATTGTCAGCGCCGGTCCACTGCCAGTTGTAGCTGAAAATGAAAACAGGCTTAGACCACGAAAATCTCGTAAATTTTGTTGTAGACGTCAATTTTGTAGGTTAGATTTTTTATGTAAAGATTGCGTAATGTTTGATCGTTTGCTGAGTTCGCAAGACGCAAATCGCACTTAACCCCATGAAATATGCCACCTCAACCGATTTTTCACCGAGAATTACGCAACTTTTGGTGGAAATTTGGCGTTGAAAACAAGATTTTGCGTCCAAACTCTGCGTTTTGTACGCTATAAAACGGCAAAGTATAATCTCTTCGCAGTGAGGGGATTCGGTGGAAATGTAACGGAAAATAGATCGCAAATCAAATTTCAATTTTTGTACAATGCCCTTTTATGGAAGAGTAGCGCCTGCATCTACTGTAGCAAGTGGAAAAAGCGAGAATCGAAAGCTTTGGGAGACGCAAACAACTTTCATTTTAAAAAATATAACTTTTTAGTTATGTCATCATGACACATTTTTTAGAAGTTGGCAAAAATCGCTGAAATTTTGAATTTTATCCCTACTTATTCGGTGATCAGTCTTTATAAGGAGTTTCTACTCAGCCACACATTTCTTGTCTTAAGTTTGGTATACTGTAACAAAACTCACCCAAAATCTGTCGCATTCGCATATCCGCTGCCGAATCCCAAGTACGGGTTCACAGTGCTGCTGTTGGTCGTGCTGGCTCCATTCGTGGCCCAGGAGAAAGTCTGATTAAGCGAGGGAGCCAAAAGCCCGGCTCCATTTTCGGTCGTACTTGGCGTTGCTTCCGGTGCATTTTCATGCGTCATTTTGGCCAGAAATTGGAGAAACGCCGCTGAAAATGCGAATTTAGTTTGGGGGGAATTTTACACATCCTTTTTTGACTTGTATTCCACAATAAACAAGCAAAATACAGCGAAAGAATAAATAAAATCCAAGAAAAATGAATTTTCAGACCATTTTTGTTATGGATATTGATTTAATCAAGAAGACGGCAAAAATCCTAAAATTTGCAAGAGTTCTCGGTCCATAAATTTCCCTAAACCCTCTACCGCAAGGTTAGACAATCTGTTACATAATACGACCCGGATTAAACGACCACGCAATCACTGTACAGTCACAAATGGGAAGAGTTCTCTTCACAAATGCGGGTTTCTTGGAATGGATAGCACAATGCAGTATGAGATCCGAAGCGTGAGATATTTTGTAGTATCAAAGAAGAACTACTTTGCACCGTGTTACAGCAACGCTTGGATGGGATGACCTTTTGCGTTGTGCAAAATATCTCAAATAAAGTTTCCGCACGGTGCGATCTTTTTTCAAATGGATTTCAAGATGCAAACTGATGGCGAAAGAAGGATCAGTTCACAAAAAAGATTTAGAATCTGTGACATCTCATGAATTTGAATTCCACGCCAAAACGGCTGATCTCAAGAGTGCCCAGTCCAAGTTTGCCTTGTATAATACCCGAGCTGACCCAAATCCCTGGAAACCCAATTACAAAAGTCAATTAAGGGGCAGGATGAGGAGGATGATCAAGAGGGGATGGTCGAGTGAAGTGTTCACTTGAGCCATTTAATTTCCCGTTTAACGCGCATGACCCCGTCCGCTGGCTCCGCCCACGCGGCGCGCCGTGTTGTGCAAATACGGCGCAGCGAATGCCAATATTGCCGGGTATTTGCACTAAAATACGGTAGAAGGAGGTCGGAATTTGGTTCGTGAAATGTGGTAAAATACGATTCTTTAATTGGGACAAATTTCGAAAATTTGCAAAACAAATTTTTGATTACTTTTTTTAATAAGGGAGAAAAAGTAAAAGAATCTCAATTTGAATTTTGACTGTTTGAAATATTCACACTGCTAGTTTAACCCTTGTTAGATTACAAAGTGTAAACCTCATTTTTACTAAACATAAATTTTTTAGTTCCAAAACCCGCGGAAATTACGGAATAAAAGAAAATTCCCGCTCTGATTGGCCACAATTTCTCGAGCCGGTGTTCTTTATTTTCTCTTTGCTTCCCCTGTTTCTCGAAGCCGAGTTTTACTCTCAAACTTGAAATTGGGGAAGCGAAGAGTTCAGCAAAAGAAAATACAACGGAGAATGTAGCAAAATAAGAATGTTTCTGGTTAAATGTCATCAAAAATTTTGCTTGTCCTAGAAAGTATTCTAAGCAATCTAAACAGAAGAAGGACTCAATTATACCTCGAAATTTCAGCGCACGCTTTGCCGAGAGAGCCGGGATATTCAGAGGACGAGAAAGTGCAAAGAAGAGGAAGCACGGTCAGAGAGAAATGTTTTTTAGCAATGTTTTTTTGGATTCTGCGGGGAAAAATAACTACGTATATATTTGGTAGCGGTATTGTACACTGAAACCACACAGAACTCCAATTTTTCAAATCTAAAATCGCAAAAATATCAAAGTTTCGAAAACCCTTTTTTCTCGATAATTTCGGCGAAGTGCATGCTACATTTTCCCGTAGGCTTAAACAATTCGTACATTCGTTTTTACCGGATTTCATCAAAACATGAAAGCTCTGATTTCTTCCACGACCCAAAAAATAAAAACATTGAGTCCCACAACGAAAACCTCAATAGTATTTTTTTGGCTTAGGATTTTTCAGCACTAAAATATGTACTATTTTCGTCATTGCCTTCAAAATAATGTGGAAAAAAGAATTCAGGGCATAATTCGTATTATAACACGGATTGCAAAGATTGCAATTTTAAGATTAGGATCCCGATGGTGCCCGGTTTCTATCATAGGTACCCAAATGACAAGTCAGCTACAAATGTTGAGCCTACAGCTTTGCGCATCGACTGCTCAACGAGTTTTCCACTTACGGTTATCTTGCATACACACCTCTGACGGCATGCCTCTAATCGGTCAACGTGCACTTGAATCCAACCTTTCAACTGACTGAATACCTCTTCTAGAGCAACACCTACAAACTGGTGGGGCTTAAAGCGCGCGCCCAGCCCTGCTATGCCAAGCCGTACCCCATGAGGCGGCCCCGAAAGTACAAACCGCTTTCTTTGCCACAAATTTTCAGCGCCCAGAGTGCATACATTCCTAGTGTGGAAAAGCGAAGATACACCGTGTTTGTAAGGCTTCCGACGGTTAAATAGCTGTGCCTATCTACGAATTTGGATGGAGTAACGTCAGCGCATGCACTATCTATTGTTGTGTTCGACTTGGACGTCAGCTCTGATGGAGCTGACGTAGCATTAATTGGGGCCACTTGTTATGCAGAAATTGAACTGTCAAGGTGATAGTTGGCATGTGGCCAGGACAACAGATTGCTGATGTGACATATTTTTTACTTCGGTTAACACGTGTGAAACGCAATCATAAGCTCTGTGATCTTAAAGTTTCAAATGGTTTCTGCAGATCTTATTGTGGGCCAAGTTTTGTTAATTCGATCACAATTTAAGCTCCATAATAGAGGTCATAAAATTGGTAGAAAAAAAGATATACTCAAGAATGAATCTCATACAGTATTTACAATATTTTTTTCTCAGAACAAGCCCAAGATCAGCGCTTAAAGGGGTTTTGTCGTACTAAAAATTACCTCTATACCTGCAATATTTGGCTAGAAGATGCATAAAACCTTGACAGAAAAGGAGTCCCAAACCGGACCAAACTCCACAAACCTGTACCTTTTACTCTAAAATAAACAGTTTCTATTTATAAAAAACCTATCCAAATTAGGTGTTCATCTCTAAAAATTGCATTATCATCTACAAACAACTCCCCACCCACTCGGACCGGAAATGTCAAATACAACTAGTAAAAACATATATTTGGCCCGAACAAGTTACTCATCAGTTCATATTTTAGTTAAAATTACTTTTAAAGTAGAGTTTTTATAAAATTCTACAACCAAATTTACCGTGAGGAATGAGGAATGAAGTTGTGTAATGTAGAAGGAAATGTTATCAAAACATTGGAGACGGACTACGAATGATCTTTCGGAAAATATACTATAAAGTTGCTTACAATATGTTGCAATTTTCCACGAAAAATGCATGAAATGAAAAACAAAATCAATTTTTGAAATAAACAGGAACACTTTCGCATGTTTTGAACCTTGGGTCATTTGATATGGGATTGTGTAATCTCTGCACAACGCATTGAGCTAGTACCCTTTTAAAAAAGAAGTATATCACTCGTAATTTTTGAGGAAGCTTGCCATAAACAATGATTACAATTTTTTTGCGGAATTTCCTTTATATAACATCCAAAACTTTTAGTTCAAAAATCAACGGAAGTTTACTGAAATGCGGTGACATTGCAAAAGACCTCGTATATTTTTATGCCTCACTAGGGAAGTGTACAAACGAACCCTCACCAAATGGCAAGTGATATACACCATTGGAAAGCCCTTGAAAAATGATGAAAGGTACCATTTTCATTTTTTGCAGAATGCCTTTCCGCGACGACATACTGTAAATTTCATTATTTTTAGGTCATTTCGCAACAAAAATCTTTCTTTGTCTTGAGCGGATAAAAATCCTCGAAGAGGATTGATTCAATAGTGCAGTGGTTGCTGAGCAGGCTGATAACCCAAACCAAGCCAGGTTCGACTCCCAGCTGGGCAAAAAAATTTTGCGTTCTTACAGTTCGGATAATATTTGAGTTAAACTTTTACAAACGTTTCAATTTTTCTAGAAAACGCTCGATTACGATTAAAACCACCAAACTTACATGTTTTTCAAAATTAAAAAAAGTGAAAAGTGTTTTTTTCACATTATGGGTGTTTAAAACCAGTAAATATCTTATGTAAAATGGTTTTACTGGCAAGCGCCAAACTTCATGATGATTCTTAGGCCAACCTAGTAGCAATATTTACCATTTAGCGTTTTGAAATAAGATTTATTTTGCCCCACAGCAGATATTGTAACTACTTAAGGGACAAATCAACCGTTTATAATTTTTTGCCCTGAGGCATTCTGCAAAAAATGAAAATGGTACCTTTCACCATTTTTCAAGGGCTTTCCAATGGTGTATAACACTTGCCATTTGGTGAGGGTTCGTTTGTACACTTCCCTAGTCAGAGATACACTACCTAAACTTTACAGTAAATCTCTATTTTTATTTTTCCTCTATTTCTCATCCTACACCTCCATACTGCACTTTAGATATGTTATTCTCAGGTTTTCGTAATTTTGTCTCCAAAGACCGTAGTTTATTTCAGTTGTTCTCCGTTTTTACGTGCCAAATCGAATGTCTATTTTTTGCGATTCCTCGAAGTCTTCGCTTCCCATCTTCTCTTCGCTATCACCCCTCGAACGCATATTGTTTTTAATTACCTTAGAATACAGTTGGCTACAGCCGGATTCCATGCGGAACGCCCGGTGTTCGGCCACTTCTTGCCGCGCCCCGCAAGCGCCCTACGACTACAATTTTCGGATTTTTTCGCTTTTTTCGGAATATCACAAGACAAGGACTGGCGGTTTTCCATAAAATACGAATCTGAAATGTTTTTTGGGTGTAACGTACAGTACAAGCGGCGGACAATAGAATTTTATGTGATCAAACCTACAGCTTTTGTCGGTAAATTTGTAGGGTTTAAAATTAACAACTGTCGCCGACGAGGCGAGAGAATATGTCACGTAAAATTCGTAGTAAGCCCTTAAGGGGTCAGGCCAAAATCATTGAATACCAAGATTAAACGGATTAAGAATCGATTTTTTCAACAAAACGGCCCAAAAAGTGCAAAGACAGTCGAAATATTGAAAGGCCTTTTTTGCGTTAGCGAAGGTCGCAAAAAATATAAAATATCTACAACTTTCATCGAGTAATGACTAATAAGCTCGCTTTAAACAATTGCACTCTCAATCCAAATCAAAGTACGCTCAAGTAATAAGCCCCGTCGTAGCAACACTCATACCATATCTTGAATCTTCCCAATTGTACTTAAAACTCTAAACCCTCTTAGAAGAGGTTAAGCCCGTTACGACCAACAATGTACAAAACCGGCAAACCGAACTGTAAACTTACAGGTGGCATATTAATAGATACAATAAACAACTCGCAACCAACGGTAATAGACTGTACCTTAGTCGGAATATCAGGGCATTTGGAATGAAAAGAAATGGAGTTTATGGCTTAAATAAGAAATCTTCAACGGTAAACAGGACAGTGATGTGGATTTTTTTTGCGTCTGAATAGAAATCTGCAAGTAAGCATTGGTTTGATGCAATTTAGTTGCAGTTATGGACTCATAGCCCATCGAGGATGTTGTAGACAAGTATCAACGGTAACGGGAATGACTAAAAGTCCATAAAACGCTATGAATACGCCATAAGAGAAACCGATTACAGTGCTAGTCGAGACCTGTCAAGATTGATTTTCCAGTTGATAATATACGTCTTCTGAACAAGACAAAACTTACGGTTATACTCTTATAAACAAGTAGAAAATAAAAGAAAATGTTTAGTAGTCTGGTCGAAGAGATGACTATGTCCAAGAAAACAGGCTGCTCCAGCTTGGCACTGGCCAGGCCGGGCCAATTTCGGACATGTAGCCGCCGGACCCGCCATCGTTTTTCTCAATTGAGAATCGCCGCTATACAAAAACAGGGGCGGGAGCAGCCGAGACGGGAGAGCCCGAGAAGAAGACAGTTGAGGACAAGGACCACTCAATCAGGTGAAGCACGGGCTTCTGGATCAAGTGCCACGACAAGGGGTGATTCAAAAACACATTGAGGGGACAAGAAGGGGGCGAAAGCGGGGCAGGTGAAGAGATAATCGACAGTTAAGAGCGCAACCACCGACGATGATACTCGACGGCTGAAGCCGCAGCGGAGTGGCTGAAGGCGTCGGGGTGGCAGTTGGGTGGTTTCCGAAGAGATGGCTGAGGTGGGCGGTGGTCAGCGGATCAGCAAAATTGCAAAAGACGAAAGAAAATGGAGAAAGATCAAGGAAAACCATTGTAAAGTAGTTCAGAAATTGTAAATCAAAGCCTCAAAGGCTTCCCAAATTAGCGAGCAAAGGCTTGACAGTGTCCCAATGGCCCCACCAAGACCGTTGCGAATTCAGCACCGCAGGCACTTCACACAAAGACCCGGTCCACTTCACGCCCCATGGAAAACCTTGACGATCCATCTTGAATCCAGAAGTAGGTGCTTCAGAAGCCCCACTCCACCCGTCGTCGAAAAGTGGGACGACCACGAAAGGGCGTTTACATTGCAGCCTTTTTTCGGCGCTCGCAAATGAAAAGAAAGTGGGCGGAGCGTCCACGTAGACCGCGCCGCTGATTGGCTGAATAATTGTTTGCTTTGGGAATACCGGCAAATACCGCGTTTTAGGAATAAGTATGGTGGAGGTATCAGGAAAGGCTTCGAAAACGATGATGACATCAAACATTTTCTGTATTTACCTACAGTCATACTTTTTTGTAAGCAATTTTAAAAAGCGTAAGAACTTCTTCGTTATTGATGGCGCTCGTTGTGAAAAGGCTGAGCTTCGTTTGAGAATATTAATAAAGGCGCTGAACTTCACTGGCATTTTCCAGACGTTTTCAGATCAGGTTTGCTCTACTTGAGAGCCTTTTGAGATTTCAATTACATTATCCATGTGATTTTTAGTATATTCTATATTTGGGGTGGTAAAATTTTCCGTATTATAAGAAAAGTGAAAGTAATATGAAGGTAATTATCCTCTGCGAAGGTGTGGATAATAGAGGTTTGTTGCGCCGACCGGAGTCGGAGGGTTTTGTAGCGGCATGTCGGGGTAATTGGACTGGGTCAGACAGGTGAAAGAATGAGCTGGTTTCGGGAAGTGGAATAAGAGAAAGATGAAAAAAAAGTTCTGAGCTTAGCTGAGGGCATGTTCTTATGATTTCTAACCATTCCTTTTCTCCTCTATAAGCGCAATTTGAGTTTCAAGTTTTTGATGATTCTATGGATTATTTAGTAACTGAGGCATGATAAAATTGGCCTTTTGCAATATCAAAATTTGTTTCTTGGAATTCAGAATGCAACGATGTAACACGTTTTGCTCTAGATTTGTACATTTTGCAAAAAAATCCCAAAGAAAACCCTAAACTGTTACAGTAAGCCGCAAGCCGGAACTAGTCAGAATTTTGGTTTGTTGTCTCTGTATTTTTGTCGGACGATTCACAAAAAAATCGTATGAGAAAAGAGAATATTATTTATTCCCATTGCTGATTTCGTGCCTACAGTAAGAAGCGGAGTACTTGAGAAGGAATTGGGAAAACTTTTTGCGCTTTCGGACCGACTTTGACCGGTTTTGGAAGTAAATATGTGGAGAAACTACAGTCAAATTGGTGTTCAGCAAGTTTGAAATTACTCTGCTTACGGTTTTCTTTTTGTGCCACAAATTTAGCCTCGTTTGGTAAGGGTGGGCAGTCGTTGCGACCTTTTTCGCATATCTTTTTGCCATATTTTGCCCATGATATCGGATTGCACAACTTCCCAACCTTCTGACGTTATAAAGAGAGTCGGAAGCGCAGAGGTAAGTGCACCCCTGACACCTGCACTAATGCAGCTAGATTACCATGCCCACCCATTCTTGCGCAACCACAAGATCAACCGCACTTGAGGCCGCGCATTGAAGTGCTACTGTTTTTTGGCTTATTAAATTAAGGAAATGGGCGAAAAAAGAGGAAAATAATTCAATTTCTGTATGATTTATGGGTATGGTTTTTCAGACAGATTTTTATACTTACGAAATTTGTAAAATTTAAAATTCTGATTTTTCTGTGCAAAATATAAACATGAAATCTCCAAAAACATTGATCAGAACAAATGAGCACACCAAATACTACACCAAATACAAATTTTTCAACTATTTTGACTATTTTTGTCTTCCACTTGGATTCGAACCTGCGTCAAACATCTCTGACTTATTACCACCACGCCACACAAGTACATCATCAAATTTTTTCTGCTATCTAAATCTTTACAGTATGTGGATCCTCAGACGCCAAAAAAATCTTTCCGACCCTTCCAAAATACGGTAATATCGGCCGTTTCTCCAAAGATCCTGCACAGAAAACATCCACGGAAATCCATTAATTCTCCGCGCTTCCGTTCGCCGATAAGTGGTTTGACAGACGGTTCCGAAGACCGTGGAATAAAGGGAATTCAGCCGGAGAAAAAAATGGGCATAACGCACTTGAAACCACTCGATGTCTTTCATTAACCTTGAACATCTGTTTGGGGGTAAATTAAACGACAAACGGAGAGTTTGGAGGAAGGTTACTGTAATCCTATACATAATGTTGAAAATACAATTTGAATTGACGTAGGAACTACTATTTTGGCAGAAATTTGAGTTGTACCTCTGTGGTCAAATGACAGTGAAATCAATTGAAGTTTCGGCCGGGTTCGAATCTCGCCTTTGGAAAAATCACTTTTTTAAGGGCAAACGAATAGATTTTAGCAAGGTACCGGCTTCATTAAAAACCGAATGGTCAAAATTTGCATACGACACAAGTTATGCGGATTTTTTTCTAAGGGCTTAAAAGAATCTTATCTTCTCAAAATTTCGATTAAAAATTCGATTACGGTAACCCAAGGCTGCTTTCTTCGAAGCTCACGGAGCTTTCCGGGTATTTTCGGAGCCATTTCTTAAAAGAATTCGTCGCCAGAAGTCGGGAATTCGTTTACATTTCACAAACTCAAGTGGCCGCGAAGCAGGGATCAGTGCAAGACTCGAGTGGATTTGGTTAGAAAATATTATTAAACGACGAGAAAATATGGAGAGAGCAAAATGTGGAACGCTCCGCAAAAACAAAGAAAGTCAGTTGGTGTTGAATTCGTGGAAACGAAACGAAAATTTTGAACATTAACCGGATACAGTGAGATTTTATCGGAAAAGGAGATTAAAAATAGCGCAATGACAGTTTTTATGGACAGTTTGAGACTAGAGGGGAGAGTGATAAAAGGACGATACAGTAGGGAATAGGTATTATTGGATGGAGTTTTGGGGGGAATGATGTAGGATTAAAAGGGTAAAGACAAAAAATGTTGAAATAAAATGGATTCAAATTCATCATTGCCGGATTTGGATCCCAACAGACTTTGTATTGAGAATTGAAAATTTCAGGAGATCACTTTTTATATACGAATATTCAACAATCTTGGCGGAAGAGCTGGGAAAAAAACCATAAATTGTAATGGCTCATTCATCAATTGATGAAGATGTTAGCTCAGGCTTTGCAACTGCAGCTGAGATATTCAACGACTTTAGCAGACGATGAAAACAAGGAAACTCAGATAATAAACGTTTTTCCAACATAAATGTGTGAATTTTTGGAAATTTCGGATAAAAATTGCGTGTAATTTTACTATTAACAAGGGAAGTACACCAAGTGCGACGCTCAGATTTTCTTTAAATTTTGCACACACGTCGGGCATAAACTAAATATCGATTCCTGAAAGTTTTAGCTCGCGCTTTGCGGGCGCCGCCGAGATATCGAACGATTTTTGCCGCCGAGAGAGCACGCTAAACGTGGAAAGCGGTCAGAGAGGAAAGCGCTTTTTGGCCATAACTTTGGCAGTTTTATGCGGAAAATTTTGATTTTTTGCAGAAACATTGTCCTTTACGGTTGAAATAGGTACAAAACTTTTCGTGCCGAAGTTCGGCAAAAAATTGTCAAATTTTCGCCGACTTTCGATCTAAAAAGCTCGGTTGTTTCTGCAAAGCGCGAGCTAGGATTATCGCATATTTTTTTAGAAAAAAATTTTTATAAATTTTTGCCAAGTTTCATCAAAATCTCACTTGGGGTACTTCCCCTGTAAGGTAAATTTGGTATCAAAAGGTATCACCAAAGATATGAAAACTCTACGCCCAATAAACAGCCCGATGTCCAAATTCAAAACTCAATCGCGTTGTTTTCCCAAAAAAATCCTGTTGCGCAATAACAAATCGGCAAATCCTGTTACGGACATCAGCGTTTCTTCCCGACCGGTCGCACTTTCTAATCCCCTTTTCTCGGCTATTAAATCTATTATTAAATCGGAGTTCATGGCCCAACCAAAAGGGGAGAGGTGCGACTTTTAATTAGGATTCCGGTAGATTTATTTAAACACTATAATTAGAGGTGGCCTTATATGTGCAGAGCTGAGAAAGTGTTGCGCAATTTTTTGAAGGGTAGTTGGGAGAAAATTTGGTAACAAATTTTTCAGAATAAAATTAGATCTTTATACATAGAACGTTAGAATAGAACGGTAAAAATAAAAAGTTTAAAGAACAATTCGAATATTCGGATTTAAAAATTAATAGCTGAATGTTCAAACAACGGAAATTTTAATAGCTTGGCTTTTTGCAATGTACAAAAATTAGCAAAACTTTTGTGGAATTCAGATTTCAAAACAAGTATCTCGAAGCCCAAAATTGCCGAAAAACATGTCCTATTCTTGCAAAAATTTTGTATTTTCCCGGCATCCGTACGCACATGTACGATTTCCAGTGACCTACAAGTCACCTTTTTTGCCACTTCACGGAAAAAAGTATGACTTCTAAGTCATCCCTTAGAATAAATTGTGGAACAGAAATTTCCCTCTAATCCTTTGGCTACAAAGAATCTTGAATATCTCGGCAGCCCTGTAAAAAAACAAGCGAGGACTTCCAGAAATTGACCTAGGCTTGCTTAAAATTTTTCTGAAGGATTCAGTAAAAATCTAAGGGTCGCACTTTGAAGAATAAAAGTCGCAGTTCAACGACAATTCGTCAGAAACCAAGAGCCAAATTCTAGTGGTATGAACTCAACAAAGGCAATGCGGGGTATGAATTTTACGCGTCAAAGGCCACACGTTTGCAGACCCGCATCATTGTCGATTTCTACGTCGACTATTACTCGTAATTGCCATCACAAATTGCCGACCCCATTTTCAACAATTATCAGTGCCAAATTGCTGCGGAAATTATCCGTTTACACTTTTAAAAGTTTTTTTTTCTCTCCGCCCCACCCGAATAATAACGGATTACTTTTCCCATCCGCGATTCCTGGTTTGGGGGTTTGCAGAAAGTGCGGATGGAGGAATTGGGGAAACGTTTTGGAAGGTACTGTAGTAGGAAATTGCGATTGATCCTTTCGGAAAGTTCGTATGCGGTAAAACAGTCAAAAGGAAGATTTTTGAATTTTGTGAATTCCCTCCGTAAATTTATCCGCAAAAGATCCACTGATTGGCCTTCCGAAAATATTTACAACAGTACCCATCCAATTACAATAACTCGGTTTATCGTACCTTAAGCTACGTAAAGGCATGTACAAGTTTTGTCTACTACAGGTCACATGGTCAGAGGATCCAAAATAGCGGATACAATCCTCGCATCGACCTCAGAAAAGTGCTTTTTTCGCAAAGAATTGTATTCGAATTGGCGAAGTCCCGAGAAAAGAAACCTTGCTCTGCAATTGTAGGTTCATTCGGGTTCGAAGACCGGTAAATAAAATGAAACTACATTTGCTAACACCTGTATTTGAGTTGGCGTTGAAATTTGGGAAAATTTCAGGTCTGAGTTTCAGGGAATCAAAGTAATCATTGACGAAAGACACCAAGTTCTAAAAAAAAATTTGACAGCGGATGTGCTAGATTTTCAATGCAATGTGACAAAAATTAAGATAATTTTTTATAGGATAGGTGTACAAACATAGCTCGCGCTTTGCGGAAAAAGCCATGACATTTCCCTGATGGTATATCAAAGCAAGAAAACTTTTTGAAATTTGAGCATTCCCATCTATAACGAGCGCCAGAAAATGCGAATATTTTGCACCTGTGCAAATTGCAAAGAGCAAAAAGATTGAGCAGTGAGTTAATAAGCAACTTCATTAAACCTGGGACAAAATTCGAGCTTTGTGCAAGCTGTAGAACGTTACAAAAACAGTGGTAAAAATATTTTCAGCCACTCAAAATCAAAGCTAACAATAAGATAACCTCAACCCTGACTTGGGACAACAAAATTTTATACACACATAGATACATAGAAAAGGCAGGCCGTCAACATAATTTAATCCGATGTAATCTTTGTCTCTGATTTTACACTTTTACCGACAATGGCTGTAACTTTTTTCATCAGACAGTTTTTGGCGGGGCTGGAAAAAGGGAGAAGTTAAAGCTGATAATTGGCGTTGGGGGTTGACTTGTGATAATTTTTTGGGGGATAGAAAAAGATGACGCAAAAAGTTAGACAAGAAAAAAAGAGTATACATGATTTCATTTGAGGGCATTTTTTGCTCTTTTGAGAGCAAGATTTATACAATTTGGATTCCAGAAATGTTGTTCAAACGCACGTAGACAGTATTACAGTAAGTAATATCCATATCAAAGAATATGGATATTGGATTATTGTCTACCTTTTGCGGATAGATCACCAAATCTTTTTGCCTAGACGGCTACAAAAGCATCAGTAAAACGCCGGCCATTTTCTGTAATAATAATGGCCAAAGGTATCAAAAACTTTCTAACTAAAGTCAATACGGTTACTGTTGCTAAAACGGCCGGACAGTTACTGCACCAACCCCTGTAATACGACCTTAATTACTGAAGAAAGGGAATTCCGACATCCGGCTCGTCCTCATCGCCGGAAGCGTTCACTTCATTAACAGGTCGCATCTCCATTATAACGCCTTTTATGGAATACATGCCGAAAGATCACTCTTCCTTTGATTGAGACATAAGATTTACCGCGCACCGGGAAGTTGCGCAATCAGAGAAAGGAGTGGATAAAAAGTGGGGGAAGATCATAGACATCGTGAGTGGGTGACCTTTATTGGGACTTCCTTACGTATAAGTGAGTTTGGGGAGGAAAAAAAACGATACCGACGGAGAAGTTCAAGTGAATCGAGGATATGCCTATATAACAAGACTCGCAAAAAAGGTTTTTGCCACCTTCTAGCTTAAAAATATTGGTTATGCAAAGCGCTAGTAATCAGGCATGAAAATACACCAAAATTTGAGACTTATTTTGTGACGTCCTGGGCGTTGCCGATCGAGAAAAAAAAATGATTTAAAAAATGGGAAATTGTCCAGATCACGGCACTATAAATTCACGACTCTTATTTGTCGACAAAATCTGTTTTTTCAACGGTAATTTAATCCCATCGACAAGTTTCCACTCTCAAGTGCCAAAACAAGCCAATATGTCCAAATATGCAAATAGCAGGAGGTTCGGGGATTAACCTTGTCTCAGCTAACCCGTTATTAGGCTCTTGAGGTAATAAGCAAGGCAAATACTATCGAATTTACAAAATAAGATGTATAAAAGTCAAAGTTTTCGTAAAATACAGACAGTAACTCAAAAAATACTCGAGCATTTTTGCAAATGGCGTAAAGTTTATTTCACAACTCTACCTCCAATTTACACCAAACAAATGATAACAATTAAATGTTGTTCGAAAATACAAACCCATACTACGCTCACATTATTACGACAGGTAATAGCATACAATTAACGCATCAAACAACAGAACAATTGGAACTTGTAAACCGGAAGTGAAAACAAAAAACTTGTAAGTCCACGTACTTTGTTCTAATTGCCACAACACTAAAAACCCACCCTGATTTCCATGCGCATTCGCGGCCATAAATGATAGCAGCATTTGTGCTTTAGTCATCTCTGCCAGCACCTTTGCGGGGATCTTCTGCTTTTCTTCCTTTGATTTTGAGGTAGATGTGGATGGCTGTTCCTTGCCCATTTCTTGCACATCAGAGCTTGTTTTGTCTTTCCCTTCGATCTTATCGACCTTATTCTTCTTCTTGGACCTCCTCAGCTCCCGTTTTACTTCATCCAAATGTGATTTTAAAGAGGTTGATGGAAGCTGGTCTTCTTCTAAGCTCGGCTCCCGATCAGGTTTATTGGATTCATCTATATTCTCGACAGCCTTCTCTCCTTCTTTATCTCCTTCCGGCGTTGACTTTACAGAGTGTTCTCCGGCCTCTTCCTGGCATCTGTTCCCCTTTTCTAAGACCTTCGTCGTACATTTATCAGAGGGACATGTAGACTTTTGATTCTTCACAAAGTTAGCAAACTTTTCCGACTGTAGCGCCTTGAACAGCTTCTCAATTCCATCCGGTTTTCGATCCAGCAGAGCCAACATTTCATTCATTTTTTTGATTTATAACCCTGAAAAAATCTGTAGTAAATATTGATGAAATAAAACAGGGAACCCCGTAAAATTCGCGGAGTAAAGGCATGTTCCATTATTGTAATAAAAAAGTTTTACTTTTTAGTTTAAAACCCCTTAGGCGCTGAAATCCCGTCAATTCCGGGATACGAAGGCCTTGTTTGGATGTATTTCATTCTTCTTTCTTTTCTCGGCCGCCCAATCCACGGCCATTCAACAGTTTCTTCTCGCTGATTAGGCCCCTCGAAACGGCACTTGACCCTCTCCGAATCCGGGTCCAAGAACACTCCATTTAGCGGAGTGAAGGGTCTCATGTTCGGTCCAGATTTTTGTGGCCCGCATTTTTAGGAATGGCAACTTTGGGGGTTGAAGATGAATTTTATAATTTTTTGGGTTTTGTATGGGTTGTTGCACAGGTTAAAATCTCGCAAACATGTATAGGACAGTGCGGTTTACTGTATAAAAAATATAATACAAAGAAAACATTTTTCTTCGTTCCTGAGTCTTGATTCGCTCCGAGATTTTGCCAAAAAAAGATAAAGTCAGAAGCGTCGCCTCTGATCTACTATAGCGTCTTTTACCCCAAAATTGCGCTATAATCTATACGTAAAACAGGCATTGTTCAATTTTCATGTAACTTGACACAATCTTCAAATGATGAGGTCAAAGTTTCAACAGAGAATTCACAAATTTTTAATAGTCACATCTCTGCAAAATCCAACATCAATATTAAAGATTTTTCTAACCTCCAACACGATTAGTTTTGCTGTATCTCAAAAAAGTAATCTTTTGCAGGAATTTGAACGCTCAACATCTTAGAGATTCATTTTAGAAAACCATCTCAGAGTTTTTTAAACAATTATAAGACGTCAAGTATTAATGACTACAAATGGCAATGTTCTAAAAAAGATGATACTAATTAATACACAAAACAGGTCTGAATAAATTTTGAGAGATTTCATAAAATACGGGGACAGTAAACGTCAACTTCTTCCAAAAGTGACTGCAGGATGATTCTGAATATTCCAAACGTATAATATCCCTCCTTTTTTTGGCAAATTACTGGGTTGCAAGTCCACTTAGGAGATAATTGTCATTTATTTTAAAGAGCCGTAATTGTAAAAAAGTGTTGAGGGATCTTGGGTCCCAAATTGAGTCGATTCTTTGGTTAAAATATATACATACATCATTGAAAAATTTAGGGAAAATTTTTGGCATTTTCTGATCTAAAAACGTCAATGATTTTGGCGAATCGCAGGCCAAAGTTTCCGGATATTGAATTTTCTGCTCTCATTTTGCACCATTTTCATCGAAACTGCAACGTGGTACTTCTAGAGCCCCATTGCGTAATTTTTACATGAAACCGGGTCAAAAAAGATCAATTCAAGACAAAATCCGCCCAACCGCCCTTACTGTAAGTGCCAAAAAGTTCTTTTTGAGGAAAGAGGCGAGGAAGTAACTTGTTAACCCAAACTCAATGCCTATTTGGAGGCTTGTTAAAGCCCTCCGGGCACTAACAATTTAAGAGTGGGACTGAATTGGTCGCCGGAAACCCTGAAGAGAAGATAAAACGAGGCCCAAACAAGATTGGCTGCAGGCCCGAAACGAGGAGTGCAATTGTAAACGATATGAATGGAAGTGGTTGATGAGGCCTAAAGAGTTGGTGGTGCAGGGTAAAAAAGACTCTCAGTGGAGCTTCTAAGGAATGGTAAACCGGTTTCAGTCGATGAGAATAGCAGGTTGGAGAAGAGTCCAAAACTATTCCAAATTGAGAGGGATACCCGGGTTTCTTCAGATCTTGTCGAAGTAATCTAACAATAAATTGGCTTTATGCCAGTGCCTAAAAACTTTCATTTTGCCATCAAAACAGTCACCATCCTTCGAAAATGAGAGACCGTGAAGAAGAGAAGAGATGGTCAGAGGAAAAAAAGCGTCATGATTTCTAGCCTAAATATACGCCAAGTTTTATCAACATTTGGGCTTAGTACAATCAAATATTTACACTTCGATCCGCAAATAATCAAAAAATAACCTCAGATGGTTTGTTATTTGATGTACAGAGCCTGTTGATCCTGCAATAGCCGTAAGACTTTCCTAAAAAATCAACGTCCAACTTCAACTTTATATACCGTACCCATTCATCCCTTGCTCCATCTACTCGCCCCTTCCAACTCGGCCAGAAGCCCACACTCCACTCCAACTTCACATCTCCTCAAACTCATCCGGCGGACAATGAAGGCGGCGTCTGAAGTCGGGCGTAAAAGCGATCCAAACCGGATTTGGCCTGCGGCGAACAGAAGAGACAATTGGGCTGGAATGAAGACGCGGCCGTATTATTCGTTTAGCGGCCGAAATTAAGCGCCGATAGTCTTGGTTCGAAAAACTTTTTGAGCGGGGAATCTTTGATGAGAATAAAATCTCGAGATTTTTCCCTGAGGCATTTTATGAAAAAACAAAGGTTAAGGGCGTTCAGAAACTGCAGATTCGGAGGGAGAAAAGGGTGAGTTGGACACTGTAATTGACTGGTCTTCAATGCTAATCAAGTTTGCATTGAATGGCCGGAGAAGTGCCTCCTTTTTGGTGGAAAAGAAGAAACTATAAAAAGATGGAGGATTCTGAAGACGCGACTTTACAAAATTTATTGAGTTACAGTATTTTTCGAGGAAAATTCGAAAAATATAAATAACCCCTCGTATTTGAAACCCTCCAAAAAATTTTTGCTAAATCAGTTAGAAATCTTTTACTCAGTAAATGAGATCACCAAAATCTCCACCAGGCTTTTTGAACGCTGCAGTAACAATAATTCTGTAGAAGATGATTTGGCAGGCAATACGCTTGCTCTCTGTACATGTCGATCCTCATGAATTTCGTTGTGATCAACGTGATATGCCCGGATTTTTCCTGAAAAATATTTTTTTTATTTTTTGAAAAATTACTTTTTTCATAGTGTAAAATATTTTTCTTGCGTGGAAAACGCCAAATTAAATTTGTGTAGATAAAAAAAGCAAAAAAAAATTTTGCTCCAAGTTCGAACAAAAGTTCAAAAAACTGACTGTAAAATGCGTTTCATAAAGCCCTCCACTTGGTTTGACCCGTATCTTCAGATGACATGCGACTTCTCCGCCACCTCCGATGTACTGTAACAATTTGAACTTGTATTCTTCATCCAAAGACAATTCCTCGCACTTGTCCGAAAAATCGGATGCCCTGAGGGCTCTATTCATTTCCTCCACAATCATTTTTCCGACTGTTTTGGAGAGGCTGGGGTTCTCCAATTTGACTTGTTTGTGCTGACATAGACAGTACTGGAAGGGAATGAGGAGAGAATTACAGTCTCTGGGAGATTTTAGCGGATGAAAAAGCGATGAACCTTTGAGATCAATGGACGGGTGAGAGTAGGAACTTGCAGAAAATGACGTGGACTTAGTCCATTTGTGGTTCTCCTAAAAAGAAAAATTGAAAAACCATATTTTACCGGCAAAAATGAACTTACATTTGCCAGCTCCGCCAAGGTTGCATAAATATCGTAATGAGTGACCAGTTCCTGAGAGTTGAGTTCTATTTGTTTCTTGAGATCTGAATTCTCCCGTAATTTCCTTGGGATTGAGATCATTAAAAATGGATTCCGGTCTTCGAATTCTCCGATAAAAGACTGACGAAATGCGTGATTTCTGGCTCCGTGATCGGCTAGGAAGATGACAAATGAATCGTCAAGCTGAAAAACCAAATTTTTCGATTTTTTAAGGAAAAAATTTTAGTAAAAAATCAAAAATTTAAAATTCCCAAACATGGTGAAAATCCAGAAATATAGAAAATTCCAAGACTTTTGAATCAAAAAACAAAAAAATTTGTAGAAAAGTCATACCTCCTTTTCAAGCTCCTTAAAATGTCCCAGCATTCTTTCGTCGGTTCTGTATAAATTATTCAGATTGTTGTGAGCAATGTGAGTGAACCAAATGTAGCTGAATTTAGGCTGATTTCTGTACTTCCTTGTGAATTTTTGAAAGGCTTCAAAAACAGGTTCATAGCTGTCTTTGCATTGATAGTAATGAAGATTGTCATATAAAACGGGAGCTGGAATTCCGTAGAGACCTTCAAGACGAATGGCAAATTGTCTGAAAAGAAGGTTTTGATCAAGTGTCTCATCAAGCTGGAAAAATCATGTTTTTCGGTCCCACCGCGAAACCCTGATTTAGCATTTTTTCTGTCTGATGCGAGGAAAAATCATTTTTAAAGATCAAAATCGATACAAGTTTATAAAATTCACATGTTCTACTTTTCCGATTAATCAAAAAAAATTCTAGGTCCCACCACGAAAATGTGACAAATCAAAATTTCGTTCTGAAACACTCGAAAATTACTTCTGAATGTCAGAAATCAGTGTAAAGTCACTTTGTAAAATCACTTTTAAACAAGCAAGTTATTATTTTTCAACTCACTTTATATAATGATCCATCGGCGCTTTTGTAAAACCATAGCAATCCGGTGAGTTGAAATTTCCCAATCCCGAGTCGTCCATGGCCATGGTTCTGTATCCCTTCCTTCCAAATTCATATCCAATAAAGTTGCTAAAGTTGTTCAATTTCATGTAACAAATCTCGTTCCATCTCCCGATTTTCCGCTCTTCGCCCCATGGGTTTTTTGGCATATCCTCGGGCGACTCGTTGAGTAGAAATGCCAAAGAAACTGGCCTACTGTTTAGGCCAACTTTGTTGAGATACTCAAAAATTGTGGCTTGGAACTTGTCTTCCAGATATTGCTTGGTTTTGGGAAGCGCTCGTTTCAAATGTGAGGTGCTCACCGAATCGATGAGAATTATGTAGACGTTGGAGGCGTTTGGCGGGGGAGGAGTTGAAGGCGGAGGTCTTTAAAATAAGAAAAGAATAACCAAAAAACAATCCAGACGGAAAAGTTTTAAAAAATATTGTACTCAGTTCTTGTCAAATTTGGCAAAGATACACTCTAAATAGGCCAAAAAAACATTTGATCAAAACCATAAAATTTGACGTTCCAAAAAATTCCGGGATTCTAAACACAAAAAACAACGTAGTAAAACGCTCACTTTTCCACTATTTGAACATGAAGATACATATAAGTTGGCTTGAACCTCTGACTGCATTCCACTTCCACCACTTCACAAGTTGTTCTAACTGGACTCGAGTCGTCGTATTTGACCCAATCAGAGGTTGAGTAATCCCTGTCAGTCTCAAAATTTACGCAACTGAAAATTTTTTATCAAAAAACATCAAAATCTTTGGGTTTTCTTACCGATACCAGCAAGTCTCTCCAAATTTGGAACTCGAGTTTATCTTCAGAATCCCATTGTCAAGTGAACTCCGGAGTACAAAAACTGGTTTGCAGTTCTTCAGCGGGTTTAATTCGGGGGTTAAATACGGTTTTCCGGAGGGATGCCAAGGGTCGAGCACGGGCAATTGGCAACTCCCATATTTGGTGGTCGTATTTCGTAGTTGAAAAGCGTATTCTGAAATCGATTGAAATAGAAATAAATTAGGTTTTCATGGACGAAAATTCATTTTTTTCTGAGTCAGGTCTTGCTTCTTTCGGTCAACTCTTCCTTTTCAACTTCAACTCTTTTGGGTCAAGTGTGCCCCTTGTTTTCAAATCTTTTAGAAAATAAAATTTAAAATGGTAAAACAAAAATTATAATTTTACATGCCTTGAAAATGAATTTCATACCGATCTCGCCCATAAATCGCAAAAAATTAAACTTCATTATGTAAAATCGAAAAATTTCATTCTGCCTATATTCAAAAAATTCAATATTATTCACAATCGCCGTAAAACTAAAAATAGAGGCATGGAAATCTCCCCATGGAAAATTTACTTACAACTTACCTTGCTCTTTTTCTTCCCTTTCTTCTGAATTGTCAATTTGAACGAGATTGTAGATCAATAACGTAGAAACAACTAAACAGACCCCACATGAAGTTGTTTTTACCCGGATGCGCATTTCGGTGACTCATAAATGCCCATTGAGCAAGAACCAACTCCTGCAAATGGGTGATCCAAAAAATAAAAATGGCAAAAGGCGAAAAGAACGTATTGTAACAAAAAGAATTTTTTGAAGTGATAAAAGCGTAAATGTCCCTTGAGGAAAATCTTAGAAAGGTCTTTTATGGGTAAACGCACCACACACGCAACCCAAAAATAAAAAAAAAAGTTTCCCGACCACTTTTGCATTTCGTCCAAACGAAGTGTCACAAAAGAAATAAGTCCGGCAAAAAAATTTTTCTACCGCAAAGTCTCTACAAAAAATTCCTTTCGGTGGCATTTCGTTTGATTTCAGTCATACAAAGTGGGAGAGTCGTATAAAGGAGCGATGAAACGCATCGGGTTGCCGTGCGTCATGACTTCTTGCGGACCAGACCGAGAAAGGTCGGTTTCGGAGTTGTCCTGGAAAATGCTGTTGTTGATAAGATCTAAATAAGTTGAAAAAATATGACAGAGAGGCAGATATGGGAAATATGGGGAACAGAAAGGGAAGAGGACCTTCTTATCGCCTTTAGAAGGCGAGCTTTTTGTTTGAGAGGTGAAAATTTGTGATTCAAGCGGTTTTCAATGGAATCATAATTTACGTTTTGTGATTCAACATTCAAAAAGCTGTGAAAAGTTTGTAGAGAAGAGAAGTCGCTGCAAAGAAATTTCCTTATAGTTTAAAGAAAATCTGGGCGTCACACTGAAGGCACTTCCTCTGTAAGTCGCATTGAAGTAAACCGCCAAACCGTCTGCTAAGTCCACTATTACTTACATAAATAGTTTGTCGAAAAATCAGCCGTGTAAAAATCTTTTCCTTTCCAAAAAATTTCCTTCCAAAATCAAGGTCTCGCCTTTCCCCCTTTAACTTGTTTGTTCAGAAAAAGTCGGTGCAATTGATGGCTCTGTTGACTTTTCAAAATAGAGCTTTCCTTTTTTTCTCTGGTCGGTTTTTTATGACCTTTCTGGGCCGCATTTAGAATTTTATCCAATTGCAAAGGTCGCTGCAAAGAACGAACAAAAGCACCGTTTATTTCAATTAGTTTAAATTCGCAACATGTACAGTACAAAGCAAGACCATTGTTGTGTTTTATTCACTGGCTGCCCCACTTCTTCTTGGCTTTCCCGGCCTTCTCCTTGAGCCATTCTAGCCAACCCTTCCTTTCCTCCGGCTTTTCCGTGGTTCCACAGCCAATGATATCAGGATGTTTCTTTTGCGTAGTTGGCTCGACGAATGGCGTGGATGAGGGAAGAGCCGTTGATGATTCTTTTGTTTCTACAGTTGCAGCAGAAGCGGTGGCCGGAGACTCTGTGGAATCTGAGGGAATCAGCGATGAGCTGGAAGGGCCAGCGGTAGCTTCGGTTGCATTAGATGCAAGGTTAGTCGCTTCTGAGGCGTCTTCTTCCACGGGCTCTGTAACTTTATCTCTTGGAGTTTCAGTAACGTCGGTAGAAATGGTGGCGGGATCAGAAAAGCCTTTCGTAGCCTCAGTTTCCTCAGCTGGTACTTCTGTAGCTCTGGTGGAAACTGCGGTATCTTCAGATGACTTGCTCGAGTCGTCAGGATTCTCGGTTGGTTCATCGGTGAAATCAGTCGGCGCAGATGTAATATGGTTTCCGTCTGTGTGTTCTTCAGGAGTCTGGGTGGCCTGTGTGGCGTCATCTTGGTCTTCAGTAGTTTCTGTAGCCTCAGTGAATGTTTCTGTTACCTTTGTGGAAGATTTAGTTTTTCTGCGGTTGCGTCTATGCCGTCTGGTTCTTTTACTTGTGGCTGGTGTGGTTGCTGCTTCACTGGCGGCATCAGTAGCCTCAGTAACACTTTCAGTAGCATCAGTTTCGAGGGACGCGTCCGTTGTGGCTTCACTCACCTCGGTTGGCTCTGTTGTAGTCTCAGTATGCGCTGTAGTTCTTCTACGACGACGACTATGGCGTCTGGTCCTTCTTCTTCTTGCAGGCGTAGTTGTCTCGGACGGAACTTCTGTTTCCTCCGATGAGTCATCAGTGTCCTCAGTAGGCCTATCAGTGATTTCTGTAGGATGTTCGGTTAATTCGGCGTATGTTGTATCATCAAGATCAGAGTCGGTGACTTGGGTTGGCACGGGTGTAAAGTCGGACACTTCTCCGCTTGATGGGGTTGTGGAGCCTTCTTCACACAGGCCGCACGTTTTCTTGCAGTAACTCAACATGAAATGGCTCTTGGATTCACAGACACCAGCTTTCTTCAAAATGTCGCAGCTGAAAGTTGGTAAAGTTACGAAGGATTTTTATAGAAATCGGGCAGATTTTCGAAGCGAGAAGTCACCGAACGAGAAATTTTTGAATTTGAAACTTTTAGAACAGAAGAACACAGCTTTCGACTGCGACTTACTTCATGGAATAGTCCTGGCAACAGTTCTCTTCACAATATCCACAAGTTTTGCGGCATGTAGCTTGCATTGGGATTCTGAACAGCGGGTTTTTACAGTGTCTCTTCATCTTTTCGCAATTGTTAACCCGATCCTCGCATGGAAGTAGAGCACTTGTCAGCGGTAGCACAAGGAATAAACAATAAAGGTACTTCATTTTTCGTCACTTGTATGGAAAAGAGGCCAGGTGCCGATATGATCTCACTGGTCCAAGATCTGGCCTTATATAGTATGAACACTGGTGGTTTGTGTGCACAGATTTTGTGCAAAATAAGTGTGACGAGATCCAAAAAAACTTTGACAGAGTTTGAAAAAAATAGGATTTGAAAAGAAAGTTTCGCGTAGGTGTCGTGAAGGCTTCCTCCTGCCATTTCTGGAATGTTTTCTCATCTGCCGATTGGTGAACGAAGTTGATTATTCGGGATGACTAACCTCCATTAAATTTGAAATATTTGCGGATTCAAGTTTGCGTCCGTGCCTGGGGCACAAAAAATTGTTGGATCAGAAAAGATTTGTAGTTTTTCGGAGGCTAGGGCGGGAATAAATTTAAATTGTTTGCAAAAAATATCACCATAACAGGATGCTGGTTGACCCCGCACGGTCAAAATAGCAGTCTGAAAATACAAATTCGGCTTTGTAGTTTGAAATTTTGCTGAGTTTGGGAATGGAATTTAGGGATTTTACAATTTGATTATATTGATGCCGTGGATAATATGATACAGATTGAGATCACCACTTTATTTCGCGAAATTTGGTTGTAGATGTAATTTCAAATACCAACTAATGTCTGTGCTTCGTTTCCCACTCATCTGTTATTTACAGTAACAGTAATTTTGCAGGAATTGCGGGGGAATACAACTGGCCTGGGCTTTGTAAGAATCAAGCCGAGGAAATCGCTCAGAAAGCAGTTTGACTTCACCATTCTTCACCTGAAAATATTACTTCATATCGTTTTGACAACTTTTGAAAATTTTCGGACTTTCAGGTTTTCGTGGTGAGACCTGAAATTTCGATTTTTTAAACCATTCTAAAAACCTAATGGAAAAAATATTTCGACTCACAGTAAATTGTGTTTCGTAGCTTCCTCCACCCGGCCTCACCCGGATGACCGCTTTATAAATCACTTTATCTCCTTCACCAATTTTCGCCAACTCCCCAAATCTTTTGTCCATCTTCAATTTCGCGCAGTCTCCTTGGTGCATACTCTTTTTGATATCCGCATTCATTTTTTCGACCATCATTTCTCCCACCCTGCTCAACAGTGTTGAATCCTCTATTTTGACCTGTTTTTGTTGACAAAGGCAGAAATTTATTGGAATTAGTAGCGAGTTGCAGTGTCTGGGGCCTGGCAACGGGTGCAAGATTGAACTTCCCTTGAGTTTGCGATCGGAAACGGAGAATTTTTCGGTGGAAAAGTTGGTTTGTGAGATCCATTTGTGGTTTTCCTGAGATCAGAGATAATTTTAGTGTCATAGGCTTCGTTATAGAAAGGTTATATTATGGGTAAATCATAAAAAAATTGGTGGAACTAGTGGTGGGTTAAACTGAAAGTCAAGAAGTCAGGTTCGTCCCACTAGAGGCACGATGCGAAAAAAGTCCTAACCTAGCAAAACCTCTCTATAACAGCCTTAAATGTAGTGTAGATTACGGTGAAACTTCCGATCGTCTTATTGGCTTACCTTAGCAATCTCCAATAAAGTCGCATAGACGTCGAATTGAGTCAGCAGTTGGTTCGAATGATTTCGAAGTAAATCCATGAGATCCTCATTTCTCCTGAGCTTTTTTGGCAGTGTTAATGTAAAAAATGGATTCAGTTCTTCGAGAACTCCAATAAAAGATTGACGGAACCCTCCGTATCTCGGCCCATGATCGGACATAAAGAATACAAAGGAGTTGTCCAGCTAAAACAACAATCCCGTAGTTTAAACACGACATATTCTAATTTTTTGGCAACTGAACACTTACAGTATCCTCCAAATCTTTGAAATATTTCAGCATCACGTCGTCCGCTCGGTATAACTCGTTTTTTTCGCTGTGCGCCAGGTGAGTGAACCAAATCATTCCCATTTTGGCTTCGTCATTGTAAACAGTGCTGAATTCCTCGAGAGTTTCAAATAAGGCTTCATAGGAATCACGGCATTGACGAGTGTTATGATTTGCAGATAAACCGTCGACATCTTCATAAGCGAGGTTCTCCATACGACGGGCGAATTGTCTGAAAAAATAAAATAATAAATTTTTAGGTCTCACAACGAAAATCTAAAGTTCTGTTCATAAAGCTAATGGAAATGCTGTCTTGAGACGGCGCAAAATCATTGAAATCAGAGGTACGGTTTCTTCCTGACAGTCCAAAATTCCACAAAATACTGGGTCCCACCACGAAAACCGGAGATGCAAAATTTGTATCATAAAATCATAACCGTCTACATAGGCAAAAAAGCGGTTTATAATGTGATTTACGCTGTTAATAAAAGATTGAAATTTTGGGTCTTGTTTTCGCGATCTTACTTTACATAATGATCCGCCGGTTTTTTCGTGAATCCAATGCAGTCCGGCGAGTTGAAAGTCCCAACTCCAGAATCATCCATAGCAAAAGTCCTGTAGCCAGCATTGTTAAAATCGTAAAAAATGTAGCTCAGATTGTCCAAGGGTTTGTAGCAATAATCTTCGCCGGCAATTTTGACTTCAGGACCCCAAGGGCTTTCCGCAATGTCCTGCGAGGCTTCGTTAACCAAAAAAGCCATCGCATTTCCTCGAGAATTCCAGCCAACTTTGTTCAAATAGTTAAAGGTAATGGCTTGATGGCGATTTTCCAGGTATTCCTTGGTCTTTGGTAAGGCTCGTTTAAAATTCCCAGTGCTGGTGGAATCAATGACAATTATGTAGACGTTTGAAGCGGCCGGCGAAGGAGGAGGGGACTTTGGAGGCCTGAAAACAATTTTTGAATGCCGGTTCAAGCTTTGTAGACACTACTTTTCACTGTAAGATTATGTTTCTCCAACTTACTGCTTCACAATTTGAACATGCAAGTAAATGTAAGTCATCCTAATTAGATTTGAGCACCTCACTTCCACCACTTCGCAATCCGTTGTTGACTTGTTCTCAGACTCATAAGAAACCCATTCTGACGTGTTATAATTCAGTTCCGTGTCCATGAAAATGCATCTGCAATTCGAAAAACTCAAAAAAAGAAAGCTTTTTCGTACCTGTGCCAGCATCTTTCGTAAAGCCACGAGTCCTTCGCCGGCTCAATAAAGATGGTCTGGTTGATTATTTTACTGCGAACAGTGAAGCTGGGGACACAATCTTTGAGTGGATTATAGGTTTCGTCATGGAATTTCATGCCAGAGGGATGGTAGGGATCAAGAAATGGCAACGGGCAACTTCCATCAGAGTAATCGCGGTTTAACGTTGGAACTGCGTAAACTAAAAAGGAGAAATAATAAACAGCGAATAGAATTGACACTTTAAGGCTTTTTGGAAGTGATTTTCCATCGTTCCTAGAGCAAAAAATTGACTTATCAGGTTTTCGTGATAGGACCTAGAAACTTTATTTTTAACTCATAGGAGAACCCTTAAATTGGGGACTTTTTCCGCATGTCTTTCTCAAAAAGGTCTCGTGATGGGACCCACCATTTTTTTAACTTGGGATTTGCAAAACACGTATATAAAAAATGCCAAAAACTGGATTTTTTACTTACCGATCTCCTCGTAAAAACCGGTCCATTCGCCAACTGCTTTTGTGACATTCTCTAAATAGTAGACTAAATAGCACAAAAAAAGTATGTGCAGTGCAAAAATAATATTTCTTCCTCTGAATTTCGATAAAATTTGGCACCGGGGCATTAAAAAAGGTTTCAAATAAATTGAACAAGCACTTAGAGCGATAACCCATTTCCAGCGACGTGGGCCCCCACGAAAGATAAAAGAAAATAAAGTTCAAACATTGTATGAGGGGAGAGAGGGACGACTGATTGTATCACAAAGTATATCACAAGATATAAAATAATTTTTATACTTTTAATGTCTAACTAAATAATCGAAAATTACAAAGAGGATTCCAATTTCAAGAAGCAAGATTTCCAATAATTTTTTTGACATTTCGTCAAATTCACAAAAATCATCAAAATTATCAAAAAAACTTGCCGTCATCGCTGGACTCCTGAGACTTTGGGGATATTCGGAAAGCTTTTTCGTATCCGGAGATGACCAACAATGTGAACAGGCACAGTGCGAAGAAAATTTTAGTTTGACTTATTTTCACTTCCATCGACCGCCGAAAAAACCAAGCTTTGCGAAAAGTGAAAGTAAAAAACAATTTTTTTTTCAAATTTTATCGAAGAAATAAGAAAATTTTAAATTTCAAAAAAAAAGATCAAATTTATTTACAAACACTTTTTTACGCAAAATTATTTTATCACAGCGTCCTTGAGGCTTCAGGGCAGTAACAGTAATTCTGAAGGAAGTCCGAGGGAATGCAACTGGCCTGTTGTTTATAGGCATCAATGCGAGGTAGCTCGGTGTTAATCAAAGTCAGATTATCGTCTTTTGAGACCTGAAAAAATATTTTTAACTCTATCTTTATGACACTCTACGTCAGGCAAAGAAATACGGGATAAAGTCTAATTGGCGTATTTTACCAGCTTTTAGTCTATTTGCAATGTGCCCATTTTGACAAAAAATATACATAATAATAAACGCTTACAGTAAAGAACGCTTCATAGAAGCCTCCGCTTGGTTTGACCCGTATTTTGACTCGATAAACCTGTTCGTCATCGTTTCCCACATCAAATTCGTGCAACTGGTATTCATAATCCTCATCGATCTTCAGCTCCAGACAATTCCCAGCGAACTTTGATGTGTTCAGCTGCTCGTTCATATAGCTCGTTATCACATTGCCAGCTCGAATGTAGAGCTCTGTGTTTTGAATTCTTCTGGCGCGCTTCTGGCAAAGACAATATTGGAAGGGGATTCTGAGCGAGTCACAGTCTCGAGGCGACGGAAGCGGATGAAAAAGCGAAGAGCCTTTGAGAGAGACTTCATTGGGCGAAAAATTAGAATTATGGTAATCTGTGTCGGTATTCCACATGTGATTGTGCTGAAATTAAAGTTGTTTCTGCAAAGCATCTATAAAAATTTGGAGGAGTCTATTTGCCTCTAATAGCTAAAAAATTGGCGCAAAAAGACGCAATTTTTTAAAGCCCTACCGTTGCCAATTCCAACAGTGTTGCATAAATGTCATAGTGGCTGAGAAGCTCGTTCGCATTAATTTTCAGCTGCCGTTGCAACGATTTGTTCTCCCGCAGCCTTTTGGGAATCGTCATCACAAAGAAAGGGTTGTTGTCTTCGTATTCCCCCATTGAGGTTCGTCGAAAAGGCCCGATTCTGGGCCCATGGTCCGCCATCATGATGAAGAAGGAATTGTCTAACTGAATCATCTTTCGTTGTGCGGTAAGTCAACTCACCTCCTCTTCCATGCTCTGGAGAAGCCTTTTAATCTTCAGATCAGTCCTATAAAGCCCATTCAGATTGTTGTGCGCAATATGAACCAAAGCGCTTATTCCAAACTTGGCCTCTGCTGGGTACAGTTTTGAGAAATCTTGAAAAGAATCCAAGACGGTCTCATAACTGTCTTTACACTGATTCGCATGCAGATTGTCGTATAATTCGTAGTCAATATCAAAAGTGAGGTTCTCCAACCGTCGAGCCCACTGTCTGGAAAAGTTTTTTTTGCAATCAAAGAAATTTTACTTGGATTAGGATATCTATGGGTAAATCTAGAGGAATCAGTCTAGGGATATTCCGATAAAATCCACATTTAGGCTCACTGTATAACTTACTTTATGTAATGGTCCATTGGCTGTTTCGTAAACCCGATACAATTTGGTGAATTGAAAACTCCGACGCCCGAGTCCTCGATCATGAACCCTCTGTATCCATTTTCCATGAACTTATGTCCAACAAAATCTGTGAAGTTGTCCAAAGGAGACTGACAAATTTCCTTTTCTCTCCCAACAAACTTTCCGGAGGCTCCGGGAAGACTCTCCGGGATTTCGTTCAATAAAAAAGCATAGGCATTCGGTCGAGTGTTTAGGCCAATTTTGTTGAGGTAGTTAAAAGTTACGGCGCCGTGAAAACGTTCGAGATACAAACGGGTTTGAGGGAGAGCACGTTTGAAATGATCGGTAGAAATGGAGTCAATAAGAACGATGAACACGTTAGAGGCATTTGCAGGGGATTTTACTGGCTTTGGAGGTCTGAAAACAATGGTAGATTGGTTGGAACTAAGCTCAGTAAGACTCTCAATAACTATAGTATCTCTAAAAAAATTGTGCAAAATTTACTTTTCAATCAATTGCACATGAAGATAATGGTAAGTTGTCTCATTTCCAGTTGTGCAGTTTACCTCAACCACTTCACAATCAACGCTACTGGTTTTGTGGACCTCCAGCCGGTCTGTATAATTGAATTCCGTGTCACTTCGAAATTCTAAGCAACTGAAAAGATAAAAATGTCAAAATCTCAAAAAACCAAAGACTTTTTTTACAATATACTATATGTTTTTTTCTATACAAAGTCTTATTTTAGATTGTAAAAATTACCTGTAGAAACACTGTTCATCGTCCCGTTTCTCCACCGTTAAAACTCCATTTTTCAGCTTACTTCGAACCTCAAAGTTGTTCGTACAATTCCACAATGGATTATAGTCCGGTAGGAGTGCTGTCCTGCCCGCTGGATTAAATGGATCCGGCTCCGGTAGCCTGCAGGAGGCATGGCACTCCTCGAGCTCGTCGTTTTTTGTGTCGACCAACGCTGGTCGGGTCGTCAAAACAATTTGATTCAAAATAATCAGCGGAACACTGATCATACATACGAGGTAAAACACCCTGCCTCGACCGTTCATTATGCTGGTTTTGAACCTGCAAAGGGAAAAACGGTTGATTTTTAGTCCGCTTAAATTTTTAACGCCCACAAAAAATTGATATGCCGGCGTAAGTATATAACATTGAGAAAATGTAATTTACCTTGCAGAAATGAGCTTTAACAGTGAAAATCGCATAAAAATTGAAGTCAAAGGGACCTTTCAGCTAACAGACATAAAAATTTAGATTGTTTTACAGGTTTAATGAGAGTGCGAAGTGAGTCCATAACATCATAATAAATAAAATAGATTACATGTTATACAAACCCGCAGGTCAAGGCCGAAAAACTTGGCCGAACAACTGTTTATTTCCACGTTTTTTTTTTGAAACAGGAAATGTTTCGAATTTTCTAGATTTTATAAATAGCAAATACATTTTAACAAAGAACCAGCCACTTTTAAATTGCGAGTTTTTTTGGCTTGGCAAAAAAGTTTCCAGCATTTTAGAATTTGTTTTACTAACAGGGAAAGTACTCCAAGTGCGACGCTCAGATTTTGATGAAATTTGGCATAAATTTAGAGTAATTTTTTCTAAAATATATGCGAGAATCCTAGCTCGCGCTTTGCAGAAACAACCGAGATTTTTAGATCAAAAGTCGGCCAAAATTTAGGACTTTTTGCCGAATCTTGGCACGAAAAGTTTCCTGCCAATTTCTACCGTAAAGGGTAATGTTCCTACAAATAATCAAATTTTTCCGCACGAAACTGCCAAAGTTATGGCCAAAAAGCGTTTTTCTCTCTGACCGCTCTCCACGTTTAGCGTGCTCTCTCGGCGGCAAAAATCGTTCGATATCTCGGCGGCGCCCGCAAAGCGCAAGCTGAAAATTTCAGAAATTGATATTTAGTTCATACCCGACGTGTGTGCAATTTAAAGAAAGTCTGAGCGTCGCACTTGGAGTACTTCCCCTGTAAGTAGAGGCGACCTACGTTTCGAACGATTGCAAAGTTGCAGAGAAAGAGCAAGGTGATGAACTGTACGCATGCACAATGTCAAATTCAAATTGACTGTTCTTCAGTGACTTTTTTTGTCAATTCTATGCTGTATTTCCGTCTATTCTGCGTGAAAAAAGTGATTTGCTGTGGACATTCACTTATCAATTTGCATTTGAAACAAAGTGCGAAGCCCCGGATAAACCTCGAACATCGTCAAATCTTTTTGCCCGTTCTCCGTATTGCACGCGCTTAGTTTTTGTTGGCGATGGAATATCTCGTCTTCCAATACCGTACACGAAGCCCAGTTTTTATTCTAATTACTTTGTGGTGAACCCCCAATGTGTGCAAAATTTTAAAAAAATCTGTGCGGCGCACTTTGAACATCATCTGGTCAAACACCGGAGAGTTCTTTTTGGACCTGCAGAAAACAGTAAGCTCTTTATCTTACCGAAATGGTTAGCACTCTCGGATACACACGTCATAAAACTTGCAAACTAAACAAGCAAAAACTTCCGGTGATTCATTTTAAAAAATAGAACGTATACGGAAAACAGAAAAGGAGCGAAAGTTTCGACACTTTTTGCTCAACAAAAAGCTCGCTTCCCTTACATTAACGGTCATATATTCGAAATAATAGTACCATCAAGTTGATGACTTTTTTTAGCTCTTGCTAGACCACTAAATTTTTTGAAAATTATCATTTAGCAGGTCAGAAATGATTTAATCGGAAAGAAGCTCAAAATATAATTTATGCACCGTTTCTCATCCTAAACGACAAGTCGAAAAAAATTAGAATTAAAGTAAAACCTTTTGTTTTAAAATTCGATTGTACATATACTGAGTTGAAAGTAGTTAAAGCATTTTACGAAATGAATTCAAGTTGAGTTATCGCATCTGCTCCTTCGCTGAAAAAGGATTTCTGGATTCAATAGAGATACCATCGAGAATATTCCGCAATTGAACTTGAACGGCTTTCATGACGTGTGCAAATCAAAGAATCTTTTTTAATGAAAACAATAACTCGTTACGAATTTCTGAATTTTTAACAAATCACATGAAGAGCAAATCTGCTAGCTAAGCGAAAAAATTGGATATTCCTTGGAGACCCACAGTTCAGATTTCTGCCAAGTTTTCATCAAAATTTAAAGTCACACCGCCCCCTCTTGCATGTGCCTTTCTCAGAATACCTTGGTGATCATTTTTGTGGAAAACCACACATTAATTAATCAACAACACATTAAACTCCCAAAAATAATTTACCGTTGTTTAAATCGGCCGTTCCTTTATATCGCCCCCTTTTTTTGCACTCAAGATGTACCCAAGTCAAACTAAACCTTCCTTTTTCAACCTACGCGCTTTCGAATGCGCACAAAAACGAAGATGTAATAAATCGCCTAAAAAGTAGGTGCTAAGCAAAAACAATATTGGGTTGCAAGTGATGACATCTGGGGAAGTTCCACATCTCCGAATTATTTGCCGAATTGTAAACTTTTTCGCGGGAAAACAACTTGTTTACCGCTGACGAAACTTTGTTTCCTATGACGCCCACTTTCTCCAAAGAAAGCGGTGTTTAACGCTGACCGCTGGAGGGTTGTGGAATTTCTAGAAGTCTTTGGAGAGGGCTTTTGGAGGGGAATAAGAGGTAGTAATAACAGTCGTAAATTGTAAACAGTAATTTGCAAACAAAGACATGTGAAGGTCCCGGTTTGAACTTTTGCTTGCGAAGAATGTTTGCTGAACTGTTCTTCGAAAATATTGTAAAAATAACGCAAAGGTTCTCAACAACAACAATCTACGAGAAAAAAGAATTCCGGGGTGCCGAAACAAAATATATAAGTATATTTAAGTCGGAGTTTGAGATCCATCGGAAAAACTAGGTACAGTTATATTAGGTCTAAAAGTATGACTCCGCCGTTTTTTTTGCATGACACTTTTAATCAAAACAAAAAATTTTTACATTAAAGCTTATTTAATTATTATTACTATTATTAACTACGACATTTTCCCATAATTTGAGCAACTTTTCAATACCATCAGTGAAAACGATTTTTTGTTTTGAGGCAATTTAGTCATCGGGCCAATTTTGGACATTTTTGTATTCAGCGAAGCGCTGCTGCCTCAGATCGGGTTTCATCGGTCGAAACAAGTGTTATTCTGAAAGTGTGGTGTCAGAAGAGTATAGCGGGTAGGGTAGGACCTTTAACCTTAGGTGTTCTAGCGTGCCTTGGCCAGTTTTTCAACATAGAGTCTGAAATGACCAAAAAACAGGATAAATTTTTTTTATTCCGGTAGCTGTAACTGTTGTCAAAATTCATTTATTGTTTGCCCCCGGTCACGAATTGAGGCAAAAAGAATTTCTTTTCTATCTTTCCATCAGAATTTTGCATATTGTTTTAGGTCAATTAATATGGTACCCAACTCCTTGCTCCCTGCGTCTTTCACTTTTGTTGCAGACTCTGTGAAACTGCTTTCCGAGTCAGCTTTAGCTTCACGGCTAACTTTTTTTTGCGTCTGGGGATTGTTTTTATCGAATAATCTCCATCTTAAAATTTTTTGGATGGGTCTGAAGATCACCGGTTTTGAACCGTTGAAGCCATTCCCGCCGGATTTTTCCACACAAGGCACAACTAGCACAAGCTTCTGTAAACGTTCGATGCGTTATCGGCGTTTTTCCTCACATTACACGTGCAGAATAAAGTTTCCCGCGAAGTCACCTTTTCTTAAGATGAAGTTGGTCATCTTTGAAGCTTTATAAAAGCGTCATATAAGGCCTCACTGTACGAAGCATATATCATTAGATAGCGTTTTCAACGTCCTTCTATAGCATATAAACAGAAGTTGCAAAATTATATTCCAACCTGTAAAAAATGCAAAACAAAAAAACGGCGGAGTCATACTTTTAGACCTAATAGATTATTGTTTTTTATTGCATATATTTTTAGCTAGTTATTTTCAAAATCCATGTCGATTATAACATCAAGACTGCTAAAAAATTCGAAATTTCTCACGATTTTAGGCCTAAGGCCTTTAGGTCGGTTACAAATGAGGTTTCCAAAACTGCTACAGACAAGAGCAACTCTTGCGCTTTGGACTTACCGTCATGAAATCTTTTTTTACAACCGACTCACCTCAATTAACCATATTTTTTCGTTTGCAAAAATGATTGAATATCAGCGAGGTCAAACTTTAGTAACTGAAGTGTGACCCAGAAAGATCTAGCAAAAAACTAGAGTGTTGACTCTCGAGTGTTTCCCCCGTTAGCGCTAAGGTCACCATAGAAAATCTTCTATTGAGGTACGGTCCTATTTTATTCTTTATAATCAGCACAGAAACAATAATTTTGTAGAAACTCCCTGGGAATACAGGCCGCTTGTTTCGCATAACTGTCCATTCGTGGGAACGTTTCCGAGACCAGTTTTAGTTTGGAGTTCATGATCTGGAAAAGTGAAATTGAAAATAAAAAATTCTCATTTGCGTACCGTCTAGACTGGTGCACCATGGTGCGAAAATTCCGTAAAAGGTTAAAATAGGCCCGAAATTGATGTCAAAACGAATCGCAGAGTCAAAAACTGACAGCCCTAGAACTGATCTCTTCGTATGTCTTCACGATACCTTTTGACATTAAGATTAGGCTTATCTTTTCTCCTTTTAAACCTTTTTTCAGACTAGAGCCTCGCCGCAAACATTTTGAAATAAGAAGCCACCTCTTACCCTTGCATATCCCTTGTATTTTCCTCCGCTCGGCCTCACTTTGAACGTCAACAAATAAGCTGCTCTTTTGTCATCATTCGGCTCCAAAACCTCCAATTCAAATCCGCCGGCTTCGTCAAAACTCAAGACCGTACACTTCTCCGAATAATTCGAGTTTTTGATATCCAAGTTCATCTTTTCGACCATTAATTTCCCCATTTCAATGGCCAAGGAGTCATTTCGAATTTCCCGTTTTTCATATTGACATAGACAGTAATCGAAGGGGATTTGAAGAGAAAAACAATCCCTTGGCCACTTCAGGTCACGCAGTAACGAAGATCCTTGTAAACTTCGATCAGAAACATTGTAAATTCCCATAAACTCTGATTCTTTTGTCCATTTATGGTTATTTTGCGCTATATCCAACAAAGTTGCGTAGATATCGTAGTGAGACAGGTGTTGTTTTGAGTTCTCTTTCAGTTTTGATACAAGTTTTTGGTTTTGGCGTAGCGCCAGAGGCAATGAGATCATTAGAGCCGGATTATTTTCTTCCATTAGACCGATATCCGTATCTTTTATCCCTCCAAAACGAAGGCCGTGATCCGACATCAAAATAAGGAAGGCGTTTTTCAGCTGGAAATAGCTGAATGCAACGCAAGTTACAGCTTAATCTTGAGCGGAAAGCTTCTAATTCATAGAGAAAATTAGTTATTAGAGAGCTGATGTTATATGTACATACGAGATAGATAAAGCCAAACGAAAGTAGCCTTTAGTCTTACAAAGCTATTACGTCTTCACTTACCTTATCGCTGATCTCCATAAACATATTCAGGAAATCCTGGTCACCATGAAAAACGTTGTTGATATCGTCGTGACCAAGTCTAGCAAAGGCCGAGATCAAAAATTTCGGTTCATCTTTGTACATATTCACAAATTGCTTTAAAGTTTCAATAGATCGATGATGAGATTCTCTGCAGGAATTTTGGTAAACATTTTCCGTTAAGTTTGTATTAGAATAATCAGTGTAGTAATCAACAATGTGTTGATAAGGCCTGCAATAAACGAAGAAGTTATAAAGATGGCGAGAAGATTTATACTGACTGCAAATAATGATCCGCTGGTATTCTTCCAAACCCAACGCAATCCGGATACTCAAAGAGTCCCAAAAACCAATCGGTATCCACCAACGTTCTGTAACCCGCTTTTTGGAAATCTTTTCCGATATAATCATAGTTCAAAACGGAAGTTTTACAGATCTCTTCATCCTTGCCCTGCCCTTTGAACGGATTCCATGGACTTTCGGGCAAATCATCGGAGCGTTCGTTCAGTAAAAATGCGTAGCCATTTGGACGGCTGTTGAGCGCAACCCGGTTCAGATGAGGGAAAAATATGGCACTATGATCGCTTTCGAGGTAATTCTTTGTTGCCGAGAGGGCTCGTTGGAAACTGCTGGCGCTAATACTGTCCACAATGATCACGTACACGTCATGAGCCTGGGAATGAGGTTTGATCGAGGTCTTTGGTCTGAAAAAGGGCAAAATGATAAAGAACGAAAAGTGCTCGAAACACGACACACAGACTGTGACTAAACTTTTTATCACACATTCAGATTGGAATGTTGAACACCACGCAAGCTAAGACTTCAGAAATTTGATGCGATTTATACCGAAGATGCTCGCTACATTTGAAGCAAATTAAACTCGCTTCCAAGGCACCTCCACGGAAAGTCATAAGGGAGAAGTACACGAACTTTGGCAATAAATAAAATACATGGTTCGAACTATTGTCTCCTTTCTAGCCTTGAACCTACTTTTCAACTAGATTCACATGAGCATAATGATAACTCTTATCACTTCCGATAAAACACTCTATCTCCGAAACATCACACTCTGCTTTATGACCAGTCCCATTCGAAAAGATTGCCCACTTGCCAAATTCTACAACGTGATCGCTCACATATTCAACGCATCTGAAAACAGTTATGTACATTGATGATTTTTTACGTGTTATAAAAAGTAAAAAAAAAAATTTAAGATGGCAAGCAGTCGCTAATCATTACTATTACTTAGACAAGAAATTTGCCTTGAAAGCAAACAAAAGCGCTATTGTAATCTTTTTAGGATTTTTTAAGCTACTTTACTCACCGAAACGCACAGTCTTCGTCCATGCTTCTGTTCACATACAATATACCGTTCTCAAAGTAACTTCTCACTTTAAAAGTTGGTTCACATTTATTTTTGTTCAGGTCTGACGCTGGGCTTAGATATCGCAAGATTTTGGCATCCCATGGGTCTAGCTGGGGAAGTATACATTGAGGGTCTCCTTTCTTCGCTAAAATTAAAAAATGAATCCGGTGAGACACAAATTTTAAGAATAACAACTCAACTCCGCTCAGAACTCCGACAGTTCAGGATTGGAGCTTTTGATACCCGCGTCATGGCCTCAAAATCTCAAAGAAATACGACTGTCGTACCTTGAGCGCCTCCTCCCGTTCATTATCTGCATCCGCCCACATACCTGAAGCCGTATTATTTCTTATCTCTGTCCTCTTGTTCTCCAATCCATTTATAACAACTCCGAAAAACTTTGTACTCGCGATTTTCCGTTGCCCATTCGGAACTAGCCAGTTCGTGCCAGAATCCAAGTTTAGGAAAATAAAAGCCAGGAATGAAAAGGTTATCAGAGCCAAATAAACAAATTTAAACATGGCTGACAAAAGCGACGAACCCACGGAATTTCATTATCTGTAATGACTCTCCGTTTGATTCTGCTCCCTTAACATTATTATAGCAGCTCAATTTCGTGGCTACAGATGTGAAATTAGCATTGTTTATCAAAAGTGATAACCGATAAGCTTGTTGACACATTAAAACAGAGACATGTCTATTTTGAAACTGGACAATCTTACATAGTTCCGGTGGATTAAACATCAAAAAATCAAAAAAAACCCCCAAACTTGATACCAAAAAGTATCGCAAAGACTAAAGCTTCGGGCTGATTTGAATAATGAGGTCCGTTTTCGGGGGTACGCCTCATTTTATCACCTGAAAAATTTTTGCTCATAGCTTTGTAGCAAAATCATTTTTATTCCGGAGCATGACTTATATATTCTGATTAATGATAAACGGAACCAGCTTCCAGAATGTAATCGATGATTAATGATTCCGAATCATACTTCCTTGTCCGATAAACGTCTTGACACTGAGCTATGCCAAACAAACTTCAAAGTCTATGATCAACGTGAACTCTCCCAAGAACGAGACCAGCCCATAAGACTGAAGTACAGCAAAATATTTAACATTGTTTTACCGTCCCGTTGTTGTCGTCACAATAAAAATTTATTTTTCATTGAGGCCGAAAGTATCATCGTTAATAACAATTATGTTAGTTTGTGATTGTAGCATTACATTTCTGCGAACAGAATCGTACAGGGTGTCCAGAGAAATTCCGCGGAAAGTGTTTGTCGATTTCTCGGCGCTCAGACAGGATATCCTAAAAATTCTTTTTGCATCAGATAGAAGACTATGGGCGGTTTTTTGTCTAAAAAAGTTTTTTTGTCCGCCGGCGCGGAACATATTGTATTCGGCGGAGACTATTGGTAGCTTTTTTGGTCATCACACCAATCTTAAAAGCTTTAGTACGATTTCTGAGGGTTAAAAGCAGAATGGTATCTTATTTTTATGTTTACCAAACGTTTGGCAATGGAATGGCGAGCTTTCCGTATCGGCGGAGGCCACAACTCAGCTTCGGATAGGAGATGTCCCAAACATTATGTGGCTAGCATTCTTTTCTGATCCCATATGCCCTCCAAAATTTCGTCGCCAGGCCTTGGCAGCAGCTTAGCCATCAGTAAACCACTTGGTTCACCAGAAAACAACAAAATATGTTTTGTTTAAACTTCTCTTTGACCCGCTGTTTCAAACCTTCGCACGGTTCGGTCAGACTTTATCGCTGTTGACGCAACTATCCAGTACGGTGCAGTCGCTAAATGCGGTTGCATAGTGTTGTCGTCGGTCTCCTGATCCTTTGTGGGAAAAACTGAAGGCTTCCCGATAGTTTCAGGATCATAGTAAAGCGCTGAAGATTGGTGTGATGACCAAAAAAGCTACCAAAAGTTTCCGCCGAATACAGTATGTTCCGCGCCGGCAGACAAAAAAACTTTTTTAGACAAAAAACCGCCCATAGTCTTCTTTCTGATGCAAAAAGAATTTTTTGAATATCTTGCCTAAGCGCCGAGAAATCGGCAAACACTTTCCGCGGAATTTCTCTGGACACCCTGTATTACAACAAGGAACGGTAAAAAACGCAAAAAGATCATAGGAGAAGTGCTCGAAGTGGGACGCTCAGATTATGATGACATTTGTAAAAACGCCTTAAATTTTATATGCGAGATTCCTTAAGAAAATCTGAGCGCCGCCCTTGGGGCTTATCCCTCCTCAATATGGAGAGGATCTTGTTGCAGAGACAATCGAAGAGGCCGACCGCAGCACCACAATGCCATTTTTAGCGTTCACCCCGAATAACAGCTTCAAGACAAGCTTCCTAAAGCCATCACGATAACAGGAAATGTACGACATTGTAAAGATCATCGTGAAGGTGGGGTAAAGGTAAAGCCATCGCCACATTAAGGCTGTCCCTAATGGTCGGTATTCCACACCAATGAACTCTTGACAAACCAAAACTGGAGTCACAACTGCGACCGCAATTACAAGCATTTCAATTAGCAGGGCGTTGATTAGAGTTCGGTATAATGCCTTCGTTCGATCACTGAAACAATCGTTTCGTTTGGTTTTGAAGTTGTAGCAACCATAAGTGCAGTACGCACAAATCAGCAGCCCACTCAGCGTCGGCACATAGCGCTCGTAGTTTGTGTACCAGGTGTTCTGAAGAACATAAAACATAAATTGAATATTCGGCCTTTCAGACAACTGAAGTCAGGGGAACTGCTCCAACGGCGACTCTCAGATTTTGATGAAACTCGGCACAAATTTAAAGAGCATTTCTCAAAGACACATACGCATTTTATAGCCCGCGCTTTGCAGAAACAGCCGAGATTTTTAGGTCAAAAGTTGAGAAAAAATTGACGCTTTTTTTGCGCAAAAGGTTTCATGCCTATTCTATGTAATGTTTCCACACAAAAGTTATTTTTCTCCGCGACTCTGGCAAATTTAGAGCCAAGAAGTGTTTTATCGCTGGCCGCTCTCCGAATTCTGCACGCTCTCTAGGCCGCGAAGATCTTTGAATTACTCGGCTGTGCCTGAAAAGTGGAAGCTGAAAATTTCAAGAATTCTTATGAAGCCTAGCGTATGTGCCAAATTAAAAGAAAACTTATGCGTCGCACGTGGGACGTACAGGTGAGTTTTTACGACATTTCCTTTGCATTTATAACGGTTAAAGCACCATAAACCCACCACTTCCACCAGGAGCGGCTTGCTCTTTATGTATGCTGCTATTTTCGGGTTTGAATCACCAAATTTCTCCACATACTTATCAATGTTTGGAATGCTATATAGTGCGTCGAGAAGGGTCAAAACGACCACACAAATTGCCCAAGGAATGTACGCGTAAAAGAGGATTCTTTTGCTGGACATTAGCTGGACCATCCGCAAGTGTCCGGTAGTCTGAGCAAAACGGAAGAGAAACATCAGTGTTACACATGAAAAATGCCCGACGAAGAACATGTGGAAAAGAGCGAAGAAAAAACGGACCACATGATCGTTGTTCTGGAAAATCAACCGAAATTTATACACACTAATTCTTTAAAGAAAAATGTTGTTCAGGACAAGATCATGGGCAAGAAACACATCGAAATGCATCCTGCAGGCATCTGCATCACCCCTTTACAGTGGCGGACATGACCCAGTGGCAAAAAACATGCCATTTCGCATCCAGGAAATATCGAAAATGTGGCAAAATACCTCCATTTCCAAGCGAAAGACTCCGATTTCAAAATCGGAGAGGGAGGTTTTTTACCGCATTTTCGATACTTCCGATGCAAAAAGGTAGGTTTTTTTGCCACTGGATCTGGTCCTTTACCGTACATGCTCTCCTTGACCAAAAACAGTATGCAATTTTTGGAAGCTGCTTCAACGGCGACTCTATTTTTCTCCCTGTGAAAGAAAGAACTCCTTTTGGTCAGAGAAAGGATGAAAAGAGATGCATTTGCTACATGACACTGGTCGGCAATGTAAGCATATCAGTTTGAAGATCTATGTTTTTGGTTACAAAAAGCTTTGCTTACAGGAAACAACCCTGCCAGCCCACCAAGAACCGTGACATCATAAGGGAACAGCGGTTCGTCCTCAATCATCGCTTTCACTATAAAAGTAAACACACAACAAGTCTGACATCCAATGATGTACCTAAAAAAGAATCAATTAAAGTTTTACCATTTGAATAATGTCGACTTATGACCCATTCCTTACCACTTGTACGCTCCGATCTCTCTTGTGGAATATCGTAAAACCACTCGAACCATAATACAGTAAATAAAAACGTTAACAACCTCCACGAACCAGGCGTATATTGCCATGGCATTTTTGATTGCTGGTGGGATCACTTCCACGTCGTAGTAACCAATACGAATGTCGTATTCCACCATCTTTCAAATTCGCAAAAGATTGGTAGATGGTAATCAATGCGACTTTTAAACCTTGTCAACAGCCCCGGGGCTTGTGCTTCTTATATGTTATTCCTTGGAATGGTGAATAAAAATTCATATAGTTCGGCATCACAGGTGAGTTTTTTACGCAGGAAGTCGGCGAATGACGGGCACAAATAAACAGACGGGAAACAGAATGAATACTAATTCGTCTCCATTTTTAACGCAAGAAAGGTCATTAAAGTGTCCAATCATGTGGCAATGAATGTCTTATAGCAGCTCTACAATCCTTTGAGTCTTCGTTGGTGAAAGAAAAGTGGATTTTATGAAAAGACACAAAAATAAGCACAAAAAAGCGCTGATTTAAAATTTCTCGACAATTACAAGATGTTTATACCACTTAAAACACGATTTTTGAGTCACTGCGTCAGCCAGTAGTGGGGCCCGGTCTTAGGAAAAAATCGATTTTGAGATTTTTGGCTTAAAATAGTCGGTAGCACTTGTGGAAGAAAAGCTAAAAATATTTTTGCCCAATTTTGCCCGGAAGGCATATTTTTTTACAAAATACGGTTTTACACTTCAAAGCCTCTGGAGGCCGATGTGATCCGACCACAGAGATCAAACCTGGCTTACAGGGGTTTTTGACACCCAGGAATCTGAAAATCGTAGCATTTTTACCGTCAGATTACTGTAACATGGTCATACTGTAATCCGGTCGATAAAAACCCACGATAACTTCTTTAGATCAAAAATGCCACAGGATTTTATTGCAGATTCGGAATCAGCATAAAATTCTGCTTCGGATACATGTAAAATATGTTCAAAATTCCGTGGCCCAACCTCTGTAGTATAGTGGTTGTGCGCCAGGGTTATCATTCTGGCGACCCAGAATCGATTCCCGGTGGCTGAAAATGGCAGAAAATGGACTTAAAAGGGCGGAAACTTGGAAAAAAGGGAAAATAAATTATGGAAAATTAATTTTATGCTACTTAGGACCAGAGATTGCTACGGTCAAAATTTTGGCTCCGCTCTCTTGGCTCCGTGCAAAATTTAAAAAGGCCTCCGGCTCCGAATCCCGGCTCCTATGCAAAATGTTTTTTTAAAATATTTTTCCAAAAATAAAAGTTATTAGTGCCAGAGATCATACAGCCAACGTTTTTGCAGTCAAGTCACATCCTCGGCAGTGTTTTTTCAAGCAGTTTGGTTTAATAAGATCAAGAAATTTTTACTTTGGCTCCGACTTTGGGCTCGGGAGCCGGAGCCGACCCCAAAATTTCCGGCTCCGGAGCCGTGGCAATCTCTGCTTAGGACCAGTTTTAAAGTTTTTGCAAGAATTCCGCATAAATTACGGTTTTTATGGAAAACGCCTTACAGCATTCGTAAGATCGCACCAAATGGCAACTAAAGAGTTGTGGTGAATCTACATAACGCTTGCTATCCAATGTTCATCGTATCCGCCGAGGAATGCAATACAAAACAAAATAAAACAGTTATTTAATTTTCAGATGGAATCACGCATGTTACAGTCCCGTAGTTTTGCATCTGTTCCTTACCAACTGAGTCTCCATGTAGATTTATCATTAGAGCGTCCACGCGCTCCGTTTTTCGTGGGATACGCAAGACGGCCTAAGTTTTACGAGCTGTGTGATCCCGGTGCTGTTAGGGAATCTTATATGACTTTTTGTGAATCTTGTATGACTTTTTGGTCAAATATTGTTCCGTTCGATAAACCTCGGCCGCAGCTCGCCTTCCTAAAATCCCGAATTTGAAAGAAAACCCAGGCTATCCCAAAAATTTAACGAAATAAGCAGAAATGGATTTATTTCGTAGTAGGAAGCCTCAGTAACCTCTTCTGTAAATTTTAACCAGACTGCTCCACTTTCCGGCAAGATATAAGGCGTTTTCCATAAAAACCGTAATTTATGCGGAATTCTTGCAAAAACTTTTAAACTGGTCCTAAGTAGCATAAAATTAGTTTTCTATAATTTATTTTCCCTTTTTTCCAAGTTTCTGCCCTTTTATAGTCCATTTTCTGCCATTTGCAGCCACCGGGAATCGAACCTGGGTCGCCAGATTGATAATCCTGGCGCACAACCACTATACTACAGACGTTGGGCCACGGAATTTTGAACATATTTTACATGTATCCGAAGCAGAATTTTATGCTGATTCCGAATCTGCAATAAAATCCTGTGGCATTTTTGATCTAAAGAAGTTATCGTCGATTTTTATCGACCGGATTACAGTATGACCATGTTACAGTAATCTGACGGTAAAAATGCTACGATTTTCAGATTCCTGGGTGTCAAAAACCCCTGTAAGCCAGGTTTGATCTCTGTGGTCGGATCACATCGGCCTCCAGAGGCTTTGAAGTGTAAAAACGTATTTTGTAAAAAAATATGCCTTCCGGGCATAATTGGGCAAAAATATTTTTAGCTTTTCTTTCGCAAGTGCTACCGACTATTTTAAGCCAAAAATCTCAAAATCGATTTTTTCCTAAGACCACCGCTGGTGCCCTGACTCAAAAATCGTGTTTTAAGGGTACAATTATTTCATTTATTATTTTTATTTATTTTTTTAGATCATAAGAGAGTTAGAATTGGAAAAATAATGCTGCAAGCTGAGATTTCAATTATCAGTTGAAACATTACCAGCTCTGTAGATTTATTTTGATGCTCTGTTTATTTTATTAACTCTGGTGTGCATCATTGGAAGCAACGCAAAATTTTCAACAAAAAACTCCATATTTCACAAAATGAATTTTCTCCATTGTAGCTGACATCACAGTGTTTGCTGAGCAAACACGCTCTTTTCGCATTTTAGCGTTTCATTGTGAATTTTTGGCCTTTTGTGAAAGAATAAATAAAAAATAATAAAAAATAAAGAATTTGATCCTTAAAGATCAAAAAGCTTCATAAATCATTTTTTCAGTGACTTTCAATGAACGATTATTCATCCTGTTGATACAACAAATTAAAAAAAGCTTAACAGTCGCCTCACCGGAGCTTTACATAGTTTTACATAAATATTATTTTTATATTAGTATTTTTATTCTTAGAAAGTTAATCGATCCAATTGATTTATATCAAAGAACGGAAAAAATTTATAAGCGTAAGCTTGATTTTAACATTGACCCTGGGAGCTTCCGTTCCTAAACTCACGTGAACGAAAAGCGGTAAATCAAATACGTTTTGAACTAGGGACGCACCCAATTCTCTGATGTCTTAAACCGTTTGAACCTAGAGATCCATCATTCCTGTGTTTGCACAATAAGCCACCGATTAAAACACCACATTCTTCAGGTTGGTTTGGCTCATGCTTGGGCTTGGTTTTCATTTTCTTTTGTGTCTTGGCCTTACAGCGCTTCTTCTTCTGGTTTATAACGGGAATCTGGAGAAAGACGCGGCTCGGACGACCACTGGACATGCATATCTGCCCACCGAGCGATGGAAGTTTCAAAACAAAAGTTTCAGCAAAAGAATTACTGGTAAGCGCATAGTATATGAAGAAATCGACCGAAGGAAAAATCTTCAAGTAAGCCAACCTTCATTTTAGAAAACAAATGCTTCCTTCCTGCGCTGAACCCATGGGATCCCAGTATTCTCAAGTATTTGAATCCACAGTCGGCCCTAAATAAAACCTGCAAACCAACTTATCCAGTTCGAAGTTACTTTATCAAGAACACCCTACGCGTAAATACGACAATGGGAAGCAATGAACACTGCTTTTACCGATGCGTAATTTCAATTCATGATCATTTACTTCAACAAGGACAGTGGATAAAAATAAATGAAACGTCTGGAAATGAGGTTAACTGTGACGTTACTGAAGTCAAATGTAAGATGAACGAGACCGACTCCTATCATTTTGCCCATGTAAACCTGGTGGAGAAGTAAGCACATAGCCGGTGAGCCAATATTTTTTTTTAGAAAGCGTGGCAAAATTGGCCCAAACCCTGTAGCCAATGATGTGTATCTAATAATCCTGGACTCTGTGAGTTCGAACACATTCCGCCGAGCATTTCAATCGACAAAGCAGTATCTAGAACAAGAACACTCTGCCGTCTTCTTCCCTTATCTCAACAGAGTTGGGGTGAACAGCAGACCAAACAATTACGGATTCTTACTCAACGAAAGGGCTGAAGATCTACCGGCAAGCCCTTGGAATCCCTTTTCTGGTGAAGGCCTTGACCGAGTGATCTGTAATCGCTCCGTAATGGAGTATAATTACATTGGCAAAGACTTCCAGAAGACTGGCTATAGAACAATGATTGACACTGACTGGTTCTACAGTCTGTTTGAGTCACCAAATTGCACCGGGTTTGGGATGATTCCAACTGACCATTACATCCAGTAAGTCGGTGAGAGGCGCTTTAAATCTTCAGAAGGACTTTTGCAGTACCTATGAGCTAATAGTGGATAGCGACAGCCCAGAAGGCGACAAGAACTTGTCAAGAAATATTCATAAAGGAGCTTGCGTTGAGCCGCATCATCGACCGATAAAGACGCTACAACAGTTTGCAAACCTATACCCTAACGAACCCAAGTTTTCGATTACCAGCTTTGTAATGCTAGGCCATGACGACACCAACAATGTTTTTAGAGGTGACAAGGATTTCAAAAGATTTTTTGAGGACATGAGTGATAAAGTAAGAAAATTTTTTTAAAACAAGACGTTTCCAGTTGAAAAATTCTTACTTGATCTTTCTGTCAGATCATGGCCTTCGTTTCGGTGAGATAACTGAAAGTGCAATTGGAAAAATTGAGGAGAACAACCCTTTCTTAATGGTCTCTGTTCCACAAAAGCTGCGGATGAATAACGACTTCATGACGCAACTCCGCGAAAACGCAAAGAAACTTGTTACTCATTATGATATCTACGCAACGCTGTTGGAGATTGGCAAGGTAAGTTCGGAAAAACATAAACCCCAACCGTGATTTGTAGAATAATCATGGATGGACAGAAAGTACCCTGTTCAGTACCTCTGCCTTCACAACAACCGGCCGTAAGCTCAAAGGATCTTCTTTGTTTCATCCACTAAGCGAGCCAAGGGATTGCCACTCACTACTGATTCCCTTTCAATACTGTATTTGCCAAAGGAAGCAATGGGAGGTACAAAATCGAGAGTTGGCTCTACAAGTAGGCCAAATGATGGTACAACGAATCAACCAGGATGTGATGAACTCGCCATACAGCAGTGTTTGCCATCAATTAGTGCTGAACCAGGAGTCAGGTTATAGGGTTATACAATTTGAGCCAAAGGAAGACGTCAAGGAAATCTATTTGATTCAAATCGAAGTCGTCAGTGGCGCTAAATACCAAGGCTACGCTGGAGTATGTAACATATGTCGGCTGTCTAAACAGCTCTCTTTTCCATTCATTTCAGATAAAAGACGGTCACCTTCGGCTGTACACAACGACATTCCCCAGGATGAATACGTATGCGAAGCAAGCATGGTGCATACCCGAACAATTCTTACGACATTATTGTTTATGTCAGAAATAGTGCCATAATTAAAAAAATATGTATATATAACATGTAAACCAAATATAGGTCAAAGTTTTTTAAACATTTTTAGAACAGCTAACACAAACAAAGCACAGACGGTCTATAAAGCACACTTGTCAGTGATCCCTACGTCATGTCTTATGTAAGCAAGGACGATCTATGTAACAAAAAGACAATGGCCGACCTTCCCAAGGTACATTTGGCGTCGCAACACTTGCGGGCAACCACTTTGCGACATTTTTGATCAGAATTACGATTTCCTTCCCGTAATCTACGTAGTACGATAGAAATTTTACATTGACAACTCCCAGGTACTGATAAGTACACAAATCTATTAAATTCATCCATTGCTTTCAATGTTATGAGAGTTTGTTTTCAAAAAATGGTAAAAAATACATGGATAAGCTTGTGATAACTATTCAAGCCACTTATACACCTGGAAGCTTAAAAGTGTGGGCCCGCCGTACATTTGAGACTTGTTGGGACTGCAAATACGTAAAAGAAAATTTGCACGTCCTCCATGGCAGCTATAAAAACAATCGTGGATCGAAAGGCAAGAACTTCGATTAGAGTGTGAGAAGGCAGTAGGAAACTCCAACTACGACATTTATGCAGACGCTAGCAACCTAGAAAATCAGCAGACAACTTCATCGAAGGCTTGAAGAATTCCTTACAAAGTAAACGGCCAAAAGCAACACTTAACTAGGACAGAAAAAGACGATTTTTTTGAATTTGACGTAAATTCCATGACTCACACTCAACGCCTCAGGCGCTGACTGACGATTCTTCCGAGTTATGTCGGACAGTTGAACCAACAAGGAGTAGAAAGTGCAAACTTGGATAAAGGGCTGTAGCCTCGGAGCTGAAATTGGCTAAACCTTTGTGATATAAAAGCGCAGGTTCGCAAACAAAAATATCACACCAACCTCATTTTCAATATGAAATTCCACACCTTTTCTCTTTTGTCAGTTCTCTTTTTCTGCCTTCATCAGCATGAGAACGATGCCTCATCATCGACAACGGCATCAGCATCATCTGCGACCGCATGTGCAGATACCGCGACAAATTGCGCGCAGCTGTCCAACTTGTGCAATGATCGGACATACACGCTAATGTTGGAGGAGCATTGCAAAAAGACGTGTGGCAGGTGCGTTGGAGGATGTCAGGATGCTAGCACAAGGTAAGAATGTTGCCCAAAAAAAAGGGGTTAGTTTGTTGGTTCTACTAAACTTAATTTCCCGTTACACATTTCTCTATATTACCTTGTACCACCTTTAGATGTGCCGCTTGGAACCGCAATGGCTTCTGCCGGAACCAGTACTACACCAATGCCGACAAGCGGCAATATTGCGCTAATACGTGCGGTCTTTGCCCTTGATCAGCGTAATTAAAGTCTACTCCACTGCTTCTTTCATCGACCCCCAAAAATAAAAACTGTCAAAAGTTTATTAAAATCGTTTCTAATGGCACAAAATAGAAAAAATACCTATATTACATACAATGTAAAAAGTTATAAAGAGTAGTAAAGGTAGTGGATTTTTACTACGAAAATTAGCGAGTCTACAAAGCTTAGAATTGGGGGAATGTAAAGTGCTAAAAAACTTAAAAGTGTCAATGGAGACCATAACAGTGTCATTCCAAAAAATATGTATGTTGTTGGAGGAATTACCCGAAATTTTCGATTTACCCTAGAGCGAAACAGTTACTCGGCAAGACAGTGGACATAGAAAATCAATAAAAATATCCAAGTTATAACAAAAAAATTCAAATTTAGACTTCAAATTGAAAAAATTAGAAAATTTAAAGTTTTTAGACTGATAATTTTGAGAGAACAGCCAACCCTGCGGTTCCACTGTAAAATATTAGCCACGACGACGAGTAGCTTCGCGCTTTTTATGACTTTTTGCCAATAAGTCATTGCAAAAACAGTAGTTGCGAATGAAGTTTTCGGGGATACATTTGGTCTGCTCTTTGTACATGTCAATGCGGGCAAAGTCTTGCGTCACCAACTCTAGGGTTCCATTCCGCATCTAAAATTATATTTCACGTAAAATGCTCGTAATAAACCGTATTTTGAAGGCTTATTTCCTCATTTCTTAGGCTTAAATATGGAGATAAAGTAAGGCCGAACTCGACCTTTTTCTGTGCTTTTACTATGACATTGAAAAATCAAGCCATGTTACCTTTACGTTTTCCATATTATATTTTTGCTAAACAAACCATTCTGAGAAGGTAAAAAAGTTTAAAAATCCCTTTCCCATATATCCAATTCATCAAACATCCCCGACTTACCATAACATATGCTTCATACAGTCCTCCGCTCGGTTGAACCTTAATCTTGACCAAATATGGCGTTTCCTTCTCCGAGATTGGGTTGAATTCCTCCACCGAGTTCCCAAAACTCTCATCCAGCCTGAGCTCAGCGCATTTTGACGCGTATTCTGAGGCCTTCACGTCCTTGTTCATCTTTTCCACCATCAACTTCCCAGTTCCCTTCCAAATTTCCGAATTTTGGATGGTTCTTCGGTCATGTTGGCAAAGACAATAATTGAACGGAATTAAGAGCGAATTGCAATCTCTTGGGGTCTTAAGCGGATGGAAAAGCGATGAGCCTTTGAGTTCTCTGGTGGGATGAGTAAATCGGCGATCAGTGAAGGAAGTCGAGTTGGTCCATTTATGATTTTCCTACAATTTGTATTATTTTAGTCCATTTTTTACTAGTCACCCCAGTACCATTCAATTTTACCATCAATTCCCTCCATTGAACAGAGATTTTTTCCCAAAATTATTATAAAACAAAAATTCTTTTCTATGCAAAATCAATATCCCAAACAATGTCTAGACGCTCAAAAAGTGCTCTACACAACTTAAGGAACAAAGACATTCCCTAAGGTCCTTCAAAAATACCAAAATTCGACCTTATCTTACACTTACCGTAGCCAATTCCAAGAACGTTGCATAAAGGTCATAGTGAGTGATCAATTCCTTTGAATTCTTCCTCAATTGGTACATTAGATCCTTGTTGCCCCTCAGTCGTTGTGGGACCGAGATCATGAAGAATGGATTATGGTCTTCGATCTCCCCGACCGGGGTATTCCTCACTTTTCCCGTCCTCCCCCCATGATCCGCCATGAAAATGAGGAACGAATTTTGCAGACGGTCCTTGATTCTGTTAAAGAAGTCTTTCATCTGCGTGTCCACATGATAAAGTCCGTTCATATCGTCATGGGCAATGTCGGTCAGCCAGTTTATCGAAAATTTAGGTTCATTCGGGTATTTGTTGGCAAATTCTTCCATTAATTCGAGCATATAGTCATGAGATTCGTGGCAAGTGTGTTTGTAGACAGCACTTCGGAGCTCTTTGTCCTTGTACTTCTTCGATCCATCAACTCGGAGGGCAAATGGCCTGAAAAATTTAAAAAATCCAATTAAAACAGCTGAAATACAATTCTCCACTATCAAACCACATTTTACAACTTCCAATCCACCCAAGCCCATATTGCACTTACTTCATAAAGTGATCCACCGGACTTTTCGTGAAGCCCAAGCAATTCGGCCAGTTGAAAATCCCAATAGCCCAATCCTCGTTCATCAGAGTTCGATACCCATTATTATTGTAGTCGAATCCAATGAAATTCTCAGTGTTCAAGGACTTTTTGCACAGCGCGTTTCCGCGGCCTTTGCCCAAGTACTCTCCCCACGGATTGGCCGGCAAATTCATGGCTCTTTCGCCGAGGAAAAACGCGTAGGCATTGGGGCGACTGTTCAGGCCGACCTTGTTGAGGTATGGGAAATGGACCGCGTCCAATTCTCGCCTTAGGAAATACTCGGTTTGGGGCATTGAACGGACAAATTGGCTGGTGCTCACCGAATCGATAATTATCAAGTGAATATCAGCGGCATTCGGGTCGGCTGGGGACTTCTTCACAGTCCTGAAAATTCATTTTTAATATTTTTTAGATCACTCAAACATATTGCACAGTGCAAAAATTCGAAAAATCAAAAATCTGCACTGTGCAAAAAATTAAAAATTTCAAATCACAATAAAAAGCAATGCAAAAGCCGCCTACCTCTCAAAAATTTGTTGATGAAGGAATTTGTAGCTGGGTTTTTGCAAATCTCCACATTGGACATCAAAAACATCACACTGGGGAGCAGCACCTTCTTCGTCATCAATAGGTAACCATTTGTCAAACTTCAGGCTCCGATCATCAACTGGGTGTAGACATCTGTAAATTAGAATCAAATTTTGATTGTAGGGTCAATAAAAAACAAAAATTGCCACATTTCCAATAGTAGGATTAAAACTTTTGGTTATACACACTTCACAAAAGAAATTTCAAAAAAAAATAAATAAAACCCAGACAACACTCACCTATAAAAGCAGGGATCAGTTGTATTTTTGGTCCGATTGACCTTTACAATTCCATCCAACACATAGCTTTGTACATGAAATTTGGGTTTGCAATTCTTTCTGGGGTCCTTTGAAGAGTCCAGGAATCGCTTGATCATGGGATCCCAGGGATCTAATTTAGGTAGGCGGCATTCCGCGTGATTAGAAGTTAGAGCTTTAGCTGTTGTGGTGAGGGTGTCATTTAGTCCGAAATAAGGTTCATCTGTAAATAATTGGGATAACAAGTTTTCATACCAAAGTAAAAACAATTTTTTTCATAACAACCCTACTACGAATGTTAGAAATATAAGTGTTACAACCGGACTTTTTCATCGAAATTTATTGCCTCAAATAATGTCATGACCCACTAAATTGGGCCGTATTTTACCTGTTTCTAGTATCCTTTCGAGATCCTGTTGGTTCGAGGTCAGTATGCTTTGGTTGAGGACGAGGAAGACTGATGCGCCAACGCCGAAGACGTATAAAAACGCCTTTAAAGGCAGCATCAACCCTAAAACAACAAAAGTTACCGCAAAATCCGGGTAAAAATCATCCAAAATATTTGCGAGAAAGAAATAAATCGAATAATTACCTAAAAAAGCGTCGATAATTATAGCAGAGCCTAATAATAATCGAGGTAAAACAAAGAATATTTTGTTTTGAAGGTATTCAGAGCTCAAACACAAAATAAAAACAACTTGTTCGAGGACTTTTACTTTAACACCGAGTATACTAAAACCCAACGGAGCGAGAGGAGCTCAAAAAGTATAGAAATAAGAAGTGAAAACAGTATAACAACTACCAAAAAGAGGTTTGGGAACGAATAGCCGGGAGGAAATTGCAAATCCGTGCGTAAAAAGAGGCAAAAATAATATGAAATGGCACAGGTAAAATAAAAAAATTTTAAAGATAGTGCCGAAAACAGAAAAAAAAAACAATGAGTAAGTGTAGCAAATAGCAAATAGATATTCAATTTCAATTCGTATTTTATCAGCTTACAGGATGAATTTTAAATTTTTTTATTTCACTTCAGCGTCAGATAAAAAAAATTTGAAATCATAACGCGCAGCTTAAATATGACGTAAAAAAGCTTCCAACGCCCGCTACACAACATAATAAAGATCACAAGATACGCCGTGATAGAAAAATGTCAAATAATTTTTTATCTTTTTCTATTGCGATAGCTATCAAACAAATAGACGGGGGTGTCTGATGTAATTAGGCAATAGAGTTCACGAAGAATGTTGTAAATGGACGAGAGGTCAAGCAGCTCATTGAATAATTAATTGAATTAGATCGAAATTTCGATAAATTATATTACTTTAGATATCATCGCAGAAAAAAGTTTATAAATCAATAATTTGAGATTGAATGGATTTCTTGGAAGTCTGAGAAAATAGTAGAACTACTAGAAATACATTTTCAGCATAAATGATAAAGATAATTAACATTAGAGGGTTGAAAAAATTAACGCCAAAATCAACATAATCAAATATTCCGATTTAAAAGTTTGCTCTAACAATAAAAATGTAGTCATCCTCTTCCTATAAAATCGAAAAATCATCCCCTTTACTAGTGCTTGCGGACAGTCGCCCAACTGCGACATGCACTGTGAGAAAAAAATCAGGGTGCGAGCGACAGTCCAAAAAAGCCTATTGCACGGTGCAGAAAGCAAGAAATTGCACAGTGCAAAGTGAACTTTCGTTTTCGGAGAGTGCACGTCGCCGATTTCAGTCCGGCGACTTTCCGGACGAACTAGTCTCACCATTTTAACTCTAAAATACGCCAAATAGTCAAGCAAGCCGCCAAAAACCAAGGTCTCACTAGAAAACTCCCCCGCAAATCATTCCTCGAAATTTCACGCATTATCAAGCAAACCTCAACCGATAACGGACGACTTCCCCCTTCACGGTGAACGTTCCAACTCACGAAGAGAAGGTACCCCGTGTGAGAAAAATAATGTCGCAAGGAATGATGGGTCTAGATTTATATCACTGACAAAAAAGCAAAAAAATCGGGAAAAAGTAAACGCTTATAAATTACAACAGCATCAGAAAAGAGCAAGAAGTAGTTTAGAAGACTAAAATTTTAAGTTATTACCTAAAATCCGGGGAAATGAGGAAAACCCGCAAAAATTAGATAACTTCAGATGAGAAAGATGGCTTACTACGATTTTAGAGGTGAGAATAGGTTGTTAAAATGTTTTCAGAACAATAGAGATCAGCGAATGCAAATTACAAAAAAAAATTACCGAAATTGGGTAAAACAAGGAAGTTCCCGGATTTCGAGCTGCGCCCGACGATCGGCAGGCCGCAGATGGGGATTTGGCTAAATCTGGCCTAATCCGTCTGGAATGGTATGGATTTTTTTAAAATACGTTAGAGCACTTTTTCATGTGCTTCATGAGACAGATAAAATATATTTTAGTCAGCTACCGACATTATTTTAGACACCGCTAAAGTAATAAAAATTCACCCGAAAGTAAACACTCCAGTAGAAACTGTAAACCCCAGACCAAGAACCATTAAGCTTCCCTCTTTCGCCTCCTTAACAGTCTGTTTGTTCGGTATACTTGAGAGTAATAACCCAAAAAATGTTTGTGGAAAAAACATTACAATGTCTTCCCAGAAGACGGCGAAAAAATCCAACCCATCCTTCAGCGGAGCGGTTTAATGAGGCGTTTAGACAGGTGAAAACGTCGACGATTATTAGGGATGAGAATAAATAGTTGGGTAACAAGGTTGGCGCAATTTGAGTGGCAATTTGCGACATAATGGGATTTTTCGAAAGAAAAAGTAGGGAAACTTTGAATTGACGGGAAAAACGTGGAACGGCATGGTTATAGCGTCGAATTATGATACGCACTTTACAAAATAAACTTGCTTTTAACGTAAAAAATAAATTTTGTGGCAAAACTATTACAAATTGCATGACTAAATGCAACTTTTTTAAGACGAAAAAATGTAAAGCAGGTATGGATGAAAAGACTAGTCAGTGTGGCGTACTTTACAAATATGCTTTTAGGAACCGATTTTTCTTTTCAATTTTCTAACAAAAAACTTTGGTTTTTATGACCAAAAGTAAATCTTGAATTCGAATTGTGAAATACGAAGAGATAAAAAAGAGATTCATTCTTTTGCCCATGATACTCGTATTCAAGGCCTTTTTGATGCGCCTCTTTTGCAAATATCGCGGCGATAGAGATCTTGTAACCTCTTTATGGCGCTGTCCACTCATAAAGCGCTCTGAGCCGTCTACTTTACAGGTGTAGTTTTGACAAAGTTCATGGTATTTCTTTGCGGTACGACGGTAAAATTTGAAAAAATACTTAATATTTTGAGGGTACCAAGTTTTGCATGGAAAAGTGGCCCCAAAGACTGCCTAATATCTGAAAAAAGCCAAAAGTCAAAGAACAGTCTCAACAATTTTCCTCTTGCGCAATTCGCCACCATTCTCTTTTCGATTAGTCATTCCGCCTCTACCACAACACCAAAAATCGATTGGCGCCGTTCAATTAGCCCATTTTTATATTTCTCACTTGAATTTGTTCAACGATTTGGTCGTCTTTTTCTGGAGCAAGAAGTAGATCAAAAAATTACGTAAAGTGTTCGGAGATGTTCCCCGCGGAAAGGGATAATGCGTAGAGGGCTGTTGAACCGTAATCCGATTAAACCCCTGTTTAGAAGGCGTTTGAAGGGATCAAAAAGTTCTTGTAGTCAATAGAAGATGAATGCTGTATTCAACGTCGCGACGCGTTGATTTACGGTAGAAATGGCCGGAGTAAAAGACTTCGTTCTTGATAAAGCTTGATACAAATTTAGATTAGGATTTACGAACACAAACTACCAATCCTTAGCTTCCGTTTTTCAGAAACTATTGAATTCTTAGGCCGAAAGTTGTCAGGTATTGGCCAAAGTTTTATGCTTCTTTGGATTTTTTTTTCTCTACCCATCCTGCTTCAGCCTATACGGTTACAAATCACTGTCTAAATAGTCCACGGATCGGTTTTGTCTTTGAGATCGTAACCAGCCTTTTTGTCGACAACTTTTGTTCTAGTAGTGGGTGCTGCATTGTGATTAGGCCGAGAAGTCGGATCCCTCAAAGCCGAAAAGACATGGGTCGGGATCGGAACTCGATGGGGCACTAATAAGTCAAAAAGAAAATTAGATATCACAGATCAATAATAATCAACTGTTCAGAACTACCGGAAATTAATTATCATCAGTAATTCTGGGAAGATAAAGGATATCCCTCTATTTCACGTTGCAAAAAGACTTCTAGTGGTCCGGAAGCCCGCAGAAACCGTCATATATAACCCGATGCGGTCATTATTCACCACTCCATAAGCTAATTAACAAAAAAGATACCTTTGACGCGTTTTATGACTCACAAATCCTTCCAGATCATAAAACCGAATACATCGCGCAAGCCATCTCAACGAACCCTTCCTGGTTGATCCTCCGGAAACCGGCGAACCTGTAGTCTGTTAATTATTCCCTGGAGTGACATACTCGTTTCTCTCCGTTCCAGAAATCCCTCTGGTCGATAAACAAAACGAACCGCCATTGTCATTGCTACCTTTGAGATATTCTTCTGTTTTCTTGTCTCTCTACATTGGGTGACAAAATATTATAATACTACACTGTAGGGGAAGTCAACGAAAGGCATAGCTGAAAATTTGCCCAAATTCTGAATGAACCTTTTTTACAAGCCTCCTGGAAAGGCCAATAAAAAAGTTTAGCGTTTTTTTCTGAACGTTATCGACATTCACGCGCTTTCTCGACCACAAGAATGGTTGAATACCCTGGCTTCTCCTGCACAACGCGATTGAAAGTTTTCAAGAATTGATACATGGCCATGCCTAATGAAAGTGAAAATTAAAAAGGGGAGCCTCAAACACTCCCCTTGTAAACCAAAGCCCTTCAAAATAAGATCTGACAAACATCGTCAAAAGACTTATAATCGGTGAGGTTATGACAAAGTGAAAAAGTTTTCCTCCTTGCAAGGGAGGTTATTGTTAAATAATATAATATAAAAAGATTGCGGGAAGTTTTTCGCCTGAAATTATGAAGTATTTGAAGAGCGAACAAAAGGTTTTTTGGAAGGAGGAAACGAGGATTTGAAGTTGTTTTCTCGACACTTTGGGCATCAGAATTAGATAGACCATTAGGGAAATTGGAAAATAAAAAGAGACCTTTTACTTTTTTTATTATTGTAATCGCGGTTTCTACGACTGACAATTTAGCTTCATGAAACGAAGCCGACGATTGTTTATTAGAAAAATAGCTCTACGAATGAAGGTCCTTGAAAAGACAAATTTTTAATCTCCGTTATTAGCGGATATGAAGTGATAGAAAGCAAGCCGAATAACAGCAAAATATACAGTTGAATCTCTCGACGAGGTCAGAAATTTGTTTACAATGTTCTACTTTCTCCATCTTCGCCTAATAAAATCCCAATACAAGGAAAACTTGTTTCAGCTGATTTAAACGGCTGAAATTAACGTGAACTTGTATTTGTAGACAAAAAGGAATGCAAATTGTTTGATGACGTTGGTTCATCACTCAGCAACACATAATTATGCGAAATTATTTATGCAAAAACATGATTTGGAAATTGCTGTAAACGAGAGAGAGAAAGGTAAAGGGAGGTTTTCAAAAGGTTAAAAAAAATGAAGGGTTTACAAGCAATTTGAAGTAGTCTTACAAGGAGATAAAAATACAGTAATTTTTGAGGAAAGAGAAGGCTGAAAGACCTGGGGTAACCCAGGTATCCAAAAAATTTGACGACAAGAGAGTGCGCGAAATGCGGGAAGCGGTCATTGGGGAAAAATTGGTCGTGTCTACGCGGACTTTGGCCTGAAAAGGGATATTTCCTTGTGGAATCCTTCAATGGTAAAATTTGCAAAAAAAGTGTCAGATTTTGAGCAATTTTCTAGCTAAAAATCTCGGTCATTTCCGCGAAGCGCCGACTTGGAATGCCGCGCATGTCTTTGAAGGAAGCAGTCTAGTATAATATATGTCAAATTATTAAATCACGAACTATGTTTTCGTAAATAAAGTTATTTTACGCAAAAGGTATCCTCCCAGAAAAGACTCAAGTTCTTCTTGGACTGTCAGCCGCACCTTACGACTTTCTCCTGCTTGATCCATCTGTCGTAACGAAATCGAAAGTCATAATCGGGCGATGTCGCGCATTTGGAACGCGCTATTCTTTTTCTTTTTTTCTAAAGGAATTACTTTTTATCGGAATTTGGAGTTATGAAATGCACTTTGAGATCGCTAAAAGGGCTGATATCCGGCTCGCGCGAATCATTGATAACAAGGGAAAGTCCCGCAAAATGTGAAAGCTTTTACAAAATTAACCCAAATGCGAAAAGTATGAAGGGAATGAGATCGCAAGATTAGGGAGAAATTAGCTGCAGACCGAACGATTTTGACCCAAAAAAACCGCTCGGTAAATAAGAGAACGACGGTTTTTGGGCTAATAAACTGATTCTAAGAGCGTTTCAAAAGTAGTTTAGTTTGGTTTGAACTTGAAAGAGACCCACGCAACTTACCGGCCTCTTTACGGCCTAGACTATTCAGAGTTTTTGCAAGTAAAAATTCCAAAAATAGCTACAATATTCCGACCTAAAACCTCAAGGAATTTTGCAAATCCCTAAAAATCGCTCCTGTAGCGAGGAAAATAGAGCATTTAAGAATGCATACGATATTCAGCACATTCCGTCCCCAAATAATCGGAATTCGTCAAATCCGAACATGTTATTTGGTTCGGCGAGCGAGAAATAACAAATTTTTGAGAAGATTGATGACCATGGGAACTCAGAAGGTAGCAATTTACATCCTTGTTTCCGGTTCAAGGACTTTCAAGACTCCATTCGCCGATTTTTGCAAAGGAATGAATTTTACAAAGATTTTTATATACGAGGTACCTACAAGTGAGGGGTTTCAACTTTTAATATTTTTGATTTGTTAAAGAGGCCGAGATATCCAAGAAAACTTTGCTACAGTATAACATGATGGAGATCAGTCAGGCAAAAAGTCAAAAAACAAGTTTTTATATTTTTTCGGCCTAAAAAACCAGAGGCTTTTGCAAAGCGCAAGAAAAAGATCCTTATAAAAGTTCTTATAAAATTACAATCTGATTTTTTGCGTCACTATTTCTTCAAAATAAATAGAAGCATTCAACACGGGAACCTAACCAGAAAATTTATTTTATCCAATTCCTTACAAAATTTTCACAGTAAAAAAATCCCATGATGACATTGCATCGAAAACTCGTTCCCCAAGGAACCCCTTCTGAACGTCACTCTACAATATCCCATCTAAAAAATGACAATATCCCATCCAAAAAAACTGTAATAAATCAAAAGTTGACCGTCTTTTTGTTCCTCTATCAGACTTGCAAGCCCTCAACGGGCGAATAAATCCTTGACCTCCGGAATGTTTATTTCCCGAAATTTTCAGTGCGACACAATAAAAAATGAAACGTTCCAGGATGGCTACGTGTTTGAAATGAAGTAAATTCAGGAACTAACCTCCTGCTTACAAAAAAAAACTCAAAGAGCCACTTCATTTCCTCGCATTTGCCGGACTTTAGTTCCTTTTGGGAGCTTTTTTGTTGCCATTTGATTGGTTTTTTATGCGAGGCCAATCTCTTTGAGCGATCACACATTTTGATCCACAAAATGACCGAAGATAAACGTTCTGGAAACTTTTTTGATGGTAACAGAAAAACTTTTTTTGCAGCGAAGGAGAACACATTTCGTATCTTACAATAAAATTTTTGAAACGTTGATTCTACATCAACCTCGACACATTTAATTTTGCGATGGGAAACAAAATGATTATGCAAAATTATTTCACTTTAACGACATGAAATATTGCAATTTTATTGCATGCAAGGTCTTCTGATGATGAATTTTTTAATTTACAATTCTTTATGTTCTTTTAGTTTTTTCCAAACAATGGTTTTGATAGCATTCGGTTTCATGGCAATCTTAATAATCTTTCCATCAGTTCGTCCATCACTAATTCCCAAATTGTAAACATTTTTTCTGTGTCTGTTCATCACAACCAAAGCCACATTTCCTTCCGGGGTTTCAGCGGCTACACCCTCTAACGGAGGGTCAGGGTCCATGAATCCTTCAAAAGTTGAATCTAGCACGATTGAGTCAGCAGTGAGAAATTTGCTAAAATGAAATGTAAATAAGGAAGAAATTTACAGCTAAATTTTAACGAAAAAAAGTGAAACTTCTAAAAACCCATTGTTTCTCACCTAAAATGCCCGAGGGCGTAAAATTGTGGCTGCTTGTAGAACTCTTGACTAGTTGAGTTAACGATGACCGAAGAGCCAACAAAGTTTCCAACATAACTTGGGCCTCCATGGAGGTCCGTCCAAAGGCTCCATTCAATCCAACCAGCAACATATCTCCGCAAGCTTTTGATTATGTCGTTTGCATACAACTCGGCGTTATACCAATGCCCGTACTCGTGACCGAGACCGCCGACGGTTGCCTGAAAGAACGTGACATATTGCCATATACTGTGCTGCAATAATAGATTGCAGCACAGTTACGTAGCATCCGTAAATGTAAAAGTTTCGATTCTTGGACAACAAACACAACCTGACAATCAAAATCAGGCATAAGAAACCTTTGCTTTGCACACGTTTTTCTGCCGGAGATATATACGTTAAAGCCGGGCCTATATGAGAGTTGCACCCACCTCAGTGGCCCAGATGAATTTGTCAGGCCGGAGATTATGGGTCAAATCCAGCTTGTCCCAATTCTCCGGAGCATACCAATGAACACCGAGACCGTCAATGTAAGTGTCCTTGTCCTGGTATATCTGAAACAGAAGTGTGTTGCTGCGGCATTTTAGTGACTATGTATATACTGAAAGAAAAAACATCATAAATTTCTGATGTTTTTCATTCTTTTGATGTCGTGGACATCATAAATGCGTGATGTTTTATTTTGAAGAATTTAAATTTGATGATTTGAATGCCTGACTGAACCCCCCATGACTGAACCCCCCATGACTGAACCCCCCTGACTGAACCCCCCTGACTGAACCCCCCAATGACTGGACCCCCTGACTGAACCCCTCACCCCTGTTCGAGGGAACCCCCCCTGACTGAACCCCCCAAATTGAATAAACCTTGGCGTTCTGCTAAAATATGGCCAAATTGAAAAAAATGTGGCCAAGTGGAAAAAAATGTGGCCAAATTGAAAAAAATGTGGCCAAGTTGAAAAAAATGTGGCCAAATTGAAAAAAATGTGGCCAAGTTGAAAAAAATGTGGCCAAGTTGAAAAAAATGTGGCCAAGTGGAAAAAAATGTGGCCAAATTGAAAAAAATGTGGCCAAATTGAAAAAAATGTGGCCAAGTGGAAAAAAATGTGGCCAAATTGAAAAAGATGTGGCCAAATTGAAAAAAATGTGGCCAAATTGAAAAAAATGTGGCCAAGTTGAAAAAAATGTGGCCAAATTTCAAAAAATTTTAATTTGGCCACATTTTTTCACTTTGGCCAAATTTTTTATCTTGGCCAAACGCTTTTCCTGCTTGGCCACACTTTTTTCACGGTTGTAAAATTTTTTCCGATCTGGCCAAATCTTTTCAATTTGGCCATATTTTTGCACCATGGCCATAATTTATTGGATTTGGCTAGATTATTTCACTTTGGCCGTTCCCCCATCGGGGGTGCCCGAAATTTCGCTTTAGAGGGGGGTTCAGTCAGGGGGTTCAGTCTTGGGGGTTCAGTCAGGGGGGTTCCTTTCTAAGGGGTTGGGGGGTTCAGTCAGGGGGGTTCAGTCAGGGGGGTTCAGTCATGGGGGGTTCAGTCTCCTAACGATTTCGAAAGCACATCTTCTGTTGAACACCCTTTTGGAAAAAACGTATTTCTTACCTCTTTTGCGGCCTCGTAAAGCCGATCTCTATGCCAATCGTACGCAATAATCTTTACATCTTTTGTGAACCACGTGTGTTTCATCATTGGGCCAAGCCTGTACTTGACAAAGTCCCTAAAATCACCCCAAACTCCTCTCATTTTTGCAAGCCTATTACCTTTGTTCAGCAAAGTTTATAAATGTTCCTGGCCAAACTCTGGTCTGGTTTCCGGGTTCATTCATAATTGTAATCCCCCAAAAATTTACACCGCGATTTCGGTACTCCTCGATGAATCTACAAAATACATATTCTTTTATTTTTCCCCGGTCCAACTTACTTAATCAAATATTTTGCATATACCACGTAAAAAAAGCTGTTCAATTCCCCTCTGATTTTGCCCGTGTCCTTCATTTTGCCGGTTTCTTTCATCCAAGCCGGCACACTCCAGGCGGAGCCGAACAACCTCACCTTTGGATTTGCTTTCACGATCTTTTGTAAAATCGGAATCTTTGGATCCTTTTCCATCGTAAAGGTCTTTAGCTCATAGTCTTCTGGGGTATCTAAATAGGTCCATTCTTCGACTGAAGCGTCATTAGCGCCGATTGGAACTCGGCTGGCAGAGTATTCAATTCCTACAAATAAATTTTAAGACTTGATGATTTCTCACCATTTTTGCCAAAGTATTGAGCGATCAGCTTGTCTTGCAAAGGCTGGGTAGAGGCAGGGACAATATTATCGTTGATACAACCGCCAAATCCAATGATTTTTTGACGCTTTTTAGAGAGATCTACCGTTACCTTCACATACTTTCCTAAATATCAGGACTTGGTTTCTATGACTTAAAAAGGAGTTCAAGATGCGTATCAGCCTTTGATCAAGATTGGAATAAATTAAGGAATACTTTTCGGAGGCATCTGCCCAATCTTTTCCGCACGTTCAGAAACCATTGATATTTTTAAGTTGGATTTAGTTGAAATTTGAAACTTTTTGGGATCTCTGTTGTAATTAAAAAGCAACTTCATCTTACCAGCCGGCTCTTCGAAGTTCACCTCCGTTCTCGTCAACCTATCTTGCTTCATGTCCGTTGAATAAACCACAGCTCTTTTGAGCGCCACATCTCCCAATGCCTCGACATCATCGCAATAAGTCGAATTACACACACAGACAAACGATTCTCTCCAATAAAACTTTTTCACACAAGGAGAGCAACAAATACATTGCAAAACAATTGCAGCGATGACCAGCCTCATAGAAAATAAATGGGAATAGCAGCAAAGTATGTAAAAGTTTTAGTTCATAAAACTAATTGTTTTGTTTAGTAGGAAAATTCAAAAAAAAATCAGTGTTTATTATCTGTCTGTCGGGAAAATAACGGCAGCTTTCCCGACAGACTGATAGTGTAATTCAATTTTCAAAATGAAATCGCCGCCCCAAAGGAGATACTGATCTGCGAGGCGGTGCTTGAAAGTGACAACAAAGGTCATATTGGAGCATCCAAATTTCAAATTTTGAAAAATGTCTCGATAATAACCCCTGGCACCCGGCTCCGGAAAAAGCTGTTTTTGAAAGTATTGTACGCGACACGCAAAGAGCGGTGCCACACATTCCTCGTAGAAACAAAATGATTATGCAAAATTATTTCACTTTAATGGCATAAGTTATTGCAATTCTATTGCATGCACAAACACTTCTGATGCTGAAAACTTTTCCATTCCTTTGGTTTTTTCCAAACAATGGTTTTGATAGTATTCGGTTTCATGACAATCTTAATAATCTTTCCATCAGTTCGTCCATCACTAATTCCCAAATTGTAAGCATTTTTTCTGTGTCTGTTCATCACAACCAAAGCCACATTTCCTTCCGGAGTTTCAGCGGCTACACCCTCTAACGGAGGATCAGGGTCCATGAATCCTTCAAAAGTAGAATCTAACACAATTGAGTCAGCAGTGAGAAATTTGCTAAATGCAATGTAAATTAGGTAAAAATTTACGGCTAAATTTTAACGGAACAGATTAAAACTTCCTAAAATCCCATTTTTTCTCACCTAAAATGTCCAAGCGCGTAGAATTGTGGCTGCTTGTAGAATTCTTGACTAGTTGAGTTAACGATGACCGAAGACCCAACAAAGTTTCCCATATAACTTGGACCTCCATGGAGGTTCGTCCAAAGGCTCCATTCAATCCAACCAGCAACATGTCTTCGTAAGTTTTTGATTATATCGTCTGCATACTTCTCGGCGTTATACCAATGCCCGTACTCGTGGCCAAAATCGTCGATGGTCGCCTGAAGAAACGTATGGCTAGATTTCAGCGCGGTTACAAAAAACTTTACATGTTTGATATGTTAAAGCCAGGTATATGAATGTATATCCCGGCTTTTGCACCCACCTCAGTGGCCCAGATGAATTTGTCAGGCCGGAGATTATGGGTCAAATCCAGCTTGTCCCAATTCTCCGGAGCATACCAATGAACACCGAGACCGTCAATGTAAGTGTCCTTGTCCTGGTATATCTGAAACAGAAGTGTGTTGCTATGAATGAACAAAGGAGCGGAACAAATTTGGTGCTCAGTTTTTTTTTGGTAATTTTAACCACTCAGTTGGGCCCAGTTTTTTGAAAACTAACAAAAGATTTACTTGGCGCCGATATGTTGAACGTTTCAACAGAAAGAAAAATTAAATGAACTTTCACAAAAAGCTTTTCCCTGTACACAGGTTGGCAAATTTTTAAAGCAAATTTTGCATTGATATTACCCTTTCAGGAGGTGAGTATTTCTTACCTCTTTTGCGGCCTCGTAGAGCCGATCTCTGTGCCAATCATACGCAATAATCTTTATATCCTTTGTGAACCACGTGTGTTTCATCATTGGGCCAAGTCTGTGCTTGACAAAGTCCCTAAAACTCTCCAAATTCCACTTATTTTTGCAAGCTTATTACCTTTGTTCAACAAAATTCATAAAAGTTCCTGGCCAATCTCTGGCCTGGTCTCCGGGTTCATTCATAACAGTTATTCCCCAAAAATTTAAACTGCGATTTCGGTACTCCTCGATAAATCTAGAAAGTATTCTTTTTGCTCACATATTTCAACTTACTTAATCAAATATTTCGCATACAACACATAGAAGTAGCCGTTCAATTTCCCTTTGATTTTGCCCGCGTCCGCCAGTTTTCCAGTTTCTTTCATCCAAGCCGGCACACTCCAGGCGGCTGCAAACAGCTTTATCTTTGGGTTTACTTTCACGATCTTTTGCAAAATCGGAATCTTTAGATCTTTTTCCATCGTAAAGGTCTTTAGCTCATAGTCTTCTGGGGTATCTAAATAGGTCCATTCTTCGACTGAAGCGTCATTAGCGCCGATTGGAACTCGGCTGGCGGAGTATTCAATTCCTACAAATGAATTTTAAAATTTGACGATTTCTCACCGTTTTTGCCAAAGTATTGATCGATCAGCTTGTCTTGCAAAGGCTGGGTAGAGGCAGGGATAATATTATCGTTGATACAACCGCCAAATCCAATGATCTTTTGACGCTTTTTGGAGAGATCTACCGTTACCTTGACGTACTTTTCTAAAGATAAAGACTTGGTTTCTTCGACTTAAAAAGGAGATCAAGATGCGTATCATCCTGTGATAAAGATTGGAATAAATTAAGGAATGCTTTTCGGAGGCGTCTGCCAAATCTTTGTCTCACGTTTGGCAAAAACCATTGATATTTATAAGTCGAATTTTAGGCAACTTCATCTTACCAGTCGGCTCTTCGAAGTTCACCTCCGTTCTCGTCAATCTATCCTGCTTCATGTCCGTTGAGTAAACCACAGCTCTTTCGAGTGCCACATCTCCCAATGCCTCGACATCATCGCAATAAGTGGAATTACACACACAGACAAACGATTCTCTCCAATAAAACTTCTTTAAACAAGGAGTGCAACAAACACATTGCAAGACAAATGCAGCGATGACAAACCTCATAAAAATAGAAAACAGCAAAGTTGCCACTGATATTTTGGATGAAATTGGATGAAAGATACTGGAAAACGGAATGCTTTATAAAACTAGTTGTTTTTGTTTTTCTGCCTGATTGTACTCTCCGTCTGTCTGCAGTCAAGTGAAGCCATTTCCGTCGTGGGAAAATGCAAATTTTCGAAAAAATTTAAAATCATTTTCAAGTCTGAAAGGGATTCCGATTTTTTCTCCTCTGGCGGTTCTTCCTGTCCACCCATGCCGTTGCGTGCACAAATGGCTTTGCCTGGCATAGTAGCCATCAAACTTATTGGATTTCAAGTACAGTCAATGTTGATCAATTCCAAGCAAGGGGTGGAGCTAATCTCGGGATATGTACTGTTCAGTTCTGGTAGTGATGCTATTGGAACGTACACCTCTTACACAGACCTGCTCGGACGCCCTAGGATAAAAAGGACCAAAGCACTATAGCCAGCGATGGAAAGATGTTGCATTAACTGAGAAATAGAAACCATACTGTATGACTCCATGATTTTTACATGTGATTTGTGAAATAAATTAAGAGAATCCGAGTGGCGCGCCTAAAAAATGCTTCCGCCAACTTCATCTTACCAGTCGGCGCTTCGAAGTCCACCTCAGTTCTCGTCAATCGATCTCGCTTCATGTCCGTCGAATAAGCCACAGCTCTTTCGAGTGCCACATCTCCCAATGCCCCTACATTATCGCAATAACGAACCTCATAAAAAATAAAAAGAATAATGGCAAAGTATGTAATAGTTATCGTTTATAAAACTTGTTTTCGTTTACTACTAGAAAAATGAAAAACAAATCAGTGTTTATTATCAGTCTGTTGGAATCGAACAACATCGCTTCGCGACGGCTAGCCGCGGCTGGAGATTTGGTGAGCGACTGCTCCTTTGTTGGACGACGCGAAAAATTTTGCTACAATAGCCCACAAAGCATATTGCACGGTGGAAAAACCAACAAATTGCACAGTGCAAGGTGTACTTTTGATCCCACTTTTTAACAGTACGTCGACGGCTGCAAAAATTTGGGTTTTCTCGGAATTTTTGACAGTGAAGCTCCGACAGTTGAGGCAACAGAAACAGTCAAAAGTTGTTTGTAAACTTTCCTAGAAAACCATTCACAGAGGTCTTTCAAATATACAAAACCTTATCAAAAGTATATTTATCTTGTGTTCAAATCATCTCTCTGACTAGCATTTGAAAAACGTCAAAAAATGCGGTTTCTAATAGGCCTTTTTCTATTGCCATTTGCACTGTCAGCTTCATGTAACAAAAGATTCTACTGGAGAGAGTCGTTCGTCTGTGTGTGCAATGCAACTTATTGTGATGACATCCCGGAGGTGGGCGAGATTAAAGCGGATAGTGCAGTGGCTTACTCATCGGACATGAAGAGAGATCGTTTTGCAAGAAGCGAATTGAACTTTGAAAAAACCAGCGGTAAGCGGCAGCTTTTTGTTAGTCCTTTAAAAGCACGGAATACTGGTTGAATATCTGGGGGAACATTTTCCCTTACAGCATGGCCTAAAAAGTCTTACAAGGGAAGTCACTTAAGTCACGGATCGATTTTTAAAAACGACTGTTACAGCGATGGGGAGGGTAGGACGGAGATATCAAATCTGAAAACCGCTACCTCCACCGGCCTCTGGGAGCCGAGATAATCGACTAAAAAAGTTTGATCAAAAAAAGTTGCCCCGAGTAGTCCTCTCTTCTAAAAGAAGGAGGGAAGAGAACCGAATGGTCCGGTGGTCTGGAAGCGCGCTTCCGGGCCTTGACCTTTTCAGGTTCGAATCCGCATGGGTCAAAAAATTTATTAAACTTTTCCTGTAATCCAGTAAATTTACCGGTAAGATAAAATTTTTGATTTTTTGCATATTTTACGATAAAATTTCAGAGTAATAATTTGAATGTGAGTTTCAAACAATTTGAATTTTCAAGGTTGAAAATTTACCGTAAAATAGGCATAAAACCTAAAAATGAATTGCTTGTAAATTTACTGGATCACAGCAATTGTTTTATAAATTTTTCACAAGTCCGAGACCCGCGCGGATTCGAACCTGAAAAGGTGAAGGCCCGGAAGCGCGCTTCCAGACCACCGGACCATTCGGTTCGCTGGGTTTTCTTCTTTCGGAAGGAAGAAATGTTCGGAGGAATTTGGTCAAACTTCTTGGTCGATTATCTCGGCTCCCAGGGGCCGGTGGAGGTAGCGGTTTTCAGATTTGATATCTCCGTCCTACCCTCCCCATCACTGTAACAGCCGTTTTACAAAATCGATCCGTGATTTAAGTGACTTCCCTTGTTAGGAATTGATATACGACCAAGGTCCGAAGTATGCAAGAGCAACGAAAATTTGAGAGTCTCAGTTCGAACACTTTCCTTTTTAGGCAAATGGGTAAAACTCACCATTGACCCAAGTAAAAAGCGTCAAAAGATCATTGGCTTTGGCGGTTGCATCAACGATGCTGTTGTCTTCGCCAGCACAAATAAGCTGGAACAGCAACTTCTTGATCAATACTACTCCAAGAAAGGCATCGAATACTCCGCAAGTCGGGTCCCAATTGGGACAAATGATGCCTCGATCAAAGAATGGACCTACTTGGATACTCCTGAAGATTATGAGTTGACCACTTTTTCACTGGCCAAGGATCCAAAGGTTGAGTTGATAAAGAAAATTTACTACATGAATCCAAATTTAAAACTGTTTGGATCCGCCTGGAGTGTTCCTGCTTGGCTAAAAGACACTGGGAAATTAACTGGAGTGGGCAGAATTATCGGGCCGTTGAATCGCCATCATTACGTTGTTTATGCCAAGTACTTGATTAGGTGAGTAAAAGGGAAGATTTAGTAAATTTGCCACCGCTGGCCGCACTTTTAAAAGCATCTTCAGATTCGTCGAAGAGTACAAGAAACTGGGGGTCAATTTCTGGGGACTCACAATAATGAATGAGCCGGGAAACGTCACCAGAATTTGGCCTGGGATCTACTTGTCGCCGGAGGAACAACGGTAAGGCGTAGCCATCCTATAACTCCTTTTTTCAGTGATTTCGTCAAGGAAAAACTTGGCCCAATGATGAAACATCGCTGGTCCACTAAAGATGTCAAGATCATTGCTCACGATTGGGATCGCAATACCATATATGATTACGCCAAAAAGGTCTTTTCATTTGTTAATCATCATGCAATACTTTAGATTTATGAGGATAAAGACACGTTGATCGACGGCCTTGGAGTTCACTGGTATGCCAAGGGCTACTGGGAAAATCTAGAGAAAACTCATGCTCTACGCCCTGACAAATTCATCTGGGCAACTGAGGTAGTGATTACTATCAATTCTATCATCGAAAAACCATTTCTCATTTTTATCAACTGATGTCATCAAATTTCAGGCAACAATGGAAGGTCTTGGCCATGAGCCGGGTAGTTGGTATAACGCCGAGCTCTACGCCGATGACATAATCAACAATTTGCGGCGTTGGGTTGGTGGTTGGGTTGAATGGAGTTTATGGACAGACGAACAAGGAGGCCCGAGTTATGTGGGAAATTTCGTCGGGAACTCGATGTTTGTAAATCAAAGCGCCGAAGAGTTTTACAAAGAACCGCAATTCTATGTTATTGGGCATTTTAGGTGAGTTCCTTTCGTTTTACAGCTATTTACGTATTTCGATGATACGAAATTAAATTTTTTTTATATTAGGCTTGACAATCTCCCTAACTTTTCAGCAAATTCCTTCCACCCGAAACAACAATTCTGGACACTCAAATTGAAGGCTATGTCCACTCAGACAGTCCCATACTCGGCGTTGCTGGAGAGACTCCAGCCAATCAAATTGTGCTCGTTCTTTTGAATCGGCACAACTTTAATACCTACAATGTGAGTATTTCCGATGGCCGGAGTAATGGGAAGACCCTACAGCTCGGAATAAAACCGCATACTATCAAAACGATCCTTTGGAATAAAAGTTCTGCTTAAATTTATATTATCCGTGATATTAAAACAAGTTTTGCGAGAGACTCGAGTTAGCTGTGCACAAAAAACAAGATGTTACAGTAGGGACTTGAAATACCTACCGTAGTTAGCTAGTTACCAGTGTATTAAAATGGGCAGGTCAAATTTTAAATTTTCGGCTTACTGTAGGTATACTGTAACATTTTCAGATTTTTTGTTTCTCCTCGACTAGTTGCCCGATTGACTCCGGACCTTTTCAGGGTTATAGAATGATTGATTCTAAGCAACTTTCATATTGACACCTTTTTGCTAGGACTCCCGGAAGTGTGCGAAAAATTTGCATATTTAGCAAAAAATTTAAAATTCTTGAATTTTCTTAAAAAATTTGCATACTTGTACATCCTTTTTATTGCTGTAAATAACACTCTATGATCTGGGGATTCCAACGGTGGCAAAATCAAAGCTGGGCGGCCTGTCAAGTCTGAGAACGAGGCTTCTAAACATTTGGTCATCACGAAATTTTTTTGTTTCAAAGTTGGATACGTGAGATATCGGGACAAAGTTTAGTTCCATTATAATCTACATAAAATTCTAAGACTTTTAAACCCCATTCCCATGAGTCTCAGACCGACCGGTCGAAAGATACGACCAATTTTCGAGATTTTTTATTTTTTCAATTTTCGCCACAAAGATGACAGAATTGCTGATTTTTCATGGTCATAACTGAATCAGTGCCCTCGCTGTACCCTCGTACTATATAGTTTTAATCTTGGTCGCTTTGGGTGCTATTCAAAATTTTTTGAAACTTTGGCAAAGTCCTCAAATTTTTGATTTCCTTTTTTACAGACAAGGTCAAAATTCAAAAAAAAGCAATTTATGGTATCGTTTGTCAAATTTAAAAAAAATACGGCGCATGTACCACGCTAACTGCCCCACAACTACCCCTCCAACTTTTACAACCTCTGACATCGAACCTAAATATGTCGTGCAAAGACGACCAAAGCGTTGTCCTATTTCTTTGCACAAAATAGAATTTCCACTTTCATGACGAAATGTTGGTTTTTGATGGCACCATTGAATTCAGAACTTATAATTTGACCTATATGTATATGTGCATAAATCGCTACAATAACGTTTCGTATTTTAGACATTCAGACTTTATCGAGATTCGGGAAGTCACGAATACCGATATTTCCATAACTTCCTGAAAATTATGGCAAATACTTTTTTACCAACCTAATACAACTTTACTCAAAACTCAAAAAAAACGAAAAAGAAATTTTGTCGATTTTATGCGACCCTTCGAATATGACTTCCGAACGGTTTCAGAATACGAAAGATATACAGGTGTACGTCTGAGTGTTTCTAAAAAATTCACGTAACTCTTTCTATGAATTTTGACCTTGTCTGTGAAAAAAGAAATTCAAAATTTGAGGACTTTGCCAAGGTTTCAAAAAATTTTGAATAGCACCTAAAGCGACCAAGATTAAAACTATATAGTACGAGAGTACACAGAGGGCACTGATCCAGTTATGACCATAAAAATTCAGCAATTCTGTCATCTTTATGGCGAAAATTGCAAAAAATAAAAAATCTCGAAAATTAGTCGTATCTTTCGACCGGTCGGTCTGAGACTCATGGGAATGGGGTTTAAAAGTCTTAGAATTTTATGTAGATTATAATGGAACTAAACTTTGTCCCGATATCTCACGTATCCAACTTTGAAACAAAAAAATTTCGTGATGACCAAATGTTTAGAGGCCTCGTTCTCAGACTTGACAGGCCGCCCAGCCATGATTTTGCCACCGTTGGAATCCCCACATCATAGAGTGTTATTTACAGCAATAAAAAGGATGTACAAGTATGCGAATTTTTTAAGAAAATTCAAGAATTTTAAATTTTTTGCTAAATATGCAAATTTTTCGCACACTTCCAGAAGTCCTAGCAAAAAGCTATCAATATGAAAGTTGCTTAGAATCAATCATTCTATAACCCTGAAAAGGTCCGGAGTCAATCGGGCAACTAGTCGAGGAGAAACGAAAAATCTAAGAATGTTACAGTATACCTACAGTAAGCCAAAAATTTAAAATTTAACCCGCCCATTTTAATACACTGGTAACTAGCTAACTACGGTAGGTATTTCAAGTCTCTACTGTAACATCTTGTTTTTTGTGCACAAGGCATATCTGATTGTGAAAGCTCGAGTCTCTCGCAAAACCTGTTTTAAGATAATGGAACTTGGAATAAACAGTCTAACCCCATCTCAATTTCAACATTCATGTCCATAATTTACTGCACTGTACATAGACGTCATTGTGATCAATTTGATATCAACTCGGATATATTTCAGAACTTTCTAGTCGGCTGATTTGGCAGCGCTTTGCTGGTTTCAAGTTTGGCGGTGACTGGTCGGAAATTTGCGCCTTGATAGGTGGCCAATTTTTTCTCCTTCTTCTTCATGAAATCCCTCCACGATCCTCTTCTCTCATCTCTGGTGGACTCGTAATTCTGTTTGTATTCTTCTTCCAATTTTCGTTTTTCGGCCGCTTTTTGTAATTCTTCGGCCGTTCGACGTTTCTCTTCGCGTTGACGCTCTTCGATGGCGCGACGCTTTTTTTCACGGTCGGCGAAGACCTAAAGCTCAATAAATTATTTTTTAAATCCAAAAAGGATAAAGAAAAATGTTGGTCATCATCAAAAATGATTAATATTAGGATGAGTCGATTTCTCGTACTTCCTATAGGCCTCACAGCCTCTAAGAATTACCATCTTACCTTAGTAACAGTCACCCAAAGGGCTTTTTTGTATCCATCTTCAAAATCTTCTTCAATTTCGTCGGGCTTTCCTTCTTTCCTCAGCTTTCGTTTCTTTTCACTCATAACAATTGCTAACCTAGCTCTGGCTTCAGTGTAGACCTCTTTGCATCGAGCTAGCTCATCTGGATCTTCGAGTTTCGTTATGGCTCTCTAAAAAAATAGAAATTTATTACAGACGTCACTCTTCAGTGATTTTTGAAAAACGGTATCCCCAAATATCAATCGTAACTTCTTTCAATAAAAGTAAATTGTTTTCCACAAGTTTGGACCCCATTCTTTACTCGTGTTCTACCTAAACTCCAAGAAAAATTATATTCACCCACCTTCAGGATGTCGAAAGCTCGTTGCGCGCGTTCCCTGTCATCTGGATTTTTGTCAGGATGCACCAAGATGGACAAGCGTTTATATCTCTTCTTTGCTTCTTCAATTGTGCAATCAGAGTCGATCTGAAGGACTTCAAAAGGATTCAAGTTGAGGTAAGTGGAGCCAGGTTTCAGGAGCCTCGTAATCTGTTGATCCGACGTTAAAACCGAATCTTTTTCCTCAACCTTCTTGAGATCAGAATAGAATTGCTCAAAGTTGTCAGACATTCTCCAAAGCTTATCTAGAACCACAAAATTTTATACGATTTTACCTTCCTGTTGACCAAGTAAGATCTTGGCTTTTTCTACCATTCCTTCTTCAGCAATTTCAAAGGTTTCATTTTCAATTTATTAAACTTTAGTCTTATTACTAATGCAGGAAAATAATTAGATGGGATTGTACGCTACCTATCAATGTCGATCTTATCCATGACAACCAGCTTGTTCGACTAAAAAAGCTTATAAAACGTGTTCAGATCAGAAGAGACAGCTTGTTACTTAAAAATTTACAAACGGAAAATAATTGAAAAAAATTAAAAAGTAGTTTAGTAGGGTTGATGTCGGTCGTTTCCTCTCGGCCCTCGTACTGCTCCTCCTCCTTGATGTTGAGGGGGTCCGCCTTGGTATGCGGAGAGGGGTTGAGGTGGGCCAGATGGAGGTGGGGCGCCTCCTCCACCTCCGCCTGATCTCGGCGCCTTACAAGAGTTACATTCTCTTCTGAAGGCAAAGTTGTTGTTTCCGCATGGACACATCCAATCGTTGGCGCGGACTTCGGCGTTTCCTCCACGTGGGTTAGAGCCGCCTCCACGACCTCCCGGTCCTCCGCCTCCTGCAACTTGGACAATAATATCAGCAAAAAAGAATAAAAAATCAACCCCAACCCTTTCTAATTTCACGATAACACCTATATAAGATCAATATAAAATCGGTTCTTACTTGGTCCTCCAGGTCCACCACGACCTCCTCTGAATCCGCCACCACCGCCTGGTCCTCCTCGGCCTCCACCAAAGCCACCTCCAGGTCTGCCGCCATCTCTTCCACCTCCAAATCCTCCGTCTCTTCCTCCTCCATATCCACCTTCCCTTCCTCCGCCATATCCCCCATCGCGTCCGCCTTCTCGTGGCCCTCCAAATCCGCCACCTCCTCTTCTGTCGCCTCCATCTCTTGGTGGTCCTCGGTTGTCTCTTCCTCCGCCGTATCCTCCGTCACGTCCACCGCCGTCTCTTGGTGGACCTCCTCCATATCCCCCATCTCGGCCGCCGCCGTCGCGGCCTCCGCCATATCCACCGCCGGGGCGTCCGCCACCATATCCGCCGTCTCTTGGTGGGCCTCGAGGGGGTCCTCCGCCGTATCCACCGTCTCTTCCGCCATCACGACCGCCTCCAAATCCACCGCCGCGTCGATCGCCTCCTCTGAATCCTCCTCCATCTCGGCCGCCGCGGAATCCGCCACCACGGCCTCCACCTCCACCACTGCCGCCACCGAATTCGGCAACGCTCACCGACAAAATGTTATCGGTGCCGGGGAAGGGTTTTCCTAAAAATACTCTTGATTATTAACGAAACCAAGTAAAGAAATTATCTAGAACATGATAAATCCCTATTTTCTGGTCGAATACACGTCTCAGAGGCCAAAGATGATCACAGCGGGCCAACTCTCACAACCGGTCAAAAAATTGACCAAAATCAAAGAAATTGGCCAATTTTCGCCGGAGGGTTTTGAGTCCCGTTCAAAGAGCAAGGATGTTGTTCATCATTGACACGATTTGACCAGACCTCCCAAATAACCCCATATACGACAAGCAACATACCATTATAAGTTGCGATGACCTGCTTGGCAGTTTCTTCACTTTCGAAGCAGATGGTGCATTCTCCTTTGGAAACTCCATGGGCCGAATAAATCTTGATCTTGGGCTTTCCGTTGTTCGGATTCGCTTCAATAGGTCCTAATGAGCTGAACACATCGTGGATGTAGGGTTCATTCGCACTAAAATTTCAAACAAATGATATTAAATTTGATATCGCCTACTTTTGAGGAAGTCCACTGACGAATATCATCTTTCCTCCTGGTGGTGGGGCCCGATCAAATCCTTCTCCGGCTCCACCGCCTCCTCCACCACTTGAATAGCCACCTTGTCCGCCGTAACCACCGCTACTGCCACCTGAAAGAAACACAGGCTATTATAACATAAAAAGACGCCTATTCTAACCAATCCCAGGGATGGAAGGGGCACTATTGTTCTGGGTAGACCTTATTTCTTAAGTTTCTATCATGAAATGACCATTAGAAACTTCTTTATATTCCTTTAGACATTAAACTCCCATAAACCAGTATTTTTTTTGATAAACTCCCAAAACCGTTGCAATATCTTTGTAAATTATCAATAATGACCAATTACACCTCCCCTGAATCCCTTCAGCCCCAGACCTCGTACAAGACCCAATCACAAGAAAAACAGATCCAATTATAAATAATACCTCTGTACGGACCACGCGAGTCCGCTCCGCTGGAACTGAAAATAATATGACCGTTAGTATGTCGTCGACTCTCCATTGATGTTAGGTGTTTTGGGGTGTGTCGGTTGAAATTTCAGGCCTATTTGAAAATTTCTCATATTAACCATGAAATTACCGACTAATTAGGCCATTAAATCTCTAAATTCACTCAATGCCGGTTACAGCAAACTATTTCTCCCTTCCGACACACCCGGACACCCATTGATGACCTTGTTCAACTGCTTCCATGACCTTGTTTTAAACCATATCTATATTATAGACCATTATTTCAAATGTCGGGTCCGTCGGCCCGATTTCGGCGCGGACCCTTCGAAAAAATACCAAACACATGATGAACACCAAAAATTACATATAAACTCTTACGACCATTTGCCGACCCGTTGAGACCTGACCTTTAATTTCGCCGATACCTTAATGTTCATACCGAAATGGGGGTCCTAGAGTCCAAAACCGGAAAAAAACTTACTCTCGGTCACCCCAACGGCTTTGCGGTGGAGGCCCACCGCCATAAGGGGCTTGGCTTCCATATTGCGGCGCAGCGGGCATGGCTGGAGCGTTCGGGTTCTCAAAACGGCCAGTATAACCGCCACCTTGAGCTGGATTCGGAGGGAGCTGAAGAGTTTGCGGTTACACATGGGTTGTCAAAAGTGAAAAATTACAATTGAGCTGAGCTCGAACCGTAGAGGATATTTAAACATGTAATTATGAAAAAATAGTCGGGGTTTTACGGATAATTCTAGTTTCACTAAATTTCTTTTGTCTGGAGATCCAAAATTATATGTTATACCAATCAGGAATCTTTTAGAATTGCTTTTGACTTTTTTTGACATTCACGGCGTAACTCCGGTATGAAAAGCGCGATAATTTGGTTCAAACCATACATACAAAAGGAACGTTTTTCTTTTGAAACGGTAACCCCTTTATAAGTACTGTGTTAGGGTATTACGGTACCTAACCATCAATATCTTCTAAAAGCAGCAATTGCAATAACAACAACATACCTGAGGTGGACCTCCTTGCCCGGCGGCCTGTTGCTGTGTGTAGTACTGTTGCCACGCTTCGTATTGCTGCTGAGCAGCCGATGGATCAACGGACGCGCCGTTACTCATCTCTTCGGTTTACTGAAACAGAACAGAATATAAATTCCGAGCAATTTTTGAGCAACCCCAAGCGAATACAATCTTCCACCGCAGGTGTAAAAAAACAAGATTAAACTGAAGACACTCGCACAACGGATTTGCACGCACCTCGATGTCGAGTATGCGCAGAAAAACAGCCGCACAATCAATGCGTCGGTTTGTTTTCGCGTTGGGACCAAGAAGAATATAAATGCGACGTTTCGCGAGTTGCGCCCCACGTATAAAATGGTCTTGTTTCCTACAAGATTTCGTTGTTGGCAAAGTAAAAAAGCGATGTGTAAAATACGACTTCGACATCTTACGTTTTCAAAACGTATTCTTCAACTATTTGTGCAGATTCTAGGAAAATTTACGTCATACTTGATACCTCTCATAAGATCTGAGAAAAGGCTGCGATTCTTGATGTGTATTGAATCGTATTTTACAATCACTAATAGGTTTTACGACACTTACAACGTTTTGTGAAATTATTTTGTAACAAGTAATAACTTGGGGCGCAGCCTGCGGCCTTCCGGACAACTTTTCGTCCTCCCTCTCCTCACGGTCTTTTTTTTATTTCTTTGTTTCGCAATTGGAATCTCGCCCAGTCTCCGGTGTGTGTAGCCCTTTTTACTGGTCAGTCCTGCGCTTCCCCATTCTTCATAACATACCCATGACTTTTTCTTATCCATCAATAAACAAAATGAACAATCTAGATCAGTTTCATTACATTTTTATGATTTTTTGGGTAAAAAAGACGTTGTCTTCGAAATATTTTACAAGAATTTTTCTGTCAGTATGTATCGTGTGATTTTTGGATGGATCTCATAATTTTTGAAAATGGCGAAGGACAAGGTGAATTAAATATTGGGATTAGGCGCTGAAAACTTGCTGTTTCCGAATATCTTTCTGTCTTATCACAGATAAAACCAGGTCAGTTGTTGTAAAATGTGAGGAACACTGAAATTTATTGATTTTGACTTTCTATGATGGTATCTTACATTAGTGGTTAATGGCGAGTATTATTGAAAATTTGGGGGTAAATGCACTCATATGGAAGCATATACATCGTGGCGTTATGTTTAACTAGTGGATCTACTTCCAACCTAAAAATATTACCTGTTTGTTCTTTTCAGCCATCAGTCAGCTTGAGGATACATCAGGAACAATATGGCGTATATTCAACGAAGGAAAAACGAAAATGGCCCCAGGCGCAGAGATGTCAAAGAACGCACCATGAACAGATTTGCCGCATTGGATGCGGACATAGCATCGAGATACGACTTCGAGGATGAGGACGAAAGGTCCTTACCAATCAATGTTAATAATGTGAGCTCTTTCTTGATTTTTTGGTGTTTAGGTGATAAAATGAATGCTAGAAGCTGGCTTAAGTTATAATGCAACTACTGTATACTTTTGGAATTTTCAGCGAGCAGCGGTCAGACTTGTCAGAGGCGGAGGCGCTGCGTTGGTCCGAAATCGTCAGCTCGCCCGTCAATCTGGAGGCACGGGACGACGAGATACGATATTCCAAATCACTGTCCGGAACCAAGGCCGAGGCGGTATTCAATTTGTGGCTCAAGCTCTTTCCGAACATGTCTCCGGCTTCTTGCCCTTCATGTTTGATCTGGACTCTTGCAAGAATGTGACATTCTTTGTCCTCACAGAAGAAGAGAGCGATAATATTAAGGTCCTCAGTAGGAGATTGACGTATCCACCAGGATCGAATCAGAAGTTCCTAATTTATTCGAAGCAATGCAACGCACCGTGGGAGTCGTTGCCAGCCAATTTAAGACAACATATCAAAAGGGTGGTGGATAGCCGGTTCAATAAGGCTGCCAATTCGATCGATCTAAGCGAGTTTCAACATGATAAAGGTAAGTTTTTATGTGATTTTTTTGAATCTTTATTTTTAGTTTTTATTCAAAACGACGTCGGAAATCTTGTTTCATTGACTAGAAATGCTGTGATGGTGGAAGTAATAAAAATTATCAACGAACATTACAACGGAATTTCCGGATTAAGTCTCAAGGTAAGATTTTGAACTAATTATGTGATGATTATTTCATTTTTAGGGAAATAGACTCAGCATGTTAGACACAGCGATGAGTCTTACTTTTGCCGCGCCGGGTATCGTCGAGCTGGATTTGTCCAATAATCAGGTATGTTTTCTTTTAGTTTTTTGTCTATAGACGGCGTTAGGAGGACAGTGGTGCTTTAAGTCGTCATATTGTACTTGACCCGTTGTCATGGTTAATATGATTTTTATAGATCAAAGCCGTGGAACAATTGGATAAGCTCAGAAAATGGGGAGTGGAACGTCTGCATCTCGAGAACAATCCATTCACTTCCGAATACGCCGATGGATCGTCTTATACAAGGTTTATTTTGAGAGTAGAAGCGGGCTGAATTTTGAATGTTTGGAGAGAGATTTTGAGTTGAAACATGATCTTTGAGAACTGATTATAATATCAGGGAAAAGATTTGCCCCAGAGTCTAAGAACTCCATGAAAAAAAATGGATTCAAGGAAAAGGGCTTTTTTGAAGAGGTTCGAGAATTGCGAGAAAAATAGAATGGGAAGTTGAGAGGTGGTGATAGATTATGAACATACTTTTTTGGTGAATTTCGGCGGAATTTTTTTTGTTTTAGAGATTTGACTTTCTCATATATGAAAATCGAAGGTTTTAGTGTGAATTGAGGTCATTCTCTGCGTTATATGTGGCTGCTAGTATGAAGAAGTTATGTGGAGTGTGTTTAACCCAATAAACTATCTGATCGAAGGTTTGTTGCCGGTCTTTGTCAAGTATAATATAACAAAACCTATTGAAACCGCAATAACTCATCGATCAGATGTCTCACGTCCCCAGCTTGATGCATGTGTGGTCTGAACTTGATTCTGAAGGCATTTTCAACACAAATTGTCTGAGTTTCACTATGATCTGTCTTACTTTAGATAACACTGATTTCTTTAATTTTTCTTTTTGTCGGCATGTTTCTGGTTTTTACACAATGTTTTAGCGCCATTCACGACTACTTCCCCAGAGTGTCGTACCTTGTAAGTTTTTTGTGTTGTCGTTTTATAGGCATGGAGACCATGGTGTTGTAGTTGATTTGAGCACTTAATGAGCCTTTTTAAGGATGGGACCGTCGTACACTGCAACCCATACAAAATCAACGCCGATCTTCAACGACGGGCTGGAGTTCCATATCCTCCAGTGCAGGTAGGCGATGTATTTTTATATAGTGTTTGGTATCAGTTCAATTTTTTTTGTTTTACTGATAATAAATGGTTGAACATGTCGTACTAAGGCGTTATCTTCCTTTTCAGCCTGGATTCGCGCCAGATCAAGCTTTAAAACAGGCCGTGGAACAGTTCTTGGCTCAATTTTTCGAGCTCTATGATGATCCTCAGCCCTCCAGAAGCCGGCAGAATTTGATCCACGCCTATGATGATAATGTAAGTCGTGTGGGGTAGAGAAAGTTGAGTTTGATTAAAGGTGTATAAATGAGATTTTTAGGCGGTCTTCACCCATTGCATCCAGATGATCCCTGATAACAGACCGGTGCCGAAAGGCGATGAGTAAGTGACTTTTAATCCCATATGTCTTTAGCATGTTTTTTCCACGTGCCATAGCTTAACATAGTCCTGAATGGTCTATTATGACATGAGTGATACTTGAATTTTCATTTCACTTATCTTCAGAGAAGCCTTCCGCCAGTACATCAGATCCTCACACAATATTGTACACGAAGCCAAATGGGAAAAGTACCGCGAAAAAGTGATTTACTGTGGCTCTATGGAAATCGCCGTGGCTCTGTCCCGCCTTCCTGTAACTCAGCATCTCAAGGACAGCTTCATGCTTGACTTTGTTTTTATATCCAATGCTCTGATGGTCTTCACAATCCGAGGAATATTTGTTGATGGAGAAGATGTCACAAAACCCGCCTCAGAGAAAGATTTCAAGTTTTTCAACCGAACAATGGCTGTGGTACCGAAGGGAGAGGGGTAAGGAATATTTCGAAAGGCGATTAGACCTTACTTTAGTGGTTAAGGTTGATTTTGGATTAGTCTTTTTTAAGTACTTACGGTAATATAATATGTTGGTGTTTCAGAAAAATGGCTGTGGTAAATGACCAACTAAGCATATCACCGGTTACTACGGATCGTGTGGAACGTTATAATCGGCTAATCAAAAAGGCCATGGAAGCGGTGAGTTGGATTTTTTAAAGTTTTTTTGTTTCTGGATTGAAGCGGATTGATGTCAAATTTTTTTTCAAGTGATTGTAATGGCAGATAAAAAAGTGCTCCTTCGATAGTTCAAGAATTTTTGGAAGGAAAAAATCAGGAATTGTCAAGGATAATATAATTTCTGGCCATTTTTTAGCCAAGCGATCCCCAGCCAAACTCTTTGGACCTGAACCAACTGAATGTGAACAGCGTGCAACAACCCGGCCCATCCGGTCTCCAGAACCTGAAAGTGGAGCCTCAGCCGGCCCAGCAAGCCCCACCGCCAACGCCGGATTATGACGTAAATGATCCGAATATTCGAGAACAAATGATCGTCGCCTTTTGCCAGCAATCCGGAATGAACCGGGAATGGAGCCAAAAATGCCTGGAAGAGCTGGCTTGGAACTTTGAGGCCGCAGGCAACGCCTTCAACCAATCCAGAGCCCAAATTCCACCAGAGGCATTCCAGCAGTAATTTGATGAATTCCCGTCTTTTTATCCATCTTTCTCTCTTTTTTTTGAAAACAATGTTGCACTCTATAAATGTTACTAATTTACCCTTGATGCCACTCATGTTATCCTTTATTAAAATTTCTTTCTATAATTGAATTTTATGCTATGATACTGGTAGAGAATTAATTCGAAAACATCGTCAATCATTTCGAATGTCAAATAGTAATGTCTTCTTCACTGTCTGACTGGTAGTAGTAACTCTGTTAGAGCTGTAAACAATTTTTTTTTGGTAATTGTTCGGGATTTGCTTTCAAATTTTGATATTTTTAGAACTGCTGGGGTTTTTTGATACGAGTGGAGGCTAAAATGAAGGGGAGATGTAGTTTACAGTTTTCTGCATAGTTGCTAATACCTTTTCCCGTCTTCATCAATCAATTTCTTTGAGTTTTCTCCCAAAAATGTCCCATATTTGTCTGTTTTTTTTTGTCTTGCGTCTAGCACCATCCCCATATCCACTGACATACCATGAATCTTCAACACGGGGTCCGTCAGATCTCCGTCGTTTCCTCCCCCCACCCTACCAGGAGCAACAACGACAATTACACCGAGAGATTTGAACATCACCATCAGCTATGACCATTATAAAAAGCATCGTCGTATCGCCAGAGTTTCATCGTGCTGCCTCTTCAAATGGATGGAGAGTTACGGAAACGTCATGTGTATGATGTTTCGGTCAAGAATTCCGATCTATACGGATTCTTCCGCATGATACGACCATGTTGTTGTAGCAAGTTCAAACCAACGTAATAATCGAGTTGATCTACCGCAAGTCATGGAAGACTTGTCTACAGCGCCGGGGGACAAACCACGCGGATTTGATCGGAGCTCCTGTGTTGATCAGGTTCTTGGTATGGTTTATCTATTTTCGGCCATAAGTTGTTCGTCTTTTTCCTCTTCAGAATCTGTCGTGTTGTAAAATGCGACTTGAAAATTATTTATGCTCTTTGCTATCGTTGTCTAGGTTCGTCTTAGTAACGTGATCTTCACTTTCCTTCTTTGACTTGTCTTGTTTTCTCCTAATTATCCCCCAATTCCCCCGAAATAACCCCATATTGTCATCGTCTTGTTCGAATGCGGTAATAAAAAGGTTAAAAATATTACAGAAGCATTTGATTACTCGTATTTTACAAAATAATCCAACTTGTTTTATTTTTTCCTAAAAATTCAGTTCTCACGAGATTTTACAGTTGGATTACGCAAATTTTCGAATGTGCCGCGCAAATATAAAAGTCACACAAATAGAGAACTCGACTCATTTTTCGTTTGAAAAGCTTGTGAGCGGTCCCGTTACTCGTCTTTTTGTTCGCTCGAAATGGGAAGTGAGAACAGAATCTCGGCCACTGATCTGTTCCGTGTCGACTTCACGGTGAGTTTTGGGGACTGTAGGAGGCCAAATATCCAAAGCGTTAACCAGCTTTTGTTTTATTTGAACAAGATGGATCATGAAAACAGAGATGGCGCTTGCAGAAAGCACGCTACAATGGGGAACTTGATTCAGTGGCAAAAAACGTACCATTTTGTATCCGGGAAGTATCAAAAAGGAGCGGCGTTAAAAGATACCCTAAATGATTTTTACATTTCCATCCTAAATTTTAGCAATGGAAGCCAAATCTGGTTGAGCCCCCTGCAGTCCGCGTCAACGCCCCGATGCGTTGGAATAACCGGCGTCAACAGATTGGGAACAATGGCCATAAGGTCAACAAGGGTTCCAAGTACTCTCAGCCACCGACAAATCCACAATTCCGCGCGAACGGCGGCTGCATTCCGAATCAAAAGCAGAATCGCCGCCGAAATGTCTACACTCTGCTGCCGCAGCAGCAACAGAAGAGGCTTCAGCAGCAGAACAAGAGCTACAATGCGGCGCTGGAACAACAGAAACAGCTGGCACACATGTTGTCGGGGCAATCGATCGACGCGAATGCAGGCTTTAATGATGGGTCAAGTCAAGGGTTTTCAAATTTTTCAACGAATCGCACTTCGCAGACGAATCAGGGATTTGGTGCCGAAGCGGCGCATTCAAGTCAACAAGAGAATGCGGAAGATGGTCAGTTTGCAGAGTACTATAACAACCCATACTACTCGAACAGTCGAAGCGATTTGACTGTGTTTCGCAGGAGGCAACCGAAGAAAGCGAATGGTAAGCGGGGGAAATTACTAGTGATCCTCCAGTGTACTCTGGGAGAACATAAAAAATTTGGAGCTCAAATTCTTAAACCTGGGATTGGTTTCTGAGGCGGGCGCACACTTGCGGGCAACCACTTTGCGGGCAACCAGTTTGCGGGCAAATTTTTTGCGGGCAGCCGACATTTGCGGCCAGCACCGGCATTTGCGGGCAGCCTGGGACATTTGCGGGCAGGGTCGACAGTTGCGGGCAGCCTGGAAGATTTGCGGGCAGCCGACATTTGCGGGCAACCGGCACTTGAGGATAACAAGGTGGAGGTGGAAAAATTACTTCGAAATTTTGGAAGTTTTCCGACATTTGCGGGCAGGCAATACTTGCGGGAAACCGACATTTGCGGGCAACAGTTCCAAAAGTTCCTATACAGTCTGTGTGATTGTTTTTTCCTGTTGCCCGCAAATGTCGGCTGCCCGCAAGTGTCGGCTGCCCGCAAATGTCGGCAAATTTCCGAAATATCGCAGTAATATTTCCACCTCCACCCTGTAACCCTCAGGTGCCGGTTGCCCGCAAATGTCGGCTGCCCGCAAGTGTCGGTTGCCCGCAAGTGTCCCAGGCTGCCCGCAAGTGTTTCAGCTGCCCGCAAATGTTTCAGCTGCCCGCAAATGTGACCCCCCAAATTTTGCCCGCAAAGTGGTTGCCCGCAAAAACTTTGCCCGCAAACTGGTTGCCCGCAAAGTGGTTGCCCGCAAGTGTCGCGACGCCGTTTCTGAAGCTGGGAAGATGTACAGTGGGGGACCTGATCAATGGCAAAGAACGTAGCATTTTGCATACGGGAAGCATTAAAAATGTGGCAAAATGCTTCCCTCTCCAAGTGAAAAAAAAATCCGATTTCAAAAGCACGCCCGCTCTTTTTGTGAGGGAAAGGCCCTTCAAAACGAAGTTTCTTTACTTATAGAGGGAAGCATTTTGCCACATTTTTGATGCTTCTCGGATACAAAACGTTACGTTTTCGCCACTGGATCAGGTCCTCACTGTGTGTAAAAAGCCTCTCTTTACGAATGTCACGACATATCGGGATAATTTTTGAAGAAGTTTTTTTCAGCTTTAGCCCCTGTTGAAACCTACCGTGGGCAAACAAATAAGCGCAACGCGCGCACTCAACGCTACCAATGGGCCACCCAGGAGCCGGTCGAATCAAGGCCGGAACCAGAAAGGATCTTCTGCTATAGTGTGCGGTATTTTGAGCGGATAACGGGCGAAGAAACTGACAGCGAATTCACAACAAGAGATGTATTTGGAAGACTTTTCAAGGTGAGTTTGGGAGTTGTAAGGTTTTTGGTGAAGTAAAAAAGGGTTTTAAAATGATAAAAATGATATAGATTTTGACCCCGAGGGTTGCTCTTGAATTTACGTCAATGACGTCAAAGTAACCCTGTTTTCGAAAAATCGCTTTCTGGAAATTATGCATAAAAACTTAATTTTTACTTTCAGGTCCACTACATTGGCTATGATGAAAATCCTCTGCCAACAGAATCTGTTCCAAAGAAGAAGTAAGTCCTCAAAACCACTAATGGACCACTTAATTTTCCAGAAAATCAGATGAGGAAAGGCTCAAGGACGAGCATTTGGATTGCATCGACAATTATGACATTGACTTTGGCGATGAGATTGTGGACATTCGCGAGAGAAATCGGTACGAAGTGCGTTCCAAATTTGATGACGATAAGAACCGAGTCCTCCAGTTTCTCTACAATTACACTAATGGACCCATGGATGTGGCCAATCTGAGGGTAAGGGGATGTCAGCTTTTATACTGATTTTTGGTCGAAAAATGGGGTTTTTGGATCTTTTTTTAGGAGAGGCTGATTTTTCGATTGAAAAAAGCCGTCAAATTGTCTACTAGGGCATTTGAAGGCGTTGGGAGACTGAACCCAATTAAAAATGATGTATTCAGATGTTAATGCTGTTAGCTGTTCAAGCAATATGTTTTTAGCACTTGGTACTATATGGGACGAAGTGCACTATATAGCACGAGATAAAAATTAAGCCATAACGCGTTGATGTTGTTAGTTTGAAGCCCATTACTTCTCAAAGAATGTGTTTTTAGCACTTGGTACTGTGTAGTACAAAGTGGTACTAGCGGTCCTGGGGGGTTCAGTCGGGCATTCGATACAACCGCGCTTATTTTTGTTACTTTCAGAGGATACGGATGTTGGTCATGTCGATGCAGATGTATGATGACGTAGATGGTCTCGTGATGCCGGCTGAAGTCGCAATGGCTGAGTTTAACCTCCAAAATGGAGTCATGGATTATGTAAGTATGATTGGAAGAATTTTCAGCTTTTTTGGTGTGAATTCCAAGACTTCGTGGCTTTCTAAATCATCATGTGATATTAGGAGAATGTAATTTTAGTACGACAGCCTCATTGACCCCCTCCATTGGCTGAATTCCGCCCAAAAACAGCGCCTCGCCACCACCGCACTGAACGGTTTCTCGCTGGAGCGCTCATCTGCTGATCGTGAACTCTATAACAAACCGTTGATGGCCCTTTACGAGATTATCCGACGTCTGCATCCCATCGACGCCCTGATTCGCGGTGAACCCACTCCACCCTACTTTGAGGGATTTACTGAATTTGTTCGCTCACCCTTCCCGAATTTGAATACCGACCCAGAAGCGTGGGGAAGTCAACGGATCAGTCGGAGTGGTGAGTTTGGGGAGGGAGGGTCTCGCAACGAAAACTTGACACTTGGTTTAAAAATTAGTGGTAAATAGTAAATGCGGAAATATTTAAACTGCATTGGTTTTTAGGTGAATGCCCACTGTTGGTCGGCGAATGGGGCCGTCGATGGATCGTGGTGCTGGACCATGAATACGAGAATGTCATTCAAGGAGTCCAGGAGATGACCAAAGCTTTGGATTCTGACGAAGGTGGGTTCAAAGTGGACTATTGATGTGACGTTTTTAGATTTTGAACTGGAACCGGAGCGCTTTGTGCTGGCCTCAGCGTTCTTCGAAGCCATGGCCGTCTTTATGGAAGCCAAAGGGGATGAAAGAATTATGGAACAGCTACATTTGTACGGAACACCGGAGGCGGAAGGGGTAGGAGAGCTTGGGGATATGTGTGGATTTCTGTGGGCAAAATTTGAAGAAAATTTGAGGGATTTCTTAGGAAGGCATACAACATCAAAAATATTTTTTTCGCTTATAGAAAAGCGATTTTCTGACGGCCAAGAACTTTTTTTCAATAATTTTTTTTTCAGAAACCCCTCGGCACGGTGACTAAGCCGCTGTGCTCTTTCCATTCGAGCATCTCCAATTATCGTTGCGCTCGAAATTCTGTCCTAGGAATCTGCTACAGCATGGAGAACTACTTCCGATCGCATTTTGGAAACGAATTCCTGCCCGAAAAAGAGATCCGGAACCAGAATTATGAAGATGTTGAAGCCGCAGAAAATGCGCTCTATCATCCACCGGACGATGGCGATGACTATGAATAAGTATATTTTGTAAAAATGTCACTTGTCAAATAAATTTTGAAATTTTTAAAAAATTGTTTGATTTTCGCCCTCGAGCCCTCACAGTGCGAATGCACCGTGTTTTGTTGCAGATTTGTTTTTTCAAAATGGGAAAGTATCAAATTCATGGGCTTAAAATGTGGCGAAAGCCCTGAGGCCCTCTTCCCGAAATGACAGCCGGCAGGCGAGGAAAAAAAGAAATCGAAAAATCGCATTTGGCTCTCGTCATTGATATCCGATTTGAACGTCTTGGCCACGTTTCGAAAAGCGTTTTTTCGTTTTGATATTTTGATACTAGTTCTCGGTTTTTGGAGTTCCTCGAAGTTGATTTTATCAAGTAATTAAATGATTTATGCAGAAATGAATTAATTTTGTGATTTTTTTGGCAAGAAAATGGGCTTGCTTCTCTGTCTCATTGAATCCTAGACTTCAATTGACCGTCTCCTGATTTTCGATAATTTCTCGACAGCAAAGATTGTTGAATATGTATGAAGCTCTTGTAAAAAGATCACGCTTTTCCAGTAAATTTCAGGCCCAATTACCAGCGGTTTTCTACAAGAAAACTCAAAGATTTTTTTTTGATTTTTTTCTAGCTGCCTTCCTTGAATGGCCCACCTACATAAAATACTTCCAGACCCGAACAATGTGCCCTTAAGAAATGAAAATTGATTTTAAAAATTGACTGATTCCGATGATTAAGTCTGATTTTTATTTTTACTTTAACGGAATTACAGAATCATGAAAACAACTTTACTCTAGAACTTACTTTCCGAACTTTGTAATCATTATTCTAGAATTTTTTAGCTTCCTTCTTCAGCTATCTACAAGGCCATTATAGACCACAACTCGTTTATTTCAATTTGAAAATCGCTTAATTTATATTGCATACCCTTCCATTTGATGCCACCATGTTATTTGCCCGTGGAAATCCATACGACGCTGAATCGTTAAGTTCCAGTAGTGGAAATAACGCTGCGGTAAGTTGAATTTTAATCTCTTTTTGCTGAAAATCTTGTCGGTTTTTTAAATTACTGTAACATTTTTTCAGAAAATCACATTTATTGCGATTGCCGTGTATCTGGTGGTCTCATGCATTCTGATCTTTTTCTACTACCCGATCTCATTTATTGCCCTTCTCATTCCCGCCATTCTATTTTTCGTTGCCACGCTGGCCAATAAAATGGAGAGTAATGAGGATTTAATGTTCTGCACGATAATTGCGGTGAGTTGAAAAACGATTTTTTCGTACTTTTATTGTGTCAGAATTTATCTTGCACTTTTTAAAATTTTGTGTGGCCTCTACAACATACGTATTGTATAAATTGTTGGAAAAATTTACAGAAAAATGGAGCTTCTGGTATTTGGGTTTTGAAAAATGAAGTTTTTGAAAAAAATTGGATTCAAGGAGGGCCATCCGATTAGCTTCAAATTTTGCAGAAAGTGCCTACCAAGGTCACAATTTATCTCCTGAAAATCTTACAATTAGTTTGCGCATTGAACGCTGAAATATTCCTCCAACATTGTGATAAAGGAACATGTGTTATTTATCAAAATCTCTAATTCGGTCTTTGGTGATTTCCTCCTTAAGAAATAATCTTTAAAATCCCCTCTCTAAACTTGTCTCTTTCAATTGATTGTTTTCCCTGGCTGATGTTCCATTCCCAGAAACGACGTCATCAAATCTCCTCATGACCCCTTGTCACTCTTAATCATCAAAAAAAGTGTTTTAGACTTTTTGTGGATCTTGCCGGAATCTCATAAAAATGATAAAAACCGACATAAAAGTGTTGCGACTAGGGGATAACACGGCGGGAAAAGCGATTTAGGAGATGAATGATCTCTCAAACAACAAATCTTTTTAGACACTTGAACCCGGAGGGTTTTTTTGAATTTTGATTTTTTTAAATTCAAAATGAAATATAAAAGTTATTTTGAGGAAACTTGAAAAATTTTTATAGAATTTTATAATAGCCAGACATCTGAAATTTTTATGTTGCGCTTTGCAGAAATCATTGGGGTTTTTTAAGGTGAAAAATATTCTTTTTTGATATTTTTTTCGCATTTTCTGGTAAAAAATCGTGACATAAAAAAATTAATTTTGATCTTTTCAGGTAATCAACGCTTTGGTCAAGCTCTCTGCAATTGTGATTTACATTACGGCATTCGGCTTGGACGATGAGAGCTCAAAGCCGAAGAAATTGAAAATCCGGCAGCGAAATGAGGAGCCTGACTATCACAAAATCTTCTTTTATGTTCTGATTGGGATTGAACTTTCAATAGTATTGTTAATCGTATTCATCCGGTGTAATCTAAGAATGTGCAGAAGTGGTTGAAAATTGATCGAAAACTGTATATTTTTTGAGATTTGCATGTAAATAAAAATGAAATTGTTTGAAAAAAATTGATATTTTGAATGGGAAACACCCAATTAAAGTCCTGTAAGTCAGCCATCCGAGGAACAAAGTCTGTTGGCTTATCACAAGGTCTACAACCTTAGGACACGCTCTTTCAGCTGGTATACTCAGCCTTATTCAATGACGCATCTAATGCCTTATAACTGCCTAAGGCACAGCCAAAACTTTCGAAACCCACTGTATTACTCATCAACATTACGCATTCCATTTTGATTTTCCTTTTACAGTTCCACAAAACTTCTACAGTACCCTCAGATTAGCCATTCCCTTCTCCCAATTGGTCTTTCTCTGTTACTTTACAGTCTCGGGCTGTCGTGTAGGGTTGAAATTGCAATCCAAAATTTTGAAATAGTTGTTTTCATCGGCCCCATTACACCGCACTTTTAATCGAAAAACTTGCGAAAAGTTACCTAGTTTGTTTTGTAAACTCTTCCATAAAACGTTTGAAGGTTTACGCGGGTGTTGACTCCTGCTAGGAAACTGGGAGACGCTTGGGAATTCTGTTTGTTGATGATGTCTTTATAGTGATGTAGTTGTTGATTGAGATTTTTTTTTCATGTTATTGCGGGTTGAGGGGTTAAATATAACTCGCAATTCTGGCAGGATCAAAAAAAAAAACATTCAAATGCCATAAGATGGGTCCCTTTGCAACCTTTTTCTGACTAAAAACTTGTTCCTTTCTTATAAATGAACAGTTTCTTAGAAGACGAGATACCAATATATGTGAAAATAATTTATGTGAGAGATCCCTAGCAAGCGCTTTGCAGAAAAAAGTAAGATCTTTAGGTCGACAGTTGCCAATAAACTTATGGTTTTTTGCGCATCTCAGTACGAAAGGAGGCTTCATCCTGGCTTTACTGGCATTTTTTCACTTATTAAAAAATCTATTTTTTCCCCGAGGAATTAACGCAGATGTCATTAGTAGAAAGCGTCTCTTGTCTAGACGACTGGTGGCCGGAATAGACTCTTCGCTATCGGTTTTTGCACTTCGTCTTGATTTCGCAGAGAAGACAGAGAAAAGACGCGAAAAAACGTACTGTCTCTCCCCAAAAATTCCCCATTCATTGCCCGACAAAAAGATTGGCGAATTGCCAATCCATTCACCGGACCGTTTTAGTTTATCTCAGTTTGACGTGCGACTCCATTGTACCCTCTCGACCGTTCGAGTCTATCGTTGTATCTCCAAAACGCAACATAAAATATTATGAAAAATATTCAGTACGTAATACTATGCTTACGTGTACGCAAAAATTCAGGAAAAATAATTATTGGACTTTGGTACAGTTCGTTTGCCAAATTCTGTCTGCCGATAGTGTCAATTTTTTATGCAATAGCCATACCATGCTTCCGCAAAGCAAACGTGCATTTCTCAATTGAAAAATTCCTCGCTAAAAAATTGTTTTGCGTCTCTAATTTCAAATGTAGTAACATTTGTGTTTCCTGCACTTCTACAGAGCGTTGTCAGAGACTAGATGATTCTTGAACCATTAACTGAACTTTCTAAAATACTACTGTAGTTCAAATGATCCCTGTAGTAAAGTTTTCTCACGAGGGAATGGTCTGAAATTCCCCCAGCGTTTGGGAAAATGACTAGTACAGGTGGATGGAGCATGTCAACTTTGGTAAAAAGAGCCATTTTCCAGCTGCGGAATAAGCCCGGCCGACGAGAAAAATCGACCGAAAGTTCCACAAAAATTTCTCTTTCTCTTCCCTCGGAAAAGAAGAGCGGTGTCCAGTGGTTCGGTTAGCCGAGTGGATAAACCGCTCGATATTCTTTTGGGGGTTGGTTCGATTCCGGGGTCTCGCGAAGGACCGTGATAAGGCTTTGATGAGTAAGATCAAACTCTAGCAACCCAGAAAAAATTATTTTGCCTTTTTCAAAGTCAAGTCTATCACCAAACAAGTATAACTTCGACGTTCCATCGCTTTGAAGGTTCGGAAGCACCCAAAAAATTCATTTTTTGACGATTATATGTTTGGTATAATTCCCCTATAAAACGTATAAAAATGGCAAAATATTTTTTTGGGTTGTTAGAGTTTGATCTTGCTCATCAAAGCCTTATCATGGTCCTTCGCGAGACCCCGGAATCGAACCAACCCCCAAAAGAATACCGAGCGGATGCTTTATCCACTCGGCTAACCGAACCACTGGACACCGCTCTTCTTTTCCGAGGGAAGAGAAAGAGGAAATTTTTGTGGAACTTTCGGTCGATTTTTCTCGTCGGCCGGGCTTATTCCGCACCTGGAAAATGGCTCTTTTTACCAAAGTTGACATGCTCTATCCACCTGTACTAGTCGTTTCCCCAAACGCTGGGGGAATTTCAGACCATTCCCTCGTCAGGACAGTAGACAATCTATAAAAATTTTCCGTTTTTTATTGTAAAAACATGCGTTGCGCCTATAACCCTCCGCGCGTATTTTACTTTTAAAATCTCTATTTTCAGCAAACCCCTAAGATTCTATGAGATGAAGTCGATATCAGCTCTTTTACTCTTGTTTTTGATCTCCGTAGCCTTTTGTAAACCCGCACCTGACCCACAATTCTTTCCTCTCTTTGGCGGGGGAGCAACTGCATATGACCCCAACCATCAACTTGGCGATGGCTATCACAATTATGGGAATGGAAATATTGGAGACGCGAATGGAGTATCGTCGTTTTGGCTGATGTGTGGAAGTGTCAATTGCGGAAGAGGATAAACAAATAGACATTGTACAGTATAATAATCTGCAAATAAAATTTTAAGCCACTTTTACTGAACTAAATAAAGCGAAATATGTATCAGTCTGTCGGGAAAATAGTGAGCAATCGATACTCGCACACAATTCATTTAAAAAATGAGTTGTGTCGCGATAAAATCGGATTGTGTTTTGCTTCGGTGACGCGTTTAATTTTACAACAAACGAAATCTAGTTAAGTTTCGAAGTAAAGGCCATTTGAATCTATGGCTTGAACCCATCTATCTGCAAGTTGTTCGATCTCGCTGCGGTACCACTCCTTGTTCTTAGAGGCGAAAAACTCGCGGCACCCGTTTTCGACATCGTCCAGATCATTGAAGCTACGACCACGCAGAAAGTGCGCCATGGAGCGAAAAAGGTGATAGTCCAAGAAGAGGCTTTATGGCCGGCTGACTAAGGTGTCGCTGACTGATCAAAAAAGTGACTAACTGCTTATGGGATCAAAACCCGATGGGGGACAAAGTGGCCTGGTGACAGATGTTGTGAGGGCAAGACTGGATTAGGGTAGAATTGACCCGATTGCAAGCTCTTTATAGGGCAACACCGGATCTATGAGTAGACCAAACTTAATGATGTACATCCACTACAGTATTTCTTGATTACAAACAACCACTACCATATACTAAATATTAAAAAATGTACTTCCATCTCTGATCAGTCAAAGCAACCCGAAGTTTTCAGACTACAGTAAACTCCAAAAAACCCATGTGTTAATTAATCATTTGAGAAAGTCTCTATGTCATCATCCTTTTGATATCGTAAGCCGAGCAGACAGGAGGAAGCGACATTTTGTCTACGCTTTTCATTCTGTCTATGACCTCCATAAGATACCGCGCGAGACACGGATAAGTGGCGGCAATTTATCAATGTAAATGGAGCTTTAAACTTCCAAAAGCAAATCCGGTTCATCGCGAATTGCAACAGAAAGAGTAAAGAACACTTTTCGGCAGGATTTTGATTCAAGTAGCAGACAAGAGAGTGATAATGTAATACTAAATTCATATATGGTTCAAAAAGGGCAAATTAAAGAAAGCTTTTTCTGACAAAGGAAGTAGGCTAAATGTGGAGCACATATCTTATTTAAATTATGCACATATATTGGGCCAATTACAAGTTCTTGAAATCTTAGCCCAGGCATTGCAGACCTGGCTGAGATATTCAACATGTTTTCCTAAAAAAGGTAAAGCAACGCTTTTTGGGTAAAACTTATTCCAGTTGAATTCTGAAAATGTGCTTTTTTGTGTTGTATATTATTATATTTGTTTCTGTCGGTTTTTAAAATTTAAAAATGACGAGTGATGACACTTAATTCCTCGTTTCACCCTAATCAATTCTTTTACAAGTTTTTTACATCTCCACTCTGTACTTTCATGACGGCTTAACGCTCTTTAATCACTCGTCTAGACATTCCTGAATGTTGCATTAATGCCCATTCCAAGTGTCGATATAAATTAATTCGAATTTACGACGACATATCCCGTCTTGTAAAGCCAAAGCCCGCACAATCGTAAAACCCAACCGGATTCGCGGTCGCTTTCCCTTTGATTTTATCATAAACTCATATTCGATCTGAAACGGAAGGCGCCGCCGGGCAGACGGGTTCGTCGCGCGATTACGGTGATCGCCGAGTGGAGACACCACCAATGAAGCGGTTTGAGCGGTCAATGAGAGGTCAGAAATGGAAGTGGGGGGAGGGTTTGGGCTGATCAAGACGAAACCGTTGCCAGGAAAAGGACAGGTTCAAGTGAACGAAAGAATATTTGGGTAGATTAAAGATCGTCAAGGTGAAATATATCGGGAAAAGTAATGGAAAAGGAACGTGTGGCAGACAAAAAGTACTGGAAGGCAATTGACAACAGTTAGTTCTAAGATAACGGCAGCGATCAACCAGCAAGAAATGGGAATACGAAATAGGCATAAAAAAAGGTTAAGGCCACGGGAATTTAGGAAAAATCTCCTTAATACTATGCCCTATATTCGCAGGCATCAACACCAATTTTGAAAATTCGAATTAAAAAAAACCCGAAGTTAAGCAACCCCTGAAATCTTGTGCAACATTGCAAAAACATTCAAAAACAAGCCCAATATTGGCAAATGAATATTATTTCAGAATCAAGATCAAAGTTTTGACCTGGAAATAAACAACTAGTCCACAAAAATGCAAATTTGCCAGTCAAGTTACAGGATAAATAAATTTCTAAGCAGCTGCAATATAATACAGAAACTTAATTTTGACCATACCATGGAACCAAAAAGCCGAAAGGAACCCATATTGGTTCACGAATTCCTTTTTTTGCTAGCTTCTTTTCGCCGGAATTGCTGCACTTTCAATGTCATTTGCGCTCTTCTACTCTTGTCTTCTGATTTTCTTCAAACGGTTTTGTTCTTTTGTAAAAAAAGACTGCAATTTTTTAGTTCTTATTTTTAGTAGTAGAAAGGCATGGCCACACGAAACAATTCAGGACTCAAACTCGTGACAAAGCTTGTTTTTTTTAATGTTTATGTGCGCTAAACGCCAACGGCGTATACGGCGCTTTTTGAGATACAGAGGTCCGTAAAATCGAGTATGAATTGTGGCTTGATTTATAGCTGAGCTATTAACTGTTCAGAAGTTACTATCTGGCCTTTGAGTCGGTTTTTTCTCTTAAGATATTATTTTTGACCCTCCTGTTATCTATCGTTTATTTTGCACCTTCAAAGCTGATTTTAACATCCTTGTCCTTCGCTGGATTTATAACTTTCAACCATTTTCATAAACGTTGATCTTTGTACTTTTAATAATTTTCCCATTGCATTATTTAGGTAACCCGGATCTGTTGACTGCAAACGAGGTTAAATCTTTCTCTGCAACACTTTCGTTCATCTAATTTGTGCTGTCTGGGGATCCATTAATTTAATCATCTCTGATCTTTGTTCTCTTCTCTCGGTTGCAACAGTTTGCAATGAGGTTAAATTTTATGGACCTTTGTTCAATGAATGACGTCACTTTCAGATAATAGTCTTGTCAGAGCGTAAACTTTTTAACTAGCGCTGGCGGACACCGTTTAATATCTCGTCTGTCCCCGCAAAGAACGAAGCTAGAAGGCTTTAAAATCCATGAAATTTCAACCTTAATGCGACACGTCTACCTTTACATAATCAGCCTTGATTGATTTTTCGAGTTCCCTTTGGGCGGAGTCTTCCAATTTTCGCTGTCTACCATAAAAACTCTCTCGTTGATGGATGACAAAATTTACGTATGCGATCAGGATACTACAAAGCATGACTTTATTTTAAGGCAACCCCCCTAAAAAGTCTCGAAAAACCCTGCGGCTCTCTTCAAATCCAACGATCCATTCCAAAGACTGCAACCCCCTTCCTCGCACAATTTACAAATCGCCGGGGATTTCTCTGAGCCCTCCAAGGAGGTCATGTTGTCTGCACGTTGAAACGTTTTGCACTTTCAACACGAAAAATGTTGCGTTCAACATTCGCTTTCGACGTCGGCAAAGGTCAGCCGAGCTTTCAACCCCGCCGCCGCCACATACCGTAGTCGGCTATTGATCGCGCTGATCCGAGAAATGTTCCTGAATTATATAAGAGTGAGAGATTGTCGAAAAGTTCAGTAAACATTTAGGGTAACGATGCAAGTGCATGTTCTGTTCGGTGAGTACTACAACCTGTTGAAAAGTCTTGCTGGGGTTTGTGGTTAGGAGGGATGACTTTGGGGTTGATCGATCAGAAATCCCTTCGACTTGGATTGCTTTCTAAATGTCTTGTCTGTTCACAGAAGCCGGCAGTTATTTTTTACCGGTTTTGTTGGAGTCACATGGGAGTACAGTAGTCTCTACTTGTTAGACAGAGCTACAGTATGCTTGGCAAAGCAGTGACTCTTCTTTTGTGGGAGGAGGAGAGTGTGTCCTTTATTGCTACTCCAAAAAGCCAATGATACCACAGACACAAAGCGTGGTCTACATTCCTCTGTGACCCACTAGACTTACCGTGGTACATATTATAGAAGGTGTTTGAACCATAGGGTAATTACGGAATATACTGTAAACAGAATTACGCAGCACAATGATTAGAAGAGGAAGTATAGAAATTTCTTAACTTTTACCTTCAACCAAATTCAAAAATGGGCTTAATTGCATAGTTTAAGAACTGGTAGGAGTAATGCATTTATTAAAAAAGCGCAATACCTCCGGGTGGCATCCAAAAAAATAAATTTCTTTCCGACCTGGCAGCCATAATTACATAATCGACAGTTTACGACGCTAGTCTGTCGACTTGTAAATATTTTCGCCTTTGGTGGTCTTCAGAGTCCACAGTATCTCTGGCGCTCTTTTATTTGACCTTTCCGAATCATCGGTAGAGAGTTACAGACAGTTTTTCTGATCTATCCTTCACTTACAGTATCTAGATTCCAACTGCATTCCAACATGTTATTTTCGTTTTTTATTGACACCAATTTACTCCTAATTTATTTCAGTTTTATCGCTCTCACTGATACCTCAATTCAGCTGTAAAATCCCGCCAGAAAAGGCAAAATTAATCGAAGAAGTCAGAGTCGACGCCAAAGAATATGAAAGAGCCAAAACGATACATGAGAGATGGTATGTCCAAGCAGTGCACTCCATTTTGGGCGCTCTGGGAAGGGACATGTATTTAAAAATGGGACGGTAAGTCTATATACTTTAACTTTGCAATTTCTTAAGAACTGACAAGTAAGCTTTTAATGTCTTCTCTTGTAGGTTTGAAAGGAGGGCTTTCCTAAACTGTTTGGACCATGCTGATGAAGAAACGGACCTTCAAGCCGGCGCTGAATGCGTTGTACACGCACATGACAAAACATTGCACACGTTGAATCGAAGGAGAAGGAAGAAACGTAGGTTAGAGAAAAGAGTTCGAAGCCCATTAGAATATATAATAGTCAAATTTCTGTACAACAAATTTCAAAGGACTGAAATAGTATTAACTCATGGAACTGTATTGTTGTTAGGAGGTTTATTTTGGCGAGAGACTGTTTTTTCGAACCTCTGAAACTTTCCATTTTGCACAGGGTTTTTTATATGGTACTTCGTTGTATAATACATAGGGTCGAGTTTTGAAAGGGCTTTGAGTTTTTTAACAACACTGAAAAGTAGCATGCGGTAATATTTAGCATATGGTTTTTTTGCCATAATTGGTGTCCAGAGATGGCTAGAGGTTAGGCAGCAAGGCCAAAGAAGTGGCGCCGGCTTTTTCAGACTTTGCAAAACCCGGCTCACCATGTCCGCAAGCCTTTATTGAATCTGTCTAGATCTTGGCTTATTGCTTATCCAAATCTAGACCTTTGATTAATCTAGCAATTAGTTCATGTTTTTTTTCAGGATCAACAAAGCCGAGCTCCCTAAAGAAGTTCGTCACCAGCAAAGGCCTGGATAAACGGCTGGATTCAGAAAGGTTAAGCAAGTTGAAGGGTAAAGAACAACAACACACAGAAAAGAAACAAGAAAAGCCTCGGCCACATCCGAGGTATATCAAGGACAAATTGAAGCCAAAAGATAAAGTGAAGGAGAAGATAAAACCAAAACATGAATCAAAGTCTGAAAAGTAAGTGATAGGACTCTTGTTGCCGCTGACACAAACTGTAGCAATTTATAAACAGAAAGTCACAAAAAATTGGTGACTTTCCAAGAAGTTTCAAGATTTTAAGCACAAAATTTGGTTAAGATTCCAGTTTTTTTGCAACTTTATGCATGAAAAATTTAGGCCCATTTCTAACCGAGAGGCATGGCTTCAAAAAAGAATAATTTTTCGGGCCAAAGACCGAGACTTGATCAAAGACTCTGCCCGCCCGCGTGTCACGTAGTCTCTCGTTGGCAAAAATAAAATTTTCAGGAATCAATATTTAGCCTAGACACAAGTAATTTCAAGCACTTCCCTCGTCAATCTTGATGACGTAAATTTATTTTTTCTCGATTGTTCCATGCAGTTTTTCCAGTTCCTCCTCATAGATAACCATAAAATTCTTGTTTGTTTGTTCATCAACCCGTTGATTCAGGATATCTGACAAACTTTTTTATGTCTCATCCCTTTGACCTTTCGAAACTCGACTAAACTTTGGCGAAAAACAAGTTCCCATCGACGGAAAAGAGAGTAAAACCGACACGTCTCGGTTTGATTTATCGCAAATCCTGTAATTCTTGGCGGATTATTTCAGGGTTCAGCAGTTTTTGATCACATTACGGAATATTGCAAAAAAAGTGAAAAATTGCGGTTTTGGCACAAAAAATTCGTAAAATACGACAAGTAATTTAGAAAATTATATTTCAATAATAAAAAAAATGCAAAAAAAATTTTAAGTTGGAAAATAAGACAAAAAATTGTAAAAATGCAAAGCGGTATTTCTGGATTTTTACTAACTTTTTTGTAAATTTTTTGCCATAACTTTCTCGAGAATGTCAGAAAAATAGAAGAATTGAAGTTCGAAACATCAAACCAAAAAAAATCAAAGAATTTTAAAAACCGTAATCTAATTTTTCCATTTTCTCAACCATTCTTCACTCACCTTTTTCAGTGCAAATCCCCAGAACCTTCGATTGCATGAGACCCCTGAAGAACGAAGGGAGAGCTGGCTCGGCGATTATTTCGTGAAAACCGTGGCCAGTGCCCCTTCGCTGATGGGATCAAAAGTGGATAAAACGCCGGTGAAACGGATAACTGGCCTGATTTCAACAATGGTCGATCGGAAGCCAGGATGGAAAATGATCTCAGATAAACTTAAATTTGTAAGCTAAATTTTCAAAAATTGCCAAAATGCCAAGTTTTAGCCTAGATTCTTATCTTGAAAAAAATACCAGGTTTGATTTCTATGTTGTATTTAGCAGCATTTTTTTAGTTAACCGACATGAACACCTCACACAAAAATCAAACCAAATATGGCCACTCCATCCGAGATATTGTAACAGATTACGATCCCAAATATCGAAAAAAGGTCCCGTTTTCAAAACGCTTCAAAAAGATGATGAATTTCTCTGACAACATGCCAAAAGTCCTAAAAAGCGCTTTTGATTTGGCGAATACAATGGAAAAACATTCGGATATGACAAATGCGAAGGTACTGTCGCCAAGATTCATGCCGCTGGTCGATAACTTTGCTTCCAAGGATACTGTGTGAGTCCTATTCTTCGGGTAAACCGTCTCAAACAAAAAGAAAATCGTATCACAAATGTGACAGATTTTCTTTGAATCTAAGTGTCATATTTTTAATTTTTTTTTTTGAAATTTTAGCCACTTCCTGTCCCCAAACATCTTACCATTCTACAAAGATGACTCTCCAAATTCTATTATGCCTCTCCCTGACATTATCGACTCAGCCGGTCTGAAACCGGACGACAGAGAGTCCGTCTTAGAGCTAGTTATGGAAATGTCCGGAGCTCAAGAGATTGTCGAAGATACCTTTAAAATCTTCAAGAACAACGAAACCGCCACGCTTCTTGAGGATGTGGATCAAGTTACGAATGAGATGGAGAAAATATTTGAAATGCTCAAAGGGACCTTCAACAATCGACAACGCCGCGAATTAGCGCAACAGAAGTTCACATTTATGGAGAAAAAACAGCTGGACTTCTTGTACGGCCCAAATGGAGCGTTCAATAATACGTTGGAAGGCTTTTCCATCGATGAATACTCGAAATGGGATCATGAGGAAAAGAAGAACGCTTTAATCAATGACTTGCGCAGAATTGTGGACGACAAGCCGGACGGGAAGCGGCGAAAAAAGAGAGGCCTTACGGTATTGGCTCCCTTCATGTTCGGGCCCGGAATTTTGTCGGTAAGATAAATAAGAAATGAAAATGAAAATGCCTAAAGCATGGTAAAAAACGAATCAAAGTTTTAATCTTAACAAAAAAAGACCCAAAAGTCTGGCATTTGTTTTCGGAAATTTGCAAATTTTCTTGAGTGAGCATGCGATTCCCTGTAGTAGCGGTCTCGTCATAAATTCTAGAGAAATATTACGCCAAAACAGTAAATTCAATGTTTTCAACTTTTTATGATTTCTCCCTCTCTGTTCCACAATTTTCCTTTTTTTCAGCCAGCTGCCATTGGTCCAGTTGTTATGTCTCCCAATTTGTTTTCCCCTTCAATTATTTCGCCCACTGTACTTTCACCGCCTACTCTATCTCCTAGTGTTGGATCTCCACTTATAATGTAAGTTGACATGAGCCTTTCTTGTACGACTGTACTCGTACTAACATCCACAAATTTCAGATCTCCCTATACCCTTTCACCTAACGTTATCTCACCTGCCGTATGGGAGGTGTATCTGTTATCTCCGTATTTCATTGCTCCTAACGTTATCAATCCTTACCTGATGTCGCCAATTATATTGTAAGTCCACTTGCCTTTTTTAATGATATCCGTTGAGCTCCTTAGAAGGAATCGTTATAGAGAAAAGTTTAATTTATTTTTTTTAAAGGTTCTTGGCCTCATTTGACTTATACTCCCGGACATAAATTTCTGACCACCCATATCTCAAGTCAATATAACGCAATCGGTTTGAAACTTGGCATGTATACTAGTCATGACAGACAGAATGTGCCACATAAAATTGTTTTTCGTGTCTCTGTCCTTAGGCGAGTTATGCAGGTTTTTTCAAAAATTGGTGGACAAAACTTTCTGATCACCTAAAATAACTAAACTTTTCGCAGTCTCTTTGAGTAAGCGACATGGTTCAGTTATCTTCGAACACTATTAAGGGACCTACAAGGACGATGGGTATGCTCTTTACCACCAAATTCGGCGTGTGCCCTCAAGCAACTCGTATTCTTGCAGCGCTCTTTTTCTCGTTAAAATCACGCCCTATGCGGCAAGGACGACTTTTTTGTTTCAGAAAAAGTAATAAGGAACTCTTTGGAGGTAGTGATACAAGATCTTACTACCGTGCAATGTGAAATATGCCATTAACGCCTTAAGCAAATCACCTAGGAGTAGCCGTCCTCTGAATAATTGATCATAACCGCAGGCGTTTTTATTAAATCAGTATAGAAATCCCCTTCAGTACTCTTTGGTGCATACTGAAGAACGTGGGATAACAATCTCCCGTTATCTTCGCATTTCGTGCGCGCACTAACGCAAAAGTCCAAAAAAACGCAACCTTTCCGATTTTGTAATTACAAAATGGTCAAATTTGCCAAAAAATCCTCAAGTTTGCGTTATCGCGCAATTTCACCCCGAAATTTCATGAGGACGGGTCAGCACTAATAAAACTTTATTCTTCATTGTGTAGGGCTAAGCCATGTTTTATTTCAGCCAGTTTGCGCTAATTCTGAAAAAGTTACAAGCCGCTAAAGTCCGGCCGGCTGGTTAGTTTTGCAATGATTTTGCACATGCTTGATGAAATTCTTAACATCCCTCGGTATAACGGATGGAAATTGATTACGTGTGATCAATTACATAATCTTGTACGTTTTTTATCCTTCTAGCCCACCTCGAGCCGTCGCATACTAACAAAATCGCGTAATGCGCAGAATGCATAACCCCTTGCGACGTATATTACTACTCCCCGATTTTTTGCCGTAAATATATGCGGTACGTCTGTGCTATGCAGTGTAAGCAGTTTTAGCCCCGTGGCAAACATTTTTCGGCAGTTGCGAACAATTTACCTAAGTGATCAGAAAATTTTGTCCACCCTTTTTTTGAAAATGTCGAAAAAACTGCCCTTAAAGTGCAAGGATGGAAAATTCCGTTTTACCAAATGTTTTGCAGCTCTTCTTGATAGGGCAATTAAAATTTGGAACATGTAGCTCAATTAACAACCCAGCTAAAGGGTGGTCAGAGAGATATGTCCGGGAGTATACCTTTCTAAACTCATTTTTATCGTTACAGGTCGCCCCATATGTTATGTCCTGACGTTTTATCACCGACGTTGCTCTCCGGAGCCGTTTTAAATCCGTACTTTTTGAGCCCGGCCATTTTCACAGAGTCAGCTTTGGCTGCTGATGTTCTATCGCCGAGTTTCATGTCCAAACGGAAGAAGAAGAAGAGAAAGTAGAGCGGACACTGTGCTTGGACACTGCAAAATGATAATCTTAATAATTATTTTGAGGAATGACTAATAATAAAATTAATAAATGTATGAAGAGCCAATGAAGGAAGAAAATGCTCAAGAATTAAACAAGCAATCCCGTGTATGACAATATAAATATTTCATGTGCAACAAATTTCAAAGGTTCTGGATAACTATTCGTCAAGAGTAGAATACGTCCGTATGTCCTTGCATACCGTAGAAACAAGAAATTGTTCAATGTGTGGCCAAAAGCCCATTTTCGATTCAATGGCCTTTCCACAGAACTGTTTAGCAAACCCTGAGGATAAACAGCAAGTTTGTGGTCATTTTCTATTCAAAATTGGCCAAATTTGCCGACAAAATTTTTTAACATCTTGACTAGCATTTTTTGAAACCTTTTAGAAATTGATTACAATCTTTAAATACTAGAGATTTTCAACATCTACATCTGCAGAACGACAATTTTCAACATCCAAAATCAAAGATCGTTTTGCCGACGACACGTGGAAACCGCCGATAAATCCGTCAAAAAATCGGAGCAAAAAGAGCGACGAAAAAATAGTGAGTCAGTTTGAGAGATCAGCAGAGAAAAACGAAAGTTAACATGGACAACCGGGAGCTTCTAGATGTGGTCACGAAAAGGCGGAGATATCACGACAACTGTTGAAAATTTACTAAATGCTATCCTAAGTAAATGAACTCCTTATAAGAAGGAAAAGATATCATTTACTATGAAGAGAACAGAGAAATTGGCATTAAATAAAGCATTCAATTATGATAAGCCTGACGACAAGCTTCAAAAAAAACGGTGAAAAAACTTGTTACCCGCCTCTGCTTTGCACTTTATCATTAATAAAGTTCATGTGGCTGGTTTCTTTCTATGACACGCTCTATAATCTCAACAATATTTCAGTAAAGCAGAATGAATTCAAGACATCACAATGGTCAAAAACCCCACTTTCTGTGATGTTTCAAGGTCCGGGATAACTACGTCATTATTGTTCCTGCTGATTTATGGTTATCACCATTGACTGCTAAGCTGCCACCGACTTGAGGACCCGGAAACATTGCATGGTTATCTGTGTACCTGATGGATAATGAACCTGCAGTTTATACTAGGTAACAACCTGTTGCTTTATCTGGAGTTGGCTGTTAATCTTTGGTTATAACGGCCTCAAGGAAAGAAGCCCCTTGAATTTTTGTTTTAATGCAGGAACAAGAGAAATTTTTTGCAGGAATTGCATTTGCCATACTGACGACTGACGCAAGGCTATCGCCAAAGAAGCAGAAGATAATTGAGGAAGTGCGCGCAGACAAACAGGAGTTTGAAAGAGCCAAATCAGTCCATGAGAGGTGGTACATCCAAGCTGTAAATTCCGTAATGGGAGCTATTGGACGACAGATGTACTTGAACATGGGAAGGTGAGTGTTTGAAGCTATGACACTGATTAGAAATTACATCCGTTTACCCAATTTGCTTATAGATTCGAACGAAGAGCGTTCCTGAATTGCCTTGATACAAGTGATGATGATAATAACCTACGAGGTGGAGCAGAATGTGTGGTGCATGCGTATGACAAAACTTTGCACAAATTAGAGGGGCGTAGAAGAAGGAAACGTAAGACATAATCGGTCATTAGAGTAATATTAAGGTTTAGGATCCACAAAGGCACACTCACTCAAGAAATTTATCACAATCAAAAAGTTAGATCAAAGGCTGGATTCTGAGCGACTACGCAAACTCCGCGGCAACGGAAGGACAAGCAAAAAATCGGAAAATGCAAAAGCCAAAAGAACAAAGAAGGTACGGTAAGTTCAATAAAACTGTTTTCGAACAACAGGTGCCCGTATAATCCGCAGAACAGGTAACAACTTACAGGCTGAAGAACAATGAATACCGATTAACCAAAAAAGCCGAAGAGAGTAGTGGATACCAAGATTGGCTGCATGAGTATCAAGTAAAATCAGTCAGTAAACTACCTTCTCTAATGGCTAGTAAAGATGAAAAATCTCCGGTTAAAAGAATCACAACATTAATCTCAACAATGGTAAAACAAAAACCCGGTTGGAAGATGATCTCGGATAAATTGAAAACTGTAAGAAAGTAACAATTAAACCGACACGTCTCCTTAAAGTTAAACGAAATGAACTCAAACTCGAAAAACCAAGCCAAATATGGACATAAGATTAAAGATATTGTCACGGATTATGATGAAAAGTACCGGAAGAAGATACCGTTCTCGAAAAGGTTTCGGAACATCATGCCGAGTACAGAGAATATGCCAAAGGTGTTGAAAGCGGCATTTGAATTGGTGAATTCAATGGAGAAACATACGGATATGTTCAATGCAAAAGTTTTATCGCCGAGATTTTTACCCATTGTGGATAACTTTGCGGGGGGCGATACCATGTAAGTAACAGACCCAAAAAAGACTTATAAATATTTCCCTAGACATGTATGTATACAATAAATGTGCAATGTTTTTAGTCATCTCCTCTCTCCAAACATTCTTCCGTTCTACAAAGACGACTCACCAAATTCCATCCTGCCCCTTCCAGATGTCATCGACTCTACAGGCCTAAAGCCGGATGATCGTGAAGCTGTCCTCGAATTGGTAATGGAAATGTCAGGAGCCCAACAAATCGTTGAGGACACCTTTAAGATTTTCAAAAACAACGAGACAGCCACCTTGCTCGAAGATGTTGATCAAGTCACAAATGGGATGGAAAAAATATTCGAAACCCTCAAGGGGACTTTCACCAGCCGACAACGTAGAGAGCTGGCCCAGCAAAAATTTACATTTATGGAGAAGAAACAACTGGACTTTTTGTATGGCCCCGAGGGAGCGTTTAACAATACTTTGGAATGGATTTCAATCGATGAATACTCGAGGTTTGGACACGAAGATAAGAAAAGATTGTTGATGAAGGATCTACGCAGGATTATGGAGGACAGTGATGGCGCAGACACAGTTGAGGGAAGCAGGAGGAGGAAGAAGAGAGGACTAGAAGTAATGGCTCCGTTTTCTTTCAGTCCTGAGATAATGTCGGTAGGTTAAGTAATCCTACAGAGGCAGGTCCTGAAATACGCAAACATTTTGATACTATTTTTGTCATAGAAAACTACAACGACAGAAAGTTTAACTTCTTTTAGCCAGCGGTATTAGGGCCTCTTATCCTATCGCCAAACTTATTTTCGCCCTCAATTTTATCGCCGGAAGCACTATCGCCCACTTTAATCTCACCGAACATTGGAAGCCCGCTTATCATGTAAGTAATTGCAGAAAGCAACTTCTGCCCACACACTGGAAAAGTAGAGACATAAACCTTTTTAGATCACCCTACATTTTATCCCCGGAGATATTATCAGCATCAATTTTTGAGGTCTACGTGCTATCTCCGTATTTTATTTCCCCAAATATCCTAAATCCGTACCTAATGGCTCCGATTATATTGTAAGTTATAAAAAAAAGTAATAAGTCACATACGTGATATCTCTAGAAGCCCCCATATGCTGAGCCCTGACATAATGTCGCCGACTTTGCTCTCCGGTGCCATCTTGAACCCATACTTTATGAGTCCGGCTGTTTTGACGGAATCCGCGTTGGCGTTGGACCTCATGTCACCAAGCTTTATGTCCAAGAAGAAAAGGAGAAAGAGGTGATAAAATACCTGTACAAGTAATAAACGTACAACTAGCTAGAAAATAAAAAAACAATAATTGATGAAAGGGTCTTATAAATAGAATCTCATTCTTAATATTATACTTACTAGGGAAGTGTACAAACGAACCCTCACCAAATGGCAAGTGTTATACACCATTGGAAAGCCCTTGAAAAATGGTGCAAGACACCATTTTCATTTTTTTGCAGAATGCCTCAGGGCAACAAATTATAAACGGTTGATTTGTCCCTTAAGTAGTTACAATATCTGCTGTGGGGCATAATAAATGTTATTTCGAAACGCTAAATGGTACGGAATGCAACTAGGTTAGCATAAGGATCATTATGAAGTTTAGCGCTTGCCAGTAAGACCATTTTACCTATGATATTTACTGGTTTTAAGTACCCATAATGTGAAAAACCACTTTTCACTTTTTTTGATGTTGAAAAACATGTAAGTTTGATGATTTTAACCGTAACCGACCGTCTTCCAGTAAAAAAAAAGTTTAACGGAAGTATTTTCCTAACTGTAAGAACGCAAAAATGATTTTTCCCAAGCTGGAAACTGAACCCGGCTTGCTTTGGCTTATCAGCCTGCTCAGCAACCACTACACTATTGAAGCAACCCTCTCTGAGGATTTTTATCCGCTGAAGAGAATGAAAGATTTTTGTTGCGAAATGACCTAAAAATAATATAATTTACAGTGTGTCGTCGCGGAAAGGCATTCTGCAAAAAATGAAAATGGTGTCTTGCACCATTTTTCAAGGGCTTTCAAATGGTGTATATCACTTGCCATTTGGTGAGGGTTCGTTTGTACACTTCCCTAGTTAGCCGTTGAATTTCAAAGTAAGCGCGTATTCATGACGATTATTAAAACAGCTTGAAGATAACTTCGACGCGCCCCTCTGATAAATCCAAAAATTTTTTTAGGCATGGATGTAGTGAAGCTTCAATAATTTTTCGAATTCTGCTTGGACTTGTAAAAGTTTGAGATAAACGTTTAGTTTATTTTCCAATAAATTTGTGAAGAAAACCCACTGGATGACAAGCCTCTCTGGTCTGACAATTGTGAGCTTGTACGTGAATTATTATAAAAAGAAGATTCGCAACGATAATTAGAAAAACGATTCAACAGTAATGTCAATATTTAATTTGATTACTTTGTTCAAAACTCTCAAAACAGATTTTAATCAATTTTGTATTGTTGCAAACTGATTCATTTTGTCATTATCTATAATAGCTGCAATAATAGAAACGTGAGGAATCTTTCCAAAATTTAGAGGTATAAAAGGAAAGGCCCTGCCACTAAAAGTACCAAACAAAATGGTGACAAAAATGCTAGTATTATTGTTACTAGGCCTGCCAATGCGGCTATCCGCTCGATCGATAGACAGCCAAGTCTCGAAGAGTGTCGATGCCAAGCGAGTTGTCGAGATCTATCCGCTGAAAAATGATACAACGCAAGGAAAACACCCATGCTCGGGCGTATTGCTCGCGGGTGACATTGTGGCAACCGCTTCGCATTGTTTTTTAGATTTTTTTCTGCAGTAAGTTGACGAAAGCTCATAATAATCTTTAGACGCGGACAACGATATTACGTAAAGCTGGGCGATCAAGAGTCGCTTGCCGCAAGACTCTACTATCAAAATTATGCACAGCCCGTAGGTTTGTCTTCCCTAGACTTAGTACAGCGAATTGCAAGAGACCAAAAATGTGTGATATGTAGAAAGAAGGGTTTCGTTGTGCATGTTAATCTTGGCCTGAAGCCAACTGGTGGAACCTCTGAAATTGTTCGTTATAGACATTTTTTGTTGTAACAAACTCCTTGTACTAAGGTCTGACGGTCATCTATTATATTTATCTTTATTTATTAATATCCCCTTTAGTGCAGAGACACAGGTATACTGATCCTCGAGAAAAACCTCACAACGCCTTCAGTCCCTCTGTATGTTAGATGTGGAGCGGAATGGAGAGCAGGAAATTGCACGGGATATGGATACGGACTCACGGAACGTACGATACAACTTAACATTATAATCAAAAACTTTAGACAATACTTCATCGACCGAGGTGCGTGAAGTGCCCTACAAAGTCGAAAACTCTACACAAGATGAATTAAAACACGATACGTGTTCAGTGGCATCGTATTTGACAAAAGCCAAACCTTGCTTTGTAAGGAAGAAGTTGTCGTTGCAGATTTTGGGAGAAAGAATTACAGTGGACCTCTGTGCAACAACTTTTTATTTGTTATAAAAAGGCTTGGAGGTTCATTTTGGAGCTTTTGGGAATTCTGAAATTGTTCGTTTTAGACGGGTTTTGGTGAATGGGTGTTCGTTGTACACAGGTCCGCTGTATTTTTTTGGACTGAAAAATCAACACACCACTATATACAAAAGATAAGATCACATCCTTTTTCTAGGGTGATTCTGGAGGCCCAACCATCTGCAATGTCGACGGAAAGTCTGTGTTCGTTGGCGTCCTTTCGAGAGGGTTACCGCCGGCCAATAGGAAAAAGGAAATGGAAAAAACTAAAGATCCGCTTGCACAATGCAAAATTTGTGTAGCGGCGGGTCTCGCAAACACCAACGCATTGATGTTGTTGCTCAAAGAAATCCCAAAGGATGACAGAGAATATATATTCAGCCGAATTAAGCATTTGAATTGTAATGTTGAATGAGTTTGAAAACGTAAGCAATAAAATAATTCTTTTATACAAAATACAATGGAAGCAAAAAAGGTCTTTATAACGAACAATTAGGGATACCATTAATTTTGAGCCAAACGGAACCTCCCTATAACAAAAATTTTCTAGAACGATCATGTTTGTTGATCTTTTTCTATTTGTTGTACACTGTATTTTTATGATTGTTTAAAAATATAACAAAAATATATGATTGATATTCCATTTTTGTCCGATGAGACATCTGTTAATTAAAATCGGCCAAATAGCAGAAAATGCAGAGAAATTTTTATTTCATTCGGTTGCAGCAGAAACAGTAACATCTTTTTCATTTAGCTGCCATGTTTCATCCTCCGGTCTTCGTATTCCTCCTATGTCTACCAACGGTGTTATCAGTCCCGTCGGTGTACAGCAAGGTCTCCGAAAGTCCCGATGCCAAGCGTGTCGTCGAGGTCCGTATATATATCAACGAGACCAGAGACGGGAAACAAGTGCTCGGAAACACTACAATTTGCAGCGGTGTGCTGTTGGCTGAGGACATTGTCGCGACCGCCGCACATTGTCGACATCCTGATTGGTACGTATGTACATTTGCTCGTTTTTTTAACACTCTATTAGGCCCTTGGCAAAGTACTTCGTCAGGCTTGGAGAGCAAGAGGTGCCCGTCGCAAGCTACTACGGCAAAACACCGACATTGGTAGGTCCCAAGAACATGTGCACATACCGCTGATCAGCATGACAGATTATTCATTTTTAGGAGGAGTGCAACGACAACGCTCTTTTAATTTTGGAAAAGAACATTACCGTACAAACGGCATCTCCTTTATACGTTTACTGTGGGGAGGTCTCCGATTTGGAAGATTGTGCTGGCTATGGCTACGGGTTAACAGAACGTAAGTTGGGATTCATTATAAACTGTGAGAGTTTAGATAATGCCAAGTCGCGGGAGGTGCGTGAAGCGCATTACACAGTAAGGAAACGGCAACAAAGTGATGAGTATGGAACTAACAGCTGTCTAATGGCGTCATACCACAGTAAAGCAAAGATGTGCTACGTAAGGAGATGTTTGCTAAGCTAAAAGTCCCTCTAAATGAATCATATTTTTTTCTTCTGTGTACAGGGCGACTCGGGCGGACCAACTATCTGTAAATTTCAAGGCCTCTCCACGCTCGTGGGCGTCAGTTCACAAATACAAGCCTATGTGGACGGAACATCGCCGAAGATTAACACCGTGGAAGAAGCAGTTTCGTTCTGCAAATTATCCTCTGACTTGTTATTGGCAAAAAGTGTCAATATGATTCGACTGCTCAACGAAATCCCAGGTGGCGACAGAAAATATATTCTGAACCGAATTAAGACCATGCATTGTTACGTTAAGTAACTCTGACGATGCAAATGATTGATTGTATGATGAGAAAATAAAAGCATTTATTGTCAACTGAACATTACAAATTTTAGGCATAGACAGCGTAGTTATAATCGGCCACCTGCAAGCTGTTCTTGCCGCGGCGAATTCTGACAAAGCCGGACTCTCCCCAGCCGGTTCCCCAAGAGTTCTTGATAACCCAATAGTCGACGCCGTTCGCAGAACCATAGCCAACAATCAAAACGCCGTGATTGATTTGCCAACCGCCGGAGGGCTTGGGAGCATCAAGGATTCCGCTCTTGTAATCCATCATTTGATCGGCGTCAACATCTAAATATACAGTTTGTTTCGCTAACAAGAACACATCTCTTACAGGTAACAACAGGGCCAACGGTAGCAACGACCTTGGCGGTGTTGTCTTCATTGTCCTGGGGGAGTTGTTGCTGCTTTGAAATCTTGAAGGCCACAGGTTTGGATTGGCAAGAGGGCACTTGAAGATTATCTCCAGAAGTGTATTTCCAGTTGGCTTCTGTGGTAAGACCCTTATCGATGGCATAACGAAGAACACCTGGAGATGATCCACCGTCACACCCGCCATTATTATCGTATGCGGACTGCTCGTACGTGCAAGAGATGGCTTGTTGTTCGCTAAGATCAATGTCTTTCTTGTTCTTGATCTTGTATTGACTTTCAATTGCGCCAACAGCAGCGAAAGCATAACAGCATCCGCATTGCTTCTGATCCTTTACCGGAGTTACACCATTCTTGGAGCGCCAGTCAAATGAAGCTGGACTAACAGAGCGTTTTGAGCGGATGGGAGTTGCTGGAGTGGCATCTTCATGGAGCGCCTGGATGTCGCTGACATTTTTAATACCCGTAAAGTTAGCTCTGAATTCTTCGACGGTTAAGTCCGAGAATTTAGTTACACCATATTCAGCCAGTGGATTCTCCTGCTGGCGTTGGGCAACACGTTTCAACGAGTTTTGGAACTTCGTGAAGCGGTCGGAGACCGTGGAGTTGCTGTCGTATTCCTTGCCGAATCTAAAATTAGCATTAAGTGTTTTTTGATACACTTGTCGGACCTCTTCTGACAGGCTTAACACCAGCAACTTACTGGATGATATACTTGAAGAAATGGCTCAAATCCTCGGTGTGCGATGGATGAATCTTCCCATGCAACGACGATGCCAAGTGAAGCGTATTCTTGGTGTTCTGAGTGGAGTTCTTCAAGTTGTTGATCAAATCCTTGACTTTTCCCCCACTGAGCAGACTCTCGAACTTGTCCTTGTCGAAGAGATCCTCCAATCCCTCGCCGAACTCCTTCAACTGTTCCAAGTCGAACATCGCCGCCGAAGCAACCGTAGCCAACAAGAGAGCTGCCAGAAGACGCATTGTACCGCCGAAACAGAAGCTATTTGCTGGTGATTTTCAACGCCTCAGCTAAGGCTTTTATAGCTTAACACCACGGAGTTCCGCAGATGTATAAACTGTCAGTAATTTATAAACACCAGGCCATTCCCAACGAAATTGCAAACAAGCCAAAGGAAAAAGCTTCAATTCCAACTTAAATTCCGTGAAGGCATAAATAAATTGTTTGATCAGATGGTGCGGAGGCATGGCTCTGATAATATATTTATCTTCCCCCTGATTCTCCACCTTTTGTTGCCATAGCTCTGACGGTAACTGGAAACTTGGACCAATGCCTCCTTTGTTATTTATGCAAAATTTAGTCAACATGTTTAAAGTTAAGTCTGTTTAGCGTTAAGCTTTACAGGGCACAATTTTCAAACTTGACATGGCCCAGAATGTAATCCTTGGCGTCTTTGGGGAGCTGATGGATGTATTCGAAGATCGAATATGAGGTGGTGATTCCGGCAGCTAGAGAGTGGATACAATAATCGACATCTGAATTTTTAACATTTCCGAAAAGCCGACTGATGACGCCTGAGAAAACCGATTTTTTGCCGAGCCTGCAGATTACAGGACCACCGGAATCTCCCTGCAACGGATTAGTAAGTGGTTTCGTATCAATTTGCACTGCTTCACCATTGGACGAGTTATGAAGTTTATGTCTGTGTCCAGCTTACCTTACACGTCTTTGCTTTCGTCGGATAGTTAATCCACACGAATTTCTCCGTCTCATTCTTCAAGCTGGTCTTGTTTAAGGCCACCTCAAGTACTTCCTTCGAAACTGTCCAGTCTAAAGGCTCTAACTTGTTCGAAATAAACCTTACATTCTGTCAGTCCGTACCCGTAACCCTTGCATTCTCCCGACAACCATTTCGACCCGCATCCCACGGAAATCTGACTAAAACTCCCAACCACTTTATCTTCAAGGATGAGGATTGCCATATCACATTCAGCACGGTTCTGAAGCGCCTATGTTGCTGAAATCCTGACTTACCTTTTTCAACTGCCCTTCATTTGCAAACACCTGCTTAGCTCGAATTGTTTGGTTGTTTAGACGGATCAATACTCGATATCATCCGAAAGCAGTATTCCAGAACAGCCACTCTTTCCGGAGCCAAGCAATGTAACTCGTTTGGAGTCGGCGTTGGTGGAAACGGGGCTGAACACACTTGATTCGACAAGAGCAAGGAGTAAACATAGGGTAAATAATTGGGGAATCATCATTCTCTGACTTGAGCTACTATGAGTTCTTCAGATATTTATAGCTCCATGGAACCATTCAAAGGTGTTCATCGTGAATACAGACCAATTAAAAAAACGCGTGGCATTTTTGGCCATTCCAATTATTGGTTATAATCAATTCTTTGAACACACTTCTAATACATATTGTATTGTTCATGAAGGAACCGAAATTCGATTTTTCAATGCCCTTTATTCAATGCAAAAATTAAATAGAATTTTAGTTAACACTGTAGTTGTACTCAGCCAAGTCGAAGCTGTTGGTACCGCGACGAACGCGGACAAACCCGGATTCTCCCCAGGTTGGCCCCCAGGAGTTCTTGATGATCCAGTAAGGAGTCCCGTTTTCAGCTCCATAGCCGACAGTCAGAACGGCGTGGTTAATCTCCCAGCCGCCCGATGGCTCAGCTGCGTCCAAAATTCCCCCTTGGTAATGTTGCATCTGGTCGGCATTAAGGTCTGAAAACATATTTCGTGACATCGTTGATATCGACTTACAAGTGACAATAGGGCCGGTCTCATAGACAACTTTAGCCATGTTTACTTCATCTTTGGCTGGAAGGGAGGCATGGCTTGTTACCTTCACTGCTGCAGTCACGCTCTTGCAAGCGGGTATCGTTTGACTGTCGCCCGAAGTATACGGAAAGTCTGTCTCAGTCCCTAATCCGTTGTCGATTGCATATTGGAAAACTGCGAACGACTGGCCACCATCACAACCACCGTTATTGGAATACTTTGAGCTTTGGTAGGTGCAAGAGACAGCTTGTTGTTCACTCAGATCGTATGTCTTGTTGGTCCGGATCTTGAACTGACTTTCAATGGCTCCAATGGCGGCAAAGGCATAGCAACATCCGCAGTTCAGTTGATTCTTTGGTGGGGTGACTCCATTGTGATCTCTCCAATCAAACGCGTCTGGGACGGCATCTCTCTTCGAACGGATGGCTTCAGAGGCATTGCCATGAAGCTGCTTGACATGCTCAACTCCCTTGATTCCAGTGAAACCCTTGATGAACTCATCTCTGGAGAGATCGGAGAACTGAGTCAGACCGAACTTCGTCAATGAATTGTTCTTCTGGAGGTCGTCGATGAGGGATAGAGAGTCTTGGAACTTCTGGAAACGGTCTTCAACATGGCTGTCGTTGTCGTAGGCCTTTTCGAAGCTAAAGCAATAGTCTAAACTTTGGGGACGGTAAACTTACTTGGCGATGAAATTGAAGAACTTGGTAAAGTGCTTCTTGCTTTCAGGTTTGGTCTTGTATTCCTCGTCGGAATCCAGCTTCTTTCTCAAACCAGTAGCCTTATGCAAAGTGTCCTTGGTCTTGTCTCCAATTCCTTTCAGGCCATTGATGTAGTCACCGAGCTTGTCGTTTTTAAAGAGGTCCTCAAACTTGTCATCATCGATGAAGTCTTGGAAGACCCCTTTGAAACTTCCGAGGTTAAAATCTTTGATCCATTCCTTCGGCAACGCCGATGCAACGCCAAAAAAAAGGATACAGAAAACAAGTTTCATTTTGAAAATTCAAATCCAAATTTCCTGCTCGAGGAAACAATTTTTTACTTGATGATTTGAGCCAGCATCTGTCGCCTTTTATAGAATGCATCTTCGTTGACATAACATTACGTTGGCAATTAAAATTTTGAAATGAATGTATGGCCGAACATCTACGTATTGTTCTATTGATAAAATTTATTTTATTGACCGCACCCGTCTGTGTCAATAGTGGATGAAACACAATGAATCCGAATGCAATTCAAAATTTTAGATTTCGTTTCAGCGACTTGCATGCAGTCACGATCTGAAACCTCGGCATACCGTGCGCCTTTGCTTTGGTCACTGATCATTTCCAAACTCAGAGAATCAATTTTTGCTTCAGGACAGCTGCGTCACCTACTAGACTTTCCGGGAATTCGCAGGACTGATTTGTTTGCATTAAAAAAAGCGATTTGCAGACGCAAGGAGCAACAATTCGAATGAACTTTTGTTTTCTGGCAGTGCGTGTGGCAGATTCCAATGCGGCAACTTTTTAGACGGACTAATATTCATAGACAAAGATACGTATGCGGTATGCGGCAGAAGTGTTATCCATGCAAAAGGCAAAGCAGGCAAAAAATTGGGGTTGGTCTTATCACGCTGTAATCGGGACGATCTTTTGACGATTGCAATTTGTATTAATATGTAGAGGTTTTCGGTGACTTTATTGGACATTTTTTTAGCTTTGCTTATTTAAGTTCTCTTTCAATTTTAATGATTTTTGAATTGGGCAAGAGTGTGATAAAGATATTCCGTCCGAATTTGAGAAGTCACTTGTGCTTTGAAAGTGCCACTGCACATTACATCTCATCAGCAATGCCCTTCTTCGGTTAGTATCTCTGTCCCCAGATTAAAATCAATAACATGCAAATTAAAAATTTATTTCACATTTTGTATCATTGCAAAGGTTAATTATTGTTTACTCCATAGTTGTAATGGGAAATGTCCAGGCAATTGGTGCCTCGACGGATTCTAACAAAACCGGCTTCTCCCCATGCTGGGCCCCACGAATTCTTGATAATCCAATAGGGGACTCCATTCTCCTCACCATATCCAACAGTCAGCACGGCATGGTTGATGACCCACCCGCTAGCAGGTTCAGCTGCGTCCAGAACTCCTCCTTGATAGTATTGCAAGGGCGAGGCATCAATGTCTATAAAAGAATCTAGTTTATGCTCGTGATACTTACAGCTAACCATTGGCTTCCATGTGTAGATGGCAAGCGCCATATTTTCTTCGTTATTGGGAGGAATTGTAAAGACGTAGTTTGGTTTTACGGCCACCGGAAGAGCTTGGCAATATGAAACTTGGGCATCCTTTCCTGACACATAAGGGTATTGCTGTTCGGTTGGCAGCCCGTAATCAGACGCATATTGAATCACCGTGTCAGACCAGCCGCCGTTACACCCCTGGTTGTATCTGTAGGCCGAGACATTGTAAGTACAAGAAATCGCGCTTTGCTCGCTCAAATCAAGATCCCAGTTGTTCGCAATCTTGAAATGACTCTCTATCGCAGCCACAGCGGCAAACGCGTAGCAGCTTCCGCACTGTGCCTGATTCTTGACGGAGGTAACTCCATTATGGTCACGCCAATCCCAAGAGGTTGGATAGACAGAGCGTTTGGGTCGGAGCGTCTTGGAAACCCTGGAACGAAGCTTCTGGACATCCTCAGCGGCTTTAACGCCGGTATGTTTTTGAATGAATTCCTCGGGAGTCAAGTCGGCGAACATGGTTACTCCAAATTTAGTCAAAGGCATCTTCTTTTGAAGGTCTTCAATTCTTGAAAGAGAATCCTTGAACTTTCCAAAATGATGCTCAATATGCGTCTCGTTGTCGTAAATTTTTTCGAATCTGAAATACGACATAGCGACAATTTTTAAGTACCAACTCACTTTACGATGAAATTGAAGAACTCGTTGAAGACTTCTTTGTCAACGGATTTGCTTCCTTGTTCAGTCATTTTCTTTCTTAAGCTCCCGGCTTTCCTCAACGTGTCTCTCGTCCGTTCACTAATTCCCTTCAATCCGTTGACAAACTCATCCAATTTGTTTTTCTGGAACAAGTCGTCCAACTTGCTATGGTCCAGAAAATCAGCAGATACCACAGCGATGGCAAACACAAACAGAAACGGCAACGTTTTCATTTCAAATTTAAAGCTGAACCCGGGAGGATACAGGCTTGAGTCAAGCTGTGCCTTTTATACCTTATTTTTTCGTTTTATGGCAAGATTTTTGATTTTGAACATTCAGAAGCATGGCAAGGCATTAAATTAATATAATATATGTTTTATTATTATATTATGTTGAGTTGTATTAATAAAGACAGTTTAATTGCCTCAGTCTGTGTGGTACACTGCACTTGGAACGTCTCGCAGTTCAAATGTTTAGAAATTCATCGATAAAATAATAATAATAATACTGTTCAAACAAACCGTTAAAAGGACAACTCGAACGGTTAAAAAAATTTTTATCTTGTTTGATTAGCCACAAAAAAAAAACAAATAACTAATTTTTTATACACATAAGCTATTTTTCGGGCCAAAAAATCGTCGTAAAACATAATGCCAATAGCGATCGGAAACTTTCGTGACAAAAACTGAAACTTTTGTCCGCTGAAAATAGTAAAAGGCATTCTGTTATCTTGACAAAAAACGCAGACTTTTACCGTGATTCTAGAAATAGTCTTGTGTTTACGGCACCTTTTGCTACCTGTGATACACGGCCAAAACTACGGATATTGTCACGGAAAAATACAAAAATCCGAATAACATGAACCCTGACGCATTTCCAAAGAAGTGAAGCCATCAACAAGTCTCCACATTGTAGCAGGATTCATTCCAAGCATGGCACGTTGGCCACGAAAAGTTTTGAGTGGTTTCTCAAGAGTGAGCAATTGGCAAATGCAATTTTTACAGTCTTTAACATTTGCAATAAAAGTTTTGAGTGCTTTAGTAGCAAGCTGTTATTTCGATATTTTCGCGTTCTAATACAGATTCCTGGCTTGCAAATTTGAGGGCCACTAAGTGGCCCATCATGACGCTATCAAACGGTGCATGGCTTGCAACAAGAGCCGCTATAAATTTTCGTGAGCAATTATTTCCGTAATAAACTCCATTCTCTGCAATTTACTTTGGTAATGGTGGACGATGACTGTGGTGTTTGATCGTATTTCTCTCTGCATTATTGCCCGGTTTTTTTGCATTCCGAACATTTTCTGTAAGGTTTCCTTTGTTATTATTTATATTTTCACCCGTTACAATACAAGGACAGGAAGAGGGCATCTTGGATATTGACTATCTTTAATTTTGGACATTGACCAATGTTCTTTTTATTATATGTTATGGGCTTGTACATCCCAGAAACCCACTATCTTTACTTCATCTATAATCTCTGCAAATTTTTTGACCAAAAAGCTAATGATATGTTGCCCTTTGTATATCTTTTGTACTTCCTTTGTCTCTTTCGAAATGAATTTCATACTGTTTGGAAAGCTAATGAGAAGGTCCCTCGAAATTAGACCCCCGCGAAAGTCCTCATTTTGGCATATAATGGCACAATGCGAGACGTCGCAAATTTTCAAAATCTTAAAAAATAATTTAGGCCACTACAGGACTGGCTACTTCAATGTCTGGACCTCAACAGAACCCTGCCGTTTGGGAAGTCATTGATGATAAAGCCATCAATTCGACGGAACCATACGATGAATTGGCGGACTTCACTTTGATTTGTCAGATTATTTTCAATTTTGCATTTGTGTCTGGTGGAGTAATGTCATTCACTCTGTTATATTTGGTATTATTTCATACAACTGGGAGTTTCAAACCGTACAGTCGAATGCTGATTATGTGCTGTATATCGGACATAATGTATTGGTTTCTTGATCACATGTTGCACCAGGTAAGGAAGTTAAAGTAAAACTCGTCGTTCATCGTTTTTGTTTTCTATACTGCAAAGGATTTTTGTTATTACTAAAGCTATGTAAAAATGTAAATAAAAACAGAGGTTCTTTTTAGAATAGCAGACAGATCGACGGAGTGTTTCTTATCACATTGAAGGGATTTGGCGGCTACTTGAGCTACGAGAATCAAATGATTCTCACTGGGTTTTATATTGTTACTCTGGTCCTAACCCATACAACTTTGGGAGCCCAAGGGTTTTATCGATACTATGCACTTGTCCAGTAGGTTTTATAAATCACACTAGACCGACCGAGATATTTAGAAATTGTCTTTAAGTTATGTATACAATAGTTGTTTTTTAGCAACAAGCCGATGAGCATACTCAAGACCTCAGCCCTCTTTCTTTTCACATTTTTATCCGCCGTGCCCTCGGGTATTATTGGCTATCTCAGCTTCAAATATTCAACGAGTGTACGGCCAGGATTCAACTATGGCACGCTGTGGTACAAGGAGTATCCGCTGCCGGTCTTGCTTGTAGTCGATGTAGTAAGTGGCCCACAAACAACACAAAAGTTTTTAGGATCACATCTACCAAAAACTGTACTATGTTATATCGGCTTCGACGGTAACTTTGTCTTACCTGGTTTCCATTCTATTTGCTTACAAATCTATGGCACATTTGCACAAATACGATCATTTGTATTCGAGGAAGACAAAATTTTTGCATCAGAAGCTGTCTAAATGCCTTTTGTTTCAGGTTAGTGACTTTTCAAAACGATAAAAAGGCTTCCAAAGATATTGCAAAAAATGCATTCCTTATGATTATCACTGATACGTACACCAATTTTTTATTGACTTTTTTTACACTCAAAGTACAAAACAAGTATTGTCAAAGTGCATCTGTGTAAGCAAACACGTGGATGCACCAAACTTTACTGTTTTATTGGGCAGCAGCTACCGTTTGTAGTTTACATTTTGACAACATTGAATATCACGGAGACAGATCATGCAATTATTTTCAGAATGTGGCCCCACTGTTTGTCTCAATTATCCCGATCATGGTAATGGTCGTCCCCCTCTTCTTCCGCATTACCATCAACCAAGAGATTACTATCTTTATGATAGCCATCAGCCTAATACCGGCGTTCAATTCGCTGGTGACTATAGCCATCATCAGCCCGTATCGACAGTACATCTTGAACTTGTTCAGATGCCCAAGCCGAGTTCTCCGCAAGCCGATGGGAACATCGGTTACGCTAAACGAAAGTGGAAAAATGTAAAAAAAACATGACTGCAGATTGTATATAAAGATATCATATATGTATATAAACTTATGCAACAATGATGTATAGGTGAAATTCTGCACATCGAATTCGCCTACAGCGAAACCTGTCATAAATATAATTCCGAGCTTCCGAGAGTTTTATGCCAAAGGAAACCTTCGTAAAACAAAACCCGTATGCCAAAGCTACCAAAAACAATTTTTTCTTACATCGTCGCATCACAGATAAGCATGGCTGCAAACCGGGCCAGCCCGGCCCGGCCCGTGCCGCAGGCCCGGGCCTAAATCTCCAAGCCCGGCCCGGGCCCGGGCTTTGAAAATTTGGAAAGCCCGGCCCGGTTCGGCCCGGAAAATTTCTATACTAGGTTGAAAAGAAAGAAAGCGGGAAATGAAAGGAAAATTATGGCAAATTTTCGCAAAATGTAAAGAAAAATTAAGCAAGACCTGTACATATTGCTATTGCCGCTTGACTATTTATATAAATTACTAAGTCGCCATAACTTTTTTTACCATATGGTTACAAAAAATCATAAACTTTTGTGTATAGTCACCCAAATTTTAGCAAAAATATTTTTATCATATACATCTTTCATCGGATCGGAAAAAAATATGCTATTGCGTATTCTTGAAAATTTTTTTTTCGGTTTCTTTTGTTGTCAGCGAATTTTTGAGGTCGAACTTAAGAATTTCTGAAAATTTTTTCAGATTGACTTGAAAATAATTTTCTTATTTGGGCGAGTGGTAAATAGGGTAATTTTAAGTTCGCTATCAGCATTGTGTTCGAAAAACTGAAAAATTCTATCGAAAAAGCTTATTTTCTCCTTTTTTCCGGGCAAAACTCAGATTTCAAAAAAACCGGGCCGGGCCTAAAAATCGAAGCCCGGGGTCGGGCTGAGAAATTAGTCGGGCCGGCCCGGGCTGGAAAATTTTGCGAAGCCCGGCCCGGAGCCATGCCTAATCACAGAAGTACACAAAAATTTTTCATTTTTTTTTGAATCGGTCGCCCGAAATCCAAAAACGTGAAAACACCGGACCGACCCAATTGCCGCCTTCAATCGAATAATTTTTGTGACACTTCGTCAAAATTAGGTGACCTTGCGGCATTCTGTTTCATTTTTATCGATTGGTTCCTCATAGTCGGAAGATGGAGGACTTGCAATTTATGATAAAGATTTGTGCAGAATGGCCAAGAATGAAGTGATTGCCAAAGATGAACAGGAAAAATTCATGGATAAGATGTTGAAAAAACGAAGAGTAAGGATAAATAATTTTTCTTTAAGGTTTTTCTTTCTAGGCCAAGCTCAAGAAGTTGCAAAAACAACTGGATTATCTGGAGATTGCGCCAGTGGAAGAGGAGATCAAAGAAAAGTTATGCATTGAACAGAAGAATAATGTAAGTGAAGCTCTTTCTGAGATGTTTTGTTTATTTTTTAATGTTGTTGTTCTCTCGTTTTAGACGCCCTTCGGCTACACTTTCACCTTCATTGTGTTCAAAAACCTTGTGGATGTAGACTTTGAAGTTTTTAAGTCTCATAAATTTGGCAAGAACTTGAAGGTGAATGACGCTGCAGAAGAGGCGTTAAATGGACACAGCAAGATGGTCAACAAATATCCGATTTTACACAAGGTTGCGATTGGAAAATGGGTGAATGATCACTTTGAATATCTCTTTGAGGAGACGGACTTCGATGAGAACTCTGCATATGTGGTGATTTGCACAAGGGAGAAGGTGTTTTTGGTAAGAGTTTTATTTTTTGTTTTTATTGTTTTAGAAGCCGTGTAACGGAGCATTCTACCTCCTGCAACCTTTCCGTTGCCATTGGAAGCCATCCATTTTTGTTACCAGAGTTTTTATGGAGAAGTTTGGACTGAATTTTGATTGGGAAGTGGTGCATTCTGACGAAGTAAGACTGCCTTTTGATATTGAGTATTTTTCGTTTAGGAGCGTTGTTATCGTTTTTCTAAGTGGGGTAGCCCGCACATCTATTTACCTTACTTTTCACTGCCGTCTTCATCGCTACGATTGGAATGGTTCTATGAAGCTTACAAGAATCTGGATTGTTTGAAAAAATATTTTTGTAATTTTGAGTACCAAAGCTGTGAACTGGCTCTTCCATTGAACCGACCAGATATAGACTGTGAATCGCCTTACAACTTATCTTCCCATTATTCGCCAGTGGAAGTTGGGTCCTTAGTAAGTTTGAAACGACTACGACATGTAAGCAATTGCAGCTTCAAGTAAATTGTATTGTAAAGTACGGGCAGATGAGGGCTGGTCGGAAGATTATCTTGGACAATGAGACCCCAGAAGTTGCGGATGTCGCGTTTGAGCTGGTCGGTGGAGAAAATTTTGATATCAGAACGATGAAAGAAAAGAGACGCGAAACCGTTGATGGTGTCCTTAAGATCGAATACGATGCGGATCTTTGCAAACATGTTCCCGTAAGAAATTTTGAAAGTTTCGTCTACTTTTTTAGGCATAGCGAAGAAATATTTTTTCCGTGTTTCAGGGAAAATGTTACTATCACTTTATCTACCGGACCAACAAGATCTCCCTTCTCGCTCCACCGAACCTTTCCTTCCTCGATGTCCATGAAGAATTGGCCACAAGATTGTTTGTAAATGAATACAGCCTCAGCAAATGTTATATCCACTCAATTGAAAAGGGAATGCTGATCACGAAACATTGCAGAGATGTGAAATTGCGTCCTTATGCCGCGTATAAAATTGACATTTGTGAAGATGATGTTGTCGCAAGAGGTCCCGAATGATTTGAGAAACGGTGATTTCGTCATACTTTTATATTGTTGCACAGTGTAATTTAATATTTGTTTTTTTTATTCCTAACCTTACCCAGATCTCACAATTTCTTAATAAAAATCTGTTTTTTACGTGTTTCCAAGGTCTCGCTAACAACAAATTTGCTCCATAAGCATCCCGTAATTTGTGAATTCAAAAGCCTTTTTTCCTCTGTCCTAAATGTTTTCAAACTCCGATTTTTTCCAGATTCATCAAGCATGACTTCTCTTTGCGGTCCTCTTGTCCGTTTATCAAAAAGGAATCAAAAGTGTGCAGAGGACTATGACCTCCTCAGCCCGGCTGAAGAATTATAATCAGTTTTACAGAATAAATACATGATGATAAGAGGCTCTTTCTCTGGAGACGTCGCTTTGCGAGGCTTGTAGTTTTAAGCTACAGCTTTTGGGCCGCAACTCATACACAGTGTCGGAGAAGATCATGTCCGATTGTTAGGTCCAAAGTATTGCGATCGCTCTCCGCGTTTCGCGTGCTTATTCGGCAGCCATTATCGTTGAATGTTTATTTTTAATGTTAAATGCCTCGATTCCCAGGGTTTCTGTTTATCAAAAGTCATAAATTTTTTTTAAAAAAAGGAAAATGAACTCCTCAACCCGGCTGGAGAATTATAATCAGTTTTAAAAAATAAGCAGATGATGATAACAAGGCTGTTCCTCCCTTGAAAAGTTCGTAGTTTCAAGCGATAATCTTTGGGCATACTTTTGGTATCAGTTGTCGTATGAAAAGGCGAGGCTTTATTAATGTATGAACGAGTACCAGGTCGTTTCATCAATTAATACCGGCACTTTTATAGAATATAACTTAACGGTTGCTTTTTCAAATTTTTTACTTTCTTGTGCCATTTTTATTTTAAATTTCAGATGTCGCAATTCTCAGGAAAGACGGTTATTGTCACCGGTTCGAGCTCAGGAATCGGCAGAGCGATTGCCGTGCTGTTGGCGAAGAGAGGAGCCAACGTTGTTGTTCATGGAAGGCGGAAGGAGAAGATTCAGGTTTTTGTTGAAACCACAAAGTCATTATTCCATTTCAGGAGACATTAGCCGCATTAGAAACCGCTGGATTAAAGCCAGAGAACTATCTTGTAGTCACCGGCGCTATTGAAGACGAGAAGACGCAGGATTCTCTCATCAACGACACTCTCAAGAAGTTTGGCCGGATCGATGTGATTGTAAACAACGCCGGGATTTCCCATGACACCGCGGACGCGGACCGCAATAGTCTTCACAACTTGGATGTGGTCTACCAGGTCAATGTTAGAAGGTGGGAAAAACAGTCCTAATTGAAGTAATTTTTTACAGCATTTACCGAATCAATGAGCTGGCATTGCCGCATTTGGCCAAGACCAAGGGAAATATTGTCAATATTTCATCGGTTGGAGGGCAACGAGGACAAGGGTTGTTCCTGCCTTACGCTGTGTCCAAGGCTGCCGTTGATCATTATACTCGATCTGCGGCCTTGGTTTTTGCTGAGGAAGGCGTCAGAATCAACACGGTCAGGTGAGTAGTGTAATTTCCAGGCAAGCCAATAGATTGTTCGGTACGTTAAGATGGTTTTCAAGCCTTGCCTGACTGTTCTATTCATAGCATTGCATGATTTATGTAAACGCAGCTCAAAACTGGAACATTTTTCTTTTAAGCCCTTGTATGATTTTTACTTTACGATGCCCTTTTCGGCCATCCCGATCCGTATTTTAATACCGCTACACATTTAGTCCCGGTCCGATCAAGTCCGAATTCCTGTCCCGTCACGGAAAGCCAGAAGAAGAGGAACTGACAAACAATGCGTTTGTTAAGTTCGCCGTCACAATTCCCCTTCAAAGAATCGGAGAGCCTGAAGAAGTTGCCTCACTGGTAGCCTTCCTGGCCAGCGAGGAGGCTAGCTACATAACGGGAACCGTTATGGCCGTTGATGGTGGACACTTGGCTGGGTTACCGATTCCGTAGGTTGCTTTTGCGCAACTTTTTTTCGACTGTATATACAAGCCTAAACTTGCTGATTGCAGTCTCAACAAGCAACTGTTTGCATAAGGTAACCAACGCAATATTAAAACCCGTTTCACCAAAGCTACCGCTCAAAATCGTGCCTTATGCCCACGACAACGTCTTCACTTCAGTTGGCTTGTTTATTATAACAAAATGTTCGCTCTATAAACTAAACTAAGAAAATTACTGTACTTTTGTGAAGGTAGAGATCAGGATGAAAGAAAAACAAATTTGTTTTGCTGATGATATTGCTGGAAATTCGCAGAATTTACAAGTGAAAAAAGTTGAAAAATGTCGTTTGTACTATGCGTCGTGATGGTCGTTGAGGAGGGCAGCTTCGTGCTCGTTGGGCTTTCTGAAATTCGAATATTTTGAATACGAAAGTTTAAGCTCATTAAAAAATTGTGACGACCAACTTACACCGTCTTAAACTTGCTGCCCAGCCGGCTGCAACACCTTCCGATGGCCGCAAAGATGCCTGCAATTAGCCACAAAGTGAGTAGAACCAACACAAAGAAGAAGATGTAGATGTCGAGGTTGTAGAGTTTGAAGCATGAGAGGTGAATGGAAGCGGGCAGAAGCTCCGGAAGCTCTCCGCCTTGAGTTTCAAGCAATTTGAAGGCGTTGATGAGGCGGTCTTGAGGTTTGGGGATTTGTTGCCGAAGAATGTTCTTAATTCGGTGTGCTTTCTTGGTATACCTTAATTTTGAAGGTAATATTATGATCAAATGTCTTACTGTGGATATCCGATGATGTTCTTGACTGCCTCGCTCAATGGAAAAGATGTGTCCAGCAGAATATGCTTGTCAAACGACTTTCCCCAGCCATTTCTTTCGGGGATTTCTGCATTATGCATTTGATCACCGAAAATTCCAATTGATAACACAGGGACCCCGAACCATGCGGCTTCCAGAAGACTGTTGTAGCCACCATGCGTAATGAAGAGCTTGGTCTTCGGATGGGCTGAAAGACAAGGATTTATGCTTGTTTAAAGCACTCAACTCACCTAGCAGTTCAGTTTGTGGTATCCAATCTAGAACCTTGACATGGGTGAGGTTGGCCAGTCTGTTTCTCGTGATCTGAAAAAGAAAGTTTTACGACTTGACGGGGTATATACGGATATTTGAGAAGTTCGAGAGCTAGCCGGGCCTTAACGCACGCCTTGAGTTGGCACACGCTTAGCCATAATGCATTGTTTCTGCATTGAAACCCATGCAATATGAAACAGAATTTTTCTTGCGTTAAAATTTTTTTTGGATGACCCTAATGAAGATCGGTAAATAATGGGTCCCCATTTTAGATCAAGAAGTACAAGCACAACAAAAAACATTGATATTGAAGAGCAGTTTGGAGTTTGGCTTTCACCGCAAGATTTTTGAGCTTTGAAAAAGTCTCAAAATGTATCCTGAACACAAACCTCAAAGAACGACTTACCACATCCTCCTTGTTAATTTTGGCTATAATCTGGTAGTCCTCGAGGTCCGTAAACGCCTCCACAATATTATCCAATACTTCTCTCGGTAGCCATTGAGTCTGCACCATTGTTCCCAACGAAAATACGACCACATCAACAAGTTCTTCGTTCAAAAGATCTTCAACTAATGTTGAATTTTTGGCTTCAATTTTTTCTTCAAGTTTTGGCAGAGAATGTCCCCCGATTTCGATGATTCTTGAGGTGGTGAGTCGAGGGAAACTGAGGAATTCGTTGGTGTTCACGAGAACAATAGGCGATTTTGCGGCGATATCTCCAACGTAAGGGAATTCAGGCCTGAAAAAAAGGATAACAATCAATTAGCATTTTGGTGATAAAAATTCTTTGGCCAAAAATATTATCAAATTTTCCGCAGAGTCCAATGCGTGTCCTATAATAAAATTTTTAACAACATTTTTTACTATTATAAAATGTCTCATTTGTTGGAGAAAGCCTACATAAGGGTCATGCTTCCTGCAAGTTAAAAACATCCTTTTTCGAAGGACAACGGCTTCCGTTACAGACTACTTTTGAGATCATGAAATGTGTGTAAAACACTCCACAAACAACGAAAAGACAACTTGCCATCGCTTCCTGAACACCTCCGTAATTCTCTCCGCCGATCCCGTAAATCCGTAGTAATTGGACTGACTTCTCAGCCAATTCTTCAGCCTTCCAAAGAAGTTCATTTTATCTCCGACCATATCATTTTGAAATACGGCTGGCGTGAAGCTGGTCATCATCGGAATTCCCAACAACGATGCCATATATTCAGGCATGGGGCAACTGCTGAGCCAAACATGAATCGGAATTCCTGCTTGATGACTTAGCCCCGTTCCACAAAGATCAAGTTGCTCGCCAATAAAGACATCGTATTTCCCTTCGCGAAGTTTATCCAGGATTTCAGAGCTATTCAGAAGGTCTAAAAAAATTTGCATAGCCAAAAATTGGACACTGAACAGGTTCATTGCGAAACAAAAAGATCAACTTACGATCACACGCCTCCACTTTTCGATCGTGATACAACTCGTTGTTAACCGAAGCTGTAACAATGTTTCCTTGATGAAACATCCCTTGAACAAAGCCTCTAAAGTTCGCCTCACTCGTTCGATTGTCCCAATCGAACGTGTAACTCTCATGCTTGGCGTGTTTCACAATATCTTTTATTGATCCGGGTTCAACGTCGTAATGGACTTCGAAGAGGGTCTGGAAAAAGAAATTAAAAATTTTTATCTATTTTGTCCTTATTACGTTTCTACAAGGTTCTTTAAAAAATCGTTAGTTTACGGCGACTTTCGACAGAAAAAAATTTCTGCAAAGCGCCAGTTAAAAATATCAGAAATGTCTGACAAAATTCCGATTTAAGTTTTTGCCAAGCTATTTACATCCCAATATGTCAAGAAACTTAACTGAAAACTCAGTAGAAAGGTCAATTTACTAGCGTAAAAAAAGCTCACCACATTATGCCCATTCTGCGCCAAGATGTCCGCAATCTCCGCGTTTGCTCTCATATGGGATTTGCTCTCGGTTGGACTGTACACAACAATGTTGTAGGCATGGCAGTGGAGGAGAAAACATAAGAAGGATATTCGTCGGAGAAGCATGGCCTAGAACTTGGGCCTTAGAAAAAACGAAGGGAACGCGAACCAAGCGGATTACACACGGTTTACTGGATATTCCGTCACGTGCAAAGAACGACGTCGAAATGGGGTTGGAGTTCGCGGAGGGAGGTTCACAATCCACGAGCTCGGAGAGCGAAAAGAGTTGCAAATTGGGGATGACATGTAAGACCAAAAAAGGATACGTGTGAAATGAAAAAAAAATATTCGAGAAGGAAAGGAAACTATGATAACTCCATGAAATAAAAAACAATGTACTAGAAAATAAGTTTATTACGTATAAAATGAGTGTTTGTAACACGCTTTGACACAGCGATTTTAGAGTAAACTCTTTCGTCTTTAGTTGCGATAGCGGATTTGGTTAAAATCTATTGTGTAAGTCTCGATGAAACTTGGTAAAAATTAAGTCTGACGTTTTCGTAGTTGCTTTAAAACACGTTAGGCAGTTTAGGGAAATGGTAAATTTTCCACCACCAATGTTTTGATTAAATATCTTTTTTCCCGAGGTATTTTTTTTCTCCTGTTGCCGAACCCAGATTTTTTCTGACCGTTTCTCCTTCTTTAATTAGGTTAGAAATCTAAATCACAAAATTCGTAGTGACAACCCTAAAACTTTCAGAACATTGGGTCCAAAACGTAAACTGTATGATATAATAATGTAAAGCTTTTTTTCCAAAACAAAAACCGTAGAACACAAATTTTTTGCCAGAAAATTGGGGAAAATGTAGCTTAGCCAGCCACCCTTCAAAAATCACCCCATTTTCGGCTGCAAATAAAATCCGCATAATTGACATACGGAACATGGAAATGAGACGTCCGGCCTTCCGTTTCTACGAACGGGTCAAGGAAGAAGGGCGGCCATAAAACCCGAAAAAGTTATTACTTTCTTCCACCCTTACCCCTGCTAAAGGGCATTTTTTCGGGTCGTTCTTTGGCCCAATGCCAAAGCAAATTTGAAAGAAGCCCCCCTTAACAAGATGGTTTTTCTACGCAGGGCCAAGAAAACTGATTCGGAAAAAGTTCCTTTCAACCCAAATCCCCTCGGGGCTAATCTTCATTTCTTTTCGGAAATTCCGCTGGTTGCAAATGTCAGACAGGCCAGGGGTTTGCGGGACGAAAGACACCTTTTATGGATTGCGAATTGACCTTTTTAAAGGTTTAAGATAGCTTTGCATAGGATACTATACAGCATTGACCAACCAACAAACAAATTTTACCCCGCTTTGCTGCTGGATTTTAACTTTGACATTTTTTGTATTCATTTTAACAACTAACTTTGCCTGCAAAAACATTTATCCACATGAATTAAAGCCAGTACGTAATATGAAGAAAGACAAGCCTAGCGAGATGAAAACAAAGCTTGGCCAAACTTCCGCGGAAGACAAAAGAATACCGCGACGAATTCATTTGCATAAAAAACTGAATTAAATCGGTGTTTATGGTCGCAAAATTTTACCCAGACAAAAATTGAGATGTCATAGGAACAAGGAGAATCTTCGTTTTTTCATTAATTGACGTTTTTATTTTATTTTTGGACCGAAGGTCATTGAGGGAGGAAATTCAAAACCCTGGGAACTTTTCTGAACTGCCAAAGACTTTTAATTTTGGCCCTGGTTTGAAAGTCATCGAAATTTCTTTCTATAAAAAACAAAATACGCAATCAGAACTTTTAATTTTAGTTCTGCACTTTTCCTTAAGCTTTCAACTGCCGCTAACTAAAACCAGACCTACAGTTCCGGAAAAACACCTCACTCTTCGAATTGCCAAAATAAATAAATATTTATTTCCGTTCCCATCTCCCACTGACTGTTTGGCTGAAAAAAGTCAGACAAATTCCCTTCAAAACAATTATTATTCGGAGCGCATGAGCAGACTCTCACAGGGTTCAGAAAAGTTTAGGAAAATTAAGGACCCAGTGACTTATCAGCTGAAGGGTTAAACAAACTTTGGTTTCGAAGTTTGCGAGGGAATTTCGCGAATTCGACAAGAAAAATGTTTGAAACGATGCGGCGAGATTACGATAACAGATGGGGAAAAGATAGCAGCGAAAAGTTTGAAGCTAGAATTCGGATTTAATTTCTGAATTGGGAGAGATGATGAGAGGTCTGTTAGAGAATAAAAATTTCAGCTACAGAAATCTTGCTCCTTTTCCTCTGTTCTTCGAGCAGATTGTCAATTTTGACTGCCTAACTTTTTTCTATTTTTATCACCTTTTTTAACCTTTTTTATATCTCGGTAATTTTTGAGAAGTATGAAATGGGCAGTAGGTCTTACAGAATGCCAATCCTAATTCCTATCAAGCCTCATCAAAATTTCATCGTTCTCAAATTTCCATTTTCAACAAAGAGATCAAAAAAATGCAAAAACGTGACTTAAAAAAAGCTCGGTAAGAGTCACAATATAATTGTTCCCTCTGTTCTGTGGAAACGCTAAAAGTCACAAAAAAAATTATGAAGTAAATAGAAATGACCTTGTGTTTTTGAGGATATTTGAAACATGAAAAACACTGAATTATGTAAAAATAACCGAAAAGGAAAAAAATTTCCCTCCAAATCTCTTTTCGAGACCCGAATTTCCATAAATAAAGCCTCTCTTTGCAATTGGACGCTATTGAATTTCCCGTGCTTGAGTAATCATCTGAAACCGGGCCGAGTTTAGCCAAAATCCCGGGGAATTTCTCCAATTTCCCAGTCCTTCGCATCTCGAATTTTCAAGGGTAAATTTTGATGGCAAACTCCCTCTATTTTATTGGGGGAAAATTCAATTCCCCACTTTTTCAGGTATCGAATTCAGCAAAGATTTTTCAACTTGTTCAAATAAACAAATAACGCCGAGGGATATCAAAAGCAAATTGACAAAAAAAAACAAACAAAGGCAGAGCAGTGGCTCGTCGTAATTGTATTTGTATCCAGTTGGAAAGAGAGAAGTATTTTCATCGCATAAATTAATAGAGAGAGTGTAAATTTGAGCTCTCGGATTTTTACTAAGCTTGCGAGAAGTATCGTCCAATTAGAACCGTCTTTTTTAATGAAGGAATGCAATTCCTGTGTCTTTTTGAGCCCAAAAGGGATCACAAAACTCTCTTCGAAGTGAACTGTCTTTTTGATCACATTTTCGAGCTTGCTATCGAGTAAAATTGGCCCCGAAGTGTGATCGGCTAGTAAACACTTATGCCATTGCACACTTTTTCAACGGTAAAATGGACACGAGCTAAACAAAGCCTCTCTTTTTGAACGGGCTTCCTGTTTTGTCTCAAGGACCAACCCAAAAATACTTTTACCTCTCAAACACCATATTTGTCAAATTTAAAACCTCAAAACTTTGAGCCCCCTGTTCTACCAAATAACCCTCTGTTGTCCACTCATATTCCCCCTAACAACTCATGACCAAAAGCCATGCAAGTATCCGCTTCCATAGACTAGGGAAAACAACCCGAAATATCCGCCGACTCGGTTGTCTTGGCAATGAAACGCTTGCGGAATAATTTCGCGGAAAGGGTTTTTTGAACTTCTCGCGCAATTCAAATTCCCCCTCTCGAGGACTTGCAACAAGCGAAGGGAAACTCATTATAATGCGGTTAAGAGGCGCGGGGCCATGGATGAGAGCTGCGGATTAGGGGCGAATTTCCGAGACCTTTTGGGAAATTAAGGGAAAACAATAACTGTAATGGGTACTTTGACGACGGAAGAAACATGGGATATTGGCTCGGTATGGAGGTTCAAGAGATGTGAAGACCTTCGAGATGCCTTTACCAGCAAGCTATAGATTTAAATTCACGACAAACCAGACACTGGAATCAAATAATATTTAGGATACGTTTTCAACTCTTGAAGTAATAAACACCCATCTTCATATATCCTTCAGTTCCCTCTCTTCATTCTTCAGCCCTGTAATTTACGCATTCTTCATTCGACTTTCTTTCGACGAGAACCGTGGCCACAATTTTCCAATTTATGTTTTTTTAATTCCAAGCAAGCTTCGGGACCAAAAGAACGGCCAAAAAACCTCAGGCAATTTGTCAAAATATTTCTTTTTTCTTCGATCAAAATGCAAGGTAAAAGGCGTTTTTGGCTTCGAAATGAAAAATTGACTGTACTTGTAAAGGAGAAAAGGAGCGAATTCAAAACATTTTATTTTGGGTAAAACGTTGGGACGAAGAATAATAGCACTTCACATTGTTTGAGGTGCGAGAGGCACTGGACGTTTGGACTTGGCTGTTGCGTTGACACAAGACAGCATGGTGATCTGTTTGGGCGTAGAAATGATACCCTCACATCAGGAATTAGGATGGATGGACTGTTCTCAATGTACACCATAAAATCATCAGCAAACCTTCTCAAATATCACATACAGTCCTTTACAGGATCATGTGACAAACAAGGCATCCACAGGAACGTTCGCTCATCAAGCGAAGAAAGCAAATAAATAAAATAAGCAATCCTTTTTGTGCCTCTACAATTCTTTCTGATAACAAATTCGGTGTAAATCCTTTCCGGTTTTCCGACTCTTTGGTTCACCGTATTTCGCAACAAATCATCTTTGTTAATTTTTAAGTATACATAGTGAGATACACGTCACATTACACAAAACAATTGTTCATTTAGAGTACGCAAAACTACAAAGGAATGGGTGTGACTTCATTTTACTGATCAAACTACCAGACTTATATAAAAGCAGCTACGTGCTGACTGTAATCCTGCTTGAAGTGTCGACGTCCACGATTTCAAAAATACGTGGAGGCGGTTAAATTTCCGATTGTTCCGGACAGACGCAACACTGCCGGCCGGGAATGTCATTGCTTTTGTGAATGGGATTATGCCATTCATAATGGAATAATGTCTGGCTTAAGATTATCATAAATTCCTATGGCGTTGAAATAGTTTGTTATACATGGTATTGGAGAATGCGGAGGAAGTAGATTACGCAGTTTATAAGGGGTCGATTTTGATGATCTTCCTCAGTCTGCAGTGTAGAGAAACATTTCGACACCAAAACTGCCTTGAGTTGTTTTATCGCAGCTATGCCTATATCAGTTATGACGTTACAGCGACAAGTCGTATGCCCAAGGGTTCTAAATTCCTCCAAAGAAGATTATTGGTCTACAGTTCAACTGTAATAATTTGGCCAATATATGAATTTTGGCAAGGAGAATGCAAAGCGTCTCATCACCATACGCTGTCAGTTCTTTATATAACGAATTGAAGAACTGGCTTGTTTGTTTTTTTATTGGCGGCATTGGTGGGCCTGGGTAAAGATTCGGGTAATCTTGTCACAAGTTTCTTTACTGATGCAGATTGTAAACTTATTTACGTTTGTTAGGACCACTTGAAACTGTAGAACGCTGAGAAATCAATTTTTTGTATATTCTTTAGGCGGGTTAAATATACTTGCGTCTTAGAAGGTCATAATTCCGATCCTCACGCGTTTTACCGTAGCCCAAAACGCTAATTTTTGTTGTTAAAAAATATCTCCCGCCCACTTTTTTTGTAAAAGATTACAATTTTTTTCTCCATGCTATGCGAAACGATGACATAAACTCGATGTGTGGCTTTGACGCCGCGTTTTTATTTACTGTTTAATTCTATTTTGATTAAGTTTTGATTACCTGCATCAAAAAATTTCGGCGATTTTAATGCTTACTAGGAAGGAGCCGGACATACGGTTTAATAAAGTTATTTGACGGAAGGTAATCTTGTTAGACGTTGTTGACGTGCTAGCAAGTCGCATATAAAGTATTAAATGGCGTTTTAGAGAAGACTTGGGTTATTTTCTGTCGTTAAATTTTGAGATTATCTTGATTGCAAATTTTAATTTTGTGGAATGTTTTTATCGTTTTAAAATAGTAAATCCGGGACACGGAATCGCAAGGGACCAAACATTGTGTTTATAAGGGGCCCCTCATATAAAGCTTCGTTTTGGCAAGATACCCGCACATTCGCGAGATTGCCTAGTTTCTGCTCTACAATATCTTATTGTTAGTAGTGTGTTGCCACTGTGGTAATACTAAATCTAGCCTTACGAACCGCAGCTAGTTAGCGCACTATGGGTAATTTTGTTATGGCCCAAACAACTGAATGACGAGTCTACATTAACCGTGTTCCGCGCCAAGTAAAATAGACTCACTTTTTGTTCCACATTCGTTTTTTTCTCATATGTTTTCCTCTCTTTACCTGCTTTTTCGTCGTATTTTGAGTTAATAAAAATACGACGATTACTGCACGTGACTGCAATAAGTAAGTACCCCAATACTTGATGATCAACCTAACTCGAACACTATTTAGTCACATCACCCTCAGAAATTATGCAACTCCCGTCTCTTGATTGCGCTGATACTTGAAACGACCTCCGATCAATACTAGCTCTCACGAATTCGGTATTCCGAACACGTATTTGGCATTTCTCTTTTTATGCGTGATCACTTTACAACCGGTTCTTTAACGACCCAAATTTGCGTGCCTTTTGTGTTTTGCGGGTTTTAAATAACCGTGGTCCATTTCAGTCTTGTGGTTGAGCGTGTTAAGATGAGGTCGACCAAAGCTTTGGTGGTACTGTGTATTGTTCTGATGACGGGACAGGCCTACATTCAGAACCTGAATCCCTACGCAAAAATGAACTATTTCTGGGCGAAGAGCGTTGGATTGGAAAAACGGGAGGAAAGGAATGGTGAGTAATATAAAACCTAGTCCTGTGTAGTAGATGCAGAAAGGAACAGCTCTAGACATGGTCTACTAGTGTTTCCAGAAAATGCATCGACTTTTTCGCCTCATTCTCCGATAATTCCGCCTTTCCCTGAATTTTGTGAAAACGTAGTATCACGTCAAAGCATCACCCATTAAACCTTTATTACGTTTTGTAATCTACAGTAACCGCTCTAAAAAGCTTTATTTTCGCGTGTTTTTCCCTACAATCTTATAATCAAATATTGACGTTATACTCACCTCACGTGAACTACCGTACTCTTCGACCTATTACATAATCCCCAACAATAAAGAGACGCCGGACGTGGGGGTTGCCCAAAGGAAATCATTTTTCTAACGGTTTTTTGCAAGACGTATTAGGAAATTAACCGGATTTAGAGAATCCCGTGAATTCTCAGAAATCTCGCAGCGTCCCCCGACATGAAGCCATAGTTAATTGATTACAGTCAAGTGTCAATATGACGAATTGTCGGTGATATACGTCATTGATTGCAATTTTAGTTTAGAAAACCTTTTTTTTAAATGTTTTACACTTTAACGATTTTGAGTGCTATTGTAAGCTGCAGTTGCGTGTAAATGCATCCGGAAATTGGGTTCAAAAAAGTCGTAAAAGTTTACGTCAAGTGTAAATAATGTTCTTAAAGCCTGATATACGTTACAACCGGTCGACATAAAAGATTCTGCATTACAGTTCGCGACATTGAGGGTATCGAAATGACAGATGCAGCACCCCGACATATCACTCGATTCGTCTATTTCCCATCGGCATTACCATTTGCAAGGCCCATGAAATTCCCGCTGGACAATTAACGGTATCCTAATCCTCGTCCGATATCACTTTTCGACGTCATCGCCATGAAAAACGCAATTAAAACATTGCACTTCTTGAAAAGATCTACTCGAAACAATGAAATGTATAATGAAATAATAGCAATGTGAATAAATTATATTATAATTGTCTTTGTGGAATGTGTTTGGTATTTGTTTCAAATAATGGGATCCATTATTTCAAAGATCCCGGGTTTTACACATCTCTTTTATACACTTTTGTGTAGTTGATGTCATGTACAATTTGAAATTAAAGATAACATCCCAATAACTTGTAATAAGGAGCCCGCTTACCGCCTACAAAGCCCTTAGTGCACAAAGATTGTAGTAACGAGCTTTACAATAAAACGCGGGAAATGGCCTGACGTCTCAACGGGTCTTGCCGTTCATTTTTTGTTTTCTTTTCGTGAGAGGAGCATCTAAATTAGGACCCTGTTGTACTCATGATGCGCGTTATCAGCTCCCAGGTCGAATTTTAACTGATAATTCCTTCGATGAAAGGAATAAACAAAAATATTGGTGAAACGGAAATTTTCTATCATCCATGATAACCTTGGCGGAATAAAGGCCTTCCATTCCTTATGATACTAACTAAATTATTATCCCAGAACTGAGCTCAATTCTGCTGTATTTATTCCAACTCCCCAATTCCCAAATTTCCCCCATTTCAAATTTTGGTTTACCCCGACAAACATCTAAAATAAGGTGGAATGTTTCTGTTTTCCCAAACTTTCGCTGCATTTCCAAATAAAATTTCATTTTAATTCACGGATGTGCTCTGACGCACCATGACTCACTATATTTCTCTTATATAAACAGCCTTGACCTCAGTTTCAGTCCTCCGTATCAGTTTTACCCTTCTCCTCTGCACAAATTTTAGGCCTCATGGTAATAATAAATCCCTCTCGCGTAATGGGAGCGAGTGCCTTTCAATCATTTCGAAACAAAAAGACAACATTGCAACGTGCAGAATGTCCCCATTCATTCGGTTCGCAAAAAAATGGCCTTCCATTTTTACTTTTTCTCGGCGTTCCAAACGGATGGCTTTCTCAATTTTTTCCAGATTTCCGCCGAAAACGGAGAAAGTTCTCCTATTTTCTGCGCGCTTTACCAAACAAATTACTCAATGTTGTCGAGACAGCTAATTTTATCCTAATTAGAGTCAACTTTTCCGGGTTTACTTTGATTTATGGGCCCTTATTTGCGCCAACGCCTCTTGTTTTGGTTGTTTCTCCCTGCTGTTTTATTATTCTTCCAATTTTTGACTGATTCAGAAACCGAAAAGATGAGTGAGAGCACTATTTACCAATTCACAGCCAAGGATTCGGATGGAGCCGATGTTTCATTGGAGAAGTACAGGTAATTTAAAAGTTTAATATTATTATCAATGAGGTTTTTGGTAAGATGCACAGAGGGTTTCTCTATAATACAACAATTTTTTCGTGCCCGATACGAGTAATCGTTGGATGTGCTATTCCAAGGCTTACTTGAGTGGAAACCGACCCATCCAATTTATAGAAAATTAGCTTCTTGTCTAGTGTAATATAAATTTTTTTTGCTTTCAGAGGAAAGGTCGTGATCATTGTGAACACTGCTTCTCATTGTGGCTTCACGAACTCGAATTACGCTCAGCTGAAGGAATTGTTGGACAAGTACAAGAGCCAAGGTCTTGAAGTTGCCGCGTTCCCATGCAACCAGTTTGGACGACAGGTACGCTCTTTTTATTGCGTCTTTTGTGGATTTTAGTAGATGAAGATTTCGGCCTTACAAGAGTTGATTACTTCGCTTTTTGATATTGATACGAAAAAGGTTATGAAAGCAGCTAATGTGTTGCAAATGTTTTCAGGAGCCCGGATGCAACGCTGACATCAAGAATTTCGTCAAGGACAACTTCAAATTCGATCCCGATCTCTATGACAAGATTGATGTCAACGGAAAGAATGCCCATCCTTTGTTCGCCTACTTGAAGGAGAATGCTCCCGGCTTCCTCTTCAATGCCATCAAGTGGAATTTCACAAAGTTCCTGGTCAATCGCAAAGGAAAAGTGATCGCTCGTTATGCCCCCACAACAAAGCCATTGGACATGGTCAAGGACATCGAAAAGGCCCTTGCCGAAGAAGCCTAAGCACCCATGCCGTCTCTCTTATCATCTTGCCATGTTCCTAATTAAGTCTGCAGCCCATATCATTTACGTTATACATGATCTTGTAATATTTTTTGCCATTTCTAAGCTTTTGTATTGCTTACAATAGGAGTAAATAGTATTTTCAAGTGCGAATTGGAAGATTTATTGGCTATGTTACACTAATAATCGAGAATATTGGGGCTATTGTTTTCCGTAGTAAGGAGACCTCTTTGAGTTATTGGGGATTTTGTTTGCGGAGTTCGCGGACGGTGAGACCCTTGTGAGCAACGTCATCTACTCCAAGCTCTTGGAACAGAATGTAGAATCTTAATTCAAATTAGTAATTACATGCAATTGAAAGCTGCAGTTTTGTAGCGTGTTCTTTCTCAAGAAAAATGTGATTTTGATTCTTCCTGGCCAGAAAAATTTCTCGAAGCCAACGCAATAAAAAAAGTCTTTTACATACCTATCACTGGGTATGACGAGTTCTTTCACAATCAAATCAGTCAATTCTTTAGCCAATTTGTCAAGCCGATCCTTAACATTTCCGATCGAACGGATTGTAACGCTTCCACAAGGGCTTTCAGAGCCTCCAAATGACATTAATTGGTCAGTTTGTACGTGACAAGCCACTCGCTATAATTTGGATCTCATTTTAACGGGTATTCAGTTTTAAAATAGAGTAAATATAATATTTATGAAAGACATACATAAATAGTTCAAAATGTACTTTTTTAGTACAACAATTGCCCTTATTCTCACCTCAATTGGCTTATCCGTGACCTGAGCAATTGTTTCGGCAGCTTTAAGTAAAAATCCGTTAGGGACTTGTTCCTTTTTCAAGTTGGTGCGAATCTCCAAGACCGGCATCCTTATGAATAATATAGGAGAAAGAAAGTCTTATCAAAATTGTTTACACCCGAAAGGCCTTGAGAGGAGACGTGTCTTTCCCTGTCTTTTATACTCCAACTTTATTTGAGAAACCTTTTACTATTATTTTTTTGTAATCTTTATTCGAGGGGATTTTAATTCAAGGCTCAGTCGGGCGGAGCTAAGCGAGGCCAAGTTTCTTCTTGAGTTCGGGGACAGTGAGTCCGGTGTAGGCCACGTCGTCCGCGGCCAGCTCATTGTAGAGAGTATAGAACCTGAAAAGCTTTTAGGTTTAGAAAAGGTCGGGCTGAGAAAGTGATCGGGTTGGACTTGAGCAGCGGTTTTTTTCGAACTTTTGACTTCTCAATCTTGCACTACAAGCTTCGTGTGAAACAAATCTAAATCCCTATTCAACTCTCCTCTCCACTTTGAAAAGAAAACTGTGACGAGAAACGCGATATTTGAAAGTTTTGATATTTGGTAAGGTTTCTGTTCCACGAAAGATGGCCATACCTTTTTCACAGCAGCACATTCGATTACTGATGACAGAACAGCTAAATTTTAGCTCTGGAAAAAACTGCTGTAACAAATCAAACTTCAAATTTTGATTTGTGTTCCATTCTTCATGTAATTTATTTCCACAGTTTGAAGTTAGTGAACGCATACTTTGATCAATTTTTGAGTTTTACAAACGGTGATATACGGATAGGATTAGATTTCCTTCGAGAAAAAAGGTGAAAAAGCGATCGAAGCGAACCGGAAATTGGTATAAGAAGGTGTTGCTTTTTTACAAAAGGTTTTGATTTTGACAAAAGTTAACAGTCTGCAGAGCACTTCAATCTGCGTATGGTTTGCGGTACAATAGCAATTTTCGTTCATTTCATCGACCATCTTATCAACAGAAACAAGGCTGGCACAAAAAATAGGTCTAATACTCACCGTTCTGGCTTGATTCCCAATTCCTTGCTTATAAACTTGTTCACTTCATCGGCGATGACATGGATTTGCTCTGGGTCCTTGATCACACCAATACAGCGTAATGTAACGACGGCGCAAGGCTCCTCAGTTCCGGCAAATGACATAACTCGATCAGAGTCGAGCTGAGCCACCATTAACTAAAATTATGCTGAATAGCTTCTGCAAAACAATAATAAAAAAGAATACCGGTTTACTGTTTATCCGGGCCATTATTTTGAGTTTATGAAGGCCAGTTTAATCATTTGTTTCACTTACAGATTCTTGAGTCTTTGTGAGTTCAACGCCTTTGTCCGAGAGACGTTTCAGGAAGCCGGCTGGGATCTCCTCCTTTTTTAAATTTGTACGGACTTCGATAACAGGCATTTTATGGAATCCTAAAGTTATTTATTAATATATGGGCAAGTAGAATAGGGTATTTAACGTAAAAAAATCTGTATATCACGTGATGAGAAAAAGTTTTAGAAGATAGAAATATATATACAGAAGCAAATGCCGGCTGTGTCAACAACTCTAAAAACAGTTGGTGTTGCGGCCTATGTATTTTGTTTCTACCAGAAGAAAACCATACTACGTGCACACGCTCAGCATATATGGTTAACTTATGCAACAATTATTTCTTTATACAGCCCTCCCGCTACTACTTCTGTGTCATCATAAAAACGGTTAATCTGACGCCTATCTTATCACACGAGTATATATACTCGCTGAAGTCACAAGTCAAGCGCAGAAGTTTGTGTTATTTCTGCTTTTGACTACAAGTCCCGGTCCGTGCAATATAAACTAGAGTCTCGGCAACGTTCCGCATATTCTTTAGCTGTGATGTGTAACAGGCGGACTAGAATGTAGAAACGGCAATGTAAACTTTCCAGCATAAGGTAGAGTGCGCAAGACGCTAAAATTGTGCTCATCTTCCAAGTCAAACGAAGTTTGATTTGTATCATTAGTGCTCGACACATTGTAGCAATTCCTGAGAACATGATCTTTGTCGACGAAACAGCTTGTATATCTGCGGGCATCGGGCAGATATACAAACTATTTTCGGCCGCACGGCAACCCCAAGTGTTTCCTGGCTCCTTTCGACACTTCGCCCATTTTGTATCGGTTAAAATCAAACGAAATGTCACAAAAGAATTTTTCGTGGGGTTTTCCGACCGAAAAATATTTTTCTCGGAATTATTTTATTTCTTTTTTCAATTTTGACACTTCGTTTGGACGAAACTCAAAAGTGGGCGGGAAACATTTTTCTTCTATTTCGGGTTGCCGTGGGCCGTATCTTTGTCAATCTTGATGCTCTTTTCACGATCTAATATGTAGTCGGTTGTTTGATTGGTTCAGTTTTTGACAGGCATTTTATCACTAAACAATAATGAGATTTGGTGATTCGATTTCTTTCAAATTAGACAAAAGTAATCATATCGAACTTGTTTACACTCGAAAGACCTTGAGATGCAAGCGTGTGGTTGCTTTTTATGTTTCAGAAAACGGTTTTTTGTAATCATTTTTTGTAATATGTATACTGCGCGTCAAAAGTTTGGAACAGGCCAGATCTTCTTTGCGGCTTGAGATGGGAATTTCATTTCTTTTTTATTAGATGCTCCATGTATTAAGAACCTCAATGAATACATAGCCATGGAAATCAGAAAGCTCGTTGGAATTTAAAAAAAAATAAAAAAAAAATAAGTGCGTCAAAAGTTTGGAACAGCTTTTGGAAGGTGATTATAAACTTCGGGATGGAGGCAGGTATCCTCGCATTTAGTGTTTCTGGATGATGTATGGAATCGGTATGTCAATGGCATACTGATTTTCATCGATAAACCCAAAATGAAAAAAATGCTTATTGAGCCAAAAACTACGGTCAAAATTTGCGAAAAAATGAATTTTTTGGTTTGGGTTCTCTATGTTATCGGTGTGTAAGCGTTCTAAAATATTTAATGTGGTCGCACAATTGTACAAGGGTACTCAGATCTTCGGATAGGAACCATATCCGCACAGCATAATTTATGAAAATTTTGAGTTTTGCTATAAATCTTTATTTAATGTATTTTATATTTTTCATAGAGCGGCTTGGAGGCTAATTGGCTTTAAGACCGTTATCGTGGAATAAAAAGGTGTCCTCAAGAAACAAAAACCCACGCTACTTGCAACATCCAAGGCCATATCTTTCAGATATTAAAAAAAATTTTTGTCCCCAAAATCAATATTCATATCTGACCCGCACTTGTGGCGTGATAATTCGGAGAGTTGGTTTATAATACTGTATCGGTGTGATAACGATAAAGGCACTTAGTTTTGAGCCATGCAGCGGCTTCAAATCCAAGGTAAAAAATATGGGAATATTAACATTTCATATACCCGCTATTTTTAAAGATGTGGCCTTCATGTTGCAAATAGTGGTCAGGTTCTGCTTCTTAAAGACACCTTTTTATTCCACGATAACGGTCTTAAAGTCAATTAGCCTCCAAGCCGCTCCATGAAAAATATAAAATACATTAAATAAAGATTTATAGCAAAACTCAAAATTTTCATAAATTATGCTGTGCGGATATGGTTCCTATCCGAAGATCTGAGTACCCTTGTACAATTGTGCGACCACATTAAATATTTTAGAACGCTTACACACCGATAACATAGAGAACCCAAACCAAAAAATTCATTTTTTCGCAAATTTTGACCGTAGTTTTTGGCTCAATAAGCATTTTTTTCATTTTGGGTTTATCGATGAAAATCAGTATGCCATTGGCATACCGATTCCATACATCATCCAGAAACACTAAATGCGAGGATACCTGCCTCCATCCCGAAGTTTATAATCACCTTCCAAAAGCTGTTCCAAACTTTTGACGCACTTATTTTTTTTTTATTTTTTTTTAAATTCCAACGAGCTTTCTGATTTCCATGGCTATGTATTCATTGAGGTTCTTAATACATGGAGCATCTAATAAAAAAGAAATGAAATTCCCATCTCAAGCCGCAAAGAAGATCTGGCCTGTTCCAAACTTTTGACGCGCAGTATACATACAATCAATTTATTCTGTCCTTTTACAAAAATCGTCAATAAAACCACTCGAAGAAAGAGATTTTAGAGGCCAAGTTTCTTCTTGAGTTCCGTGAAAACGAGCCCAGTGTAGGCCACGTCGTCTTCGGCCAAGTCGTGGTAGAGCGTGTAGAATCTGACAAGGAAAGTACTTCTATGGGGTGTGGAGTTACAGGTCGAGATATATATCAAAAAATTCGCAAAAATTTTCTGATTCAGAATATATAAAAATTAGCTGCCTAATTTTGGTCTGATGACATGTTTTTGTCCTCAGAAGTTTTCTCTCGATACCACGCAAGTGTCTTTTTGACCGTGTTTTTACCAATAAAAAAAATTTGTTTTGTGCTAAAATAAATTCTGAGGCCTTGACAAGCCTTAAAATATCAAATTGGATTACAACTACACCTTAAAAGTAGTTCCAATGTAAAAAATGGGTTCTAGTATGGCAAAAAGAATCGAACCCTCTCCCCTCGGATTCCCAATCTAGCGCTCTAGCCACTCGGCCACACCGCTCTCTTCCGAAGGAAGAGACCGAGCGCGCTTTTGTTGCCGCAGATTTTTTTCCTCGAGAAATACATTTATTGATAAAACTCGTTGATAAACCAAAATTAGGCAGCTAATTTTTATATATTCTGAATCAGAAAATTTTTGCGAATTTTTTGATATATATCTCGACCTGTAACTCCACACCCCATAGAAGTACTTTCCTTGTGAAAAGCATCATGCAAGGTTATCAGGGTTTTTAATAAAAAACTTTTAAAATCAACTATACCTTTCCGGCTTAATTCCCAGTTCCGTGCTAATAAATTTGTTAATTTCCGCGGCGATGACATGGATTTGTTTGGGGTCCTTGATATTGCCAATGCATCGGAAGGTTACGGTGGCACAGGGCTCTTCAGTTCCGGCAAAACTCATGATTTGATCGGGGTTGATTTGGGCCAAAATCAGCTAAAGAAGCCGTTTAAGTAAAACATTTGAATAAAGAATTCGAATCGTGTGTTGTGAAGGGGCTTATGATGTGTCTGACTTACAGATTCCGGCTTCAATGAGAGTTCAGAGCCTTTTTGTGAAAGGCGCTTCAGAAATCCAGCGGGTATCTTCTCCTTCTTCACATTGGTGCGGACTTCAATAAGAGGCATAGCTGTGGGCTTCTGAAAATGAAAACGGGGCTAAACATTAGTTGGAATTTTCACAGGTCGTATGCGACCGATTAAACTTTCTACGGTAAACGAAAATTCTAGTCGATCCACAAATCTCTTCAAAAACCACCTATCATACAACCAACATGCGGCCTGTTTTATATATTTATAGGCTTCAAAATCAAAGGAGAACTCGTTAAATCTCCGACAACTATATGTTTTATTACTCATAACTCCAAAAAATGAGTATAATAGCCACATTCGCGGTGGTTTTTGGCAAGTGTTGCCCATTGTTATATGATTTTTAATCTAAAATTTGACAAACGTTTATAATCAATGAAAACTGAAAGGAAAAATCTGTTTACGCTCGTTTCTCTCTTTTCCATAAAAGGACGAACTTATTTATGTGATTTCTTCCACTTTTATACGCCCATTTTTATCAACGATTTGAGGGTTTTCTGAGTTTTTGCCTTAATTTTTGGTCAACTGCACAGATATTTTTATTTTAGTAATGGTTTGCGCAAAAAGGCTGTCAGTGGTTGAAAAAAACAGCTGTGAAGAGAAGGCTTCGTGTGTGGTATTGCACAAAGCGATTAGCCCGAGTTCAACAGGTTGTAAATGCGGACTCAACGTGCAAAAGTTTAGAGGTTACGAATGAAAAGGGCTGATATGAATATACTGAAAAGATACCAAGAAGTTGGGCAAACAAGCAATGAGGATACGAGAAATCAACGATAGTGAAAAGCTGAGATCATCGGTCCAGTAAAAGCATCGGTAAATTGAAGATGGTCTGCCGTTCCAAAATATTGCTTGGAAATTTGAGAGAAAGTGGTTATTTTCTCTATGTCAGTTTATTTTTACAACATAAAAAATCAGTTAGAATTACATCACTCAACGACTATGGAAGATTCATTTCCTTCTTGAGCTCGGTGTAAACTTTGCCGGTATAAGCAATATCATCTTCTGCCAGATCATGGAATTGAACGTAGAACCTAAAGTTGGAGAAACAGTAATCTTTATCATCTTAGTTTTGTATAAAATGTACCCGTAAATCTTTTCAAAGCATAAAGCTAGAAAATTACTATGAAGCGTCAACTTTTAAGGCCAAAACTTTGAAAAGTATTATTCTTCTATCTAATTGTAAACATCAATGTTTATTGATCATATAAAATTACCTACCGTTCTGGCTTAATCTTCAATTCGGTCGAGATAAATCTCGTTAACTCCTTAGCGTTTTGATGGATGTATTCTGGCTCCTTAATCTTGCCGATGCACCTGGTTGTGACAATCGCACAGGGCTCTTCAGTGCCTCCAAAGGACATGATTTGATCGGGGTTTATCTGAGCCAAGATTAGCTAAAATATCGATAAAGTAAATGGAAGAACAAAGTAATCATTATTGCTGAAAGGATAGCAATTATACAGTAACTGAAATTGTTTTTACTTACAAACTCTGGCCTTCGAGTAATCTCCACGGCTTTGTCAGAGAGCCGTTTCAGAAAGCCGGCAGGGATTTGATCTTTTCGGAGGTTGGTCCGGACTTCTAGAGTTGGCATTTTCGGAATCTATGATTGTAAAACTAAAAAAAAAACTTTGGGAATATTTATTTTCGTTTACACGTTTTTTTTCGGTAAACCTCTATTTTTTCAAAAAAAAATAACTGAAAAATCCTGAAATTCTTGAAAGATAGTGAGATCCCATGTAAAGTTCCCAAAAAAAACTTTTTACGAACGTCTTGTTATGAATACTTACATTCTTTACGCTCGACTTTATATACCTATCTAGGACATGTAAAAGTTGATCGTTTTTTCACCAGAAATTTTAAATTCTACGTCAAAAAATTGTGTTTTTATGCATTCGACAGAAACATTCGAAAAATTCGATTTTCCCCATACAAGAGTTATTCTTTGCAATCAAACTATAAAACAAAAGTTTCGCTGTAATAATAACAGCACAGAATATAAAATTGTAAAGAAAACGATACAAAAAATAGCTTATCTTATCATCCACGTTGATTGTTTACCTAACGTTATATATATGTTTCAATAAGGCAAAAATATTAAAATTGAAGGGTTCGTTTGCAATACGCGGTAAACAAGATGATATCAGCTGTGAGAGCACTCAGTGAATTTTCGTTGCTATTGGAATTTCATCCATTAAACAACGATAATAAAACGAAGTCGGTTGTGTCCGAACAGTGCACCTGAAACAAACAGTGCACCTGGCTGAACGGGGCACCTGAGCGAACGGTGCACCTGACACATTTTGAACTGTGCACCTGGGCGAACGGTGCACCTGGGTGAACAGTGCACCTGGGCGAACTTCGGAACTGGGAAAAAAGATTTTTTTGGAAAATTTTAATAAAATTTGAAATGTTTTCGCTTCGGGACTGGGAAAAAGGATTTTTCATGAACAATTGAACAAAAATTGAAAGGTTTTCGCTTCGAGACAAGGAAAAAGGATTTTTTTTTGGAAAATTTTAATAAAATTTGAAATGTTTTCGCTTCGGGACAGGGAAAAAGGAGTTTTTTGGAAAATTTTAATAAAATTTGAAAGGTTTTCGTTTCGGGATCACGAAAAAGGATTTTTTTGGAAAATTTTATAAAATTTGAAAGGTTTTCGCTTTGAGACAGGGAAAAAGGATTTTTTTTGGAAAATTTTAATAAAAGCTGAAAGGTTTTCGCTTCGGGACTGGGAAAAAGGTTTTTTTGGAAAATTTTAATAAAATTTGAAAGGTTTTCGCTTCGGGACAGGGGGAAGGGAGTTTTTTGGAAAATTTTAATAAAATTTGAAATGTTTTCGCTTCGGGATAAATATGGCAAGGGTAGATCAAGGCAAATTCTTTTGACGGATTTTTTTTATATGACAAATGGGGATCAAGGTAAGCCGTTTTTACTGATTTCTTTGTTTGTCAAAAGCTAGATATGAAAGGGGAGATCAAGGCAACTTGTTCTGAGTAATTTTTCGTCTGTGAAAAAAATGTTACTCCAATAGGGCTGTTGCCGGTGCGCCACAAAAATACGAACAGAACCTAGCAAACCTAAAAATAATCAGATGTAAGTGTAGTTCTTTCGTTTCTTACCGTTTTACTTTCTCCATGGAAAACACGATGCTCCTTGCAATCTCTTCAATAATTGTTTCGGATCCACGAGTTATGATCTCATCTCTGGCTACATCAGAAACCCGACGTTTTGGCATTGCCTGATTTGTCAAGATTGGAAGGATGTTTAGTCCCTGCTTTTCAAGATCACGCGTTATTAACTCAATGAATTTGTTGAGCGTTGTACTTGAGCTTAAGATGGCATTCCATCCATTATGCTGCCCCTCATTTATCTTTTTACAAACAAAAAAATTGTCAAAAAAAGCTTACCTTGATCTCCCCTTGTCATATTTAGTTTTTCACAATGAAAAAAAATGATAAAAACGGCTTACCTTGATCCCCCCTTGTCATATTTATCTTTTCACACACAAAAAAATCGGTCAAAAAATTTGCTTTGATCTCCATTGTCATATTTACCTTTTCACAAAGAAAAAATGGTTTTTTTTTCGAAGGGAAAACTTTTCAAATTCTTTTCAATTATACACAAAAATTCCTTTTTCCCTGTCCCGAAGCGAAACCCTTTGAAAATTTTTAAAAATTTTACAAAAAAATCCTTTTTCGTGATCCCGAAACGAAAACCTTTCAAATTTTATTAAAATTTTCCAAAAAACTCCTTTTTCCCTGTCCCGAAGCGAAAACCTTTCAAATTTTATTAAAATTGTCCAAAAAAATCCTTTTTCCCTGTCTCGAAGCGAAAACCTTTCAAAATTTTTAAAAATTTTACAAAAAAAATCCTTTTTCCCTGTCCCGAAGCGAAAACCTTTCAAATTTTATTAAAATTTTCCAAAAAAATTCTTTTTCCCAGTCCCGAAGCGAAAACCTTTCAAATTTTTTAAAAAATTTCCAAAAAAATCCTTTTTCCCTGTCCCGAAGCGAAAACCTTTCAAATTTTTTAAAAAATTTCCAAAAAAAATCCTTTTTCGTTGTCCCGAAACGAAAACCTTTCAAATTTTCTTCAATAATGCACCAAAAAACTTTTTTTCAAGGTGCACCATTCGCCTAGGTGCACTGTTCAAACAATAAAATGTCAGGTGCACCGTTCAGCCAGGTGCACTATTCACCCAGGTGCCACGTTCAGCCAGGTGCACAATTCACCCAGGTGCCCCGTTCAGCCCGGTGCACAATTCGTCAGGTGCACCGTTCGGACCGAATCACGAAGTCTACGTAACAAAGTGAAAAATCAGCAAAAATCTCAAAAGTTTATTTGACTACTGGATTTATTTATGCAAATATTAGTGTATGTAAGAGTGTCAAATGAGAATGCAACCGTTAAGATATTCTGTAGCGTCTTTTTTGGAACATTATGGCAATATTTACCTGATGACTTTTATGAATTTTTTAAATTTATGCCCATTTTAATCTCTGAAAAAGTCAATGTCAGCATTTCATGATAGTTACACACGTTTTTTGTCTATTTCAATTATTTTTTCCACTTTTAGTCGCAGAAGCCGGCAAAAATGATGAAAGGACAAAAAAGAAAACACTCCAAAGGGTTTTCCCCTCCTGCGAAGAGAAAAAGAAGAAAGAAAGCAAACGCTCTCTTGTAGCGCAACTGTTTGTGCGCTCGTCTTGCATTCGGCTGGTGGTTGGTTCGACCCCGGCCGGATGTGGGACGCGGCTATGATGCTGCTATCCAATGTTCGCAGTTTCCAACCTGAATCACAACGCGTGGGTCTTGGCTTAACTGAGTCGCTTTTTGAATTTTTCAAATCGCAATTGATTTTTGTGAGACTGGAATTGAGGATACGCCCTAAAACATACACAATTAGTGTTTTAGCCCTTGAAATGGATGAAATTTATCTTTTTCAAAGCTTCTTACAAGGGAAGTACCCCAAGTGCGACCCTCGGATTTTCTTTAAATTTTGCACACACGTCGGGAATAGACTAAATATCAATTCCTGAAAGTTTTAGCTCGCGCTTTGCCGGCGCCGTCGAGATATCGGACGATTTATGCCGCCGAGAGGGCGCGCTAAACGTGGAGAGCGGTCAGAGAGAAAAACGCTTTTTGGCCATAACTTTGGCAGTTTCATGCGGAAAATTTTGATTTTTTGTAGAAACATTACCCTTTACGGTAGAAATAGGCATGAAACTTTTCGTGCTGAAATTCGACAAAAAGTCCTAAATTTTCGCCGACTTTCGATCTAAAAATCTCGGTTGTTTCTGCAAAGCGCGAGCTAGGATTCTCGCATATATCTTAGAAAAAATTACTCTAAATTTGTGCCAAGTTTCATCAAAATCTGAGCGTCGCACTTGGGGTACTTCCCCTGTTAGTTATGTATGTATTATATAACATTTATTGTTTCAATGAGGTAAAATTAATCAAATAATTTAGAATACAATTAAAATATAGTATTTTTCTATCGAAGACTGCTCCTTTGCCGAAGAAACATTGTATTATTCGTCGTAATGTAGCTAACCGGACCGTGTGAAGTTGTGTCGACCCTCATGATTTTTAAAATTTTGCTTCTATACGATTTGATCAATGTGAGAGAAAAAAGAGCATTCAGGCAGGAATGCCACGCCAACGGAACGTAGATAAAAGCTCCAAGATACTCATTGCTGGCTCCAAGAACTAATGAGATCACTATGGTTAACAACGGAATCGTGACGAACAAAATACAGAGAATTGTCTGAAAACGCATTTTTGAAAAATTAAGCATCTTTTCATAAGCTGTTTTTAAAAACTAAAAAAAAAACAGTCTGCCATCTTGCCCATAATTATCCCATTTCAAGTTAAATATACCTGTGCCACTATATTTCTTGTAAATTGGAGCTGCAGATGCCTTGTTTTAGACGTCGCTTTGCTCCGATGAATATTGGCTTTCCATGTGCTCATTATGACATAATAAAGAGCTACTAGGTGGCCAACTGTCATTAATGTTGCGGAGTAGATAATGAAAACAAGAGAAGTTTGATTCCACTGAAGACAATTTTTTAGTATTTCGTTTATCTTTCATCTTCAAGTTGACAACACTTCACTTACCAGATACACCGCATAAACTGGCGCTCCAACGCGTTCAAGAGCTCTTAAAATTTGCACGTTGGTCTCCAGCGAATTTGCCAAGTATCCTTCGCAAGCGCGGCTCGCCAACGCTGCTAATACTCCCCCTATGCTGGAAAGAAGGAAAACAGTTTTCATTCGTGCGAGGAATGCTGTGGGTGAAACGGAGGGATTCTCTAGTAATGCTAGACGGTAGTAAAAGATGGCAGGGATGACCAGTATGCTTTGGTAGACCATGCATATGTGAAAGGCCAAAACGGGTCGACGAAATGAAGAGGGTAGGAGCTGCTCAATTCCGTGAGAATAGAAGAAAAGAGCACCACTGTCCAAGATGATTTCCTGAAGGTTTTAAAAGGCAAATCCTTCGGAAAATTCAGAAAACTTGTTCTTACCACGCCTATCGTCTTTGGTTTGTAATCAACTTACATGCTGTATAAGCACTTCGGACAAGGTGTAGCAGAGGTCTTGGATAGCGACCGCATAAGTCATATACGAATGGGACCGAGTTTTGGCCTTCGTTTTGCGGATAATGTATATTAAAAGTGCATTCAGAACAAGTCCGCTGACGGTTCCACAGAGGATCAACAACGCACGCAAGGAGCGCATAAAGGGTCGAAAGGTGCATCAACTGAAAATTATATTTTTAGGCATTCGGATTTTTAGGATGTAAATGTAATAGTCTTTCAGTTTCGTTTTCGAAGTTCAATTCAACAAAGTTGAAAAATTTTAAATGTGGGAGTTTAAATCAAGGCTAAATTATCGGGCTGAAGTCGCCAGGTCGGGGCCGGCTATCGGTGCGATGACCAACTTTATTCAAAATTCAAAAAGTAAAGAGAAAAAAGCAATAAAAAAACGTCTTTCCCCCCGGTCACATTCTGTTACAAATATGGTTTGTAAATGTGATTGACATAACCAAATTACAGAAATGTCATTTGGCAGATGTAACGATACTAAACCGCCTGAAAAGACAGCAACCAAAACGTTCAAGATGTAACCATAAAGGTGAATAAACAGGATCAAAGGCCTGTAAAAAATATTATACATCCTACTTCTGCATAGTTAAGTCGTAAGGCATTGTTTCTGTGAGCATAACGCGGAACGAAATTATAGTGTTTGAGTGTCTGGAATTGCAATTTCAAAAGTATCCTAACACATTTAGTCGTACAAAAACGTGGGCTTTTTGCTTATTAACTTAATCTGGAGAGATGTATGGGGTAAAGGACAAAGGACATACTGGATATGAGGGTAATGCGTTTTTGAAGAAATGCATGATGGTCAAAAAAATTTTTTTTGGACCCTCCTACAGCCACGGTGATCAAACAAAAAACGACCCTGCAGGTCAGTGCAGACGATACCACTGCAAAAATGTAGGCCGGTGTTTACAGGTCAAGCCGAAGTCAATTGTAGCTTGTTTTATATCATGAACCTCGACCGGAATGCCGCACATTTCTTTCTATAATGAAAACCAAAAACATTTCTATAGTCGCTTGGTCGTCTAGACTATTTTTGCACAAAACGAACGGCTTAATTTATACAATAAATTCCGCACTTTTTTAAATGATTTCTTCAACATAGCATACCAAGGTTTCAACTAAGAAGGTCTTAAAATAGATGAATTCAAGCCAATTGATATTTTCAAGGCCAATGAGGAACAGACGAGGAGCATTTGAAATTGTAGTTGCCAATAAATAAAAAAACAGCAAGAGAAATCCCTTTTCTGCAATCAAAATGAACAACAAATCTCGGTACAAAAATCGTGAGATATCAAAGACTTTGCTTGTTATGGATCCTTTACGAGGGTCCGTTTTAGCTAAAATTTCCTTTAGATACCTCCAAAAAAGCTTGCTAAAGTATACAGGGCTGGTTTAACTGGAGTTTGTTGAGCACAGCTCCCACTTTGTTTAAAACGAATTTATGGAAGCGATAGAATAGTTGGTACCAAAAATAATTTGATCAGCCGTATGCACCATGTGAGTTTACTTTGAACCTACCACTTAAAAATATAGAAACATGATTATGTAGTTATAAATAACCGAAAGCTGAATGTACATATGTTTGACACAAATCCTGTATTTATCGAATTAACAGCTATAATTTAATTCATTTTTTGGGAATGCAACATAATATTATGTAAAATTACATGTGTATAACATTATTTTGAGAGTTTAAAATTGTGATTATCACGATTTACAGCGGTTCCATGGGTGAAACAAAGCATTTTTACCTTGAAATGGCTTGAATACCATAAATTCATGTGCCAATTTCATATTGAATAGCATAATCCAGTCAGCCCTGCATAACTTATGTTCACTATTTCTGTGCAGAATAATTCACTCTTTCCCCTTGTTTTTGGAAATAATTCTTTGCAAAATACCGTTTTCCCGCCCTCAAAATGTTGGCAAACCCAATTACACCTTTCGGACAACAAATTAGATTACTTTATACGTCAACCATAGCAAGGGTAAAGTTTGACTTTTGCGCGTTTAGCTGTTGGGAGTTGACAGTCCAACTCGTAGCCCAATGGGATCAAAGTTTTCACAGTGCCCTTGATGGAAGGGATAGCCCAAAATCCACTGATTTGAAGCGTAGTTCGCAACTAGCCGGAGGATACAGTAGTTGGATGCCTGAAAGCAAGATAAACGTACAGTGGCGTTCGCATGAGAGAATGCAAATAAAGTGAAGAGAGAGGTTGAACAAGCCTAGGTGTAATAGGTTGTTGCAATGACATTTCTGTCTCTCCTTGAAGCCCCAAAAGAGCATACTAATTGTAAGGATGCAAGCCGCTCTTTACACCCAAGAATTTTTCCCCTAATATAAATATTTGACGTCAAGTTTTAAAAAATTCCGCTTGTGTAGCCAAATAAATATTATATGTCTTTTACCCGCTACTTTGCTAAACCATGTAGTTTCTCTACATACAATATTAAGACTGAGAACCTTCAAAGCTGGACTTCAAACTCAACGCGAACTTACGGTTTGTGTGATGTACTGATGTGGAGTCACGGTGTAATTTTTCCCACCCAAATTGAGCGTCAAGTCCGGCAGCTGAGCGCGTCTTTTACAGTCGATCAGATCATGAGCCCAAGAGAAATCATAGTAGAGACGAACAAGTTCGTCGTGAATGGGCTGATATAGGGCGACAGGGATCTGGATGTTCTTGCTGAGGGTGGTAAAACTGGCGGTGTGACCAGAGACAGCGCCGCCAGCAATAGAGCCGAATTTATAACTAAAACGCAGTGGATAGTCAATGTGAAAAAAATTCGACGAATGAAAATCAGGAGTTTATAAGCCAAATGTTCGCTATTAGCCGCTACCTTACCCACCTTATCAACGGGATCTCCCATCTGTTTCCAATTGTCAGCGTCGTTATACTCAACGGAATATAATGGAAGGGCTGGACGCAGTTTGGATCTTCTCCTGTTGTAATTGTTGCAGTTTGATTTGCACTGAAAGTGGTTAGAAACTCGGAAAGTAAGGCTCGCCTACTGGTGTGTAGTCAGCGTGTACGAAGTTCCATTGCCGATCAGTGTCGAGAAATATCCCGTCAAAGCCGTTACGGATCCCAACCCCAGCCCAAACAGACCGCTGGTGTTCAAGGTCTTGTAAAAACTGTAGTCGGCCAGCTTGCTTTCGCCGAAATTTGTGGAGCCTAGGCTGTGACCAGCGATTGATATCGTGTCGCGGGCGGAGACCAGAGTTACTGTGCCATTGCCAGAATAGTAAGATGTTGTAAGGTTAAGTTTGACACCGACCGCACCTGTGGTGTAGGTTGAGCTTGAGCTGCAAGGAACAAAACCAGGATTACAAGAAGTTTTGGGTAAACACATCAATAAAGCTAAACTTACTGGCCTCGATAGTACTGTAAAGTGCCTTTGGTGCACTTGGTGCTTATTTGATAGCACATTCCACCATACACCCACAGATCTCTAGTGCCGATGTCAAGTCCGAGCCATAGCACTTGACCTAAACGCAACATCTCTTAATGGTCAATATTTCTCTGCAAAGCTCAGAAAATGAGTTTTAGATCACTACAACCTATATCATATATGTTTCCGAAGGATTGAATTTTGAGCTCTATCATTATATCGGACTCAAGAAATTATCAAAATCATTGTGTAGACTTACTTGGTGTTCCAAATTCCGAGCGCGCAGCGTAGTACCATTCTAAAAAAGGGCATTATTGACATCCGGCGGAGAAACATAACTGGTCCTTCGAAAAATCAGCAGACTCACTTTTGACGGTCAAGTTTATCGTTTCACTCAAGGCTGTGCCAATTACAATCCCCAATACCAGCAACCGCAGCGTACAGTAACGCATTTCGGATCTGCCGTTAGCCGAGCCTTGGTCCGTTTTAATTGAAACATTTTTTCGGTGAAAATGGATTCCGCATTTCAACTCGGGGGTAGTCGATCAGGGCAGGTCCGGATTATCCCGTATTTCGGGCAACCGCGGTTATATACATAACATATCGGTGTTTTTTATGTATAAGTTATAATAACGAACGTCATGCAATTGAAGAACGGAAGATGTGATCGAGATCACCATAAAAGGAATGCGGATGTTGGTATGCAAATAATATTGTTCAGTTTATAGCGTGAACCAGTGGGCAGCTAACCGAAGTGGCAAACAAGTAAAAAAAGGGCTGCTTCCTGCCTTGCTGTTATCCACCATTGCATTTCCCCTTCAAGGTTTGTCTGGTAGGTATTTTTTGTTTTTTTCCAGCTGGTTTCGCTCTGAAAGCCGTCAATTTATTGTCAAGGCCATTCAAGGAGCCACGACGTTGCAATGTATCGCATCCAACGAAGATACTCTATTTCGGCCATATCGCTCATCCATGGCCAAATTTTCTCTCCAAGCAAGACATTCCTCATCTGTTTTTGCAAAAACCAATCGAGCGCCGTTCTTTGATCATTCACAGTACCATCCGCAGGACATGTTGAAAAAGAGGAATAAATTATAATCATAAATCAGTTAAACTCGGAACATGGACACAGAGTGCTGCTAAATTTTTTTATCCGTTGCCATTGGCGTTGCTATCTAATAAATTGGCTATTCATTCGGCAATAAAACAAGTTGAAATTTTGATGTAACAAAACAGTTTACTGACATTTTAAATGATCCGTTTTTGAGCTGCATCTCATTGATACTTTATATCTGCATTAGAAAAAGGAAAGGTGCGCGTTCCCCGTTCACATTCAATTATTTCTATGCAGACTCTGTTAAATCCCTGCTGTTCATAGAATTTACGGAAACAAGCCGAATAGAAGTAACAAAAAAAGAAGAGTAAAATGATCTGGCGGGCTCCAGATGACGTTGTCGTTCAGTAAATTCGAGAAAATTTTAAGGGTTTTGAACGTGTTAAAGTGGCAGACCTCAAGGCATCGAGCGGTGCTGGTAAGTTGAGGCTTTACTCTAATAAACATCAATTATAGATAGCAGTAGCCATATCTACAGTTTTGTTATGGAATTTTTTCTCATTTAACCCGACGCTTTCAATATCTCTAGCATGTAACACCAGTCTAAGCTTCGAAGAAGACAACAGTATGTCAATGTCATATGACTTTATTGCCCATTTTTTCAGTTGAGCTACAGACAACTACATACCCAGAACGTTTTATAAATGACACTCTAATATCTCTGGATGAGTTACATGAAGAAATTTTTAAGGCGTCTTTCAAAACTAGCCATCCATACGAAAACCAATGTAAATTTCCGGTGTTAAAGAAAGGTAAAAATTGTAGAACATATTCTTTAATCTACTTGTTTTTATACATACTTTCAGACGAAAAAGATCTCTTCCGCCATGTTGGCCATTACGCTCAAACGAGATGTGTAAAGCCAAGGGCAAAAATGGGCGGAATTACTGTAAAACAGTATGACTCTGGAGAAATTTTAATTGGCAAAGGATTTCCATTCACTAACAGCCTGCAAGACATAAAATGTTATGCTAGGGAGATATCAGGGACTCTCGCACCAAATATAAAATACTTCAGATACGTTGGGAAAAAGATTGAGGTGAGGTTTTTCAGACCACAGCGCTTATAATAACTTCCAGCTCCCAAAAAACAAGCCCTTCTACATTGACAAAGTGCAATTTTCTGTTGAATGTCGGAACAAAAGAAACACATTGATTTACACTAATGCATTTGCAACTTTTCCCAAAAAGAAGGTCGCTCGTCATCAACAAAACTCCGCTTTTACCAAGGATAATCAATTCTCCATTTCGATTCTGGTTTTAGACAGCACTTCAAGAAATCAATTCTACAGGTAGACGAAAAGTAATACTGGTTGAAATCTGCTGGCGATTTCAGACATGCTCCAAAAACGTTGAAGTTCATGAAAGAAAACGGGTTTAAAATTCTCTGGGGATATAACAAGGTAGGTCTGCAGTCTTCTTAATGAATTGTCTCAGGTTGCTGACAATTCTGCTGTGAATTTGATGCCGATTTTGACAGGGATGACAATTGGGCCAGCATTCGACTATCCAGGGAGAGTGGTCCCTTTGAATTTGACGTTCCTAGAACGCGACTTGCTGAATCGGAAATGGGAAAAAGAGTTGTTTATCAAGAGGGTTAAAGGTAAAGCAAGCTGGGTTAAACCCTCGTTAAAAGCATACTAAGACTCACATCCAATTTGCAGAGCTCGGTTACACAACCATGTGGAATGACGATATTATGGTCACAAAATTAGGGCTATTCAGTTACGGTCTCTTCAAAGGATTTCTCCGGCCCCCAGCCGATTTCTACTTTCGGTAGGGGTTAGGAACATGCCTCCAAAACAATTTCAGCCCCTTTTACTCCTACCTTTACTCCAAGAAGAATGCCCGTTTCCACTGCGTTGAAGGAGAACTGGCTTCAAGACGGTACCTAAAGCTATGGAAAAACTTTGCTTTGAAGTTCAGAAACCACTCTCACTTTGGTTTCACATTCTTAACAGCTTTAACTCACGATGATCCAGCTGCTGTTGGATTGCTCGACCCGGATATTTATCACAGTTTAGAAGATCTCAAAAAGTCAGGAGGATTCGAAAACACTATTCACATTATAATGGGTGATCATGGCCATAGAATTGTAAGGAAGCTTGAATGAGTAGAAGACTGCAACTTTCCAGAGAAGCATCCAGAAAACCTATACTGGCCGTCTGGAAGAAAGAATGCCACTGTTTTCAATCCGATTTCCCAAAAGATTCAAAAAACTTTATCCCGAGAAGGTTCGAAAACTTGAGGAGAATCAGAATCGGCTCGTGTCTAATTATGATATCCATCAAACTCTACATGAGGTGCTTTTCGGGGACTTGAATACCAAAACAAGAGGAACTTCGCTGTTTCAAGATATCCCTCTAAATCGGACATGCACAGATATTTTAATCCCACAAAATCATTGCACTTGCATGGAGAAAGTAGAAGATACGGTAGGCGGACAGGACCTTTGCAAAAAAGCTAACGTCTTTTTTAGTCCAAAGTTCGGGCCAAACACAACATTGCCACAAAAATAGACGCTCTCCTTTCCGATTATATAAACTCTACAACATCTGAGATGCCCTGCGTTCACAACTACACGTTCAACCGCATACCAACCATCAAAATTTTGAGTATGAATCCGCTGGCCAGATTTGGAGTCCGTTTTATCAAAAACCTCATCGAATTCAAGTTTCAGAAAAAGTATCGAACGCCGGCCGACAATGAGATCTATCTCCTGGAGACTACAGGAAATATGAATGCTACGACTGTTCACAACAACTTTGTGCTCAACTTTACCTCGCGATTCAGCTATAATCGCCTTACTGGCGATGTATTTTTAGAAATCGATCCATTTATTACACTCAGTTCGACTAATTGTAAAATTTACATATTGAAAGACCTTTGTAAGTGTCAGTAGGGCAATAAATAATAATTGAAACGCATGTACATACATTGTGTTATATGGCAGAGATCTCGGAGGGTTGTGGAGAATCGAGGGATTCGTATTTCTTGGCAGCGAATTTGTGAAGGGCGTAGAATATCAGAAATATCATTGCTAGGAAGATGGCGACCAACGCGACGATTAGAAATGTGTAAAGAATGGACAGGGGAAATCCTGCGAACTTATCGCTGGCTGTGCCCTAGAAAAAAAATTGTAATTTTTAAAATATTAAAAAAATGAGTCTCAAAAGTTTCAATTTGTAACCACACAACGAGAAAAATATATCACCCACCAAAAGCTGGTCAAAGTCCGTTGAAAGTTGACGGAAGCTGACATCCAGACTTGTTACTACTTCGTCTCCCTTTGTTGTTATTATTTTGCCATTTGTTTTTACCTGAAAACGCGTTTAGTCGTACAAAGTGAAACATGTATTTTTTTGCTGACTCACGCTCTTATCTTTGATGATATTTGCATTTCTATTCGTAAGGATTTTAAAAACACAATAGATGGGTGACTCTTACCTCTCCTACCAACGTGTTTATTTTTCCGGCAACGGACTGTATTCTACTCGCTGCGAGATCAATGGAATATGGGGGCTTTGTCGTTCCCGGTTCGTCATTGTAAAAATGTCGATACATCCGGCAATCTAAAGAACTTGATGAAAAAACATTTTTTTATAGATCAAAGATCCGTAAAAACCAACTTCTCAAAAAGACGTAGCTTTGATACCCTTGAAACTGTATCAAAACCCGAAAATAATTTGAGCAAAAATCCCGATAAAATATTTTTCCAAAAGCACCGAAATGCACCTTTCTCTCTCTCTTCCCCTTCTCGTATCTTTGTTTGTATACTCAGGAGGTGAAAATGCGCATACTCATCTCCTTCCCTTCTCTTTTCCTCTCTCTTCAAGGCGATCGCTAAACAACGTGTCCGCGGGCTTGGCAACATACGACGGAAAAGCGTTGTTTGTCTTGCAAAATTCTTGAAAGTGCTACCAAAAAATCGGAAGTAAACAAAAAATTGTCGAAACTCCATTTGCAATGTTATATTTCTACAAAAATTAATTATGTATTCGATATTCCCCACCTATTTCTGCTGCAAATGCCAGACGACCTTTCATTGCAACCAGCTGCACCTGTCCCTCGACCCTTCCGCGATGAGGGAAGGCGTAATGCCAAGCTCAAGATTTTCTTCGTAGATCCGGGTATAATGTCGTTGTCTCGGTCACGTTTCCACTACAATGGGTTCAGAAATTTTTGCCGATTGGATGTTGTAGTTTACATACTGGTGAAACACCAGGTGAAGCGTGGTCTCAACTGTGTTTCTTTGCTAGGCCTGATGAACAACAGCATAATAACACACGTACGTATGCAACGAACCACGTATACAGCAAATTACAGAAATAGTGGGCGTGTCCACAAGGTCGACCGTAACACCTATGGTCACAAGAGAGATTGGAAATGTGTAGACAAAATTCTGCACCATTAACGCATTTCACAGCTTGATTCTACAAAAAACAAAGCTGTTGATCTCCTGAACACAAATTCGCAAAGATCATGTGTCTTTCGTATCACAACTTTTGAGTTCCGTCTCGAAATATATCTTGTCGCCATGACCAGACTTGGCGACCCATTTGATCTCTGATCAAAGGAATATGTGAGCCTTTAGGTCCTTAATTTAAGCTTGAAACTCGTATTTACAAAATGATTTTCACCGCTGGCATACGTGGTAGTAAATAGACTTAAGGCAAGTTCCAACCGACCTCAAAATACCAAAAAGCTACATGTTGACAACCATGCCAACATGTAGCTTTGGGATTTTTAGACTTGTTAACGCAATGATCTCTGCTTGATCATCCGATAAAGTCACAGAAATTATGTATATTCAAGATTTTAAAAAAATTAGGTAAGAACTAAATTTACTGACAAAAGTCATTATTATTCAAGTATTTAAATCTTTCCCGTCATGCTAGAAATTTGCGCAAAACGTTTCTCAGAAACGGCAGACACGGCGGTCACGTCGTTTTTCCTTAGCGAGTTTATCTGCAGAAAAATGTGCCCATTAATTACAGTAAATGCGGCTACAGTAAGCTTTTTTTGATTTGAACAAGCTTGAGACTTATGTCAACACGGTAGTGTGAATACGTTTCAGTAAAGCAAAAATTTGCAACACGGAACGGGGCAGGTGACAAGACTAAGAAACTACAACTATTCTCAGGTTTCGTTGCTCGGAAATATCGTTACATTTTCAGAAGACAGTACTTACTGTGGAACGAGTATTTTGTAAATGTCTTTGCTTTTGAACTTTTCAAAGTCACTGTTTTTTCTAAATTTATCTTCTTATTCAAATAAACATGAAGTCATTTCGGGGCTAGATAGATTCGTAGCCCCACTGTTATACTGTAATGTGATAAATCCTGACTATGAGTGATTTTTCATTTCCGTCAGATTCTGTGGGGCTATTGTCGTCTCAGGAATTTGAGAAATTGACCACCATCTCCTCGCACGTTGGCTTATCGGCTCAATCTGTTGCCGTCCAACTTTGAAGCACTTCCCAATCAGATTTACCGAATACGACCGAAAAGACTTGATAATCACCAACAGCATTAGACAACTTATGTGCGTATAATTGCCCATAGACGAGTGAAAAACAATTGTCATCATAGGCACTTCCGGATTTGTAACATCGCTTCCAATCAGCGCAGCAGGTATTGAAATGAAAATTGCGTGCAGAACAGACTGCGCGACGAGTGTGTTGAGCAATGCCAGCTGAGTTTGTCGGGTAGGTAGTGAAGACGCAGAGGTTTTGATATTATAAAACATTACTAGAAGCAGTAAGGCTGTTAGAATCATATAAAATAAGGCGGTTCCAACTAAGTGAGATGAAACCGTTTCTTCACGAAAACAAAGAATCGTCTTTCCTTCAGCGAAACGGGCGAGATCAGAATCGGTTTGAGAGATATTGTAAAACCGGGATTGAAAGGTCTCATCAGTGTCGTAGACTCGAGTCTGGAAGTTGAAGCATAGCTATACACACACAATTAACTTACTAGAAAAGCATACACATTAATCGCAATTAAACAGTACAGAAAGACAAACGTCTTCCAAACTGGAATGCTGTGAATGTCAAAGTAAAATCTGGAATCCGGATGGATCGAAGCGGCAAACCGAAAAAGAAACAAGAATACTTCGCAGGCTCCTCGAGACAGCGATGCAATCGACGAGAAGAACAAGTAATGCAACATTACTTTCCGAGGCAAGTATTCATCCAACCCGTAGAAAAGAAAGCATTGATTTTCGCCAAGTGAGACCGTTCCTCGCAGTTGGACTAATGACTCTCCAATAGCACACCTGAAAGGGCAAAAACAGGTCCAGAAAGAACCAACAAATACGCTGCCGAAGTGGTCATTAATTTAATATTATCTTACCAGGCCAAATGGTGAATAAGAAAGTAACTGTACTGCTTGATACTGCTGTTAGATGCTAGAAGCAGACATTAATCAAGTTATTGCAATCCTAGCGTTTGGCTTACCCTTAAAAATCACAAAAACTGTGAAAGCAACGGCAATCAAGTCCAAGACCAACACTGATCTTAGAATAACCACATACCAGTCTAAGATGGTCTTACTTGGTAGGTTATAGCCGGGCATTTGCACTTACAACAACTCTTTTCACTACAAGATAATTTGAAGGACAGGTGAGATTTAAACATAAAATAAAAATCAACTACTAAAATTTGAGTTTAATTCCATGCCACCTGGATTCACTGTATTTCTGAACAAATGTAAACACGGAAGCTCTGCATGATGATGAAAGGCACATTGTAGAAAAATAAGGTTGCAAAGAGAAGAAACCGTAGCATAAACACATCCCGCAAAACACACAGTTGCAAGCAAAAAAATAATCTTTTTTTTTCGACTGTATTTCCCCCGTTTTTTCGACTTTATTTCGATGCTCAAGACTCGTTTATGTTGGGCAATACTGTAGTAAACGACTGCACAATAAATACGCAAATAAAAGCATTGGCTTTTCTAATCCTTACGTGATGCGTATCCTTCCTTTCGACTCTATTGAGCAATGTTACAGATAGTGATAATCGTACACCATGTAAAGCCGTCGATTTCTGCCACACAATCGCGATACGTTTTTTTCAAAGTCTCAAAAAGAAGATGTTCATGGCGGTTTTAATCCATGTGCACACGAAATTTTATTGAAAAAGGGACAAATAAAAAATAAATAAAAAAATCAAAAAAATCGATCGAAAAAATTTGAATATTCAATAAAACAATTTTCAAGTATAAAAGCCACATTCCGGTCGGAAAACTTTTCATTTCATGACCGAAGAATGCCGATTCGGCGGCCTTTCACAATTCAGCTGCTGGGAGCGCTGCTACTCTGTGGATTGGCTGGATTTGCAAGCGGTGTGGAATACTTTCGGCTGGACGCCAACTGCAAATGGGCGGCCGATGGCAAGATCACCAATTTAAATGCGGGGTAAGTTGGGCGGGATTTTGACCATCCGTACCAGAAGTACAGCGCTTCTAGCGACTTTTGAGTTCCTAATTTCCCTCCTATTTCAGCCCATGCGCAAATGCCAAGACAGTCATCCTCAGCGACAAGATTCTGCTGATTGTGGTTGCCCAAGACGATGGGAAAACAGTCCAGTACGGCACGGTCTATCCCCGAAGCGAAGGTGGAGATGAAGTCTTTGGCCTGTCGCAAAGTGTGGACTTGTCCCATGGTAAGGAAGTTGTGAAAAAATTTTTATCGTTCTTTCGTTTTCTCTGAATTTTCGAAAGTTGTAAGCATTACACTTTTGGATAACTTTTGATACTTTTGGATTTGTTCCAAATTGGAAAATTTTTCGATAGCTGAATTCTTTGCCTTTTGAATAGATCGACTTCTCATGCTTCTATCTTTAGTACTTGGTCCCCACTGCAAGATTGTTCCCACTAACTATGCCGCTTTTGCTGATTGGCACACCCTGTACATTTCGGCCATATGCAAGAACAAGGAACAGAAGGATGTCCACGCCCTCGTCAGAAGCGTCATCTATTCCGAGAAGATCATCCACACTCCGCCTGGCTTCCTGGTCTATACCAATATCCCTAGCGACAAACTCATCTCCGGAATTGGAATTGGCTATGTTCAGGGTCGGTTAGCCTGCGATTTCTTTACGCATTTTTCAGACGAAGACGTCGTCTTCAACGCCCGAATCTTGGAATACAAGGTGGGACAGGACAAGATTTATATGCGAACGTTGAACTCAATCAACAAGACCGAAGAATTTATGGATACGACCGAATCTGTGGAGAATATCCAACAGTCCGGGCTGCTGAAGAACAGGGGAGTGGTTTTTGCCGTTTATCCAACGGGAAACGATGCAATCCGCTTTTATACCTATGAAAATACTTATCGAGCGGATGTTCAAAAGCTTGACGGATGCCAAGTCAGAAAGTCAAAGCCGGACAAGTCCATTTTCTTGTGTTATCCAGATAAGAGAATTACGGCCGACAAAATCGATGGAGTGTATACTTGGAGGAAGGATAAGCTTCTGGAGGAAATTCTGGACGAGGAATTTCCGGTTGTAAGTTGTCCTTCTTTGAGAGCTTTGTCATCGAAAAATTCTTCTCTCGGCTATTCTCTTAGGTGTTGAAAAGTTGGAAAATTTGTGATGTTTTTGTTACTTTGGGGTTTGAGTTTTTTTTTTTGAACTTTATCGGAGACGTTAATAGTTTTTGCGACTTTTAATAGCTCTTGTAATTACTGACACATTTATTATCTTTTGACAATACCTGTCACTGTTCGCAATTTTGTTTTCCATTGGAGATTACAGTTGCTTATTAATGTTTTTTTTTTGATTTCTTTGCCCTCTTGGTAACGTCTTGATACTTTTTGATACCTTTTGTTTTCGTTGATGTTCTTTTCCAGAAATGCGGAGTCACCGAAGAGGACCGTGAATTTGAGGAATGTCGACAGCAGGTTGAAGTGTAAGTTTTCTTATTGTTATATTGTATAGTAACTTTAGAAAGCAGAAATGGACGATCATTCTCTTCGCCATGGCCGCCTTTGAGTTTTTGATCGTTCTGACCACTCTGGTAATCTTCACTGCCTGCATTTGCCATCGCCGCAGAAAGGTCCGAAGACATCGTAAGTTTAAAGTCTATCCGCAAAAAATCAATTTTTTGATGGCTTATATTTTTTTTTTTGATCTTTTTATTTTTTAGGCCGCAAACACGGAAAAGGAAAGGGCAAAGGAAAAGGGAAGGGAAAAGGAAAGGGAAAGGACAAAAGTAAAAGCACTGCAAAGTCGACTAAAGGATCCAAGAACTCAACGTCGGCAGCCTCTAACAGCGCCGCAGCCGGCAAGAATACAAAGGATTCCAAGAAACACGGTTCAACCAACTCCAAGGATATGTAGAAGAGAAAGGGAAAGGTCGAAGGGAAAGGAGCTTTGGCTATTTGATCCTGCTTACTGTATTTTCTTTTAGTATATGTTTATAAAGTAAATTTATAGTAATGAAGGGAGTGCTTGGGATATGTACATCTCCAGAGCACATATAGGACATATGAGACCAAAAGGGCTTACAAGATTTTGATGCGTTGAGCCTCGAGTCCTCCTTGCAAAAGAAGCAACTTTGAGTCGTTCTTTGTATGATCTTTGCATGATATAATAAGCACGATGAAAGGAATGCAATTGAAATTCGAAAGGGAAATTCGTAAACGTCTCCGGAATGTTGCGTGGAATTCAAAGAGATCAAACAGATCGGTCTTTGTTTTCACAGTCTGAACACAAAATCCGAGCCGGCTGTCATACTATACATATATACGTTCGTACAGCATTAAAAAAATTCAATCTTTATAGAATCTGCATGTGCACAAGTATGCATAGCCTTCAAACGCATTTTTTCTGGCTTTTGAAACACTGAACAAAAATGAGGAATTTTGCACAAAAACATTAAAGAATCTTACTTATGTCTGTTTTCGCTATATTCTTTCTATGTAGAAAAAGATAAAAAACGATCAATTCAAGAAATTGTTTTTTTTGGATTTACAGTTTTCCCAAGCCTTATGCCCACTGTTATGTCAAACACTTTCTCCGCAAACATTGGACATCATTTCATAGGCTTCGGGATCTCAGAGAATTGAATATGTTATATCCGAATGAATGTTTGTTTTTTGCATGCTTTTTGTATCCACGTGAAGCCGACTCCATTATTTCTCAATCGGCTACTTTAAACAAGGCTGTCATGGCTACACTTTTTTAGGGGAGCAAAAACAAAACAACCAAATCTCCTTTTGTGGTCAATTACGAACAAGAGGTTTTGAAATTACGGTTTTTTGGAGGTCTTTGATGACATTACATTTGCTGAATCATCATAAACAAGTTCGCATTGTTATAAGCCACAACGGTCGAAATTCGACGCATTTATTTTGATAAAACCTGGGACAATTTAGGATTGATTTTGCAAGGTAATACACTGACCTTCTATCTCATCCAATCAGATATACATTTAACAGGACCGTCTATATTTACTCATTGTTTTCGACATCCCTTTCAACAATTTATAAACATTCCGGTTCCAATTTATTTGCCCCGTCCATTCCGCTCATTGTCAGCCTTTTCCTCTTCCTTCAGTCCTATCTGATTCGAAATTAATGGCATTTTGCCAACTTCCATTCCACCTGGCAGGTGTTGAAGAATATTTTGTTTAATTATTCGATGTTTTGGTCCAATTTCAATTTCTTAAGCTGTACCCTTTGAGGACGCGTACTTTATGTTGGGATAAACATGGTATAAACAAGGCTTTGGGGGATTGCGAAAAAGACATTAAGCTTTGTCAGATTGCTCGGAAATGAGGACATGGGAATGTTTTTTGGTCTTGTAGGTAGGAATAGATCGTTTATCATGAAAACAGCGATTATCTATAAAAGTTTAGCTGGTTTGCTCTATCAAGCCGCAATTAAATCATAGTCAAACCTCTGTGAAAAACCGCAGAGCCAAAAAAAGTTATTGCAGAGCGGGTTCGTTGTATGGAGGCTGGTGGCAATTGGCTCCTAAAACCGCTAAAATCTTTTTTATAGGACGGTTTCGTTGTACCTGAGTTTGATGTACCAATATATATACATACGTTTGGCTGGACTGTTCAGAAGCTTTTGAGAGATTATAGAAAATGAAGAGAGGAGGACAGAGGTCAGCTGGAATTTTAAGAATTTTGTGCGAAAAAAGACATAAATTGTCACTCTTCCAACTTGATCACTGTTTTCTAATATAAAACACATGCGAGCTTCCTAGTTGTCCTTGTTGAAAAAATGGCCGAGATTTTTTAAGGCCGAAGATACGAGAATTTGTTGTGCAGACGCTGTGGATGCGAAAAACAACTTTTTTCGGTAGTCGTCCATCCTTAGGTTGGACGGAAAGTCTCTGCCAAAATTTCAGGAAAAGTTATGGAAGTTGTAGAATTTTCGAGAAAGTTCTGTAATGTGACTATGCAAGTGACTATCTCTATAATGCGACCATGTGACTCATGTCTTTACATAGAGTGGCATATCAGGTGCCCTTGTAAATCGGGAACTAAAGTTTTCTGGAATTGATATGCGTCCTCTCTACAGCTCGTCTGCCGTTCTATGCGCTGTCCATTCATTTACAGCGATCTTAAAATCTCATTTACGGCCACCATCTCATTTGCCTTTATATCCTAATTGAAAAAATATACATTCCGCCATATGGACGCTGAGTCCAATAAACAAATTCTCCCGTTCTCCATTTTGTTATCCAGACTGTTATAAGGAACTCCCAATTCGAGACCGTGTATAAATATATTATTACGTATATGTATATATGACTCATCTAATGCACTTCTCACCGTATCCCTTTTTCAAACTCGCGTAAATAATGAGATTTTAATTGTTTTTGGCACTTTTGTGGGCTTGATGTCCTAAAGGGCAACGTTATAACGTTGGGAATTAGAATTGCACGTAACGTACCTTCATTAGATTGTAGTGCAATTTTTTGCTCAAAAAACGGATTTCTTGCGTAAAGTATTATTATATAAACCGCCAAACTCTGCACAACGAGTTCCAAGAGACCAAAAAAATAAAAGAGTCTTTTTGAAGGAGGGTTCTTCTTGGCCGAAAACTGTAGGGCAGTATGTTGTTCAGAGGTTCATTGTGCGTTTATCTTCCCCACTTTTATGTCATAATCTAAAACCCGGATTTTTTTATCATCATGCAAACTGTTTTGTCATCCCTACCGTACCAAGTCATCACCCGCTCTTAGTCATCTGGAAAATAATCGCTTTTTCGAGTATGTATTTCTTCATTTAACCATTTTCCTTCAGGGCCTGATTTCCATTTTTTGCGTTGGCTGATAATAAGGGCTGATATTTGCATTTTTATTGCGGCCAGGAATCATTCTCTGCCTCCACTTCACTCCAATCAACCTCCACGTCCGAGAAGATGCGATCCACTTTTTTGGTTCTGCTTGTTGCCGTCTGCACCAGTGTGCTGTTTTGTAAGTTTTGGGGAGACAATAAACAGTACGTTTGACTACATAGAACCAGGTCCAATCAAATAGGTCTTTCTGGCATTCAAAAAGGTGAGGACAAGTAGCTGGCAATCAAGTAAACTTGTCAGCTAGCATTTCGAGACGGGAATTAAATCTACAGGATCAATTTTTTCAATTTAAAAAAAATGTTACAATCAAGTCTCCATTAAATCTGTTACCACTCCCTTTCTTTTCAGCCGCCGCAGATCCCGCTGCGCCAGCCGCTAACGCCTCGGCTCCGGCAGCAGCCGCTCCGGCGGCGGCAGCAGCAGCACCGTCCGCAGCATCAGCGCCGGCCGCTCCCGCCGCTGCCCCAGCATCCTCGGCTGCACCTCCGGCTGCCGCCGCAGTGACCGCCGGACCAGCTGTAACCAAAGCTAGTAGTGAAACCAAGAAACCCGAAAAGAAGGCTGCATTTGGAGTTGGAGTACCGTAAGCAGACCATATATAAAATAACCTATTCTATACAAAACAAATTCTTTCCACTAAAAAATAGGGTATAGAAATGCGAGTGAGATCTTTTTCAAGTCGCTTCAGCGAAGGTACCTCGGCAAATCCTTCCAGAAAATAGCGGAATCTCTCATACATAACCCGGACCTGATTACTAAAAAAACTATATTTTTTATCTGCTAAAAAAGATCATGTTTCAGTTCCGCGATCGCCCTCCTAACGACCACTGTGTTGGTTCTGCAATTGTAAGAAGGTGGACACACGAGTATGGTCGAATGTATTTTCTATTTTAACTCATAATCCGCTTTTTTAATATTAAAAATATCATGGCTTTATTTTCAAGTATCTTATTTGCTGTATAAAATTTAGATTTTTATTTCGTAAATAAATAGATCGAAAATACCCTATGCATCGTTGTTATGGATCAACTTTCAAAGATGTTTAAAAAATCGGATCAAGGAAGGACTTTATTTTGAGACAGCTAAATCTCTGTACAACAAACCGCAAGGGATCAAAAATTAAATTGGTCAAAGACGGTCCTGTATGAAGTTTTCTTTGGCTTGTAGTTAGAATTGACTCTTGCGACCGCTGAAAATTTATGGGAGTTCGTTCTGCTCATGATCTACTACGCTTTCGTACTGAGCACAATACAAAATATACGTTTTGTGCATATTTCTGGTCAAGAAAAAAAGTCCATGTCCTTTATGAAAGTACTATGTATGTAATCGTAAAATTACAAAATATCCTTACCGGTAGATCAATTGAGCATCCAATGATCATAAAATAGTATGTTGTAAAAATGCATTGTTTTTCAATCACATTACCTTTATTTTTATGAAGAAATAAATTATTTCAACATCAGAACTTTTTTTGCTTTTGTAAAACTGCAGGCCCTCCGGAAAAGATCACGCATCCAGATGTATCCTGAATCCATTCAAACGCACTTTCTTTGTAAAATATTTAACTTTTTTCTTCGCAGTCAACAGTGACACAAGAGAAGAAAATGGATGCACTTATTGTATCCAGGATGCATTTGGAAGCATTTATTGCCAAGTATTCCTCTCCAAGGTTTAATGGCATGAAAAAAGAAGCCTTCATACAACAGCGTCATCCGTAATAACTAGGACTCAGCTTCCATTTTCTGTATAAAGAATGGTAAAGTAGCTTTAGACTTTTATTTTCCTTCATACTTTAATTTACTGTTTTCCGAGTATACATTTTTTTCTACTTCCGACGTAACGGACAAGTGAGAAGATAAAAAAAATCTTTAAAAAAAGATCTCTATTATAATATTTCTTATGGAAAAGCTAAATTTTATTTGAAGTTTGGTGTATACAAGTACCATTCGTATACTTGTAAAGTTCAGGCCTTGAAAAGTGGGTTACAGTAATTTTTTAAATTTTTGATTAAAATTTTTTTGAGCTTTCATCTTTTTCCAGTATATTTCTGATCCATAAGTTTTTTTGCCAGTGGGAAGCACTCCTAAATGGGTTACTGTAATTCAATACCCCCATATTTTTTACGAATTCCCTCCAAACTTCCTGGGTTTTAGGTTTTCCCCCGATCCCCTCGACCTTGACCGTGCATTTTCTCCATTTTTCCTCGGACTTGCATTTTCTCAAATTTTCACAAAAAATTATTTCGCTCCCTAAACGAGTGGAGCACCCTGACTCCGCTCCGGAGTCATTTTGGAATATAAAAAACGCGCCCGCGTCACTGGCGTGGACAGACGACGAAAGGAACGGGGGGAAATAGCGAACACCCGGAGCCGCAAATTTAGGCGGGATTTGGATGACGCGAAAGAGCGGGCGAACCGCGGAGACGCCAGAGAAAGTGAGGCATCGGAGAGGGAAGACAACTTCTCCGCTTCTCCGGTGCCAACCTACATTTTTTGATGTACAACCAAGTTTTGGTATAATGCATTTGAAACGGACCAAGAGTAATTCTAAGTTTCTTTGTTGTAGATCACATTTACTGTGCAAAAAGTTTGTTTTTGTCTAAAGATCCCGGTCCAAAGTAGAGGAATGGTACACTGTAGCATTTTTTGGGACACGAAGAACTCGGTACCAAAAATAGGACTTGTTTTTCTTAAAATAAAGTTTCTCGGTGGATACGGTAGTTTTAAAAATTTTGCTTATTTTTGCCAGACTGCCCGAAATGGAAAATATTATCTTTTTTCCTGGTATCTGGTGAGGCCTGCCTCAAAGTTTGTCATCATTGATGTAGAAAAAATCCGAAAAAATATAGTGTACTTGATGACTAAGTTCGATCGCTACTCTCTAAAAAATACTTGATTTATTTACACCTGATATAAATTTATCATATTTGAAATAATAAATGTAAATTATTTCTATGTTTTTACTCAATCTTTGACACTAGGTACACGAATTGCACTAGTTGAAAATTTTTTATACCGTATTCTATCCATTCACCACTCCATTTATCACTTCTGTCTCTGCTGTCTATCCGATTTCTCCAATATTTCCTCAAGTACTCGGAAAAACTCGCAATGACCGAGTTATTTTCTGACCGAAGTACAGCCATGACCCTGCTCCACGTCCCTAATTTCTCTTTTCGTCGCCAAGTGCACTCTGTTCGACGGTCCAGAAAATCCGTCATCGCGACTTTGTAAAATACGGGAATATCCTAGGCTGATTCGGCGATCCTTCTTTTACAACATTTTTAACGTGAAATTGTTGTGTTACAAAAGGTAATGAACTCTGCTTTTACATAAACCAATGATTTTTGTGAGTCGCGGTGACGGATTTTCTGGACGTTCCAGATTTAGCGCTCGCTGTCGATTTCGGGCGTTGGTTGTCTTTTTTCTGCTTTCCACTGAACGCGTTCTTCTCCAGGATGTCTAAATGACCGAAACTTCTGTTACTGTTGCAACACCTGTTGTAAAATCACCTTCATTATATTCCACTAGACATTTTTTCTTGAAAATTTTATTTTTTGTCAGTATCAGCAAGATAGTATCAAGTATCTTTCATGATGAAAGTCGAGAGATTATACAACGTAACATACTTTGATTTACCGTTCTGTATCTACTGACTTATCATTTTCCGCCGATATTTCCCTAAGGTATTCTTGATCCAGTACAACATTTTTTGAGGCCAATCGCCCGCCCTTCGTTGTTTTGCTTGCTCTTTGCGAGCTTATGAAACTATTTATCAACGATTCACTCAACTATTTTTTTACCGGAAATTTTAATTTTTAGTGCACCTTTGCTTTATCTTGTACAATATTTTTTCAGGCTACCCATGAGCTCCAGGCCTAAGCGTTCGACTCGACAAGCTGCTAACACCTCCACAGTCTCCAATGGCGACGCTGAACGCGAACTGAGGGATCGCAAGCCCAAGAAAGCTTCGAAGAAACGGAAGCGAGATGAATCTGACGATGATTGTAGGTTTTTGCTACTTTATTGGATTTTTAGGTCATATTAAAAAAGTCCAAATTCCTTCAAGGTCTCGGAAGAGGTGTACTCGTTATTTTTTCGGACTTGTATACCCTAGGTTTGCTGTTTTATTGTCAAATGCGTCAATAGTAATCTGTTTTGTAGTCGGAAATCCGGACAGTGAAGAGGAATTCGAAAAGCTCATGCAAAGAGCGGAAGAAGAGGAAGATGAAAGGATAGCCAAGAAGAAGAAGAGGAAAGAAGAGCGTCAACGGAAGGAAAATCATGTCCAAGAAGAGCATCAAGATTTCTGCGAGGTTTGTCAACAAGGTGGAGAAGTGATCCTTTGCGATGGATGCCCGAAGGCCTATCACAAAATCTGCTTGGATCCCGAGCTTGACGAGGTGCCAGAGGGCTCGTGGTTTTGTCCCTCTTGTGCTGAGAATGGTGTTCCGGAAGAGGGAAAGAAAAAGGAAAAGGATCAGCCACCTGGAAACATGGATACTTGTTTGATCTGCAAGGTAATTTCTGAGACATGTTTTAAATTTAAGCGGTCGCTGTGGGACTAATCACAAAAATAGAGATATGAATTTTAAATTTTTGGCATCATTTTTATCAGTTTCCACCTGATTCTCATGGATTAATAAATTCTTTGCAGGAAGGTGGATTCATCCTCTGCTGCGACTCCTGCCCCAATTCTTATCATGCTTACTGTACAACGCCTCCAATGGAAGAGCTCCCCGACGCCAATGACCCCTGGCATTGTCCATATTGCACTGTCGAAGAGCCACCCCACAAACCGCATAAAATCATATCTTGGAGGTGGGTCAGTGTCCCATATCCTGATCCGGTCGACCCTGCCGACCTTCCCAAAGACGGCGAACGCCAGGAAGATATGGATGAAGAACGCGTTCAACGCCTTATGCTTCGGCCACCACGAAAAATGGAACCTCGAAAAGAAAGGGAGCTGTTTGTGAAGTGGAAGAATTTAAGTTATTATCATGCCACTTGGGTGCCCGAATTGCCATTGCAAGTCCATCATCGGACCTTTATGACGGTGTATTGGCGTATGAACGGCGATATGGAACCGCCAGAGAATGATGATGGATCCACGGACGCGGAGACCGGAAACGTTGCTGATCAAGAAAAGGAATCGGACGAACACGATCTGGAAAAGCGGTTCTACAGGTACGGCGTGAAGCCAGAATGGATGCAGATTGCCCGAATTATAAATCATTATCAAGCCGGAAGCAGGGCCTTCGATTATCTGATCAAATGGAGTGACTTGGCTTATGATCAAGCCACCTGGGAGGCTGATGACATGGACATTGCTAATTATATGGAGAAGATAAACAAATATTGGACTCATCGGTGAGTAGGAATTCTTTTTTCTTGAGTTTGCGAAGATGCCTTTTGGCGGAAATTTGGGGAACCTTATAAAAAATTCTGTATGACCAATGATGAAGCAAAAAGTTGTAATGAAAGATATCTTACTACTATAATGTTATCGCAAATTTGTCATTTGAAAGTAATGCTAAGCCAAGTGACATTGCGATAACTCAGAATATAAGGTTTGAATCGGAGGGTTAGGTCAAAAAAGCATTGACCTAAACGTTTAAACTTGAACCAACACTTTTTTAGATTATTCTTTGCATTTGTTTATATGATTATCAATTAATTTGATGTCTGAGGTCAGTAAAATACGGTAATTTAAGGGTTGAGTTGTGTCATGGAGATTTTTGAACGAAAATTTGGAGTTTTTTATAGTGAGAAGAAATGGTGATTGTAATTTGTTTAGAGAATTGATGACCAATGAGAAGATCCCGAAATCAGTCCTGAAGAAAATTGAGGCCTGGCGAGACGAAAATGGCATGCCCTCATGGGAGGAGGAAAAACAAAAGAAAAAGGAGGAAAGAAAGAAGAAAAATGATGTAAGTTGAAAGCAAGTTATGATATTATGTTTAGATTTTAATTGGAAACCTATTTTTGATTTTTTTTTTTTAAATTTTGGGAGCGATTAGTTTTCGTAGTGGGACAAAAATTACTGTAAAATCATTTTGAGGTTTCGGTCGTGACAGAGTGATAATTTTGATTTTGATGTCCTTCCGTCATTTGTTTAGGGTCCGACAGTAAAACGCAGTCCTGTCGAACTCAGTACCATGACGAAAATCATATTCCTGACGCTTTTTAGGAGAATTTTCCCATTGATTTTGATTCCTTAGGGCTGAAACTTCAATTTTATGGATGATTCCCAAAGGCAGTGTCGGATATTTGAATAATTGGAGGGATTAGATTTGAAAAGTTTCGAAAAATGCAATAGTGTATGGGTGGAGTTAGTAGAAGGTCTTAAAATTTCATTTGAAGTTTTTGGCTTGATTCTGGGGTGTTTAATTCCAGATCAGCAAGAAATACGAAGAGCAACCCCAATTCGTGGTGGATACCGGCGGAAAATTGCACGAATATCAAATGGAGGGAATCAACTGGCTTCGGCATTGCTGGTCCCAAGACATCAACGCCATCCTCGCCGACGAAATGGGTCTCGGAAAGACGGTTCAAGCCCTCACATTCTTGTACTCGCTATACAAGGAAGGCCATTCGGACGGCCCGTTTCTGGTCGCGGCGCCATTGTCGACCATCATTAACTGGGAAAGAGAGGCCGAATTCTGGGCCCCAGACTTTTATGTGGTTACGTATTGCGGACTCAAGGAAGCCAGAGCCGTGATCAGAGAGCATGAGATCACTTTCGATGAGGTCAAGAACTCAAGCAAGGCTTGCAAAGTGAAGGTGAGGTTTTACATTTTTTTGAATTTTTTTGAAGTTTAGGGAAAGAATGACAGGGAGATGTTGGAATGTTAAGGAACTGTTTTTATGTTTTACCCTTATTTTTTCAGGGTAATCTTAAATTCCACGTCCTTCTCACTTCCTACGAATGCATCAATGTGGACAAAGCGACCCTCGCCTCGATCAAATGGGAGGCCCTGGTGGTCGACGAAGCCCACCGTCTCAAAAACAACCAGTCCCTCTTCTTCCGTAACCTCAAAGAATACGACATTGCATACAAATTGCTGTTGACAGGAACTCCCCTTCAAAACAATCTGGAGGAATTGTTCCATCTCCTCAATTTCTTGTCCCCAGATGAGTTCACGAATGTCGAAGAGTTCACGTCCGAGTTTGCGGACATTGCCAAGGAAGATCAGGTTGCGAAGCTGCACTCAATGCTCGGACCTCACATGTTGAGAAGATTGAAAGCGGATGTGCTGACTGGAATGCCGTCGAAATCTGAACTGATTGTCTGTGTGGACATGGTACCCCTTCAGAAGTATGTTTTGGAATTTTGAAGAAATTCTGGGGGTTGTTGTTGTAAAAATTTTTAGTTTCTACTAGGAGATCCCGTCATTTGTTTAGGGTCCGACAGTAAAACGCAGTCCTGTCGAACTCAGTACCATGACGAAAATCGTATTCCTGACGCTTTTTAGGAGAATTTTCCCATTGATCTTTACGCTATCTAGCAAAAATTTCGATTTTTTGGAAAGTTCTCAAAGGCAGTGTCGGATATTTTTAAAAAATTAAGTGACGTTTAGGAGGGAGGGGTACTTTAGGAGGGGAGTTTGTGATTTTGAGAGAAGTCTATTTTACTTTATTTTAGACGATATTACCGGAATATTTTGACGAGGAACTACGACGCCCTCAATATCAAAGGCGGCGGTCGAATGGTCTCATTGTCCAACATCTTGATGGAGCTGAAAAAGTGCTGCAACCATCCCTATCTCTTCCCCAAGGCCGAAGAAGAGGCTCCGAAAACAAAAACTGGAGCCTTCGAGGGCGAAGCGATGATAAAAGGCTGCGCAAAATTGGAACTTTTGGCAAAGATGTTGAAGAAATTGAAAGCAGGAGGGCACCGAGTATTGATCTTTTCACAAATGACTCGACTGCTTGATATTTTGGAGGAGTTCTGCGAACATTTGGGATATCGGTATGAACGAATTGATGGATCAATTACGGGACAGATGAGACAAGAGTCAATCGATAGGTTTAATGGTGAGTGTGGGGGTTTGGGGTGTTTTTAATTGTTTTTTAAAAGTTGATGTTGAGATTTTTTTTTGAAAAAAATTTTCCCGTGAAGTTTGATCTTTTTTGATTTTCAAGGGCCAATGACGAAAAAACCACGGAATGAGCAACTTAAAATTAATAAACGTGTCATTTCGAATTATCTAAAGCCTTCTTGTTGTAAATGAAATAATAAGGGAGCGTTTTTTGATGGCACTGAGATTGAAGGCTCGAAATTTTTAAAACCTCTGAGATTCTCAAAAAGCATTGATTTCAGTGAAATTTTCGAGCCGAACAGGATGTTTAATAATTGTTCATGATTCCAAAAGGCGAATCTGAGGCCCTTGAAACACAAAAAAAAAAAAAAAAAAAAATTTTGAACTGGAGCACGGTTCGGAATGCAAGATTGGGGTGGTCGTAATGTGTTTTTCTTTGTTAAAATTTTTTTATGGTTTTTTTTTAATTATAGCTGCCGGGTCACTGTATTTTTTGTAAAAGTGCCCAAAAAATTAATCAAGAATTTATTTTTAGCCCCAAATTCGGAGCACTTTGTCTTCCTCCTGTCGACCCGAGCTGGTGGTCTGGGAATTAACTTGGCCACTGCTGACACTGTCATCATCTACGACTCGGATTGGAACCCCCACAATGATATCCAAGCCTTCAGCAGAGCCCATCGTCTCGGCCAGAGAAATCACGTCATGATTTATCGGTTTGTCACAAGGAATTCCGTCGAGGAAAGAATCACAACGGTCGCCAAAAAGAAGATGCTTTTGACTCATTTGGCCATCAGAAATAATAACAAGCAGACCACAATGTCCAAGTCAGAGCTTGATGATGTCCTAAGATGGGGAACGGAAGAGCTCTTCAAAGAAGAAGAAGATCAGATCCAAATTGTGTGGGATGATGAAGCTGTGGATGCTCTGTTACAGAGGGCTGAGGAGGCCGACAAAGAAACGGGCGAAAAGAAGGATTGGGCCAACGATTATTTGAGCTCCTTTAAGGTAGGAATTGGCTATATTTGGAGATTTGGTGTTAAGAGGGGTCATTTGGAAATATTTTACGGAGTTTTTCTCAATTTTGTTAGCTTTAGGGTTATTTTAGAGGCTGATTTTGAGATATTGTGCTTTTAAATTTATTGGAAATTAGATTTTTACCCTTGCATTTAAATGCCAAGTCTTTTATTAGGTTGGACGGAAAGTCTTTGCCTTTTTTTCTGCTGCTATTTTTCCTTGCACTGATGGACAAAGGCAAACACTAACATACGACGTTGGTAGGGGGTAGGCATCCCTATCTCACAGCACAACCTTCAGCCATCTTAAGCATGTACAAACTGAGAACTTAATTTAGACATTTACCCATCTTTGGTCAACAAGTAGAAATCTTTGGCTGGTTTGTTTAACAAAGCCTTCTAGAAAACTGTTTTAGCACTGTTAAAAAGACTTCCTTTGAAGCTCTTAACATGTGCAAACCCGGCGGGGATTAAATCAAAACCGAACCAGAAAACGTGGTTTTTATGAGACCAAGCAAGTTTGAATATAATTGCAGCCACCGCTTTGCCGATGCATTCCTATGGGTTTAACTATGATATGCCAAAAATAAAGACACTCACTTACACTCAGCTACCCGTCATTAGACAATTGTTTTACTGCGTGACGTGACAGAACTCAATTATTTGTTTTTCAAAAAGTCGCTGGTGAACTATTGGATCAACCCGTAAAATTGAAAAAGCGTTGATATCAGCTTTCCAATCCTCCCTTTCTAGGGTGGAAAATAGAGCCTCTGTATCGTTCTACTACTGCATGAAACAATGGGTAACCATTGTTAACTGTCAGCAAATCACACGCGTTTCTCTAGGGCTATATATTTTTGGCAATTTTGTCTTTTTACGGATAACTCGAGGCGCCTATGACCCGGTTTACCCATGTAGCACGTAAAAGGCTACCCATGTTGTTCACTGAACTCTGTTATATAGACAGACCATCAGCAATGCGCGGAGTAATAAGAAAACTTTTTTAAGCGGGGCGTTTGCTGAGGATTTGGTTGAAAGAGTAGCTATTATTTTATCCGATAGGTTTTTTTAACATTTACAATTGTGTTTGCCGTAGTCGGAAAGACCACTGGACATAGCCCACAAAGTTTCATAGTCTCATCAAAAGCGATTTGGAAACTAGAGCTTGCGTTCTGGACCCCACCCGAAATTGCCGCAAAGCGGAAAACCTCATATACTTACGCTCGTTTTGGCGGAGCACACGAATGGCACATATCACATAAATCTGCACATTGTACTCTTGTATATACTAGGTATTTACGGTTGAAACTCATTCTTGGCGCGAAAAAAATAAATTTCAAAATTATATAAAAAATGGCAAAGACTTTCCGTCCAACCTAATAACTTCGTATTTCACTTTCAGGTCGCCCAATACGTCACCAAGGAGAAGGACGAAAAGGATATCACCGAAGAAGAGGTCAAAGAACTTATTGAAGAAAAGCCACAAGCCGAAGACCCCGATTATTGGGAGCGCCTTCTCCGCCACCATCATGAAAATGAAGTCGAGCAGCAAGCAGCTCAACTCGGGAAGGGCAAAAGAGTCAGAAGACAGGTCAACTATGCCGCCGATCACATGGACTACAGAGGAAAGAAGGACCAAGAAAATGATGATGATTATAATGCCTCCTCCGATGAGGAGGGCACTGGAGAAAGCGGACATGGTAAGGATTTGGTCGAAGGTTTTGAATCCAATTTGAATTTGTGAAAGAGAAATTGGAAAAATTTATTGTAATACGCAAAAAGTTTTCGAATTTTCTTTGATCTTGACTAGCAATTTTATTTTTCTAAATCTTCAAATTTCAGCCACTGGCGAGGAAGACGAAGGTGGAGAACGCGGTGAACGTCGACGAAAGAAGGAACGCGAAGAGAAACTTCCTCCTCTTCTGACCAGGAATCAAGGCCAAATCGAAGTTTTGGGCTTCAATCCGCGCCAAAGAAAGGCCTTCTTCAACGCGGTGATGCGCTATGGAATGCCCCCTCCGGACGCGTATCACTCCCAATGGCTGGTGAAAGACTTGAAATGCAAGTCCGAGAAAGCGTTCAAAGCCTACGCCTCGCTGTTCATGAGGCATCTCTGCGAGCCCGGATCGGATCATATCGACCATTTCAACGACGGTGTGCCAAGAGAAGGCCTAAATCGGCAACATGTACTCACCAGAATCGGAATTATGAGTTTGATCAGGAAGAAAGTGCAGGTAAGGAAATTTTCTTGCGGGGAAATGATGGGAGAGATATTTTTAAGGGATTTTTTTGGTCCAATGCACAGATTAGAATACTTGATACAAAAGAAAATTGAGAGATTGAGTAGTGCTTCCGGACCTAAAATAATTTCCACTTTATGTCGCAGTTTCGGTGATATTGAAAAATCGAAAAGGCTTTGGAGGGTGGAGACAAGGTTTTCAGCAAGTTTTAAACCTTTTGGGAGAATGCTTGGAAACGGCAAAAGTTTTGCAGGTTTTCGTGGTGGGAATCGAAAATAAAAAATAGAGGTTTTTAGGGGTTTCTTTGGAGGTTGAATCAGCATGGCAAGGGTATCCAAAGTTTTCATGATGGTCCTCAAAATTTTTCAAGTTGAAAAGTAATAATCATGATGAATTTCCAGGAGTTCCAAGAAGTGAACGGAGTGTGGTCCGTCTCCGAAGAGTCCGACAAACAGCTAGCCGACTGCTTGGTTACACTGGGCCTGAGGGAAAGCGAAGAAAAAGAGGAACCCGAAAAAGATGGATCGCAAGAACCACAAGAAACCGAAAAAGAAGAAAAAGAAAAGGAAGAAAATGATGAAAAGGAGGAGAAGGAAGCCTCGGAAAAGCCGGAAGATAAGCCAGAAGAGGAAATGGACACAGAAAATAATGAAAACAAACCGGAAGAGATAAAAGACGATGAGAACAAAGCGGAAATTATCGAAAATGGTGCCAGAAAGCGAGGAGTGGCCACATTCAAGTTTAACATTTGCGATGGAGGCTTTACTGAGCTCCACACTATCTGGAAAAACGAAGAGGACGCCTTGAAAAAGGAAGAGAAGGATTATGAGATCTGGAATCGCCGCCATGATTATTGGCTTCTGGCTGGATTTGCAACGTAAGTTGAGATTTTTTTGTTTTCAAGGAAAGAATATTAGTATGAGTTTATAAGGTGAGCAATTTGAAATTTTAGTTTTTTCTTTCGTTTTTAATAAAAGGTGGTCTAAAAATAAAAGAAAAGTGAGATGGAGTTTCATCAATATTTATGTATTTATTGGTAAATTTTTTTTGTTTCAGCCACGGTTATGGCCGCTACAACGATGTGATTAACGACGTGAGGTTCAGTCTGTTGAATGAAGCCTTCAAAAACGAAAAAGACCGCCCCGGATTTAACGACATGCGTCTGCGGTTCATGCAACGAAGATTCAAACTCCTCGAGCAATCGTTGATCGTCGAAGAACAACTCCGAAGAGCCGCGAACATTTCTTATGGCCAGAAACCCCCAAAAGAAGAGAAAAAGGAGGAAAAGGAAGAGGTTCAGGAGAACGGAGAAAAATCGGAAGCCGAGAAAACGGCCGAAGCCCTGGAGAAAAAGTACATACAGATCACGAGCCTGGTTGACGCGAATCAAGCGCTGGCCAAGGAAGCTTTTGCTGGAAATAAAAATGCGGCAGCGGTTTTGCATAAAGTTCTGAGCCAACTGGAGGATATCTTGAATGATATGAAAGCAGATGTCAGCAGATTGCCGGCTTCTGTGGCACAGCTTCCGTCGGTAGCGGAGAGACTGGAGTTGAGTGAAAGAACGTAAGGAATTTTTGTTTTTTTTCATTTTGAAGAAGAGACTTTTGGGTTTATCGACAGGTGTAAAAATTGACGTATTTCAGAATCCTGAACCGCCTCACCACCCGTGACTCCCAAGCCTTCGCCGGCAAATCCCCCATCCCCCCTCCCGGCCCATTCGCCACTCCCGTACAAAACACCCGATTCCACGGAATTCAGCCCAAATTCGCGGCGCTGGTCTCGGCAAAACCGGCCCGAACCCCCACTTATGGCCAACCAACAGTAATCTCGGTGGATGACAAAAGTAACAAAAAGGATGAAGCAAGCCCCGCCCCCTCGAATGGAGTCCCACCAAAGTCGGAAAACAGCGAAAATGGAACGCCGGCACCGGAGAAAAAAGAGGAACGGGAAGAAAATGAGGAGTCGAGCCAAGAACCGAGCCAGGAGAGAAGCCTCGAAAGCAGCCAGGAAAGGTCCGTAGAACCAGCGGAAAAGAATGGAGAGGAAGAAAAGGAGGCCAAGCCGGAGAAAGAAGAGAATTCGGCGGAAGAAGAAGTGGTCATGGAAGAGTAGAAATTTTAATGAGAAGGGAAGGGATTCTTTTTTTTTGAAATTTTTTTTGAAAATGTTGTGAAAATTTGGATTTTTGTCTTTGAGGTTGAGGTTTTTAGGTGATTGATTGTAAAATGACTGTTTGCGGCCTTGTTCTTCCTCTCTAATTAGAACCTGTTATTTCGTCGATCCATCTCTCAGAATGCAATGATGTTTTCTTATTCTACTTTACTAGTATACTAATATTTATGACTTCTCTTAATCGGAACTTACACTTGGCCTCTGTTAACCATCTGATCTGAGCCGGGAAATCATCTCATCCTTTGATGATTTATTCGGCGAAAACCACCCAATAACATTGTATTTTCAATTCTTATTTATCAATAAATAATTTGATTTATATAATTTGGAATTCGAAGGAAAAATTTTTTGGTATAAATTTATTTATCTACGATATTTTTCAATAATAATTTTCTGATTTTCTACTGCAAAGTTCCTAGGATTTTGTTGGCTTCGGAGTCATTCTTTCTCACATCGACTTTGCCCTCCGTTATCAGCCGGTCCAAGAGATCGTCGGCGAGCATTCGTCTCTCCATCAACCAAATGCAGCGATCCAGCTTGCCAACCGCCAATCGACAGGGTTGAATGTACTGAAAAGAAGAAGATTAGATTCTCAAATTTTGCAAAACAAATGAAAAAATCTTAAAATTCAGCTCCATTCCCAAAAAAATACGTTTAATTTTCTCACCTTGAAATGAACCGATAGAACAAAAACCCAGGCGATGATCACACTCGCCGTACTGATCAGAATCGCCACTCCGGCCAACGCAATAGAAACAAAGAGCGAAGTTTGCGCCAAGTTCCCCGGATTTTCGATGGGAGAAATCTCGTTCTGAAAACGAGGACGGAACTCTTCACGTGGACTCAGACGATTCTCCAGGGCATGATATCCTGAGGGCAAATTAATGCACAGTGCGAAAAGGAAGAGCACTTCCAATGACGTCATTTTTTGGGGAGGAAATGCGACCAATTGGAAAGGCGAACGTGGATCAGAATGAGGGGAAGTTCGGGAAAAAATATTTTTGGTTCCGAAATTTCACGAAGAAATTTTTTTTAATTTGTGAAATACATATATTTACATTTCGATTTTAAAATAGGAAAAAACAAGACATTTTTTTGTAAGAAGATTGGCATTCCAAAAAGAGATCTTTTGAGGTATTTTTCGAGTTTCCAATTCGGTTCATTTTTAAGTTTCAGACTTTTTTCATCTGCCAATTATTTTTTCGATTCAAAAAAGTTTAAAACACAAGGTAAATCTCTAACCATTGACTAACTTTTTTAGACAAGAAACGTCATCAATTACTGGTAACAGCGTCTTCAAGGGCACATCTCAAAATTTTTGGCTCATTTAGAATTTCCAAAAATTGTCATAAGTTTTGTTTTTCTCGTAAAATTTCTTTTCGCTGTTTTTATTCGTATTTGCAATTTTTTAGACATTGTAAATTAAAATTTATTAAAATCATCTTTCTTTTCCCCAAGAAACACCTTTTTTGAATTCATCAATGTTTTGTGAATTGAAAAGGAAGGTTTTTGTAACAAACTGACGCACTCTAACAGTCTAGTTTAACATCCGTGAAGACCGTTTGACGTTTTTTGGGTTTGGTGAATTTTTAGTCATTGAATTTTTCGGAAGTTTATTTGAGCCGGAATTGTCATCGTTTGGCGAAAATTTCGATAAACTCGAACTTCTGCGGGTTGAGTCAGACGTCAATTAACTCGTCCTGGGGAGAAAAAATAAGGTGATTTAGCTATATAAGCAGGGAAGATTTTTAAGGAGTGTTAATTTTATTTTCACACGCTACTGTACTGTTTAGTTGTAACTAAATAACAATCAAAAACTATTGAATTCGGCTTCTATATTGCAGTAAAACCTCTATATTGTAAGTCAAAGAATTGTCGACCGTAGTGCACAGTCTTATTACATGTAGTATCTTGAAACGTTGCAGTCTCTGACGACTACTTATCGTATATATATAATTTGATTTTTTGTCAATCTCTGCGGTCTTTCAACTATATATAATAATGTTCTTTTCAGACACGCCATGTCTCGAACACTCTTCTTTTCCCTTCTAACCGCACTTTTCTCCCTCCCATCCGTCCATTCTCAATGGGGTTCCTACGGCGGCGGGTATGCTGGCCCTGGAGGCTACGGATACGGTGCAACTTACAGCCAGCCTGGTAGTGGGTATGGCCAGAGCATGGGAGGGGGTTACGGTCAACCCAGCGGGGGCTACGGTCCGAATGTTCAACGTTCTGGTGGCTACGGCTCTAATGTCCAGTCTGGCGGCGGCTACGACCATGTTGATGCCAGAACCGGCTATAATGGCAACACCGGAGGCTATGGAAGCCATATTGGAGCCGGCCAAGATGAACGGTGGGCAGGCTCAAGTCAAGGAACCTACAGAAGCGGTGGTTATGGTTATCGTGGTGACGACTACAGAGGTCAAGGCTATCAAGGGGCTTCTTCATCAGCGTCACTGGGCGGTCAAGGCTACAATACTGGGCACGTTGACGGAAGATTTGGAGGACAACACGGTTTGGACAGCCGCGCTGGAGCCGTTGGAAGCTCGTTTGACCGATCAGCAGCAGAAGGAGCTGGAGGATCTTTTGGAAGCTCTGTATCAACCACTTTTGAACGGACGACTTCAACCGGGGGAATTGGTGGCTCGGCAGATAGATTTGGTTCATCAACTGGAGCCATTGGGTCCTCATTTGATCGGTCGGCCAGCGTGGGTGCTGATGGAGCCTCTGTAGCTGCTGGATCATTCAATGGAGCCTCTGGTTCTATCGATTCCTCAAGATTCTCCGGGGTTGATATCGGCACAAATGGAGGATCTTCAAGTTCTTCTTCATTTGGCGGCTCCAGCTTTTCAGCCGATGCTCCAGTGGCAACAGGATCTTCGGGAAGTCAAATTGAAGTCACTGGAACCTCCGAGACGGACTCTGGAGCTGCTGGGTCCTCGTCAACGTCCTTTGAACGCACTGAATTTACCAAAACTTCGAGTTCCAGCAGCTCTTCTGGCTCTTCCTCCGCCGGGCTACCTCCTCGAATGGATGGAATTGCTCCGGACGCCGGCTCAGGCGCTGGATTGGACGTCGAAAAAAGCTCACACGGCGTGAGTGTTGCCGAACGAACTGGCAGTGGATTTGATGACAAACAAGTGAGAAGAGAAAGAGCCAATTTGTAAAGAATCTAAAGAGTTTACTCGCGCGAAATAAATTAGTTTTTTGGTGTTCAAAAATATTCTGAACGTATTATGCATCTAAGCGGCGGTAACGTCAGCCTTCTTGAAGATGCAGACCTTGCCATCGCCGTCTTGTCCGACCTTGTAAGAGGCCACTCCTTTTGGCTCAACTTTGTTGTCGTTGACTCCTTGGAAGTTTTCGCAAGCCACACCGCCGGCTGGGGCTTTCACATTCGTGAGGGTTGCAGTGTCGCCGTAATTGCCGTTAACACCGGCAAGGACTTTCATCGTTCCAGAAACGGTAATGCCATCCATAACGACGTGACGATCGAATCCATTGTTAACACAGTTTCCGCAAGAGCGGTAGAGTTTTCCGATGTCTTGGGCCTAAATGTAAGGAATTAGGATTGCAAAAAGATTTTGGCAAAAACTAAATTATAGAGTTATTTGAAAGTCTTGAATTCCTCCCCAACCTACATCAAAGTTCTTGATGGTAACAGTGCCGCCTCCGTTGTGTTGGAAGACCTTGTCATCAGCTTTCTTTGCTCCTCCGCCGATGATGTTGTACTTGTCTGAAGCCTTGCCTTTGAAAGTAGCGGCATCTTCTCCAACATCCTCCCAGAAGACGTTTGTGATGTCACAAGATCCCAAACAGTGGATACCATCGGCTGCGGGGGCTCCAATCACAACATTCTTGATAGAAGCTCCTGCTTCCAGTTCAAAGATGGGGTCTTGTCCTTCTTCTTGGTCACCACCGCCCCAACCGCTGACAAATCTTTGGCTCTTTCCGTCGAAGACTTGACCGGCTTTAATCACCATCTTCTTTGGGACTTTAGTCGACCCAGATGGGCTGGGCCAAGCAGCGGCGTCGACCGCTACACCAGCTGTAATTGCCAAAACTGCAAGGGAGAACAAGGCCATTTTGGATACCGAACACCAACTTGATGAATAACCAAAAATCTTCGAGCTTTTATACACCGATGTTGTTTGTTTGAACAGTTAGAATCACATAATTTAGTATTTGTTTAAGCTGGCGTGAAAGGGAAAATCAAAAAAAAAACGCACTCCTACGATAGCCGAAGATCAGAGAGCCCAACAAGGCCGATTTTTAAAAGTTGGGGTTTCGGTAGTGGAAAGTCGAAAAAACGTGGAAAGCGTGTGAGCATCCAACATGACGGATGGTCTGGTATGCCACACATTAGAAAGTTTCTTTTCATCCGGAGTCTTCGTCGATAATTTCGGTATCTGATTTTCGGCCGTGGCAGGCTAGAAGAGAAAAAGATACGAGATTTACGTTCAAGAACGACAAGTTGAGATGTCAATAAAAATAAAATGCAATGCCGAGAATTGGTTCGTTGCTAGGAGTATTTATTTATTTAGTTTACTGCCATATAGATTACGTCGGGTTGAATTTTTTTCTTCTGTGTTTTTGATGCATTTCGCCGCGATTTTTTAGGCATCAGTAAGTTTTTAAGACGTTTTTCAGTTATCCTTCCTGTGCCGTGCTTATGTTTATTATAGAGTTGTGCTAGGGCCGCACCGAACCTCGGGCTAGGTACCGCCACGAATCCGAAGAAAACCAAGGAACGTGAGAGAATGGAATTCAGAGAGTTCAAGATTCCGGAGAGCCGAGCGGCGGTCGGTTGGTTTCGAACAAAAGGGACACGAGGCAACCGGCTGGCAAGGATAGTTCCGCCAGCTGTAGTTATTGTTGTTAGTCTATTTGGGATTATTCTGATATTGTACGACCGTCCTCCGGATAAACGGTTGATACATATCCTTGTGGGTGTTATTGGATTCCATTGGATAGATCCGCTGGCGTATTTGGGCATTTCTGGTGTGGACACGGGCTCTCATTGAACTCCTATCAGGAGACCTGTGAAACCACAATAATCTCCATTGTGTTTCATTGCCATATCATTTCAAACGGTTTTGTCATTGCCATGAGCTCCCTCATTATGGCTGCCGTAGAGAAAGGACTGCAAATTTTGGACAATATAATCATACATATTCATGTAGATGCATCTGTGGGGCAAACAATGTCAGAAAATAAGATTTTACTAGTTTCCTATAGCGTATAGAAATTTTTACCTTCGGATAGGGCGACTAAAGCGGTCGCAAGAAAAGCAGAGATGTGTAAGAAGATAGTGATCAAGAAGGTGAGAATGGGGGAGGAGATATTGACAAAGACGGGAAGACCAGTAAAGACGGCACTTAGGATTTGGTCAGCGATGAGAGAGAAACGCTTCAGTTGGAGAGCCCAGGCTGAATGAGAAAAGTGCAAATACCAATTTGATACCTTGAGGTTCATGAGTAGTTCGGGATAGCATTTTCCTTTTGCTTACTTTTTCTTTATGTTTATCAGTCTTCCGGGAAAATGACGGCTGGTCCTGGCAGCAATCTTTCCCTTGTCGAAAAAAGGATGCAGTCGCGCACCAAATCTCCAGCTGCGGCTAGCCGTCCCAGTGTGATAATGGGCGATTGAAAGCCGCGACAACTCGCCGTTACTTTCGGCTCGTATGGCGTTAGTGTTGCTGAAGGAATTGGTAATGAATTTTATGAAAAATAGGACAAATGATCATTCAAAATGTAATGAGTCTAGAAATTTTATTTGCGCAAATAAATTAGATTTTGAGGTGAACAAACGGTTGTATGTTCCTTAGCTGGCAGTAACATCGGCCTTCTTGTAGATGCAGACCTTGCCATCGCCATCTTGTCCCTGTTTGTAAGAGGCCACTCCTTTTGGCTCAACACTGTTATCGTTGACTCCTGTGAAGTTTTCGCAAGCCGTACCGCCAGCTGGGATTTTGACGTTCGTCAAGGTAGCTGTGTCGCCGTAATTTCCGTTGACACCGGCGAGAACCAACATTTTTCCGGAAACGGTGACGCCATCCATAACGACGTGACGATCGAATCCATTGTTAACGCAGTTTCCGCAAGAACGGTAGAGTTTTCCGATGTCTTGGGCATAAATATAATATAAGGAATTAGAGTTACAAACAGATGTGGGCAAAAATATTCCCAACCTACATCAAAGTTCTTGATGGTAACAGTGCCGCCTCCGTTGTGTTGGAAGACCTTGTCATCAGCTTTCTTTGCTCCTCCGCCAATGATGTTGTACTTGTCTGAAGCCTTGCCTTTGAAAGTAGCGGCATCTTCTCCAACATCCTCCCAGAAGACGTTTGTGATGTCACAAGATCCCAAGCAGTGGATACCATCGGCTGCGGGGGCTCCAATCACAACATTCTTGATAGAAGCTCCTGCTTCCAGTTCAAAGATGGGGTCTTGTCCTTCTTCTTGGTCACCACCGCCCCAACCGCTGACAAATCGCTGGTTCTTTCCGTCAAAGACTTCTCCGGCTTTAATGATCATCTTCTTTGGGACCTTAGTCGACCCAGAAGGATTGGGCCAAACAGCGGAATCGACCGCTACAACTGAGAATGCCAAAACGGCAAGGGAGAACAAGGCCATCTTAGATACCTGATATCAAATTGATGAACAACCAAAAATTTGTGAGCTTTTATACTGTGTTGTAAGAAGTTACACCCGGCTAATGTCGCATATTTGCCGTGTTGACTTAGCTGGATTGGTGGGTGAAGCACTGAGTGCACTTTAGGATAACCACGAGAAGTCCACACATGGTTCAATAATAACGCTTTGAAAGCGGTTTAATAACAAACGGCTGCCGAGAAACCATTGGAAAACTCAGCTGAACGAAACACAGCTATGTTTGAACAGGATATCACGGAAGGCCTGGAATGCTGGAAACATATTGATCCCTTCAGAAACGGACGGTTCGCTTAGTTGTGAATTGTTTGAGGTGAATACTACAGAAAACGAACATTGGCAAGCCACATTGGCGAGCCGGGTAAGCGGTTTTTTGAGGCAATGGGAACGTCCTTTGGCTTTATCAAACCGACGACATTTTCAGGGACTGGCGGCATGACATTTTTTAGTGACAGTTGAAGAGACCGGTGAAGACTGTACTCCGGCACTGGACACCGATGAAGTAGAAGAAACGCTTAAGTTGGTCGAGACAGTTTGAATGAGAAAAATGTAAGTGTCAATTGGTACCTTTGTGTTTGGGTCCGATGGAACGTTTTATCTTTCGGTATCTTGTTTTTTTGTTGTGTTTGCGGCCTATCGATGAACTAACGACTGTAAGTAACTGTCAGATTCCCCGTTTCACGCCAATTCAAAATAGAAAAAATTTACAGCCCCTTTTTTGGCGATACGTTAACAGAGAAATGTCACTATCGAGAAAAGAATACTATATTCTTATTTTGATCTTCTTTCTCGAGAAAAATCATTTATTTCGGGCGAAGAGATATCGATGATTTTGTGACATTTCGCCCCTCTATTAAATCAATGAAAACGATAGTGAGCTTCGAAACGGTTCAGGTTGGATTGACATTAGTTTTGAGTCTACCAGTTGGGAGTTTCTACCGCTGATACTGTGGAACTAGAGGGACCCGGAATCGGCAAGATTAGGGACCCATCTATGTTTGCAATGAACTGCATTGTATTTTATGGGAAACCAACAAAAAGAGAGCGATTAAACACTTGTAAGTCTAAAAATTTTATTTGCGCAAATAAATTAGGTTTTGGGATGACAAAACGGTTGTATGTTCCCTAGACGGCTCCAACATCAGCCTTCTTGTAGATGCAAACCTTGCCATCGCCATCTTGTCCCTGTTTGTAAGAGGCCACTCCAACTGGCTCAACACTGTTGTTGTTGACTCCTTTGAAGTTCTCACAAGCCACGCCGCCGGCTGGGATTTTCACATTCGTGAGGGTTGCAGTGTCGCCGTAATTACCGTTGACACCGGCGAGGACCTTCATCTTTCCAGAAACGGTGACGCCATCCATAACGACGTGACGGTCAAATCCATTGTATTTGCAGTTTCCGCAAGATCGGTAGAGCTTTCCGATGTCTTGGGCCTAAATGTAAGGAATTAAGGTTGCAAACAGATTTCGGAAAAAATTAAAGTATTTTGAAAGTCTTGAACTCTTCTTCAACCTACATCAAAGTTCTTGATGGTAACAGTGCCGCCTCCGTTGTGTTGGAAGACCTTGTCATCAGCTTTCTTTGCTCCTCCGCCGATGATGTTGTACTTGTCTGAAGCCTTGCCTTTGAAAGTAGCGGCATCTTCTCCAACATCCTCCCAGAAGACGTTTGTGATGTCACAAGATCCCAAGCAGTGGATACCATCGGCTGCGGGGGCTCCAATCACAACATTCTTGATAGAAGCTCCTGCTTCAAGTTCAAAGATGGGGTCTTGTCCTTCTTCTTGGTCACCACCGCCCCAGCCGCTGACAAATCGCTGGTTCTTTCCGTCGAAGACTTGACCGGCTTTAATCACCATCTTCTTTGGGACTTTAGTCGACCCAGAAGGGTTGGGCCAAGCAGCGGAATCGACCGCTACAACTGAGAATGCCAAAACGGCAAGGGAGAACAAGGCCATCATAGATACCTGATATGATGAATAACCAAAAATTTGGAGGCTTTTATACAGTGCTGTAAGAAGGTACGGCCGGCTACAGTCACGTATTTTCTATATTGACTCAGCCGGATTGGTAGTTGAAACCCTGAGTGCATTTTAAAAAAACCACGGAACGCTCACAGATGGTCCAATAAGAATGTTTTGAAAGCGGTTTAATAACGAACGGCAGTCAAGAAACCACTGAAGAACTCATCGGAACGAAGCATAGTTGTGTTTGAACAGGATATCACGGGAAGTCTAGCATGCTGAATACATATTGATCCCTTCAGAAACGGACTTCAGAGCTCGAGGGTTCACACTTGTTGAACTGTGTGGGACGAAAACTACAAAAAATGAACACTGACAAGCCATATGCCGGTTAAGATGTCTTTTTGAAGTCAACTGAAACGTCATTTTGCTTCGTAAAAACGACGACATTTTGAGGGACTTTAGCGACATGACATTTCTTAATGCTATTGGGAGACCGGTGAAGACGGTACTCTGGAATTGGACAGCGATGAAAGAGAAGAAATGCTTTAGCTGGTCGAGGCTGTTTGAATGAGCAAAATGTAAGTGTCGATTGGTACCTTGAGGTTCATGAACAGTTCGGGGTAGTATGTCCCTTTTCTTACTTTTTCTTTATGTTTACAGCACCGAGACTGGAACAGAAGTTCGTATGGCGTTAGTGTTGCCGAACGAACGATGGGTAAGCCGTACGTCTGCACCCTCAATTATAGCGCAACGACAATGCGCATCCCACCGTAAGAGAGCAACGTGGGTAGCAGTGAGGAGAATCCGGGGATCGGAAAAAGAGGTCGGTGAGAACGAAAGGTTAGAGAGCGGTCGTGTGTTGGGCACCGCTGAAACATTTGATCTATTGGTATCTTATTTGTGTTGGGTTTGCGGCCACTCAATAAAATATCGACTGTAACTGTGGGATTCGAGGTTTCATTTTAACTAGAGGTGGCAATCGGGCCGGGCCGGGCCGATTTTTGCGGCCCGGCCCGCGGGCCGCAGTGACCAGGCCGGCCCAGGGCTTTTTCGAATTTGCTCAGGCCCGGCCCGGCCCGGCCCGATGAAAGCCCAGGCCGGCCCGGCCCGGTTTGGCCCACTATACATAAAAGTTGGACAAAAGTCTTTGGACTTTCTACTGGAAGTTCTTATGCTTTCCAGAAGGTTTTTACGTGTGTCTGCGCGAAATTACAAAGTCTAGTCGGATGACTGGAACATCCGTACAAGTAGCTAAACCTTACAATTAGCCAAAAAGTTGGATTGTATTAAATTTTTTAATCCTATAGGAAGTTAGCTATATAAAAGTATGGACGTTATAATATACATGGTTAACCAAAAACTGTTTAAACACTTTCATTTACATCAAGGAATCAAAACAGTGAAATTTTTAAATCTATCATAAAAAAATTCGAAGCCCGACCCTTGCATATTTGGGTGGGATTTTACAAATTTTGCCCGACCCTTGCATATTTGGGTGGGATTTTACATATACATAATAAGTTACATATACATATAAATACATAATTTTAAAAGGTAGTAAAACAGCGTATAAGTCAAAAAAGGTTTAATCTAATTTCCATCATTTCTACAAAGCATTTGTGCTTTATTTTGCTGGTTTAGCATTAAAACACGATTTTTGAGTCACTGCGTCAGCCAGTAGTGGGGCCCGGTCTTAGGAAAAAATCGATTTTGAGATTTTTGGCTTAAAATAGTCGGTAGCACTTGTGGAAGAAAAGCTAAAAATATTTTTGCCCAATTTTGCCCGGAAGGCATATTTTTTTACAAAATATGTTTTTACACTTCAAAGCCTCTGGAGGCCGATGTGATCCGACCACAGAGATCAAACCTGGCATACAGGGGTTTTTGACACCCAGGAATCTGAAAATCGTAGCATTTTTACCGTCAGATTACTGTAACATGGTCATACTGTAATCCGGTCGATAAAAATCGACGATAACTTCTTTAGATCAAAAATGCCACAGGATTTTATTGCAGATTTGGAATCAGCATAAAATTCTGCTTCGGATACATGTAAAATATGTTCAAAATTCCGTGGCCCAACCTCTGTAGTATAGTGGTTGTGCGCCAGGATTATCAATCTGGCGACCCAGGTTCGATTCCCGGTGGCTGCAAATGGCAGAAAATGGACTATAAAAGGGCGGAAACTTGGAAAAAAGGAAAAATAAATTACAGAAAATTAATTTTGTGCTACTTAGGACCAGTTTAAAAGTTTTTGCAAGAATTCCGCATAAATTACGGTTTTTATGGAAAACGCCTCACAGCATTCGTAAGATCGCCCCAAATGGCAACGAAAGAGTTGCGGTGAATCTACATAACGCTTGCTATCCAATGTTCATCATATCCGCCGAGGAATGCAATTAAAAACAAAATAAAACGGTTATTTAATTTTCAGATGAAAGCACGCATGTTACAGTCCCGTAGTTTAGACTCTGTTCCTTACCAACTGAGTCTCCATGCAGATTTATCATTAGAGCGTCCACGCGCTCCGTTTTTCGTGGGATACGCAAGACGACCTAAGTTTTACAAGCTGTGTGATCCCGGTGCTGTTAGGGAATCTTATATGACTTTTTGTGAATCTTATATGACTTTTTGGTCAAATATCGTTCCGTTCGATAAACCTCGGCCGCAGCTCGCCTTCTTAAAATCCCGAATTTGAAAGAAAACCCAGGCTATCCCAAAAATTTAACGAAATAAGCAGAAATTAACTTATTTCGTAGTAGGAAGCCTCAGTAGTCTCTTCTGTAAATTTTAACCAGATTGCTCCACTTTCCGGCAATCTATAAGGCGTTTTCCATAAAAACCGTAATTTATGCGGAATTCTGGCAAAAACTTTTAAACTGGTCCTAAGTAGCATAAAATTAATTTTCTGTAATTGATTTTCCCTTTTTTCCAAGTTTCCGCCCTCTTATAGTCCATTTTCTGCCATTTGCAGCCACCGGGAATCGAACCTGGGTC